TAATAATTCTTGCACTTGACACAGCGCTGTATCACACCGTCGAGACGTCTCAAAGCGCTTCGCAGGATACACCGTAAAGTGAATCGACTGTATACTTCGTGGGCGAAATGCAATAAGCACCAGCAGGGATGGCGGGGAGGAGACTGACTGACTTGACTGCTCACCCGGCCGGAGGTGGAACAGGGAGACCCAGTTACGACAGACAGAAAATGTCAGATCCAGAACTAGGGCGCATAGTCTTAAAATTAAGAGCCAAGCCATTTAGGTGTGAAATCAGGAGGCAGTGTTTCACAACACACAAAGAAACTCTTGCACTCCCCCAAAAGGCTGTGGATCCATTCAAATTTTCAATACTGAGGTGGATAGATGTTTGTTAGGTTAGAGCATCAAGGGATACGGGGCAAAGGTAGGTAATTGGAGTTGTGGTACAGATCAGCCATGATCTAATAGAATGACAGAACAGGCTCAAGGGGCTGAATGGCCTCCTCCTGTTCCCATGTCCCGAGAGCCTCACAAAAAGACCTTGTTTAAAAAATAACTGGGAATGTTTTCTTCACATCAGTAAAAAGGTCCTTTTCTCCTTCTCTTCCCCCTTTCCTCCGCTGACACACACCGTGCAACCCATGACCAAAGCGTTGTAAAGGGGAGCACAGCACCTCAGTGAGGTTTGAAGCTCTGCCACGCCCGTGTGTGTGTGTGCGCGCGCGCTAACGTCAAAACGCCAAGTAAACGTCAAAACTAAATTAAAAATATCACAGATTTCAAAAGGCCGACGAAAGGCATACTGTCTTGATGCAACATGAGTAGACGTTCTCAGCGCCTGAGAAAACTTTGGTATATTTAAAACCATCCGCCCGTAGATGAAACGAAAAGATGATACAAAAAAAAAGGTAAGAAGATGACTAGAACTGAACGGGTTTCGATGAACGGCAAAAGTATTATGAGTTTGGACTATTGCACTTTTCATTTTTGGTCAGCTGGGCGTCTGACACAGGCGGAAACCCATCACCGCACTGGAGTCTCCAAACCAAGCTGAAATTCCCATGCATCCCATATGGAAATGTCAAGAGAAATTGTTGGAACAGAATGTACACTCTCTCTCTCCCTGGAGGGACGCATCCTGGTTCCCTACCTAATTCCAGAAAGTATTAGGTGCAGGTTGGCAAGAGCCAAGGCCTGGGGCAGGAAAACCCACTGAAAGCGAGGAGGATGGAATTTGGTCCTGAATGGACCGGGGCAGGGGGGCGAAATACAGTCTTAATCCCTGAACTTGAATGTGATAAGAGCTTCATAGTAAGTAATGTCCCACAAATCCTGCAGTACAAAGTGTGCAACCACACTCACAGCTTGTCATACTTTTTAGGAACTACGGAGGACAGTAAGTGCAACATTAAGGAAGGACGACAGGGGAACTTAAAACCATCGAAAACAGATTTCTCACGAACAAACAAACGTGCTCGAACCCAGTCACTAGAAAAATATAAAGATGTAGGTTTATGTTAAGACTGCGCTTCTCTCATTTTCCCAATGATGGGTGAAAACTTCTGCTTCCACTTGTTCTGAAGTGACTCTGCTGAGAATTTCTGCTGAGAATTAAATAAATTTGGTTTGGGATTATTTTAATCTCCCTGTCCAGCGTTACACAAGGCAGCATCAAAGTCCCCTGATCGTGAGTTAACACTGAGGAACGCTGACAAAATATTACCACAACATTTTTACTGGTGGTCCATCAGCAGTGAGAAGTAAAGAGCATTGTAGCCCTGAGAGAAGAGTCACTGGATGATGTACGCTGCAACCAGAAACACTGCATCACAAACTGACTTGAGCAAGATTTATATACCCTCAGAGAGATATTGACAAAGAAAAAATAATTACCAGTTAGGGGGACAAAAAATACGCACTGCTTATATCTTTGCTCAGCAGAGTCACACACGTGATACGATGTGCTGATTGCTCAGCCTTCAGCCAGTTATCGCTTAACAGTGGCGGAGCCTGACAAAGATGGTAGGGGAGAGGAAGGAGAGAACCAAATTCAAAATGGCAGAACAGGCACGAGGGGTTTTAATAGTAATAATGATCCTTGCATTTGATACAGCACCTTATCACGTCTTTGAGACGTCTCAAGTGCTTGACAGAATACACTCTGAAGTGAATTGACTGTGTGCTTTGTGGGCGAAACGTGGCAGCCAATTGCGCACGGCAATGTCTTACATAGAGTCGTGAATTAAGTGACCAATTTTTAAGTTTTTTGAAGGGATTATTGGGAGAATGGGGCAGAATTCTGCGTGCTTACAGAGTGCAACTCACTGGCCTCCTGCCCTACAATCTAGTTGCTAAAGGCTGGACAGTGGTAGAGGTGACAGGGCAGCAGAAACAACTCACTGAAGGCTTGGATGATAATAATAATAAAGTAAATACAAGTAAATCAAAGACAGGCCGAGTTTGACTGCAGATAGCCGCTTTGAAACAAAGCTGATGCAAAGAAATCAAAACGTATATATACACATACACTCACGCGCGCTCTCCTCTTGGAGGCAAGTCTGATTGACTTTGAGTCAGGCTGGTTGGCTTTAAGCCGGCAGCATTAGACTGAACTTTTGCCAGTGTGGCCGCTGAATTAACAGTACATCAGAAACATTCGGGCTCACGTTCGAACCCTGGTCCCACTTCTATAAAGACCTGTGAGAAAGGTATTGCGCTTGAAGTGAGGAGGATAGTAGCAGATTACAGGAGGACATGGACGGGCAGGGCAGGCTGGTGAGATGGGCAGACACGTGGAGATGGAATTGCAACCAGAGAGGTTTAAGGAGATGCATTTTGGGAGGAGGAGTGAGGAGAGGCAATAGAAGATATATGGTACAATATTAAAGGAGGTACAGGAACAGAGGGTTCACATACACAAATCTTTGAAGGTGGCAAGACAGGTTGACAAAGCTGTTTAAAAACAAAAAGCATATAGGAGTCTTGGCTTTATAAATAGAGGCATGGAGTATAAAAGCAAGAAAATGATGTTGAACCTTTACGAATTGCTGGCTAGGCCTCCGCTGGGGGATTGTATCCCAGTTCTGGGCACCATACTTTAGGAAGGATGTCAGGGCCTTGGAAAGGGTGTAAAAGAGATTTACCAGAAGTTACTGGTGCCGTTTATATTGCTTATAAATAGGACTGTCTCCAAGCATCTGTAAATGTTGCACTCCCAGCACTATACTCCCCTCACTATACCTGCTTTGCAGTTTTACATTATATAGCAGTTTTATGTCAGGACAATTCTCCAAGGCGCTCAAAGGTCCTGGCTTGGTACCAAGCTTGAGGTGGGAGCCGAGGCAGGGAGGGGAGTGGGGGAATGACCCAAGGCGCGGTCAAAGGTCTTGAAAATTGACATTTGAGCTTCAAGCTGTGGATAAAAAGAACTTTTTAAGTGCAGGTATCATTTAAGGAGTGCAAAGATAAAATGTGCTCGCAATACCAAGGGAAGTTTTTTTTAAAAAAATACCTAAAAGGCAGCCTTCAGCCTTGTACATGGAGAATGTGGGCTGGGCATTCAGCTTCCTTCCTCTTAAAAGTACCAATAATAATAATCCCTGCATTTGATATAGCGCCTTATCACATCATTGAGACGTCTCAAAGGGCTTCACAGGATATACTGGACAGTGGAGTATCTCACCACATTAAATGGTAGTCAATGCTACTTGTTCTAGAGTCCGGGAAATTTATAAAAAAACTAAAAGGAGGTTTGTTTTCAGCAGAATAGTACCAGCTGGGCCTTTTCACCAAACATCTGGCATTGAGATAACGGGAAGGCACAGACTCCGAGTTGCTGGTGTGGTAAGAAGAGATTAAAAATGGGTCGGGGGAGGGGGGGGGGAAGAAGTGTGAGAGAGATAGAGAACAGACAACTTAGCATCCCTTCATTTCCCTACAAAGTAGAAATCACATTGGTTTGTTGTGAAGTACCAGTGACATGTTAGAAGTACCAACGTACAAGGAGTTATCTGTTTCTATTATCAAGTGGGTCAGGCACCCCATTGGGATATCAAGACCGACTGAAATCAGGGAGTAGTTACATTTAATAATAATAATGTTAATCCTCGCATTTGATATAGTACCTTATCACGTCTTTGAGACGTCTCAAAGCACTTTACAGAATATACAATACACTGTAAAGTGAATTGACTGTATATTTTGTGGGCGAAGTATTTATACTGCATTTAGCTCTGGATTTCATCCACTAAACTGCTGCTATTTACTATGAAGGATGGAGTGTCTCGAGAGAAGAGGGCGAAGCGTTACAATCAGGAGACCCTCACCCTTAACTGGTGAACTGAACACTCGGCCATGGGCTACCAAAGCCCTTTGATGATAAACGGGAATAAAGTAAGGCCTGGAGAATAACATTAGTGAATGCTTAACTCGGCACGTGCTATCCTAGAAGCCCGAGGTTTCACAGAGCGCACGGGGTTTAGCTGTTGGAAAACCTGTTGACACAAAGATCGTATCTTGGAAAAACCCCTTAAAAAAGAGGTTCCGTTGTAAATTTTACACTTCAATTCCGCAAATAGACAAAAGCGCTTTTAAAAAAAAGTCCTTCCTTGAGCACCAACTGACTTACAGAAAAAAGCCAGCGCAAAAGCACCCGTTCAATAAAATTCATGTCAAAATTTGCACATTGTTGATCTAAATAGTTGATTTTTTGTTAAGTGGGCGAAACCCGGCAGCCAATTGCACACAGCAGTGTCCCACAAACATCTGTGGATGGAGCGACCACATCATTTTTATTTCAAAACATCTTTTGAAAGGATTATTACTAAACGGTATAAAATTTTAAATTAATCCATAATAAGAATTAGATTAAAGTTTAAGCATTTGGGACCTGAAGAACTGACTGAACTTCCAAAGTCAAACTCTCTTGGGCGGCACTCAGAAATTGGGTAAAACCCAACACTGACAAACGAGAGTAAAACTTTCATGTGAAAACAGTCAACACAAAATCCAATGAGAAAACCAGTCAAGGAAAGATTTATCCACATGATATAAAGCAGTGCCTGTGTGCTGGGCAGGAGGCCGTTAAAACCGACCTCCTCCCCAGCACTTAATGCAAATGTTTAAGTGCTTCCAAATTTAATGGAGTTATGCATGTGCAATATAATGCGAAAATATTGGTGGTGGGGGGGGGGGGGAGAAAAAGGAGGAAAACAAGTGAGTCAATGAACACGACAGAGCAAAGCAGGACCTGAGATGAGATGAGATGAGTCTTCGAGGAAGAAACCCGATCCTTTTCCTCTCCGAATCGTCCTTCTCTCGTTCCAATCTTCAACAGGCCAGAAACCAATGCGTCTTCGGGAAGTCAATGCAGAGCAATGAATAGGGTAGAGGAGAAGAAGAAAAGAGAAAGATATGTTGTGCTACTTGGTAAAAGTTCAACTTTGCAGCAGCAATGCATTCATCAGGTAAAATGCAGTTGATTCTGCAGCTATGCTGGTTTCCCTTATAGGCTGGTGCAGGTCTTGCTGTGAGGGAAGGGGGTAAGTTTCACCTTCTTGAAGCTGGTACTGAAATAGCCTTCATCACTGCAGCTACTCTTCACACTGATTTGCTCATCAAAGTCACTCACACTGCTGTTACTCCAGTCCACGTCTCCCGACATGCAGTCGGTGCCCTCCACATCCACATCAATTTCTTCTGCAGAAAAAACAAAAGTATTGTTTTGTGGCAGCAAGAAAAATAAAAATCTACATTTCATCAGCTGCTAAGAAGCTTCCCATTTCTGCTTTAATACTTTGGAACTCCATCCAAAGGTCTCTGCAAAGTAGGTATTGCTGTTGGCCTTTGGACCAGGAGCGTGTGGAACCTTGTCACATTCAAGAGACCAGAGTCCTTATCTGTCACCACAAGTGCTGACAACACCCAGTGATAAGAGCTAATTGCCACTGAAGGAAGATTCGCCCTTCAGAGGGTGTCAATTGTGGTTTGTCATTTTAATCCACAACCAGGTAAGTGGACAAATGTTTCCCACAAGAAAACACTGAAGCTCACTGGACACTATATTCTGTGACTTTTCCCCCTCCTCCCACTTGATTCAGTTCGCAGAAACATTAAAACGACTCTCCTTCCAAAACAATCGCCCACGATAATTCTAATAATGTTGACTACCTGTTTGCTGGTATCCCAGCTTAAATCGTGTACGAATTCAATCACCCCAAATTATGCGAGTTACTTTTTGAGCACTTTCCTTAAATAATACCAAAACTGAGCAGCCATGGAGCACAATAAAGGTTGCTTAAATCACTGGCATCATTAAATCAACGGGGGGGTGTGTGTGGGGAGAGAGAGACAAGTTTCATGCCTTGTTCTATTTTTATTTAGATTTATATGGTACCTTTCACATCAGGACGATATGTGAAAGCACTTGAGTGCTGGATGGGCACACGTTCATTAATAACAACAATCCCTGCATTTAATATAGTGCCTTATCATGTCTTTGAGACGTCATTACATTGGCTGCTTGTCTTTAAGAATAAAAAAGACAGGCTGTAGCACAATGCTTCAAAGTGATATGTGTGACACCCTTCCATCAGTCACACAGTTTATTGCTACAGTCCCACTGGCTGCACCAAGCCCACCGCGAGGACGTGGTGGGTTACTATGCTTGTAATGCTTACCTTGGTCAGAATCCGATCGATCTGATGAAATGGTGGAACTTGTGCTGTCCATTCGGATCCTCCCTTCGCCCAGGAGCTCCAGCTGCCGCTTCAAGTGCCGCTGTTCCCGCTGCAGCTGATCGATCTGGTGAACTGCCCTTCGGTCGCTCTCTTCAAGTTTCTGAGATAAGAAGGGGATCCTGTAGGTTAGTGGTTAGAGCCCTCGGCTCGCACTCGAGAGGACGTGGGTTCGATTCCCTGGCAGGGCAAGTGTCCTACGCCATGTGCCTATGTTCACCTAGCAGTAAGTAGGAACCCAGTTGTTGGTCGCTTTGTGGATCGCTTTTCCGGGGTAGGGAGGGGGAGGGGTAATAATTCCTTCAAAAAAATAATAAAAATATATAAAAATAATGTGGTCATTCAATCCACGACTGTTTCTGGTACAAAGCTGTGAGCAATTGACAGCTGGGATTCAGCCACAAAAATATACAGCCAATTCACAGTATATCCTGTGAAGTGCTTTGAGGTGCCTCGAAGACGCGATAAGGCACTACACCAAACGCAAGGTTTGTTATTGTTATTTGACTTATAACCAAGCACCAAGTCGTCAGCAGTAGAGGTGGGATCAATTGTTTTTGTGTGGCAGAAACTGACTTCCTGAACGCTTACCTTGATGTGTAATTTGGCTCTCATTAGTAAACTGAGGGTTGTGTGTTTCGCGGTCTCGGGCCCCAGTGGCACCAATTCTTTCAAACGCTCCAAGCAGAGTCGAAGATGAGCGCGCCTGTTTCAGAGAAAAATTATTGCTCGTCACTTTTAATAGTTAACATCCTGCCTGAGCCATTGCCACTGCACTGTCCTGAATGAGTAAAATAATCACCAAATTATTGGGATACTGCTAAATATACTTATTCTGCAATTCCTCCAAACCCTACAAGCAATTTCCTCTCCACACACAAACGCTTGATCAATCGATACGATTAGAATAATAATAATCCTTGCATTTGACATCGCGCCTCGTCACATCTTCGAGGCGTCTCAAAGGGAACTTGCCCAACGTTTCGCCCTGCCCGTAAATCGAACCCGGGTCCTCTCGTTTGCGAGGCAAGTGCTTTAACCACTGAGCTACAGGACTCTACAAAAGGTATTGCAAAAGGTAGATTGCAGAATACCACAATCTTGAGTCAACGGTTTCCGGTACTAAAGTAATCTTCCCGGACCTAAAGGCTTATTATTATTATTATTATTATTAACTGCTCCCAAGTCCTTGCAAAAGGAAACCAAATATTTCAGTCATCCGTTCACATACTGTGCTTAAAGATTTCTTAAAATTTTTATAACGCGAGTTTGTGCTTCTACACAGATGCAGATTCTGAGGGAAACATATTACTGAGATGAATTTGATTAAACAAAACAAAGCAATTAGCCAAGAATACTGTCCCCAATAATGGTAAATGTTCAGTGGGTAAGTTTAGGACCAAGTGAGCCAGGCTGTGAACATATATGGCCTCGCTACTCCCAAATGGGTTGTTACTGGACACCTTGCATTGGATTGGGACATTGTGCACAAGTTTACAATTCTGGGCACACAGCCCAGCTTAATGTACTACCAGCCCTTTCACCCTGGGAAGCACATTTCTCAATCTTATTTACTCTGGGCTGAAGAATGGCTTGCGTTTCATGGAATGCCGACTCACAAAGTCAATCTGATACACGGCAAAGTGAGCAGAGCAGAGGTTCAGCTGCCCTGATTTAAATGCAGTTCATCTGCCAAAAGATTTGCAACACACCTCATTAGTGAAGCCCAGTGAGGAGCTCAGACCGGTTAGAAATGCGGAGGTCAATGATGCATAATGCTGTTTTGGCAGCCATTTGTAATCTTTCTGAAGTAACAAAGGATACCTCAAAAACACTTCACATTCAGAATGTTTTTTAAAAACATAAAATGCCTGGGTTACTGATGATTCAAATCAGAGAAGGCAGATAACGTTTCAAATATAGCCTTTAAGATAGTCACTCTGCCTTACAGTCTATCCATCAAATTTGTAAGGACTGCAAACTGTGGAAATATATTCCATATTAATACAGCTGCTGCTGAACACTGCAATACCATTCTGCCACTTGACAATCTTTCCTCCAACTTCAATATCTCGGAGATCTGTTTCTGAAGCCGAATAATGAAGTCAACAGGAGGAACGTACTCTGTGTGAAGCTTTTTGTACTCCCAAGGAATGTGCCTTTCAATTTGGAAGGGTGTCTCAAAAGTGCTTCACAGGATATGCTGTAAAATCCTCCCGACATGAAAGGCACTATACAAATGTAATCTTGTTGTTGTTGTAGTAAAGTGTAGTGACTGTACATTTTTTGTATGCCTACAAAAAAAATGTATATAAAACAAATTCAGGGCAAAATGGAACCCATAAGACAGTTAGGGCAACAGTGGTGAAAGGAAATGCCATGTGGAGGTGGAGTAAACAACTATGCTATGAATTAAATTTGTCAAAAGATATTTAAACCCAGTTTAGCAACATAGTTTTCATGGAAGGAATAAAATGCTATCCAGCGGGTTTGTGGATTTACACTTGAATTGAATGTCAGAGTGACTATCTTCTGAGCTATGACAAACTCATCCACAAAAGAGCCCAAAGGGAAACTTCGATTTGCTTAACTGTAGATTAGCCGAATGTCGCATTTCCTGTAGCTTGTCTTTGAATTTCAAAACTTTTTTGTACAACCAAATATTGCATCAGCAATAAAAACTCTAATACTTTTTAAGTTTGGTCACAATGCACATTTCTCTCTTCCCACTGAGCACACCCAAAATGTTAACTTTTAAACTAATTCACACCTTTTGTTTCAAATAGCACCAACAAGCCTAAGTTTCTAATGAGGCAGAAGTATTGAATAAAAAAAAACATTCTTTCAAAAACGCATTCCTTTCGCAATCATTTCCCTCCATCTTCCTCATTTGTCTCTCGAAGCCCAGTTCCATTTCCTGAACCCAAGGATGTTCAAGTAATCTGACAGAAGCTGTTTGTTTCCCTTTGCAGAAGATTGGCTGTTGGCTTATCTTAGCCAGAGAAGAAGCTGGGACCTCAATTGGATGAGTAAAGTAGGTCATGGGAGAGGGGGTGTGAAAGAGAATATGTTGGGCAGGTTTTCATTGGAGACAACAGGATTTAGACTCCGCTTCATTCTCACCCGCCAACACAATGTCAAGGCCCACAATTGAATAATGGCCATTTGGTGAAATACGATGTGGACAGTGAACTGGACAAGATGGAAAATACAGTCAAAAGCATAGAGCGGTGGAAAAAAAATCAAATAGAAAGATATCCTTCCAGATGGTTTCCTTTCAAAAAAAATCTTGAACTGGTATTTAAAAAGTGCTCTCGATACCCAAAAACTCAGTCCCAGTCCTACCTTATGACACATGGTTGGCTCATTTATCAACATTTTCTTCAGTGATACCTTTGCTCAGGGCCATACTTGGCTAGCAGCACTCACTACTACCCTAAGGATTCAGGGTTTGCACTCTCATTGCTGATTTTGGCAGCAGATTTATTGGCCACAACAGCCAAGAGTTCAGCATTTCCTATCTGCTGACTAAAAAGTTACTTTGGTGCTACAACCAAGGCTTAAATTCCAACTCCACATGTAATAATAAGGGCCTGGCAAAGGGGAGTGAACAGTGAAAGAAGAAATTTAATTGTAATCTGCATTAATTACTTGCACACTGTTGACATAGTGAAGTTGAACAATATAAAGAGACTCAATTCTGGATCTATAAATTTCAAACCTCTCCACATGTTGAGCTATAGATGTCAAGTCAAGGGTCAATGCCAGAATGAAGTGGGCTTTTACCCCATCTCTGGTGGCAGGATAAAGTTATTAATTACCCTCTAGCTAAAGAAATATCTCCTGGTGTCAATTCTGAAATTGCCCATTGCAACTCTTAACCTATTCCTGGCTCCCTTACTCTCCAGCCCTCTCAATTCCAACCCAGCTCGGGTGCAAACCGAGTTTAGGACGTCCTTCCAATGTGAAATGCACTGTACAAATGTAATTTTGTAGTTCTTGGGGGCATCTTCTTTCAAGACTGATATATGTTTGCACACACATATATCTATATAGTGTATATATATATATACACATTATATATATATATACACACACAACTAGAAGTTGACCAACAGCACATTAGTAAAATTATAGGTTTAAATGATGGTCAGATTAATTTGATGAAATCATCATATGCAGATATGTAGAATAGATTAGCTGTGCATGTTCTGCATTCAGTGTATCCCGTATCGAGTTCCCTGCTCAATAAGTCAGGAAAACAACAACATGTTCAATTGGTGATATATGCACACTTGAATTAAAACATCCAACTGTAGTTTGGGACAGATTCCGGAGAGGGTTGAAACAGGGAGATTTGGGTACATATGAAATGGAACCTGAAATGGTATCAATCCGCAAAAATATATGGGTCAAAGCACACGACCCAGCAATCTGTTTATGTCCGATTTTAAAGCCCGAAATGGTTTCTTGGTTGCATGTAAAGCCCACTTCCCGGTGCTGTAAGTTAGTCTAGTCTAATGATAGTCGGGTTTCACAACAACCATCTCTACTGTTATCTTTGCAAAGTCACTCTCAAGCATAAAATACAGTGTCTGCTCGAATCACAAACTAACAAACACAGGTGCCAATAAGTCTGCAGCCAGTAGTCAGCAGCACATTCCAACACTTTGATCTGTTCCCTTCATTAGGTCCTCACATGGGACACAATTATTATGGACTGGAGAAAAGATATTGGGAAACATTGCAGTTACCACTTTAACCGATGCACTGACACAAATAACTAGGATAAAACCAGATGCCTTTGGAGAACCCAAATTCTTTATTGAGAAACTACATTTTAACCTTTATTTATTGGGTCCAAATTCCTGACAGGCTAACGCCTTGGGACGTCCTCCCGACGTGAAAGCGCTATACAAATGTAATTTTGTATTGTATTTATTTACAGTTTGATGGAGGGAGTTTCCAGAATAAATGGAAGACCCTACCTAGCATGTAGTGAAGCAAGTTTAACAGGTGACGTTTTCCAAGAACTCCAATGTTGATCTCTCAACACTGAATGCTACCAAATTGAGGTGAAGTTCATAAAGAATTCAGAACTAAAATGCCACTCGCTGATGATAATTTGGAATTTGTTGCATTAATAAAATATAACAAAGGGGCATCATACAAAACAAAAACGATTCCCAAAGGAAAATGTGAACTGTGTGCGTCAATCCACTGTAAATGAGCCTACCTGTTTTTCTCCATTTCATTGTGCATCGACCTGTGAAGGGGGAAAAAGAAACAATTTCAATTATTTCATGGTATAAATCTTCAAACTGGAAATGACAATTAATACAGGACCATGAATCATCTAACACTCTAGTGTGTGTTCCGAATAACACAATCTACAGATCTGAGGTTGGTTGTTTTATGGACCTCACCATCAGCCAGATTGACTAATAATCAGTTAATCATTGGCCATAAATGCATGAGTTTGCCATCGATTGTCAAGCTTATTTGGACTTCCATTAACCTATTCTATCAGTGGCAGAAAGTGTTCACTTCTCTTGTGAAGGATGAAGGAGTAGCAGTTCCAACATAACAATTGACAAAGCTAATAATTCACTCTAATTCATCAGATCCATCTCAGTGACATCTACAAGTGCTCAGTAAATTGTGTTGCTACTGTGTCAAAGGTCTATAATTTGAAGAGTTGAACACAATAGCTGGGTGGTGCAGTCAGAACTCCAAGTGCTTGTTGTGGTCAATGCAACCAAGACACAATCTCACAAAGTGGGGGAGGGGGGTGGGGAAATCTTGCTTTCCCCCTCACTCACAGAATCTCATGCAGCCTAAGGCAACAAGCGACTACATGACGGAGGAGTGGAGAAAAGAAACAAAACCATCAATTGAAGAACTGCCATTCAGTAGGCTATTGGTCTGACATTTCTTCAATCCACAACAGACACTATTCTAGCTAACACCTCAGAAAAATATTGTGAAGATGTGTCTGAGCTTCAACCCTTCGCAAACAGCCCCACTCACAAGGATTAAAACAGCGATCAGTTCACTGCCAAATCCTGAACACAAGATTCACGTGCTTCATTCACCTGACCTTCTCAAGCAGGCACACATCATTCACAAAACCAACACTTAAAGGGGTGGGGAAAAAACGTGAGAAAAAACAGCTTCTACACTTCACTACTTTACTTTCATATACCCATTCATTACAGCACTTAATTCCAACCCAACCAGGTTTTACTCTCTCTTTAGAGAATGTTTGACTCTGTAAACTTCCAGGGCAACTATATTTCACTTTAACTGCACTAACACATCAGGACTGAGGGATTCTTAATAAAACACACTTTCCAATCCAAATTTCTCAATGACCAAGAAAAGGGAGCACTTTGAGACATCCTCCTGACGTGATCAATATCAAATTTAATAATTTCTATACAAAATGTTAAGATGAGAATTATTTTTATAATCGGAATGGGATATAATCCTGAAATCTTGGGGAGCTTTTAAATAATCAAAAGAAATGTGTGCCTCAGGAGGTGACAATTCCTATCTGGTGCATCAACAAAGTCCTGGATTGGACCATTCATTCCTATGCAAAGAATTTCTCAGCATAAATAGATTCACTCATTACAATTTGTGCACAAAGGTGTGAGTGCAGCTCCTTAGAACCAAGCAGGCCTGCCCCACATTGCACTCCCATTTCAAAGTCCGTGCACAAATACTGCAATAAACTGCTGAAAAATTAGAGCATTAGGGAATACAACAATAGCATGAAGCAGCTCTACAACTTTTCTTGTGTCTTCAGTCTCCCCTTTAAAAACAATCCTGAAGTACTCTTTCCTCTCACCTCCACTGGCAAATATCTGCAATTCCCCCTCCTTTCCTTCCTGCGCATTGACCTCCATCATTGTTGTAAAGCTTTAAACGTGAGGCGCTGATAAGTGCAAGTTTTTGTTATAAAACTTTTCTTACTCCCACAACTCCTCATTGTCATAATGCTGCCAATATTTACATTTCCAGTACATAGAAACAGGAAAATGTTAAATCCCTGTCTCATACAAAAAGCCTTGTGCAACCACCTTTTGTCTGAAATAGCTTCAACTCAACAACTGCTTATTCAAAGAGGACAGACAAATTCAAATTTCCACCTTATTTTGTAGTTGAGATCAGGGACAGCAAGGTGAATGAAACAATGCAAGCATAACAGAAACACTTCAATCGTTTTGTTTCTTTAATTTCTCAGCTGCTGAGTACCACAACAGTGCAACTTCAGTTTAACCACAAAGAGACAAATGCAATCTGCTGATTTCTCTGGTACATTCAGTTCTAGTCTACATAGATCCGATGTTCGATTAGCGATGCCAAACCTTTATTAGTGGCGTCCAAAGCAGAACATGACTCAAAGCCAATTCTAGCAGCATACAAAGGCATCATGACCTGATAGCAGTAATGGTGTTTCCCCACATGACAGAATGTCAGCAGACAGCCAGAGAGAGAGAGAGAGAGGGTGGGGGGGTTGGAAAATGCTACCTCACACTGAAGCAAAGCTTCAACTCATGAAGTGCATTAATCCTCATCTACTTTTAGGTACCTCATTGAAAAATTCAAGACATTCATTTTTGAATGAAACATTAAGATTGTGATCTAACAGCCAGTATGATGACCAATAACTTGAGTGCAGCCAGAATAAGTTAAGCAACAAAGTCTTCCTGACATTGGCTCATAAAACCATGGTTCAAGACTATGGTTTAACATGCAAGCTCTAAAAAGTTTAGCATGACTGTGTTTGACTATTTCAAAATAAATAAAGCATGGAAACAAGATTGGCATTCATTCTAATGGTGACCATTCTGAAGTTTGTTTGTAAATAGATCAGATCCCAATTATCACTTGGGGTTGCGGGAGTTTAAAGTTACAAAACTGTATCTGCAATCTGGTTTGGAGTCGAGAGATGCTGACACAAATAAGACTCTTTGGAGGTTCTGGAAATATATGATATCTCATCCTCTTTCCCAACCAATTTCAACTCCTCCCCATTTGAAAGCAGCAGCAGCAACAACAATTTGCATTTATATAGTGCCCCAGAACACTTGAAAGCAAGTGCAATTGAAAGTAAAAGCTGGTCTGTGACTGCTGCCAACGTCTCAGCCCCCATCTCTACAGCATAGGATTCATTACGCTTACTGCACCTCGGATGTACCGGGTTTAGAGTTGCAAAAGGTCATTTCAGGACAGATACCAGGAAGCACTTCTTTACCCATAGGGTAACTAACAACTGGAAAAGTTTGTGTGTGTGGGGGGAAAGAAATTAAGTCGGGAAAGGTGGCTGAAAACATGGTTGAAAACAAAATAATAGTTCGAGCTATATGTGATGTTCTTTAACTTGATTAATCCTCTCACATTAATATGAGCTAAACTCACATATTTGCTTGGATTTTCAAAAAAATTGCACCTTTCCCTCTCTAAAATTGAGAGATTTGGGGGTATTTGTTTCATGACTGAATATCAGCTGGCCCTCTGAATATGAAAAAAGAAATTGCATAAAGCCAACTCAACACACATTTACCATGAATCTTGAAACTAAATCTTTCTTTTAAATCCACATCAGATAAGAAGAACCTGGTTTCAAACTCTGCCAATTTCTCATTGTGAAATTTAAGCTTAGCAGGTAAATCTTGAGTACTTGACAGAAACTATCGTATTTTGTCAATTAAAAATAAATAGAAGGAAAGAGCTCCCCTCAAAGGTTGATAACAACAATGGCAACTGTTCGTACTTCATATCATTTTCTATGGAGGACAAATATCTCACACCACTATGATAAGGAACACTGTTCAGTGAGTTGTGGAATAAAGCTACACAGAGCTAAAAGTCCAAGGTTCAATCCTGAGATTGGGCTGAGTTAATTGAAGGGATTTGGGGAAAGTTTTGCACACAGTGAACCTTAGCTCGCTTCAAGCACTTGGAAGACATCCTCCCAACTGATATACACTGTAAATGTGAATTGTATTGTATTGGCTGTAGCCTCAGCCCCCATGGAGTGTCAAAGGAGTGAGGAATGTGCAATTCATCTGATGTGATATTGGGAGCTGGGTACCAAAGGTGGGGGGGGGGGGGGGGGGGGGGGGGGGACGACACAGACTCCACAAGAAAGGCAACAATACAAACTGGGGTAATAATGGCCACCGGGTACTTGTTAAAAAAAATAACCTTGGAACTTGGAAAACCGCAACAAACACGGTGGCACTTGCTGAGGAGGGTAACAGCTGGTGCGGATCAAAAAGGGGAACAGGAAACGGGGAGTACAGGGGTTACGGCTGGCACTGAGGGCAATTTGTAGAGGGGTGGAGGGTAAAGAGAGAGAGAGAGAGAGGGGCAGAATGAGGAGATAAAGTTGACAGAGAGAGGGGGAATGAGAGAGAGAGAGAGAGATGGGGAGGAAGGAAGGAAGAGATGGAGAAGACGACAAACACCTGAGTGAACCTTACAGGTTGTACCGGCACAGAGGGCGGTGTGTGTGTGTGCAGGTGGGGTATGACACACAGGTGTGACTGGGCTTTCTTTACCTGTTGCTGGGACTTTTCTTGCCTTTACTCTTGCTCTTGCTCTTGGGCAACTCCTGTCTCTTGTAGGGCAGCAGAGAAGCGTAGCCATGCTCTGCCTCTGTACCAGAGGGGGGGGAGAGAGAGAGAGATGAAGGAGGGAAAGTGAGAGAACGAAGGGAAAGAGAGAGAGAGAGAGAGAGAGAGAGAGAGAGAGAGTGAGGGAAGGAGGAAAAAGGGAGAGAGGAGTGAGTGAGGGAAGGAAGGAAGGAGCGAGCGAGGAATGAGTGAGGGAAGGGAGAAGAAGGGAGAGGAGTGAGGGAAGGGAGAGAAGTGAGTGAAGGAAGAAGGGAGGAGTGAGTGAGTGAGGGAAGGAGGGAGAGAGGAGGAGTGAATGAGGGAAAAGGGAGGAGAGGAGTGGGTGAGGGAAGAGAGGAGTGAGTGAGGGAAGGAGGGAAGAGAGGAGTGAGTGAGGGAAGGAGGGAGAGAGGAGTGAGTGAGGGAAGGAGGGAAGAGAGGAGTGAGTGAGGGAAGGAGGGAGAGAGGAGTGAGTGAGGGAAGGAGGGAGAGAGGAGTGAGTGAGGGGAGGAGGGAAGAGAGGAGTGAGTGAGGGAAGGAGGGAAGAGAGGAGTGAGTGAGGGAAGGGAGGGAGAGAGGAGTGAGTGAGTGAGGGAAGGAGGGAGAGAGGAGTGAGTGAGGAAAAGGGGAGTGAGGAGGAGTGAGTGAGGGAAGGAAGAAGGGAGAGAGGAGTGAGTGAGTGAAGGAGGGAGAGAGGAGTGAGTGAGGGAAGGGAGGGAGAGAGGAGTGAGTGAGGGGAGGGAGAGAGGAGTGAGTGAGTGAAGGAGGGAGAGAGGAGTGAGTGAGTGAGGGAAGGAGGGAGAGAGGAGTGAGTGAGGGAAGGGAGAGAGGAGTGAGTGAAGGAGGGAGAGAGGAGTGAGTGAGGGAAGGAGGGAGAGAGGAGTGAGTGAGTGAGGGAAGGAGGGAGAGAGGAGTGAGGGGAGGGAAGGAGGGGGAAAAAAAAGGGGGGGGAATGGAAGAGAGACGGACGGACGGACGGAGGCAGACCGGACCGGACCGGACACCGGCGCCGCGCGCCGCCACCAACGGTCAGTAACGGTCGGCTCTCGCGCTCAAGCGGCGGCGGGGGGGGGGGGGGGGAGAGAGGGGCTGCGCGCGCAGGCGGCGGCGGCGGTCGCGCGGGGCGAGAGAGAGAGAGATGGAGAGCCGCTGTTTACTGACCTCGGTCGCGCCGCTCCAGGTAATGCGCCGCCTCGATCAGCCGCTCGATGTTCGTCATGCTCACCGCGTCCATCATCATCATCATCGCCGCCGCCGCCGCCGCTGCTGCTGCCGCCGCCGCCGCTGAAGCTGAGGCGAAGTGACCCGTTTTTTTTTTGTGTGTGCGCGTGTTGCGTGGTATTATTTTTTTGTTTATGTATATATATATTTTTTTTTTGCGCGCGACGAAAACTTTTACGCTTTGACGATTGATTTTTTTTTGGGTGTAATGTAATGTAATCTCCCCGTGCGCGCGTGTGTGTGTGTGTGTGTGTATATATATATATTTTTTTAAAAATCGTCCGGTCAAGTTTGCGCTGTGTCTTTCCCTCAACGGGAGCCGAACCAACCGTCTCGTCTCACCGCCGGGTTTTGTTTATATGAAGGGAAAAAAATGCCCGCCCGCCCAAGGATGTCCCGCTCCCGCCCGCTCCGATTGGCGCAGCGGCCCGCCAGTCACCTCGCCTCCCGCCGCTCTCATTGGCTCGCCGACCCTGGCCCGCCCCGCCCCCGCCGCTCTCATTGGCTCGCCGGGCTCGCCGATCATCGCCCGCCCCCGCCCCCGCCGCCCTCATTGGCTCGCCGGGCTCGTCGATCATCGCCCGCCGCCTCCGCCGCTCTCATTGGCCCCGCGCGCCGCCAGTCACCACCCCTCCCCCGCCTTCCCGCCCCCACAGCCAGCCCATTGGCCGGCCCCGCGCTGTCCGTCACCAGGCCCGTCTCCGCCCATCGCCCTCATGACGTCACCTACCCCGCCTCCATAGCCCACGTGTCCGCCCCAAGCACTGGCCCAAAGCATGGAATAACAATAATAATAATTCTTGCATTTGATATACATATATATATATATCGCGCCTTATCACGGTCGTCGATCACTGAGACGCCTCAAAGCGCTTCACTGAATAGCCTGTAAAGTGTAGTGACTGTGTGTTTCGTGGGCAGGTCGAATGCGGCAGCCAATTGCGCACAGCAACGTCCAGCAAACAATCGTGCATTGAGTGACCGAATTATTATATATTTTTTTTGGAAGGGATTATTAACCCCCGGAAAGCGATCAGCCACTCGACTAACAACTGGGTGCAACAACACAACTTACACTTACTTATATAGCGCCCGCCACACAGGGTAGGGTCTCAGACAACAACAACAACAACAACAAGATTCCATTTATAGAGCGCCTTTCACGTCAGGAGGACGTCCCAAGGCGCTGCACAGTTGGGTCATGACCCGAGCAGGGGGGAAATGGTCAGGGTGAGGGGAGGGAAGGGAGGGAGCGAGGAGGGGGAAATGGTCAGGGTGAGGGGAGGGAAGGGAGGGAGCGAGGAGGAGGAAGAGAGTCGAGAGGGGAGCTGAAGGCACGGTCAAAGAGAAAACCTCTTAACAGTGGCGGAGCCTGACTCCGAGCCGGAGGGAGGTGGCCGTAGGCACGGTTGAAGAGGAACGTTTTCTGGTGGGACTCCAAAGACGGGAGAGTCGGGGCAAGGCAGAGGGATTGAGGGAGAGTGTTCCAGAGTTTCAACTTACTGCTGGGTAAACAGAGGCGTAAGGCGTAAGGAAACTTGCATAAGGTTTTGCTCCACCCAGGATTCGAAGCCAGGTCATCTCGCTTATTGAAGCGCTTTGTGACAAACCTGATGACACAACGAGATGCTGTATAACAAAGCATTATTATGTTGTAATTGCCTTGTTTAGGTTTCCAAGCCATTCGGAGAAACGTCCCGCCTACCAAAAATAGATGTTAAATTCCTCATTCCCGTTTCACGTGACAATCGTAAAGAAACTTATGCTTGTGGTATGTGAGCATTTTTGGTGCTGTCATCGACAAGGCAAGGGTCTCCGTGCAAACAAACACGCAGGACTGGTGTAACAAGTTGTGGGTGTGCCCTTACATGTTCAAAATTTGCAAAAATTCGACTATGTTTTCCTAAGAAGCAGCGAAGGACAAAGCGCCCTCCAGAGGCATGTGTAGGAACTGCAATTCCACAAAGCCCGACAATGGAAAGATGATAATAATAATAATCCTCGCGTTTGAATATAGCGCCTGATCGCATCTTTGAGACGTCTCAAAGCGTTTCACAGAATATACTGTAAAGTGAATTTACTGTATATTTTGTGGCCTAAATATAATGATGATCAATCACCTCCCAGTGCTGTGACGGTCAACAAAGCTGACGATCTCATGGAGACCCGTAGTGTCGTGGTTAGCACATTCGCCTCACAAGCGAGAGGACCCGGGTTCAGTTACCAGGTGGGGCAAAACCTTAGACAGGTTTCCTTAGTCGACATACATGTCTCTGTTGACCCAGCACCTTGGGACGTCCTCCTGATGTGAAAGGCGCTATACAAATGTAATCTTATTTGATTGGCGTAACGTTTTCCAGGGGTAATATCTCTCCTCCCCAATAATAATAATGATTGGTTGCTGAATCCACAATTGTTTGTGGGACACTGCTGTGCACAATTGGCTGCCATGTTTTGCCCGCAAAATATACAGTCAATATAAATCGGTGAATATTGTACCAGAAGTAATCGAGAGTTTTCAACCAACGACCAAATCATTATTACAGATAAAATAAAAAAAGACTCCGCCAAAACATGCTCCCTTTGAAAATCCAGCCTCTTTGTTCAGTTTGTTTCCTTTGCACTCAGCTGCAGAGTTAATGTATGGTAATGTTTTTCAATTTTAAAAAAAAACATCCCGGATGAAAAGGAGTAGTGTTGTGGAAAGACCAGAGGGCAGATCCTAAAGTGGAGAAGAATACAGTTGGGACAAGGATAAATACCTCCACAAGACAGCTGTAGGCTGTGACAGGAATAGGACAGAGGGTTCCATTTGGCAGTGAATTACTGAAAGAGATCATCTTTTTNAACGAGGATTAAGCTCCCCTTAAGTGAACCGCATTTTTGTTGAAATGGGCACTCGTATTTTCAGGTTACTAAGCAGCTTGTTGGGAAGCATTCTTGACATTTAAGAATGCTTCCTTGCAACATGTTAGGTCAGCCAAGAACATTTAAAGGACCATTGCTGAATGGAGGGCAAATCAATTTCCAACTGATAGCCAAATTGGGCTTGGCAGCCACCTCCAGAGCAAATTGCATCCAGGTCACATCACTAAGACCAGATTTATAGTTGTCTTTTTGTGATGAATCGACAATAATAATCCTTTCATTTGATATTGTGCCGACAGTATCAAAAGGTCACAGTGCTTCACAAGGAGTCCTGTAGCTCAATGGTTAGAACACTCGCCTCACAAGCGAGAGACCTAGGTTCAATTCCTGGCAGGGAGAAACTTTGGGCAAGTTTCCTTACTCCACACGTCTGATAATAATCCCTCAAGAAAAAAAACAATAATAATTTGGTCACTCAATCCACAACTGTTTATGGGACACTGTTGTGCGTAATTGGCTGCTGCGTTTCACCCACAAAATGTACAGTCAATTCATTTTACAGAATATTCTGTGAAGCACTTTGAGACATCTAGAAGACGTGAAAAGCGCTATATCAAATGCAAGATTATTATTATTTGTTATATGTAACTGCTGTGAAATGCCCTGAACGTATACTTGAGGGCAAATGCAGCCACAAGCCAATTTGGCTTGACAACAGATTGCAAAATGAACAGAACATTAGTGTCATCACCCAACCTCCAGACAAAGATGCTCTTTCAGAGCCCAGAATACATTACAGAAACCAGTTCCTAAAATACACGTTACTAACAGCTTGATGCAAGCAAGAATTTTGGCCTCTGAGTCAGAGGTTGTGGGTTTAAACTCCACTTCGGTACTTGGAATCCTAGGGGTGCGTCCTTCAGATGAGACGTTAACCGACGTCCCATCTGCCTGTTCAGGTGGATGTTAAAGATCAAATGGCAGTATTCAAACGGGAAGGGCGTTTCTCCCAGAGTCTTGGCCATCAATCCCCAAAATAAAATTGGTCACTCACTTCCTGGCTGTTTGTGCGACACTGCTGTGCAGTTAGTTGCCCCATTACACCCACAAAAGTCACTCCACAGTATATTCTGTGAAGCGCATCGAGACATCTTATTGACATCTCGCCCTATGTCAATTGCAAGGATTATTACAGTAGTATATTTTTCTTCACTTTGGGAAAATGCGACTTTTAAAGTCCGCCTTAAGACTTACCTAATTTCAGCGCACTTTCAGGCACCTTCCTCTTTTCTCTCCGCTGCCACTCCCGGTGCCCAGCCAGCAGTGTAAAGCGTTTTGCGGCGTTCCTCCCAACAGCGAAAGGTTCGGCATGAATTGTATTTAATTCTATTCAGCAAGTGGAGTTTCTTCCAGTTGGGTGTCCCGGCCATCGTCAGTAAAAGTAAACATCAAACGACATTTATACGGCGCCTTAAACGTCGGGAGGACGTCCCAAGGCGAAGGACAGTCAGGGATTTGGGCCGAGCTGGGGGTTGGGATCAGAGAGGGGTGGAGGGCGGGGAAGGTAGAGGGTAGGAGGGTGGCCGAAGGCGCCGTTGGTCGAAGAGGAGAGTCTTGAGACGTGCCTTGAAGGAGACGAGCGGGCGAGGCGAAGGGTCTGTGGCACCGAGATCCAACGTTTGGGGGGGGGCAGAGAGGCTGAAGGCCCGACCGCCAATGGTAGGGTAGGCGGGGCCCGCCAAGCGTTGGGAGCGGACAAGTAGGAAGATTAAAAGCTGGTCATAAATTTAATGGCGGACACTGGGACTCATTTGCAACGCAGTGTGATGGGATGGGGGGGGGGGTTAAAGATTGTAGGGTGGGATTTGGCCATGGACCATCTTCACCCAGAGCCATCTTGTGATGCCGTGACGTCACAAAATGGCGAAGAGGGGCAAGCATGTCCGACGCCCCCCCCCTCCTCGCCACGTGATTGACAGCGCCGACAACCAATAGAGAAGCGCGGAGGCGAAAGGATGCCGCCCCTCGCCACGCGATTGACATCGCTGTCGACCAATGAAGAAGCGAAGAAAGGGGAGGGAAAGACGCCGCTCGCCACGTGATGCTGACAACCAATGGCGAAGCGGAGAGGGAGGGCGTGTGTGACGCCCCACACGCCCCACGTGATTGACAGCGCTGGCAACCATTAGAGAAACGCGAATGGTGGGAGGGGGAGAGAACAACGCCCCTCACCACGTGATTGACAGCACTGACCAACCAATAGCGAAACGCGAAAGGGGAAACAGCTCCGCCCCCGCACGCGATCAACGGCAGACAGGTGAGAGCCCTCGACGCCTCACCACGTGATTGACCGGAGCGGGGCGGGGCGGGGCGGGGTGGGTGGGTGGGGGGGCGAAGAACGCCGCCTCCTCAACGTGATTGACAGCGCCGTCGACCCAATGGGAAGCGTGGAGGGCCGAGCGCGACGCCCGGAGCGCCCAATGGCGAAGCGGGGCGGACTAGAGCAGGCTGCGCGCGCAGTCGGTTTGGCGGTTGGGCTGGTGCTGGCGCGCGCGCGCGGGCGGGCGCGGCCGGGCGGAGGGGGGACTGGTCGTCGGTCAAGTCAGTCGGTGAGGTGAGGCGAGGCGCGAGGCCCTGTGAAGGCGAGGCAGACCGGAAAAAAACACCCACCCACCCAAAGGGGGTGTCTGGCCTTCGACGGGTCGCCCTCAGTAAAGCCCAGAGCGTCGTGTCGCCTGGTGTGTCCCCCCCCCCCTCCCCCCTCACAAAAAAAATATTATTATTTGCCCCCACCCTTGAAAACCCGCCAAAAGACCTTCCTTTTCGATAGGGCTCACGGTCAATTCCCCCCCACACCCCCACACCCTTCCCTCTCCACCACTTCTTCTTCCCCCCCCCCCCTCCCTTCCTTCCTCCCTCTCCCCCCTTTCTTCCTCTTCCCCTCTCTCTTTTCCCCCCCTCCTTCTCTCTCTCCCACCGCCTCTCTCCCCCCACCGCCTCTCCCCCCCACCGCCTCTCCCCCCTCCCTCTCTCCACCTCTTCCCCATCCTCTTCCCCCTCCCCCATCCTCTCCCCCCTCCCCCATCCTCTTCCCCTTCCCCCTCGTCCTCTTCCCCTTCCCCCCTCGTCCTCTTCCCCTTCCCCCCTCGTCCTCTCCCCTTCCCCCCTCCTCTTCCCCCTCCCCCCCATCCTCTTCCCCCTCCCCCCCATCCTCTTCCCCCTGTCCGCTCCCCCTCCCTCTCTCTCCCCATCCCCCCCCCTGCCTCTCCGCCCCCTCCCCCTGCAGAAATCAACCGTATAAGTGCTTTCTTCATATGAAATGTGGCTGAATGTTTGAACAGTGGGAATAAAGCTCCACTGTCTTGTTTTACAGGAGGCTGCTCAGAGGACAAGATGTCCGATCATACAAGACCCCCTTTCAGAGGGGGTCTGCCTCGTTCAGCACTCGATCCGCGCTTACCTGGGTTGCGGCAGCAGCTGTGGGAACTGGGGGCAGATGGTGCCCAAGGGAGAGCATTTCTGTGTCCACAGCCTCTACGATCGGATTCCGAAGGGAACTTAGAACAGCCGTCTGTGGGAGCAGCCGCCCCACAGCCTCTGATCACCCAGGTACAGTCGACCTCACTGCAATCAGTTGGGAACCGTACATTTAAAATGACTTGCGCAAAGTATGAGTTATGCCAAACTGGCAGAGAATATGAACCCCTGAGCAGGACTTGGGCAGATGTACGACTTAGGAGATTATGCGATTCATACAGATCAGTCTTATGCGAGTTTTACTGTATAGACATCAAAGTATAATTTTACGCCCCCCCCCACAGCCGCTTGCCCTCCACCTCTACTCACTTGCGCTCCACTCCACCCGACTACAAACCCCCAGCTCAGATGCAAACCCTTGACTGTCCAGCGCCTTGGAAAGTCCTCCCAACGTGTGTCGCCACATAAATGCAATTTGTTGTTTCCTACAAAACACAGTCACTGGTCTTCACAGTGTATCCTGAGAAGAGCTTTGAGACATCCTCCTGACCTGAAAGGCGATGGACTAAACTCGCTGGACCTAATGCAGAATAATAGGATTGTTCCTGTTATGAACATTGTGAAAGGATTGTTTGTGTTCGCAGCCGCTGGGTCGCTCGGGATTTTTCCGAGGTTTGGCATTGCTCAGAGGACATCTGGATGTGTATGGACATGGCCATCACCTTGGCAAGTAACTGGTTTAACTCAAGATTAGGCTATGGGTGAGATCGGGCTATAGACAATGTATCCGAAAGCTATGTGAAAGGCTATGTAAATGTACATTTACACTTTGAAATTCCACAAAATTTCGCCAACAATATACACAGTCGCTCCACTTTACAGTGTATCTTGTGAAGCACATTTGAGATGTTCCGACGCAGTGATAAGACACTGTATCAAATGCAAGAATTATTATTATTTAATTCTTGCATAAGCCTGTTGCTTGGCAGTTTAGAATTTAGGATTTGTGATTTTAGCTGGTTAGACTCCAGTTGTTATCCCCAACGCACACTCTGGGCTCCCCCAAGCCTTGGCTCTCGCCAGTCTACACCTCATAATACCCTCTGGAATTAGGTAAGCAGGATGCGTCCCTCCAAGGAGAGAGAGAGTGCATTCCATTTCAACAATCTCTGGGATTTCCATGTATAGGTGGGATTCGCGGAACTCTCAGTTTTTTAGTTTGGATACTCTTAAGCACGGTGATGGGTTTCCGCATGTATCAGCCACCTGGCTGACAAAAAAAATCATTCCAGGCAACTTTTTTGCCTTCCTGGGTCTCAGCACTATGCCTTGTGGAGTCCTGTAGCTCAGTGGTTAGAGCACTCGCTTTGCAAGTGAGAGACCTGAGTTCAATTCCAGGCAGAGGGCGAAACCTTGGGCAAGTTTCCTTACTCCACACAGAGCCTAATAATAATCCCTCCAAAACCAAAAACAATAATAAATTGATCATTTTCAATCTACGACTGTTTATGGGACACTGCTGTGCGCAATTGGCTGCCGCGTTCGCCCACAAATATACAGTCAATTCACTTTACAGTGTGTTCTGTGAAGCGCTTTGGGACGTCCTCCCGACGTGAAAAGCGCTATATCAAATGCAAGGATTATTATTATTATTATTGTGCCATTTTATTCTTTTGTTCTCAATCTGTTTCCATACGTTGTTATAATTAACGGCCCTATTACTTACCCAGCCCCTGTTTATCCCCGTTGCAGGCAGAGGACTCTTGGGCAAAGGAATATACAGTAATATTCAGCGAGGAGGGCTTAAGCAGGAGGTGAGCCGAGCTGATGGAGGAGCCGGGGATGCTTCTGCAATGAAACTGCCAGCACAGCCAGTCTATGATCTCAGCAGGTGAGGAACATGACAAAAATAACATGGGGTGAGAATTGTGCTTGGCCAAGGAACAGAAGGAGGCTGTGCTTGTGTTCTGTGCTGGAATTCTGGCTGGGCTGAGCAGATTTGGACAGATTCAACTGTGGTGTCACTGTTGCTGAATTGTGACCTAGTGCGTCTGCCTTTAGGTCCAAATCCTTTATATAATTTTCATGCTTTGAAAAGGGAAATGTAAGGAAATAAATCACTGAATCCATGATTTTTGTAGGACACTGCTGTGCACAATTGGCTGCCACGTTTCACCCACGAATATCAGTCAATTAAATTTACAGTGTATCCTGTGAAACACTTTGAAATGTCTCGAAGAAGTGATCAGACGCTATATCAAATGCAAGGATTATTATTTATTATTTTATAAGGTTAAGGGGTGGAGATGGCATGCGGGGAGGCATTGCTGCAAAATTTGATATAAAGTGATTGATCTTTCTACGGCTTTTCTTCCGCCAAGTTTTATAGCTCGAGGTCGAGCGATCACGCCTGCACCACAGCCCTTCATTCCCGAGGACCTTGCAGCTCAGTTGAAGGGTTTGGAATTAGGAAGAGGGTCATTTGCAAGGAGTCGCACTACTCCCATCACCCCCTCGCCTTTGCCTGGTGAGAGACAACCGGTTCCCCTGCAACATACATCTCCCGACCCCCACGTTCTTCAAAAAGAAATTCAGAAGTAAGTCAACAACAACCGAAGATGCTCTAATAAAATGTTCTGGCCTCCAGCAAAGCTAAAGCACTTGAGGGAAGGGGAGGCTTAATTTATAAACAACAACAAATTGCATTTACAAGGCGCCTTTCACAATTGGAGGACGTCCCAAGGTGCTGGACAGTCAGGAATTTGCACTTGAGCTGGGATTTGGGACCAGGAAGATTGGAGGGCAGGGAGTTAGGGGTAGGAGGTTGACCGAAGGTACGGTTGAAGAGGAAGATCTTGAGAAGGGCCTTGAAGGAGGCAAAGGAGGGCACGAGACGAAGGGACTGTGAGATGAAGTTCCAGAGGGTGGGGCCAGAGAGGCTAAAGGCCTGACCACTGTTGATGCGGCAGGGGACGTGAAGCAGGCCAGAGTCCACTGAGCAGAGGGATTGTTGGTGGCTACTTTTAGAGATGCTTTAAACATTGTCATGAAGCCAGAAATGTAATCTCGCCAACAGTAGGACAGTTCTGTTCTAACACTTTTACATGACAATTCCCATGTGCAGGTGGGCTGCGTGGAACTCTTGTTTGGGTTGGAGACAGTTGAGGATGGTGATGGGGTTCGTGTGTTAATTGCTCTGTGTGCGTGTGTTTTTTTTCACATTTTACGTTTTGTTTACAGAGACACTGCTGTGAAACGGGGATCGTCAGGGACGCCTGTGCCCCTGGCCCTGAACCTTATAAAAATACACTGTAGAAACGAGGCTGTCTATCAGTACCATGTTACCTTCAGGTGAGCAATAGCACTAGAAATGGGAATGTGAGTGTGCAATGAAACTCATTGTCACACACTAAGAAGTTAATGGCTTGTTTCCTGGGTTCCAGGTTATCTAAATAAAATGAGATTTATATCTAGTAAATCTGGCTTTAAAGTATTTTCAAATAGGACTCCCACTGGCTCGGCGTCGTGCTCTGCCCTGTCAAGCGCTCTGGGATGCTGCCCTGCGTGAGGGGGCGCTATGTAAATGCAAGTTGTTGTTGAAGGTTGTGCCTGTTGGTATATTGTAAGACGTGAACAAGCAGAACTTGGTTTCCTTTGCATTCATGCTTATTAGACAAGTGTTGGAACATTGTATGCATGTCTGAATACCAGAGAGAATGAGTCAGTGTTGCCTCCATTTTTCCCATGAATCCCAATTAAACAAGCTCTTCCTTTAAGATGGTATCTCATTGAATCTGTTGGAATCCTGCAGAGAGAATGACGACAGGGCTTTATATCAAATGTCTGAACATTTTCCTTTTGCTCTCTGGCAATTGGAGCTGGATTGCTTTGTAACGGGGGGAGAAATAAGTTTCTGCAGAGTTGACTAGCTGTCACTAGAGGTCCCTACGCACTTGCTGAAAGGTTAGACAGACAGATAGCTGCATGTTAATTGGAGACTGAAATGGGAGCTGTTTTACTGCTTTGCATCAAACAATTGGAAACCTGTTGTAAGTGCAGTAAGGATACATCTGTCTGTGACCTGGAGGAAGTCCAGCAGTTCATTGGGATGTCAGTCGATTGGCAGATCGCTTTCCGAGGCATTACAAATATTAAAAATAATTGTAATATTAATTTGGTCACTCAATCTCCTACTGCTTGTGTGACACCGCTGTGTCTTCAGCACTTAGTTCTGTGCTATATTCTGTGAGCGTCGTTTACATCTTTTGTCAGGGTTGTTTATAAGTGACGTACATTTGACTTGAGTTCTTTATTCAGATGAAGCAAATCTTAATGTTAAGATTGCCACATTTCACCCACAAAATATACAGTCAATCCACTTCTCAATATATTCTGTGAAGCGCTTTGAGACGTCTCAACGAGGTGATAAGGCGCTCTATTAATGCAAGGATTATTATTATCATATGCCAGTCACAAAATGCCAGTTTTCCCGTCAAGCCAGGATTCTGTACGTCTTTGAACCCAAAAGTTGCTGTGGTGTAATTGCTGTCTGCCGAGACTATCCCCCAGCAGTACATGTGAAACAGATTACTGGTGGTTGATCTTTCGCACTCTCATTCACTGCCCCACATTTCTGGGAATTTAATCAGAATTATCAGCATGAATTGTGGTCTGTGGTTATTTCCTCTGCACAGTGGAGCCTGTGTCCACATGATTTGTGCTCATTTTGAAATTGGTGCCTCGTTCTGTTGGTTGCCTCATATTCCTCATCTTGTTTGGGGTATTTGCCTGAGGTTTCCCTGCCTGGGAGCTCCACGTATACTGTAAAGTGCAGTGACTGTATTTTGTGAGCAAACCCAGCAGGCCAATTTGCACTCAGCAATTTCGTTCTTGATTCCAACCCCCTAACTCATTCACTGTCCAACGCCTTGGGAAGTCCTCCCGACGTGAAAGGCGTTGTGTAAATGTCATTTGTTGTTGTTGTTGTTGCTGCAGTAGATGAGCATGCCATCTGGTGCTGTATTGTGCTACAGTTTAGTCAGGGATTTATTTGGTCAGTTTGAGTTAAGTAGGCATTACTGCTAAATAAAGAGCAAATCAGCTGAGTGAAACCAGTTTTTGTCCCCAAAGGGAGCGTGGCTTTCCAGGCAATTCCCCCCATGACAAGTGACCATGATCATAATAAGCTGGGGGAGCGCTGACCTGTAGGATCAAACTACAATTGAATCAACAGACTAGGCTGTAATCTACTTTTATTTCTTTATCGAGTGTATTTTTCTGCAATAACACAGCAGAAAAATTGCTGGGCACAAAGTATTCAGTGTTGCATTATTTCAATTCAACTGTTGGAGCTTCTGCCTGTCTGCTCTGACAAAGTGTTTGTTTTGCTCAGTCCCAATGTAGAATGCATGAACATACGCTTTGGGATGCTGAAGGAACATCGATCGGTGACTGGAGAAGTCACTGCCTTCGATGGAAGCATCCTCTACCTGCCCATCAAACTTCCGGAGGTCAGCCTGTCTTTCACCTTGTCACTGTTTGTAATCTGCCTGCAAAATTCACCTGCACAGTAACACAATCGTAGGTGAATTGGAGGAGGCCGTTCAGCCCCTCGAACCTGTTCTGCCATTCTATTAGATCATGGCTGATCTGTACTTCAACTCCAGGACGTGGAGTCCTGTAGCTCAGTGGTTAGAGCACTCGCTTTGCAAGCGAGAGACCTGAGTTCAATTCCAGGCAGAGGGCGAAACCTCGGGCAAGTTTCCTTACTCCACACAGAGCCTAATAATAATCCCTCCAAAACCAAAAACAATAATAAATTGGTCATTTTCAATCTACGACTGTTTGTGGGACATTGTTGTGCGCAATTGGCTGCCGCGTTCGCCCACAAATATACAGTCAATTCACTTTGCAGTGTGTTCTGTGAAGCGCTTTGGGACGTCCTCCCGACGTGAAAAGCGCTATATCAAATGCAAGGATTATTATTATTATTATTATTATTATTAAATACCTGCCTTTGCCCCATTCTTTGATACGCTGACCTAACAAAAATCTATCCACCTAAGTTTTAAAATGGATGGATCCAGCATCTAAAGCCTTTTGGGGGAGGGAAAAAATTTCAGATTTCCACTACCCTTTGTTTGTGTGAAAAAATGCTTCCTGATTTCACTTCTAAATGGCTTAGCTCTAATTGTAAGATGATGACCCACTTGTTTCGGATTTCCCCACCCACCAGAGGAAATAGTTTATCTGTTGCTACCCTATCAAATCCCTTTATCATTATCATTGATGATAATAATCCTTGCATTTGAAATAGCACTTTTCACGTCTTCTAGACGTCTCAAAGCACTTTACAGAATAGACTGTTAAATGAATTGACTTTTTTTTGTGAGCGAAATGCAGCAGCCAGTTGCGCACAGCAGTGTCCCACGAACAGTTGTGGTTTGAAGTGACCAATTTTTTTTTGTCTTGAGGGATTATTATCAGGCGTGTGGAGTAAGGAAAGTTGCCCAAGGTTTCAACCTGCTGGGAATTGAACCCAGGTCTCTCACATGCAAATCGAGTGCTCTAACCACTGAGCTACAGGACTCCACCTTTGATAAGGCGCAATATCAAATGCAAGGATTATTATTCATTTGAACACCTCCTTGCACTTTACAGGATAACCTGCAAAGCACCATGCGGTAAAACCCTTTAGGATGACATACTTTGTTTCTCTAACAATATCACAGCCAAGTACTTTCAATCTCCCAATTAAAATCTTTTTACCACTCCTGCCTATTGCCAGCAATCTTGTTTTAATTGCTTCCCTCTACCTTTCGTTCAGTTCTGTTGTGAGTGCAAATTAGTAGTATGGGTTTGCAAAATGTTCACCAAAAGTGACAGTGAACGTGACCGAGAAAAGCAGAGGATTAAATCGAAGCCGTACTAATTTTAAAACCGATCTGTTTTCAACACATTCAAAGTTTCAAGTCACTTTTCATTCAGTGCGTTCAGTCTGTGTTTTGTATTTGCCTCTTGCTGCTAATGACCACTTTGTAAACCTGGAAGGGTGTGTGTGTTGCGAATCGCAGAGAAGTTAAAGTTTTACCTTGCTGTTCCCTATAAGGTGGTGCAACTTAAGTCACAAAGAAAAACCGATGGGTCCGAGGTGGACCTGAAAATTCAAATGACGAAGATCTTGGAACCAAATTCCAATCTCTGCATCCCCTTTTACAACATTGTCTTCAGGAGGTAATCTGATCTGTGTCCACAGTGTTGTATTATTATTAATAATTATTGTATCAATAATCCTTGCATTTGATATAGTGACTTATCACATCTTTGAGACATCTCAAAGTGCTTCACAGGATTTATTGTAATGTGGTGCGAATGTGTGCATTTTATAGGCAGACAAGGCAACCAGTTTGCGCTCATTAATGTCCCCAAAAGCCATGATAATGATGATAATATTCCTTGCGTTTGATATAGCAGCTTTCATGTCAAGTTGTCAAGATGTCTCAAAATGCTTCATAGGATTTACTGTGAAGCGGATTGACAATATTTTGTGAGCGTGGATTGAGTGAATCAACTATTATTATTGTTTTTTTGTAGGGATTATTACCCCGCCAATCAACTAACAGCCAGGTTCCTGCTTAGTACTAGATAAACAGAGGTGTGTGTGTGTGTGTGTGTGTGTGTGGAGTAAGGAAAATTGTCTTAAGGTTTCTCCCTGCCCGAGAATCGAACCTTGGTCCTCTCGCAAGGTGAGAGCTCTAACCAATACGCTACAGTATTCAGAGAAGGGAAATCCACCAGCTAACGACTTCTGCCGGAAAATGTGCATGTGTGGATTTCTCTCCTGACCGCGCTTACCCACTTGTCACTGATCCTCCAACTAAAGGCCTGTTTCACTTTTAACAGAGTGATGAGGATTTTGGAATTGAAATTAGTCGGGCGCAATTTCTACGATCCCACAAACGCCATCGTTCTGCCTCAGTACCGGTGAGTATTTATTCAGCATTAAACCAGCATTAACAGTCGTGGACTGAGTGACTAAATTATTATGTTTGAGATATATATCCATTACTGTAAAACTTGAGGGCGCTTGGGGTGTCGCGGCCGGGTTTACGAGCTCGCCTTTGTGTGAAACACTTTGTGTCATGTTCAGGAGAACCAGTGAAGGTACAAGCAGTCAGAAGTAACTTCTGTTTTGTAGGTTGCAGTTATGGCCTGGGTTCTCTGCAAGCATTCGCAGGACAGACGGTGGATTGATGTTACTGGCGGACGTGTCCCACAAAGTCCTCCGCAACGACTCTGTTCTGGAAGTCATGTGAGTGGAAGTCAACCTCCATTAAAATTCCTAAAGGTAGAGTTTCATGGGAACATAGGAATTGCTAGACGAAAAAAAAGACCTTCTACCATCTTGGTAATAATAATAATTCTTGCATTTGATTCATTGCCTCATCACTTCTTCGAGACGTCTCAAAGCGCTTTCACAGAATATATTGTAAAGTGTAGTGACTGTGTATTTTGTGGGTGAAAGGAGGCAGTTAATTGCACACAGCGGTGTCCCACAAACAGTTGTGGATCGAGTGATCAAATTATTATTGTATCTTAAGCATGGTGATGGGTTTCCGCATGCATCAGACACCCGGCTGAACACTTAAAGAAGTCTGGATGAGTTTGGGGCCGCACAGTATTGTCTAGAGTAGGCTGGTCCAGTAAAGGATTGCTGTGCGTTGCAGGCAGGTGATATACCAGAGGAGCAGTGAGAGCTTCCAAGACGACTGCACCAAGCAATTGGTGGGCAGCGTCATCATGACCAAGTACAACAACCGCACCTATCGCATTGACGACATTGACTGGGACAAGTCGCCTTTGAGCTCCTTCCAGTTGACCGACGGCAGCAACATTACCTTTTGTGACTATTACAGGTGATTTAGATGTTTTGCTACGACAACAACTTGCATTTATTTACACAGCTCCCTTCACTCGGGGCAGCATCCTGGAGCGCTTAACAGTGTAGGAGTGTGACTCGGAGCTGGAGCGGGGGAGTAACTAGGCACGGTCGAAGAGGAAGGTTTTCAGTCTTGATTTAAAAGAAGGGAAAGAAAGAGCAAGGCGGAGGGATTGAAGGGGACAATTCGATAGCTTGAGGCATAGTGGCTGAAAGCACGGCCGCCACTGGTGAAGCGGAGGGGACGAGAGAATTAGATGTTTTACTGTGTGAAGTTCCTATAACTTCTACAGGCTTCAGTTGTCGGTTGCTTTGGGGCGAGTCGTTGGAGCTGCGGGATGGAGGTGCAATAGTGGGGTGGATTAGGTGGGGGACATGGAGTAGGCTGAGTGGAAGGAGTAGCAAAGTTGGTATTCTTGAGAAGGTAGCGGAGGTAGGGTGAGGCAAGGCTGTGGAGGGGTTCAGAGTCACAACACACACACACACACACACACACACAAGCAAACCTGTTGAGTAATGGCACGGCAGCTCCTCTTCTCCCTCACTAGGAATAAGAAAGGGACACACATTGTCTGATGCATTGAACGACTTGTCGTTGCAGTAAAACCTACGGGATTGCCATTCGGGAACTGCAACAACCCCTGCTCGTCCATCGACCAAAGCAGAAACATGGACCCAAAGGACAGGTAGTACTGGCACCAGGTTTGTGGGGCATGAGGAGATAAAACCCGCCTCTATTAATGAGAATAATAATAATGCTTGTACTTGATACAGCGCCTTATTATGTCATGTCGAAAATCTCAAAGCTTTAAACAGTTTTGTCTAAAGTGTAGTGACAGAACTACTTGTGGGTGAACACAGCAGCCAATTTGTGTGCAGCAAGGCTTCACCAATGTGGCTTTTGGCTGTGGAATAGTTGAGCATCATTCCACAATGTCAGTACAAAGCAATGGATGTCAAACACTCCGACACGCCACTCCGCGTGTATAAATGCCAGTTGTTGAGTATCCAGTGAATACGGTCAGAAAACCCAAGAGAGAATGAGATGGCTGTTTGGACTGCGATGATCCTTCAGTGAGGCCTATTCTGTTTCTGTTTCAGATTGTCCTCAGTGAGATCCTGTTGGTCCCAGAGCTCTCTTTCATGACTGGGATCCCAGAGCAGATGAGGAAAGATTTCCGTGCCATGAAGGCAAGTGGGAGAAATTCAGTGATAAATTTTGCGTTTGAAAGGCATTCGAGAGAGCGCCTTATCATGTCATTGAGATATCCCACAGTCCCTTCGCATTGCTCCCTCCCTTCTTCAAGGCCCATCTCAAGACCTTCCCCTTTGACCGTCCCTTTGGTCATCCTCCCCTTGCCTTTCACCCCTCTTGACTCCGCCCCACAGCTCGGGTGCAAACCGTTCACTGTCCAGCACCTTGGGTCGTCCTTCTGATGTGAGAAATGCAAGTTGTCGTTGAAGTCTCTTGAAATCTTCCTGTTTTTCGCACATGGCCTGATAGGACATGGCCCTGCAGATAAACCTGAGTCCAGAGCAGCACCACGTAGCTTTGCAGAAACTCATCAATAAGCTGAACAAAACCACAGCTGCCCAGGATGAGCTGGCTCGCTGGGGACTCGTCATAGACAACAGAATCTGTCAGGTGGGTGTGTGGCTTCCTCCCATCAGGTCATCTTTGAGCAAGGTTCCTTGCTCCACACGCATGCCTCTGTTTCCTACAGTAACTAGAAGTTTATGCTTGAAGGCTTAGTTGAGGAAGGGCAGGAGGAGGCTCATGCGGAGCACAAACACCGGCATAGACCAGTTGGGCCGGATGGCCTGTTTCTGTGCTGTATATTCAAATGTATTCAGATGTATTCTAACTAAGAACCTGGTTGTTAACCAATTAGTGGATCGCCTTCCGGGGGTAATAATCCCCTTTTTTAAAAAAAATAATAATTTGGAAACTAATAATAATCACTCAATCCTCGACTGTATGCAGGAAATTGCTGCATTTCAATCACAAAATATACAGGTAATTCACTTTACAGTATAGTCTGAAGTTCTTTAAGGCGTCTCAACGACATCATAAGGCACTATATCAAATGCAAGGGTTCTTACTGTTATGATACGAAGTGAATGAATCGATTCTCTCCAATAGAAGGAGGGAAGAGTCCTACCTTCCGAGAAGATCAACTTGCGGAACGTGACTTTTCCGACCACCCGTGAGGTAAACTGGACGAAGGACATTGCACGGGAGAATGCCATCTCAACGGTAGGTAGGCTGGGAAACGCAGACGGAATTCGATGACCGCGGTGATTCAATTAAATCTTTTAGTGGAAATCAGCTTAGTATCCGCTACTTGTTCTGTGTAAAATAGCCTGGAGTAAAATCCTGTAAAATTGCCTCGCGTTGTGAGTGAGTGCAGAATTTGTAAGAAAAATGTTGGGTTGAAAAATGGGCATCAACTTGGCGTTTGGTTCGTGCTTTTGCTGTGTTCGCTATCACCTTGTGGTTTAACAGCTTCTACTGCAGAAATAGCATCTGGATCTCTATCCTATCTAAGTGGATTCCTGTAGCGTATTGGTTAGCACACTCGCCTCGCCAGCAAGAGGAGCCGGGTTCGATTCCTCGGTGTGTCAGGGCGAAACCTTAGGCAAGTTTCCTTACTCCACACAGACGCTTCTATTTACCGAGCAGTCAGTAGGAACCCGGTTCTTAGTCAATGGGCAAATCGCTTTCCGGGGGTAATAACCTCTTCAAAAAAAAGTCACTCAATCCACGGCTGTTTGTGGGACGCTGCTATGTGCAATTGGCTGCCGCGTTTAGACCACAAAGTACACAGTCATTCCACTTCACAGTATATTCTGAAGCGCTTTGAGACGTCTCAAAGACGTGTAAGGCGCTGAATCAAATGCAAGTATTATTATTACTACTATATTACTCGGTAACAATAGGGTTGAGTTCCCTGTGTTGCCCACAGATTCCGATGCAACATTGGGCGCTATTCTACACTAAGCGCAGTGCATCGCAGGCCCAGGAACTGGTCAGTATGATGTCCAAAGTGGCCGGACCCATCGGGATGAAGTTCCACCAGCCGGCCTACGTGGAACTGAAAGACGATCGGACCCAGACCTACGTGAGAACCATTCAGTCACACCTGGAGAGCAACGTACGTTAATAACCCTCGGGGGAGGAAGATGGCCTTCTTTAAAAGTTTAAAGTCTCAACAACAACTTGCATTTATATAGCGCCCCTCACACGGGGTAGAGTCTGACCCCGAGCCCAAGGGAGGTGACCGTAACCACGATCAGAAAGGAAGGTCCTTAGGTGGGATTTGAAAATGGGAAGGGAGGGGGCAACGCGGAGGGGTTAAGGGAGAGCGTTCCAGAGCTTCGGGGCACGGTGGCTTAAAGCATGGCCACCGATGGTGGAGCGGAGGGGGCGAGGGGCAAACAGGAGGCCGGAGCTGGCCGAGCGGAGGCAGCGGGTGGTAAACCTAAGAGGTTAAAGAGGAAGTTCTTGAGGCGGCGCTCGAAGGAGGCGAGGGAAGGAAGCATGTGGAAGGACCTCCGGTTTGGGCAAGCTTGTTGTGACATGGAGCTTTTAACGTTTGCTTTAATTTGCACAGGGCACTGTTAAGATGATCATGTGTATAATCGCTGGGAACCGCGATGAGCTGTACCATGCTATTAAGAAGCTATGCTGTGTGCAGTTTCCAGTCCCCTCACAGGTAAGAGTTCAGGGCACAGAGTGCAGGATTAGTTGGTCAAAGCCTCTTCCCTTATTCTTATTTGTGGAGTCCCGTAGCTTAGTGTTTAGAGCGCTCGCCTCACAAGCGAGAGGACCCGGGTTCGATTCCCGGGCGGGTCGAGGCGAAATGTTTGGCAAGTTTCCTTACTCCACACCCCTCAGTTTACCTAATTATAATAATAATCACTCAATCCCCGACTGTTTGTGGTACACTGCTGTACGCAATTGGCTGCCGCATTTTGCCCACAAAACATAGTCAATTCACTTTACAGTATATTCTGCGAAGCGCTTTGCAATGTCTCGAAGATGCATTAAGGCACTATATAAAATGCGAGGATTATTTATTATTTTATTGTTGATGATATGCCAATGAAGCAAGATATGTGGGTCACCGATGGCCAATACTGCTCATGGCCTACTTGTCCCTGCAGTAAACGGGGAGCAAGAAGGTTTCTGCTGAAAAGTTCGGCCTTCAGGGTCCTGTTTGTTCTATGAAGGAGGAAGATTTATAGTGGCTCAGAAACTCAGGGTGGTGTAGGGAAGGAATTGAGGGAATCGCCCACAAAATACACCCACTTTTTCCCCATCTTACACTACATCCTGATCAGACCCTATATCAAATACAAGGGTTATTGTTTTTATCATTTTGGTGATATGATAAAGCGTGGTATTAGATGTAAGTATGGCTTTAAGAGGTACAGCAGCAGTTACAGGTGGCATTGTACAGCCGGTGTGATTTGCTACGGGATGAAAGGAACCACAGAAACTATCCAACGCTTGGTGACCTCTGCTTCACAATGATAGGAACAGCCAACATTGTGGTGTTTTGGCAGAAAGGCAAACAGTCCCAAGGTAAGGGATAAGCCCTTTCAAACAAGGAATTGGCTCGATACTTGAAAGGGAAAACAATGCTGACAGAACTTTGCAGGTGACCTAATACTTGTCTGAACTGATTTTCTCAGGTCATCAATGTGAAGACCATCTCTCAGAACATGAGGATGAGAGCTATTTGCCAAAAGATCCTACTGCAAATCAACTGTAAGCTCGGAGGAGAGCTGTGGGGTGTGGACATACCATTGGTGAGGGTTCCTAGTGACTGAAAGTTCTTGGCTGCTGTATATTAAGGAGTCCTGTAGCCTAGTGGTTAAAGCACTCGCCTCGCAAGGGAAAGGACCCGGATTCGATTCCCGGGCGGGTAGAAACCTTAGGCAAGTTTCCTTACCCCACACGCCTGGTTTACCGAGCAGTAAGTCAGAGCCCGGTTGTTAGTCGATTAGCGGATCGCTTTCCGCAGGTAATCATCCCTCCAAAAAGATATTTGGTCACTCAAACCAGTGTCAATCCACATCACAATGCATACTATGAAGCACTTTGAGATGCCTCAATGACGCGATGAGGCGCTATATCAAATGCAAGGATTATTATTATTCAATTCCTTTTAATGCTATCACGGATTCAGTTAACAACAACCATATTGAGTAAGCTATTCCATATTCTAATACCCTTTGTGGTTATGCGTGTTGTGTCTGCTTTCTATGTCTGTCTGTGAGTGTGTCTGAATGTGTCTAAAAATGCTCTAATCAAGGACAGGGTCTTCAGGTTCTGTTCAGAATTCCCTGTGATTCCTGTCTTGTGTATTTATTTACCCCCTTTCAGAAACAGCTGATGGTGATAGGAATGGATGTGTACCACGACCCGAGAAGGGGAATGCAATCTGTCGTCGGATTTGTTGCCAGCCTCAATAAGTAAGTCTGTGGCTACTGAATTCAGTTGTATAGTTGTAGAGTCCTGTAGTGTAGTGGTTAGCGCCCTCGCCTCGCAAGCGGGAGGACCTGGGTTGAATGCTGGATGGGTCAGGGCGAAACAATAGGAAATGGTCACTCAATCCACGACTGTTTGTGGGGACGCTGCTGTGTACAATTGGCTGCTGCGTTTCACCCACAAAATATACAATCAATGCACTTTACAGTATATTCTGTGAAGCACTTTGAGACGTCTCGCTATATCTAATGAAAGGATTATTATATAGGTCAGGGTATCAAGGAATATGGGGTGAAGGTGATATTTGGAGTTGAGGTCCAGATCAGCCATGATCGAATAATAATCCTAATAATAATAATCCTTGCATTTGATATAGCGCTTTTCACGTCGGGAGGACGTCCCAAAGCGCTTCACAGAACACACTGTAAAGTGAATTGACTGTATATTTGTGGGCGAACGCGGCAGCCAATTGCGCACAGCAATGTCCCACAAACAGTCGTGGATTGAAAATGACCAATTTATTATTGTTTTTGGTTTTGGAGGGATTATTATTATTAGGCTCTGTGTGGAGTAAGGAAACTTGCCCAAGGTTTCGCCCTGACCTATTATTTATTATTTACATGAGAAATTTGGATACACACAATGTTTCCAAATTGGAAAACATACAGGATATACTGGCTTATAACTTTAGAGACCACTAGATAGATTGGCGAAATAGGCTCGAGGAGCTGAATGGCCTCTTCCTGTTCCTATGTCCTCCTACGCCTGTTCAGGCGATGTTAAAGATCCCGCGACGTGTACATTTGACCACTGCGATCAGCAAAGGACAAAGAACTCACTGTCTTCAGCAAGTCGCATGATTGTGAGCAGTAATACACAGCTCGCTGAAGGCTTGCCAAGTTTATAGAATCCCTGACGAAAGCTTAGCCATCGACCTTGGGTTTAGTATCTCACCTTTAGTCCCACAGAGATGTTATGGAAAGTGTGTACTTTGGGCTCATACAGTGCCTCAAACAAGAATAAACACTGCGCCCACACAGGCTGACTCAGGCATCAGTTTATAAGGTGGTGGTTTAATGGGCCTTTTGTGTCTCCCACAAAATAAACAGTCGCTACGTGCAGTCCTGTAGCCTAGTAGTTAAAGCACTCACCTCGCAAGTGAGAGGACCTGGGTTCGATTCCCGGGCAGGGTCGGGGCGAAAACCTATCAACATCAACAAATTACACTTGTATAGCGCCCTTTACGTCGGAAAGAAACCTCGAGCAAGTTTCCTTACTCCACTAACACGCCTCTGTTTACCTAGCAGTAGGCAGCCAATTGCGTACAGCAGTGTCCCACAAACAGTCGTCGATTGAGTGACCAAATTATTATTGTTGTTGTTATTAAAAAAAAATTATTGATGGATTTTTTTTGTTGTTGTCCAGCACAATGACAAAATGGTACTCCAGGGTGACATTTCAGATGCCGAACCAGGAAATCATCGATGGCTTGAAGATGTGTATGGTGGCATCACTCAAGAAATATTATGAGGTATTTTCCGCACTCTTATCTCCTACACTAATTATATTACAATTGTGCTAGATTCGCTTGCCAAGTTTCGCACACTAAATACACAGTATATTCTGTGAAGCGCTTTGAGACATCTCAACGATATGTGATAAGGCGCTATATCGAATGCAAGGATTATTATAATTGTACGTCAACTTCCAATTCACTTGCTTCATCCTGTACTCAATCGCCTCGCAAATGATTGGACTTGGGTTCAATTCCCAGGTGGGGCGAAACCTTAAGCGAGTTTCCTTATTCTACACGCCTCTGTTTAGCAATAAGTAGGAACCCGGTTGTGGATTGGTGGATCGCTTTCCAGCAGGGAGAGTGATCCCTCCAAAAAATAAATCACTCAATCCACGACTGTTTGTGGGACCCTGATATGCGCAATTGACTGCCGCGTTTTTGTCACTGCACTTTACAGTATCTCCTCTGAAGCGCTTTGAGACGTCTGGAAGACGTGATGAGGCCCAGTATCAAATGCGAGGATTATTATTATTATTATGAGGATGACTATAATGTGTCTGACCCCTCGTGCAGGTAAACCACTGTCTCCCGGATAAAATTGCCATTTACCGGGATGGCGTGTCCGATGGCCAGCTGAGCACGGTGTCCGACTTCGAGGTGCCTCAGCTCCTCAAGTGCTTTGAGGTGTTCAACGATTACCAGCCCAAGATGCTGGTCATTGTGGTATCCAAGAGGATCAGCACCAACTTGTACAGCGTGGGGCCTTCGGGCAAATTTGAGGTCCCACCGCCAGGGAGCGTGATCGATCACACCGCCACCAACCCAGACGGGTGAGTTACAATCAAGAACAACAACACATTGCATTTACACAGCGTCTTTCACATCGGGAGGACGTTCCAAGGCACTACCTGGACGTTCAAGGATTTGGACCTGAGCTGGCGGTTTGCCAGGTAGGGTGGGGGCAGGAGGGTGATCGAAGGTACGATCGAAGAGGAAGGTCTTGAAGGAGGCGAGGCGGAGGGATGGAAGTACCATCCAAGTTACCAACTTATGTGTATACACAGCGGCTTTCACGCGAGATAGCATTTCGGAGCGTTTTAACAGTGACGGCGTAAAGTCGTTCCTCTTAAATTCTCTTTTCGACCCCCCCCCCCCTCGGCACTACCTTATTTTACTTGTGTGCCCTGGTTACGGACTCCCCAACCAGTGGAAACGGCCTATTGATGTTAACCTTGTCAAAAGCCATTTATAATTTGACATCATTTCTTTCTTGTTTCGAAGGACTGATTTCTTTCTCTTGGCCCACACCGTCCGTCAGGGCTGTGGGATTCCAACCCGGTACATCTGTGTGCTCAACACCCTGAAACTCAGCCCCGACCACATGCAGAGGTAAGGCAGCCTTGTTCTTCAGCCCAGAGGGTAATTACAACAACAGCTTGCATTTATACAGCTCCCTTCATGCGGGGTAGCATCCTGGAGCGCTTGACAGTGGCGGAGTCTGACCCCGAGCCAGGGGGAGAGGGAGTGGGTGACCATAAGCACGATCAAAAAGGAAGGTCTTAATTATACTCAAGACCATGATGGGTTTCCACATGTGTCAGACACCCGGCTGACCGAAAAAAACATAATGCCTGGAGCAGAGTTGCCAGGAAGTGTGGCTGAGGCCAGTACACGGGGACTCCCTTCAAAAATAAATAAATAAATAAATAATAATTTGGTCACTCAATCCACGACTGTTTGTGGGACACTGCTGTGTGCAATTAGCTGCAGTGTTTCGTCCACGAAATATACAGTCACTACACTTTACAGTATAGTGAAGCGCTTTGAGACATCTCAACACCGTGATAAGACACTGTATCAAATGCAAGGGTTGTTATTAATTAAAAAAAAAAGCAGCTTGATGCAATGACTGTGATGGGAGGAAGGTTGGATTGGGGTTCTGAAAGGGTGAGATCAGATGAGCTAAAGAGGCCTTTTTTACACCATCTTGTGCAGAGATTAACTCTTCCTTGTCCAGCGTCACGGAAACACATCTGGGGTTAACCACATCAGAAAATGGTCTTGAGCAACGTTCCTTTAAGACTTTATGCTCCGAGACGCTATCCCACGTCAAGGGCGCAATGTAATGCAAGTTGTTGTTATGGCGGTGAACTTTTAAGAGATTAGAACGCAATTTGTTTTTCCCTGTCCTCGCTACAACCCAAATCAGCAATGGGATTGATTGATGGTGGGTGAACTACCAGATGAGTCCCTTGGCTCCACTTGCAGCCAGTGTGAGCAAAACACACAAACAGCCTGGTAAGTTGTTCATTAGCTTCATTACCGAAAGGTCTGTTCGTAGAAGCTTATACTTCTAGATTTTAGATTGTTTGTGGGACACTGCTATGCGCAATTGGCTGCTGCGTTTTCGCCCACATAATGTGCAATCCCGACACTATGTAGTGTATTCTATGAAGCGCTTTGCGACGTCTGGAAGACGTGATAAGGCACTGTATCAAACGCAAGGATTATTATTATTATCAGTCCCTCGATTTAACGTGTTATTCTGTTCCCTAGGCTAACCTTCAAGCTGTGTCATATATACTGGAATTGGTCAGGCACCATCCGCGTGCCAGCGCCCTGCAAGTACGCTCACAAGGTGGCCTTCCTGTGTGGTCAGTCCCTGCACCAGGAACCAGCGGTCAAGCTTTCCGAATTCCTGTTTTACTTATAAAACGAAACCCTCAAGCCCGAATCAGCCCAGGAGGTCAAATGTGCTTCATAAACACAAACCGCTAATCACGCCGTTCGGAAACCGGAAAGTGACACTGAAATTCATTCCCCCCCAACCTGTTCACGGACAGACTTTTTTATTTTATCAGTCTTCGAACCCCGCCCCCACCCAAAAATCTTGCCAGAGAAAGAACATAAGAATTTGCTGCTGAAAGAAGACCAATGTCCATCCAGTTCGCCTTCCACCATCCTGGCAGTCGCTTGACATGTCGTGTCCCAAACTATATACTGTATCCCCACATATTAGTCAGCCTGTTCCATACATTTATTACTCACTCATTGAAATAGTGTCTCTGAATTTACTTACCTCCCCTTCAATCGCAGGCCGTGTCCTCTGGTTCTGCTGTTCAGTACAAGATAAAACAGCTTATGATACCTCGAGAGGTATTTTTTTTGTTACGTATTTAAAAGGCTTCCACTTTCCTCTCTTCCCGAGTGAAGTCTGGTTAAAAGAGAGCGACCGACCCATATGTTGAAAATAATAAGCATTGCAAAGCAGAAGGAGGAGGAGGAAAAAAAATTATGTTTTTATCCTAAGTTAGACTGAACCAGTCTGTGCTCAACGGATACACGTCACAGGTTTAAGTTACTGTAGCAGCTGCTGTCACGTTCTCTCGGGAGAGAAGACCGAGTCCTGAGGCACGTACCTCTCTGTCATGGCGTTTCAGCAAAACATGGGGTTCCCTTTGGCGTGTGACAAAGTTCTGGATGCGTTGAAGGGACGACCATGTGGTGAGCGAAAGAGATGTTATATCTGCGCAGTTGTTCCTAATGCTTGTTAAGCCATACTTTCTCCAGAAGTAAACCCCACCCCCTCCCCCAACACGAACACTGGGACCCCCCCCCGCGCCCGCCCCTCACACCCTCTCCCCCACCAACCCAAGCCTTTGCTCTTGCCAACCTACACCGAATACCCAATGGGATCGAGTGAGCAGGGTGCATCTCTTCTGGGGAGGGAGAGAGAGAGAGAGAGTGCGCATTCCATTCCATCTGGATTTCCATGTGTTGGTGCCACACGGTCGTGGAGCTCTCAGTTGGGTTTGGATAATCATGGTAAGAATGGTAATGGGTTTCCGCATATTTCAAGGCACCCGGGTAACCAAAAATAAATTCTCTTCCCCCACCCCCCCCTTACCTCCAAGTGTGGGGTCAGTAAGCTAAACTGTAGAGTTATTTTGACTGCTCCCATCTCGTTTGCATTATTCCCAGTCAAACGCATTGTAATATAGTCTCTTCTGGTCCTGTATATATGTCACTGTGACTTGTTGGAGAATTTTACCACACAGACAACCATTGGAACCATACATTTAATATGACTTATGTCAAACTTACATAGAATATAAACTCCTGAATGGGACTTGGGGCAGATGTATGACTTAGTCGATTGTATGATTTATACTTACGCAAGTTTTACTGTATTTGTGTAACTCGCTTTTAAAAGCTACAGTAAACTGATAACTTGACCCTGGCTTAACTTGTCACAACCATCATGCCTTCAGTATCCCTACGTTTTTATACATACTCCCAACTCGCCGTTCCTGATAACTCGTTTCTGAGCCCTTTCCCCTCGCAGTGAGGAGTTACTAAGTTTAGTATGTTTATAAAAGGTGCGGATCGAACTCTTAACAGAATGAACAACAGCACAAGGTTTTATATCTGGCTATTGCAGTTGGACACTTCTCATTCATGGGTTTATTGTCCTCAGCAATACTCATGTTGTGGTTGCTGTGATCACCCCTCCTGATCCCAACCACCAGCTCGGGTGTGGATCCCTGACTGTCCAGCGCCTTGGGATGTCCTCCCGACGTGAAAGGTGCTATACAAATTAATTAGTCGTCGTCGTTGTTTATTATCCTTACGCGGATTTTGTATTTGTGATCAATCAGTGGGTTTTGGTGATTTTTATTTTGTTCTTTTATTTTTTTTCTCTCTCTGCACAATGTGATCGCTGCTACAGCTCAAATAGAAATTTCTTGTACTTAGCTGGAGGGTGAATGGATACCTTTTGCTCAGATGCAAATCGTGTCAAATGTAAGTCAGAACAACCAGAATCCACAGAGGTGGGCTTTAGCATCTAAAAGAGGAAGCGTAAATATTTTGGCTCCATCCCTTCAGCCTCAAAGCACAACCCTGGAGGTGAAGAAACCTCCACTCACTCTGTCTCCTATTTTCTCTGTACGATTGGCTGCCCCGATTCACCCGCAAAATACAGTCAATTCACTTCATAGGATATTCTGTGAAGCGCTTTTGAGACGTCTCAAAAGCACTTCATAGGATATTCTGTGAAGCGCTTTTGAGACGTCTCAAAGACGTGATAAGGCGCGATATCAAATGCAAGAATTGTTGTTGTTATCTGTCACAGTTCAGGTACAGGTTGTCGCTTTAAGCCCCAAACACTTCCTGTGCTCAACAGGCACCTCAGTTGAGCAACTTCCTGTTCACACCAATGTGACTGACTGCAAAGACCCACAGCTGCCCCCATTCCTTGTGCCCAGATTCAGGGCAGTCCTGTGTGTTACAGACACTCACTCAGTCAGTCATTCGGAAGTGGATTCAGACAAGTGGTAAATCTTATCTCATCTACCTCAGGGTTCTCGTAGCTGCTTTCATCCATCACCGTCCGTTTGAGCTAGATTTCAATCTGGGTCACAGAGACAGATGAAAGGAGTCCTGTAGCTCAGTGGTTAGAGCACTCGCCACGCAAATGAGAGGACCCAGGTTCAATTCCCGGGTGGATCGGGGCGATACCTTAGGCAAGTTTCCTTACTCCGCACGCACACCACTGTTTACTGAGCAGCAAGTAGGAACCCATTTGGTAGTCAATTGGGAAAAGCGACCACAAGATTGTTTTGGATGAAGAAGACGGGTAGGGTGGTCCTAGCTGGACAAGCAGCGGGAAAGCTTACCGCTCAATGGCGAGCTGTACAGTTTTAGCCTGTTAGACTCCAGCAGTTACCCGAACACGCACTCTGGGCTGCCCCAAGCCTTGGCTCTCGTCAATCTGCATCTAATGCTCTCTCGGAATTGGTAAGCAGGATGCATCCCTCCAGTGAGAGAGAGAGTGCACATTGAATTCCAATAAACATCTCTGGGATGCATGGAATTCTCAGTTGGGTTTCTGAGACTCTTAAGCAATGGTGATGGGTTTCCGCATGTGTCAGACACCCGGCTGACCAAAAATAATATCCAAAGATCATTTTGAGGCTGCTAAAATTGTATTTCTGTGAGGTTACAGGTGACATTGGCATACCAGCAGTCTCCTTGTCACATCATTCAGCCGTGAATGACGCCTGATAACTGCTTAACTTTGCAGGATCAACACACACCTCTCTTCCTGCATTTTTGTGGCTGCCAATCTGTCACTAGACTCATCACAAAAAATAATCTTTGCGTCTCGAATCGTGCCTTTCACGTCAGGAGGACATTTCAAAGCCTTTTTGCGGGATTTTTCTCTAAAGTGAAGTGACTGTATTTTGTAACACAGTAAACCTCACATAAATCTATTAGTTGGGACCACACATTTAATGACTTATTTCCAGCCCTCTGCGACACTGCCCTGTGTGAAGGGCGCTATATAAATGCAAGTTGTTGTTGACTTATGCAAAGTGTGAGTTGTGTCAAACTTGCATACAATTCACCTTACAGTATATCCTGTGAAGCACTTTGAGACGTCTCAACGACGTGTAATAAGGCGCTATGTAAAATTCAAGGATTATTAGAATATAAACTCTTGAACAGGACTTGGCCAGGTGTACGACTTAGGCGACGATACGATTTATACAGATCAGACTTGTGCAAGTGTTCCTGCAACAATAATAATTATGTTTAACGCAGCCCCTTTCACATCAGGAGGACGTCTCAAAGCGCTTCACAGGATGCACTGTAAAGGGTTAGCGATCATGTGTTTTAATAATCCTTGGTATAGTTTTGTAGGTTGCCTGTGAGCAGCGTGGTTTTGGGGGGATTGGCGGCCAGCACTTTGTGAGACGGGATCTCAGTCTAACGTCTCATCCAAACGACAGCATCTCCCGACAACGCAGCGTTTCCCTCAGCACTCCATCGGAGCGTCGGCCTGGACTGCGCGCGTTGAAAGACCTGACGTGGAGCTTGGAACCCAGGAGCTTCTAACTCGGAGGCAACGGAGAGAGAGGGAGAGAGAGAGAGAGAGAGAGAGAGGGAAAGCGACCGACTGAGCCAGACTGACAGAGAGTGTTCGAATGACTGGAGCTCTGAACCAGAATGGAGAGCTCCGTGGAATGAAGTTGCTTACGTTTTCGGTTAAGGTGTCGTCCGGCCTGCCTGAGTCACGGAACCGTGGATCGTTAATTGTAGAAAAGGTATGAATAAAATATGGGAGCAGGTTATAGCATCAAGGAAGGAGTTTCGGGCTGGGTTGCAGCAACGCCTCATTGGGACGTTTGGTTTTGGGCTGTCCGTGTACGCGGCAGGGAGCTGTTGAACCAGTATGATAATTGCTCTCATTGTTGGTGTGTTGTGAATTGGGGTTGCATAAAGATATCTGTTGGAAACCCGTCGTGTCTTTAGTCTTGTGTGTCCTTCCTTGCTCTTTGGGACCCCGGCTTGGGAGTTTTTATGTGGTCGGCATTTTATTTTGGCAGATCTGGCGACTTCCCTCTTCAGTACCAGCTTCTCTGGTCCCTCCACGAGGTCTGTCAGCCTTGGCATCATTCTGCTAAACCTCTGTGCCCTCTCCAAGGCCTTGACATCCTCCCTAAAGCGCACCGTGCGTAGCAGCCGAAACTGGGACGCGGAGCACTCCCAGGACAGACGTGGGTAAAAGTTGTCTTGCTTTGCGCATTAAATGATTCATTCCTCTCAAATATTTTGCCGGCCCGGAACTGCGCCGACGTTCTCGGTCACCTCGAGACGCCTCAAAGCGCTTCACGGGATTGTCAAGTAAAGTGAATTGACTGTTATCTCGCGGGCGGAGCACGGCAGCCAATTGTGCAGAGCGGTCGGTCTCTCGTACAAGCGCGGAACAATTTTTTTAATGGGGTGGGGGGGGGGGGTGGTGTGTGTGTGTGTGTGTGTGTGTGCGCGTGTGAGCCTTCTCTTAGAACAGCTGTACCCCACGGGCAATCTTTTAACGCCCACGAGACACCTCAAAGCGCTTCGCACGACATCCTGCAAAGTGCGGTGACTGCGGGTCGAAACGGGGGGGGTGTGTGTGTGTGGGGGGGGGGTGGTGCCAATCGCGCCCAGAGACGTCCCACCCCCCCACCCCTGCAAACCGTTGTGGATCCAACAACAACAACAAGATTGCATTTATAGAGCGCCTTTCACGGCGGGAGGACGTCCCAAGGCGCTGGACAGTTGGGTCGGGACCCAAGCGGGGGGGGGGGGAATGGTCAGGGGGGGGGGAATGGTCAGGGGGGGGGGGAATGGTCAGGGGGTGGGGAGGGAAGGGAGGGAGTGAGGAGGGGGTAGAGGTCAAAGAGAAAAGGGTCTTGAGTTGTCATTAATTTTTTTTTACCTGGAGTTGAGTGTCTGGGCTGTGTGTGTGTGTGTGTGTGTGTGGAGGGGGGAGAGGAGTGCGGGTTACATTCCAATAAATAATAATGTGTTTGCATTAAAAGAGAGGATTCGGAAGTTGTGCCTTTAAATGGGTGAAGGGGGTGTGGGGGGGTGTGGGGGGGGGAAGGCCAGGATTGGTGACAGGGAGGGGGGGAGAGGAGGGGGGAGAGGGAGGGCTGTATCTGACGCTGTGGCGTTGTGTGACAGGACAGGAACACATTAACTCAGGGATATAAAGTGTCCCAAATTAACACGTTGTGTCTAACCGTGTGGGGGGGTGTGGGGTGTGGGGGGGGGTGTGGGAAGCGAATTCTCTCTGTCTGTCTGTCTCTCTGTCTGTGTGTCTGTCTGTCTGATCTCAGTCCGGCTTTTGTGTCCTGTGTTTGCTGGAGCTCAGTGGAGGCAGAAGGTGAGAGATTATACTGTACTGTGGTCTATGGAGGGAGGGAGGGAGGGGGAGAGAGGGTGGGGGGGGGGACAAGACAGGGGGAGAGAGAGTGTGGGGGGGTGGGGGGCAAGGGGAAGGGGGAGAGTGGCAGAGAGAGAGTGGGGGGAGAATGAGAGAGAGAGTGGGGGAGAGTGGCAGAGAGAGAGAGAGAGGGACTGACAGGGAGGGGAGGGTGGGGGGGGGGGGGGGGTTTGGGGCAGAGAGAAAGGAACCAGTGGTGGTGGGGGGGGGGGGGGGGGGGGGAGAGATAGACAGAGAGGGGGAGAAACCTGTGTTGGTGGATCTCACCATCAAACCCACCAGATGTGAGGAGACACAGGACATGTTCAGGCCTTGCAGCCCCCAACACCCCCCCCCCCCCCCCCACTCCCTCCTTATTATAGCCACTGCTCCTTAACGCCCACAGTAAGGCTCTCGGAGCGCTTTACATCCTCTATCTTACTTGTATTTGTGTAGCAAGGAGTTGGGGGGGGGGGGGGGGAGAGAGTGTGTGTGTGTGTGTATGTGAGGTGGGAGGGGGGGGGTTCACTGTGTGTAGTGTGGGTCAGTGTATGTGTGTGTGTCGGTCAGTGTGTATGTGTGTAAGGGTCAGTGTGTGTGTGTTAGTGTGTGTTCTGACGTGCGCTTTTATCATGAGGCAATGTTAGTTAACCTTGCGCTTGACTTAGCGCCTTATCACGCCGCCGGGACGGCTCGAGGAGCTTTTACAGAACATACCGTAGCGGCTGTGCATTTTGTGGGAGATGCGCGGCGGCCGGTGTGCGTGCGGCGGTGCTCCTGTCAAAAAAAAAGAGACTCATCATTTTGGGTACTTCTATCGGGTCATAGAGTCTTACAGCACAGAAGGAGGCCATTCGGCCCATCGTACCTGTGCCGGCTCTTTGAAATAGCTACCAGCTCGTCCCACTCGCCCGCTCTTATCCCACAGCCCCGCACATTTACCCCTTTCAAGTCCCTATCCAATTCCCTTTTGAAACCTGCAATCGAATCTGCTTCCACCGGCCATTCAGGCAGTGCTTTCCGGACCGTAACAACTCGCTGTGTAAAAATTATTATTATTTGTTTTGCATTTCTCTCCTCCGGTTCTTTTTTGCCGCTTATCTTAAATCTGTGGCCTCTGGTTACCGACCTCCCCCCCCCCCCCACCCACCCACCCCCAACCCGCCAGAGAAATCAGTTCCTCCTTTAGTTGAAAGTTTTATTTTGGGGGCGGGTGGGGGGAAAAAAAAGACTAGAGGCATTTGGGAAATGATAAACAGTGTGTGGGCAGGGCAGGGTGGAGCAGACGCACAGTATTTGGGTTTACTTGCGCGGTTGAGATTCATTTTAAGGCTGTGTTATCTCCACAGACCGATCTAATAATAATCCTTGCACTTGATAGAGCACCTTATCACCTAAAGCGCTTCACAGGATACACCGTAAAGCGGATTGACTGTCCATTTTGTGGGCAAAACGCGGCAGCCAATTGCGCACAGCAGTGTGCCCCACAAACAGTCGTAGATTGAGAGTAGACTGTGCACAAGTTAGCCACACTCGCTCCCACACAAGTTGACCTTCGGCGCTGCTTGGCAGCGAGCTTTACTCTATCAAACCCGCGCTAGCCTTGAGTGTTAGACAGGTCAGTGTGGAGGGAGCTTTACTGTGTCTCTACCCCTGACCTTGCAATGTGGACAGAGGCAGTAGTCAGTTACCTTTCAGTGTGGTTTGATTGCATCACCCCGCGGGTCTCTCTGAGTCTGAATTATGATGTCTTGGCTCATGTCCGAGTTTCCACTCCTCTGTTAACACCTGTTTGAGACTTTCTTCCCACGCTTCTTTCCAATGAGTCTCCAGACAGACCTGACCCGCATTGAGTTGGGAACTTATTCTGTTCTCTCCCCAGACACTGAGAGCCGGGGCGACGCTAACCTTGATCTCCCAGTCACTCGTGACTGATAGTGGTGGGAACACTCAACTCGCAAGTGAGAGGATTCCCCAGGCTGGGCGAAACCTCAGGTAAGTTTCCTTACTGCACACACCTCCGTTTACTTAAAATCTGGTCACTGAGCCCACAGTCGGTCCACTTTACAGGATACTTTGTGAAGCGTTTTGAGAGGCCTCGACTAACCCTTACCTCGCATTTTAGACACATTTTATACATCCTGTGGAACGCCGTCCCAAAGTCCCTTCACCTCACACCCTCCCTCGCTTCCTTCAAGAACCGTCTCAAGACTTTCCTCTTCGACTACGTCTTCGGACGTCCTGCTCTCCCTGCCCTCCACCCCACCTGAACCTAACCCCCAGCTCGGATCCAAGTCCCTGATTGTCCAGCGCCTTGGGACGTCCTCCCGACGTGAAAGGCGCCGTGTAAATGTAATTCGTTGTTGTTGTTGCTGTTGCCATGATAAGGCACTGTATCAAATGCAAGTATTATTATTAATAAAGCAATTCAGTGCTGTGACTACAAGCTTTACTGTCCCCCCCACCCCCTGCTTAACCAATTCCAGAGAGTATGAGGCCTAGGTTGGCAAGAGCCAAGGCTTGGGGAGAGCACAGAGTGTGTTGAGGTAACTGCTGGAGTCTAACCAGCTAAAACCAGGTAGTTTACCATTAGTATTGCTGTCTGGCAAGCCTTCCGCTGCTTGTCCAGCTAGGACCTCCCCACCCATTATAGCTTTGTCTTGTAAGGTTAACAGGATCTGAATAGGAGAATTAACCCATCAAAGAGTATTTGTTCCACAATAAATTGTTCCGACCTGCATCCTTACCCCTGCACAGAGAGACGATATACAAAGAAGCCTAACATGAAGATAAGAAAAAGAAAAATAACCTTTGCCGCCTTGACATGCCTTATCAGGTCAGGATGTCTCAAAGGATTTTACTGTAAAGTCCACTGACTGTGTGTAATTTGTAGGTGAACGCGGCAGCCAATTTTCGCACAGCGACGTCTCTCAAACAAGTGTCTGTCAAACACGTCTCTCTCACACCTCCCCCACCCCCCCTCAAAGCAGGAGGTAGGGGGGGGGTAGAAATCCGCAACTCTCAGACTTTGCCCAGACTTTGCTTTAAATAGTAATAATAATAACTTGCATTTGATACAGCGCCTTATCACGTCTTCGAGAAGTCTCGAAGCGCTTCACAGACTACACTGTAAAGTGAATTGACTGTATTTGTGGGCGAAACGCGGCAGCCAATTGTGCACAGCAGCGTCCCACACAAACAGTCGGTGATTGAGTGACCAAATCTTTTCGGACCAATCCAAAAGGGTCAAACTAACCTGAGCTGTTGACTCAGACAAACGCAAACAGAATGGCTGCTGTCAAGGCCGTTTCATTCAGTGTCTCGTTCTCCCTGTGACTCCACGTGGAATCTACTCTCTCATGACAGAGAGAGAGAGAGAGAGGAGAGTCCCTCTTTCACTGAGGCTGACTGATTGATAGTTACCTGAGGTGGCGGAGAGCATCCTGACCCCTGGAATTCCGTAGTGTAGTGGTTAGTGCTCTCGCTTCGCAAGTGAGAGGACCTATGTTTGATTCCCGGGCAGAGCCAAGTACATCCTGTGAAGCACTTTCGAAGACGTGATAAGACGCTGTATCAAATGCCAAGATTGAGTGACCAAATTATTATTGCTATTATTTTTTTTGACGGGTTTATTACGCCCCCCCCCAGAAAAGCGAGCCACTAATCAACCGGGTTCCTACTTACTGCTGGGTAAACAGGCGTGCGTGTGGAGTGAGGAAATTTGCCCAACGTTTCGCCCTGTCCCACCCGGGAATCAAACCCAGGTCGTCTCGCTTGCAAGGCGAGTGCTCTAATCATTGTGCTGTTGTTGTTGTTGTGACAGAATGCGTCTCTGGGCTGACTCGGGGCTGTGGCTGACCTCTCTTGCGGCTGTGTTGTCGACGGTAGTGGCGGGCAACGTGACGGAGCTCTCTGCAGCCTTCCTCCAAGACCTGCTGGATCGTTACGGAGAGAACCAGGTTCTGGCGCTGCACCAGCTCAAGGCTCTGCTCAACAGGCTGGACGTGGGGGTGGGGAAGGCCAAACTAGCAACTGAGGGGAACTCTGCAAACCTATCCCAGGTCAGGAACAGGCTCGACACACACTACCTGCCTCTGCTGTGCTCTGGGACGCTGCCCTTGCTGAGGGGCTCAATATAAATGCAAGTTGTTGCTGTACGCAGTTAGCGTTTTAGCCGCACAAAATACACAGTCACTGCACTTTACACTGTATTGTGGAGTCCCATTGCGGTCAGGGCACTTGCACGGCAAGCGAGAGGACCTGGGTTCGATTCCCGAGCGCGGTGAAACCTTAGACAAGTTTCCTTCCTCCATGCACACTTACCCAGCAGTAAGCAGGAACCCGGTTGTTAGTTGATTGGGGGGATCTCTTTCCTTCTCTCCCCCCCCCCCCTCAAAACAAATGTGTTTTTTCTGCTGCTTTGATGCCTCGCGAGAAACACTGGGGATTAAAACCGAGTCGGGCTCACAGCTCGGCGTGTGGGCTACAACAACAACAACTTGCATTTACACAGCACCCCTTACGTAGGGTAGAGCCCCAGAATGCTTGACTGTGGCGGAGCACAACACTGAGCCGGGTGGTGGGGTGGGGGCAGGGAGGGAGGTGGTCGATGAGGAAGGTCTTCAGGTGCGACTTGAAGGGAAGGAAGGGGCAAGGCAGAGAGATGGAGGGAGGGTGACCAGAGTTTCTAATGTGTTGGCTGTCCCAGTGTTTCTCCTCAGCCGAGCTGTTCGCTGCTCACAGCCTCACCAACAGCAGTCGGATCGACAGCCATGCGTTCAAGAACATCTGTCCCACCGTCCTGCAACAGCTGGAGAGAGGAGCCTGCGTCACGGAAAACCAGGAGAACGAGGAAGACGAGGTCACGTCCGAGAAGAAACCAACGGCATCCGAGGGTACGTCAACACAGGAACAGGAGGAGGCCATTCAGCCCCTCGTGCCTGTTTTGTCACTTCAGTCTTGACAATGTGAAGGGATCCAGCAGGTGGAGTCCTGTAGCTCCGTGGATAGAGCACTCGCCTCGCAAGCGAGAGGATCTGGGTTTGATTCCCAGGCGGGGTGAAATGTTGGGCAAGTTTCCATACTCCACACGCCTCTGTTTGCCCAGCAGTAAGGAGGAACCCGGTTGTTAGTCGATTGACGGATCGCTTCTCTGGGAGCTAATAATCCGTTCAAAAAATATATATATTAATTAGCCGCGTTAGTAAATGGCATCTACTTTCTCTCTTCACAGTCTGGGGCTTTGGGTTTCTCAGTGTTTCACTGATTAACCTGACCTCCCTGCTCGGAGTCGCTGTTGTTCCCTGCCTCGACAAACCCTTTTTCCGCAGGGTCCTGGTCTACTTCGTAGCCCTGGCGAGCGGAACCCTGTTCTCTAGCGCAATATTCCAGCTCATTCCAGAGGTGTGGTACCGATAGCAAGCACACATCTGTCTCTGTGCGCGCGTGTGTGTGACGCCAATTATTACTCCTTCCAGAGGTGGGGCTGGGGCTGAGAGAGAGAAACTCTCTGCAATCTGGTGGATGTGTTGGGAGGGCAAACTGTTGGTTTCAACCCTGTTGGGTTCGGGAGAAGGGATTCTGTATGGACTGTGCCTTGGGTTGGAGTTGGGTTTGGGGAAGTGTCGCTCAATATGACACTTCTCTCTTGTGAGTTTTCTTGCTCACTGTGTCACAATTATCTCCGTTCAGTTTTAACTCAAACCTCAAACAACAACAGTATCTGTGAAGGGAATCTGCCTATTTTCTAACTCAGCTCAGTTCTTCAGCCTCTTTGCCCCCACCCTTTGGAACTCCATCCCACATCCCTTCGTCTCGCTCCCTCCCTTGCCTCTTTCAAGGCCCATCTCAAGACCCTGCTCTTCGACTGTACCATCAATGAACCTCTTGACCCCACCCTCCCTGCCCTCCACCCCTCCTGATCCCAACCCCTAGCTCAGGCGCAGATCTCCGACTGTCCAGCAACTTGGGACGTCCTCCCGACGTGAGAAGCACCGTGTAAATGTAATTTGTTGTTGTTGTTTCGAAGCGAGTCACAGAACAGAACAGACTGAGAGCTTTGGGGAGGTGGGAAGGGAGATCAGTCAAAGAGGCTGAACACCGGGGAGAGGGTGTGGGTTGATGTGGCCAGTCAGCAGAATCCTGAGCTCTGAGCTCAAAGGGTTGACATCTTGTGTCGGTGGGTTTTGGGTTGTGGGCTGGGCTGGAGTTCAGGATTTGGCTCTTGCAGTCTCGGAGTTTCCCGGTCTGACTGCCGTTTGGTATCATGCCTGAGCCAGTCCTAACGCTTTCCCCCCCCACCCCCCACCCTACGCCTGACACCCCCACAAGTGTGTGATTCTTGCTTCCTCTGGTGTCTGTGACCCCGCGGCTAATTGTGGAGTAACAGAGCCCATTTCCCTCTCTATTGAAACCTGCCGGGTTCTCACCAGCTTCTGTGGACTTCTCATTAACTCAACCCACCCCGACCAATCTGGGCCCATCTCACACCATCTCAAACCGGCTCCAACCCCTACTCAATTGGCTGCCACATTTGGCCCACGGAATACACAGTCACTGCACTTTACAGTATATCCTGTGAAGCGCTTTGAGGCGTCTAGATGCTGTTTCAAATGCAAAGATTGTTATAATCAGTAACTCAATCCTATCGCAACCATTGTTGGCAGTGGGATGGATCAAGCTCTGTTACTCCACAAACCTCAGGGTCCATGTGAGATGAGGACACTCTGTGTCAGCGAGGTCGGAGGCTCCTGCGTTCGATCTAGAGGGTTCAATACTGACGGGCATGATTTATTCTAATTACTGTTATTATAATGTACCGAGAACAGACTTTTTTTTGATGGAATGATTAACGGAACGCTTTCTCTTTTTCCTTTTCTCTCCGTGTTCTGCTCTTCCTTTCCCTCCCTCCCCCCTCCTCCCTCCCTCCCTCCTATTTCCATCCATCACTCCATCTTTCCCTCCCTCCCTCCCTCCATCTGTCCGTCTGTCTGACTGTGCAATTGTGTTGATGTGGAATATCTGACCTGGATTTCGCTCGCCTCTCTCTGTCTCTCTCTCTCTCTCCCTGTGGTGTGTGTTTGACGGCAGTCTGGGGCTATGGGATTCTATGCGTGACCGTGATCTCTCTCTGCTCCCTGATTGGAGCCAGCGTGGTGCCTTTCATGAGGAAAACCTTTTACAAGAGGCTCCTGCTCTACTTCATCGCACTGGCCATCGGCACTCTCTATTCCAACGCCCTCTTCCAACTCATCCCAGAGGTACTGTAATTCACACAGTCTTCTCTCTCTGTCTCTCTCTCCCCCCTCAGTTTGTGTGTGGAGGTCTTTCCATGGGTCCTGGTTTAGACTGCCGGGTGTCTTGACACGTACGGAAAACCCATCACTGTGCTCTGTGGAGTCCTGTAGTGTAGTGTTTAGAGCGTTCGCCTTGCAAGTGAGAGGACCTGGGTTCAAATCATTCCAGGCAGGGCGACACCTTCGGCAAGTTTCTTCCACGCACACAAACACACACGCCTCTGTTTACCTGGCATGAAGTAGGAACCGGTTGTTAGTCGATTGGAGAATGGCTTTTCCGGGATTAATAATTCCTCCAAACAAAATGATAATAAACTGGGTCACTTCAGTTCACGGCTATTAGTGGAACACTGTTGTGCACAGTTGGCTGCTGTGTTTCGCCCACAAAATACTGTCACCACACTTTGCAGTATATTCGGTGAATCGCTTTGAGACATATTGACGACGCGATAAGGCGCTATATCAAATGCAAGGATTATTATCAAACTCTCAAGCACGGCGATGGGTTTCTAAGTGTGTCAAACACCCAGCTGACCAACAACAGCTCCAGCATTTAGTGCATCACTGCAACGCCTCACATTACCTACAATTGAAATTCAAGCTCGCTGGAGAATAATAATTAATTTAAATCCAACTCTTTTTAATGAAACCAAACCAACCTGGGTCCCAAAGACTGCCACACACACTGAACCCGATTCGTAAATCAGCGTAGAGTTTTCAAACGTTAAGAGAGCAATCTTAATGCCTTGTGTTTGGCTTCCAGGTCTGTGTGTCCATGTATCATTCTCTCCCTGTTTGTTCTTTGCAATTTGGCAGCGATTTGAGTCGACAGTGTTGGCTACGGGAAATCTGCCAGTGCCTCAACCCCCTGGCCCCTACTCACTTGTCTTCCCACTTGTTAACAGGTCAATTCCCACCCCACCCCCCCCCACGTACACACACACAGACATACACATGCACACCACACCGCGCACACCCCTCAATCCGCAGACCCCCCCCATCTTCACTGCCATCTCAAAGCATTCTCCTTCCACTTATCTGCCAAGTTTCTTCCCGCGCCCCCCCCCCAAAAAAAAAATCTAAAACAATGGGTTCATCCCAATGTACTTACCGCTGGCTCATATTAGCTGGTGTGTCTAACATTGACTTAGGAACATAGGAACAGGAGAAGATCATTCAGCTCCTCGAGCCTGTTCTGCCATTCTATTAGATCATGGCTGATCTGTGCTTGAACTCCAATCACCCGCCTTTGCCACCATATCCTGACCTAAAAAACATCTATCCACCTCAGTCCTGATCCAGCCATAATCCACAGCCTTTTGCGGGAGGGAATGAGAGTGAGTTCCAGATTTCCACTACCCTTTGTGTGTGTGTGTGAAAAACTGCCTCCTGATTTCACTCCTAAACGGTCTAGCTCCAATTTTGAGGCTTAATTTCCATTCGATCTTTTAAAGAGGGCGATGGGGTTGGGGAGGGGAGGGTGACCAAGCTTTCGGTCACCCTCCTTCTCCCCCCCCACCCCCACCCTCTAGCTTCCCCGATCACGACTCCCAGCTCGGGTCTGAAACACTGAGTGTCCAGGGCCTTGGGATGTCCTCCCGACATAAAAGACGCGGTGAAAATGTTATTTTGTTGTTGTTGTTGTAAACGGCGATGTGTAAATGCTTGTCGTTGTTGTTGTGTTGTTGTGTCGTGGTGGTGACAACAACCCCCGTCACAGGCATTTGGTTTCAACCCGCGAGAGGACAACTATGTCTCCAAGTCGGCCGTTGTGTTCGGAGGTTTCTACCTCTTCTTCTTCACTGAGAAGATCCTCAAAATGATCCTGAAACCCAAACATAAGGTAAGACCACAGCCTATTGTGCTCTCTTATCATGTCTTGCGCAGTCGTGTGGCTCAGTGGTTGGAGCACTCGCCTCGCAAGCGAGAGGACCCGGGTTCGATTCCCGGGCAGGTCGAGGCAAAATCCTAGGCAAGTTTCCTTACTCCACTCACACCTCTCTGTTTACCAAGCAGTAAGTAGTTAGTTTCCCAGTTGTTAGTCGGTTGGCGGATCACTTTTTCGGGGTGACTAATACCACCAAAAAAAAAATAATAATAATAATTTGGTCGCTCAATCCACGACTGTTTGTGGGACGCTGCTGTGTGCAATTGGCTGCTGCATTTCACCCACAAAACACACAGTCGCTGCACTTTACAGCATATTCTGCGAAGCTCTTTGAGACGTCTTGACGACGTGATAAGGCGCTATATCAAATGCAAGGATTACTATTAGAAGAAATGGGTTGAGGGACGTAAAGTGAATCTGTTCCTTGTTTCTGACAGGGGTCTGGTCACAGCCATTACAAGCCTGAAAAGTATGTGACAAAGTCTGACCTGGACGAGGGAGTGACGGAGAAGCTACAGAACGGAGACCTCAATCACATCCCCACCCCCAAGGGAGAGGATTGTCAGCACAGCCCCCTGGCAGAGGAGCGGAGTGAGCTACACACTGTCCTGAGCGGGACTCTGTCTGTGCAGGTAAAGGCATGTCACTGTTTGTGGGAGTGCGTGTGTGTGGGAGTGTGTGGGTGGGGGTGGGGTGGGGGGAGAGTGGGTGGGTGGATGCGTCTGTGAGGGGATCTTGAAATTGATCCGTTCGGTGATAGGGAGCCAGTGGAACCTGGCGAGGACTGGGATGCTGGGGGTACAGACTGATGGGCAGACGGACCTGGAGTCCCACTGTGTGACCTTACCCCACAGGACACTAAGACGTCTCAGAGCGCCTGTTACTGGCTGAAGGGCAGCCAGTACTCTGACATCGGCACGCTGGCTTGGATGATCACGCTCAGTGACGGGCTCCACAACTTCATCGACGGCCTGGCCATCGGGGCCTCCTTCACTGTCTCAGTTTTCCAGGGCATCAGCACCTCCATCGCCATCCTGTGTGAGGAGTTCCCTCACGAGCTCGGTACGTCACCTCTCCCTCGTCCCCACCCCCTCCCCTCCACGCACCCCCCAAATGTAGCAACTCCTGCAGCCGAGGGGTTAAAGCACTCGCCTCACAAGCGAGAGGACCCAGGTTCAATTCCATGCAGAGCCAAATCTTAAGCAAATTTTCTTACTCCACACCCACGCCTCTGTTTACCGGGCAATAGGTAGGAACCTGGTTGTTAGCCGATTGGCGGATTGTTTTTCCGGGACGAATAATCCCTTTTTTATTAAAAAAAATTGGTCACTCAATCCACGACTGTTTGTGGGGACGCTGCTGTGTGCAGTTGACTGCCGTGTTTCCCCGACAAAATACCCAGTGAATCCTCTTTACAGTGGTACCCCGTGAAGCGCTTTGAGACATCACGAAGACGCGATAAGGCACTAAATCCAATGCAGGGATTATTGTTGTTGTTAACTCTGTCCTTCCTCTCGCCCTCTCCTGTTCCAGGGGACTTTGTGATCCTGCTAAATGCTGGCATGAGTCTGCAGCAAGCTCTCTTCTTCAACTTCTTGTCGGCTTGCTGCTGTTACCTGGGCCTGGGATTTGGGATTCTCGCGGGCAGACACTTCTCGGCGAGTTGGATCTTCGCTCTGGCTGGTGGCATGTTCCTCTACATCGCACTGGCCGATATGGTGAGCCAGCCCTAGGTCCTCTCTCTCTCTCTCTCTCTCTCTCCTTGCCTTCTCTCTCCTCCCTCTCTCGGGCTCTGTCCTCATCATCTCCGCCCCCCTCTCTCTCTCCCCTCTCCCTCCCTCCCTCCCTCCTCTTTCTCTCTCTCTGCACCATCTCTCTCTCTCCGCCAATTGGTCTCCATTGTCTATATTGTATATTAGAACCGTGAAGATGGTGCCAAAACTTGACCCCCCTTCTCTCTCTCTCTCTCTCTCTCTTCCTCTCTCTATCTCCCTCTCTTCCTCCCTCCCTCCTTCCCTCTCTCTCTCTCGGCAGTTCCCGGAGATGAACGAGGTCAGTAAAGACGAAGACGGGGAGGAATCGCAGTCGCTGATGGTGTTTGCCTTGCAGAACGCTGGCTTGCTGACCGGCTTTATCATCATGTTGCTGCTCACCATGTACTCGGGGGCCATCCAGATAGGATAGCCCCCATCCCCCCCCCCCCACTCCCCGACAACCCCCTCCTCCCCCCCCACCCACTCCTAAACACCACGAAGCTGAGGCCTGGACTGGGGGGGCAGGCTCCAGCCTAGCGACTTGGCACGTTGCTCTGGCAACCGGAGAGAGAGAGGGGGAAAGAAGGGGGGAATCGATGGACCTTTGCCGTTTACTGAACAGTTCTGGACAGGCGTTGCCACGGTAACATTTCCCGTTTCGTTTAGACTCCTAATTTTTTTTATATATATCTATATACGCGAGCACGCAGAATCGTGCGCGCGCGCACGCACACAACGCGGGACCAGGCAGGGACTGCGAGAAAATACAACAAGGTTCCAGTAGTGAGGAAAAGTCCGTGGGGAGAATAAAGTAAGTCATTCCGACAACTCCCCATATTCCCGTCTTCCCTCTCCCCCCCCCCCCACCACCACCCCAACCCCTTTTTCCTGCCTTTTTTCACTACCCGCACGTTGTTCTCTCCCAACAGAAGCAGTATTATAACTGGCCTCCCGTCAGCGAAGGGTCTGAGCAGCCAAGCCAAAGCCTTAACCATTCCATGTTTAAATAGCCGGTAAATGGACGTGAGGACCGCTAATCCGATAGCACGGGTTATTAATATTAATTTAAGTCGAAGCGCTTTGAGGGACTTTAAAGTGCAGTGACTGTGCATTTTGACCAAGCCGTGGTCGAAAAAGAGGGTCTTGAGATGGGTCTTGAAGGAGGCAATGGAGGGGGCAAGAAGGAGGGATTGTGGGAGGGAGTTCCAAAGAGAGGCTGAAGGCCTCATGCGATGGTTAAGCCAGGAGCTCAGGTGGAGGTGATCTACAACACACTGGGCGCTGGCTATTGTCAATAATCTTCAATAATTTACGATGGTGCTAAGAGGAGTATTGCATCTGTGTCTCTCTCTCTGATCACCCAACTCATCACAGGTCTCAAGCACAATCAAGAGGAGAGAGCAAGGAGGTTATAGTCAGCGTTAGACCTCCTTGACAAGCTGTCAGTGTATTTGACCCAACAATCGTTGGGAGGTTAGATAGAGGAAGTGTTAGATACAGTCCCTCTTTTTAGAGGAAATGGCCTTTTTTTTTTTGTTTTCCTTTAGCTGGGTTTGTCTGATCCACATGGAAAAACCTATCTTCGTGCTTAAGAGTCTCCAAACCAGACAGATTTGCGTGAATACTTCCTACGCATTGAAAGTTTCCGTGTCTGGAATGGAATGCGCTCTCTCTCTCAACCGATGCATCCTGCTTACCTAATTCCAGAGAGTATTAGGCGCAAGAGGAGCCCAGGTTGTTCATTGAAGGGTGCAGAGGGGAGTAATTACTGGAGATTAAGCAGCTAAAATCGTGTGATTAAACGGCTCCCCGGATGGGCTGAATGGGCCGTTTCCATGACAATTTAAGAGTATTCAGGAATACTTTGGGAATTTGGGAAAAATGGGGAGAAAATTTGGGGCTAGGAGGGGGGAAGCATTGCGTGTTAAGCTATCGAATCCAAGTGACTGGTCCACTTTTTTTTATATGGAATATTTATGATAGAATATTGTAAATCCTAGCGCATTCCTGTGGCATTCTTCAAGCTGAATGTCCGTGGAATGTCTCGGGCATTTTGAATAAAAGTGAGATGGATTTGAGATCACTTGTATTCTTGTTATTCATTCCTAGGAGAGTAGGAGAGCCAACCTAGGTCAAACAGGTGTCCGACAAATGCGGAAACCCATCACCGTGCTTAAAGACTATCCAAACCAAACTGACAGTTCCATGCATCCCACCTTCACATTGGAAATACCAGAGATAGATTGTTGGAATGGAATCGCACTCTCTCTCTCTGGAGGGACCCATTCCGGCTTACCTAATTCTGCAGAGTATTAGGTGCTGGTTGGCAAGAGCCAAGGTTTGTGGAGAGCCCAGAGCGTGTGTTGGGGTAACTGCTGGAGTCTAACCAGCTAAGACAAGCTAAAAGCTTGGCCATTGAAATCACTGTCTGGCCAGCTTTCCTGCTAGGTTGGTGGTCCAGGTAGGTCCACGCTACCTGTTAAGGCTTTGGCTTGCAGAGTTAACAGGAGCTGAGTGGGATGACTCCCTACTTCCAGTGACTAGTCTGCCCTTCATTGCTGTCATCAGCAAAGAACTGGACAGAAATTGAACGAGCGAGGATGTGTGTGTGTTGCTAAGAGCATTGCTGCTCCCTGCTGGACAATGTGATGCAGAATTTGAGCTCTTTCTCATCCCAGGATCTCACAGCTTTGCTGTACTATCCCTACGATCATGTCCTTGCATTTGGCACGGCACCCTTCAGGTCAGGAAGATGACCCAAAGTGCTCTCTCCAGCGTTTACCCTAAAGTGTAGCGACTGTGTATTTCGCTGGCGGAATGCAACACAGCAACGTAGTCGAGGTCTCTCGAAGCGTTTTGCAGGATCCACTGCGGAGTATTCCTGACTGCATATTTTGTGGACGAAATGCGGCAGCCGGTTTGCGCCCAGCGATATCCCACACCGGGAGGGAGAGAGAGTGAAACTCCCTGCCCTCTTCGAATAGCGGCCGCAGGAGATCTCGAACGCCCACCTGAGCCGGGCACAGAGGTTTAACGTCTCATCCGAAGGAGGACGTCTCCGTCAATGCGACACCCACTCCCCCAAGACTGTGCGATTGCGAGTCCCGACGTGCGGGCTCCAACCCACCACCTTCTGACTCTTGAGGCGCCAGAGGGCCACCGATTGACGCAAACAAACCCACCAAGCGGTCAACTTTATTAGCCCTGAATGACCCCTTTTGAGTCCCGTGAACCCCAATGACAACAATCGCAACAGCAAATAACAATCCTTGCGTTTGAGACGGGGCCTCCGCCTCATCAGTTCGTCACGACGTCCCAAATTGCTTGGTGGGATACACCGTAAAGTGTAGTGACTGTGTGTTTTTGTGGGTGAAAGTTGCCCCCAATTGCTCTAAACTGCCCTTCTTGAGCCACAACTCCCATGTGGTCAAGAATAAGGGGGGGCAGTCTGAGCATGCGCAGTTGTGTGTGTGTGTTGATGTGACACGTGAGCCAGCGGCCGCGCTGAGCACGCTGGGAGTTGTAGTTGGGTTTAGCAGTGGGGCGCCCGCCGGTGGGAGGCGGAGGCCGCCTGCCTCGTGCGCCTGCGCGGCGCGGCGCGGAGCACGCCGGGACTCGTAGTGCGCTGCGTGACGCATGCGGGGAAAGGGGCGGGGGGGGGGCGGAGGAGGAGGGGGCGGGGCTGCGAGCGTCGATCCCGGCGCGCGGCGCGGGCGGTTGGGACGGGTCGACGAGAGAGGGGAGCGCGAGGGGCGGGAGAGGCGGGGCCGAGGATGGGGGCGGGGGGCACGCCGGGAGTTGTAGTGCGCTGCCGGCCTGGCGCCGCGTCGCGGGATGACGCGCGGGACTACAGGTCCCGGCGGGCAGCGCGGGCAACGGCGGTAAGCCGATTAGAGCGCGAGAGAAAGGGAGAGGGAGAGAGCGAGTCAGTCAGTCAGTCAGTCAGTCGCTGAGGCCGTACCCTGAGGTACGGCGGCGGCTTCGGCGGTTAAACCGACAGCCTCGCAGTCAGCTCCAGCCATAACGCGGCCCGCCTAGGCCTCAGGCCCCCCCCCTCCTCCCCCCCCCCACCCACCCACCCCCAACCCCCGGCCTCGGCCCTCAGGCCGCCCGACAATATGGCGCAATCGATGGAGAGGATACCCCCGAAGCTGTCCACCACCGACAGGATTATCAAAGGTAAGCGAGGGGCGAGGCCCCGGGGGAGGGGGAGGGGGAGCGTGTCAGGGTGGGGGGGGGAGAGAGGGGGTGTCAGAGAGAGGGGGGGGGGGGAGTCAGGGGGAGAGGGAGAATGTGTCAGTGGGGGGAGAGGGAGGGGGTGTCGGAGGGAGAGGTTGTCCGGGGTGGGGGGAGGGGGGGGGAAGAGATAGTGGGGTGTCAGAGGGGGAGAGAGAGAAACGGGGCTTGTGAGGGGGGGGGGAGGGAGAGAGAGGGTCGAGCAGAGAAAGACAGACGGGAGAAGAGAGAGGCTGTCAGGGGGTGGGGGGGGTGGTGGTGGGGGGGGGGAGTAGAGAGGATGTGTGTAGGGAGAAGAGAGAGGGTGTCAGGGAGAGAGTCGGGGGGTGGGAGGGAGTGTGGGGGTCAGGGAGAGAGAGGGGGGGGGTTGTTGGGGTGAGGAAGAGAGAGGGAGGGGGTGTCGGGGGGAGGAGAGAGAGAGAGAGAGAAGGGGGGTGTCGGGGGGAGGAGAGAGAGAGAGAGGGGGGGTCTCGGGGTGGGGGGAGTCAGTGGGTGTCGAAGGGGTGGGAAGAGTGATAGGGAGGGTGTCAAGAGGAAGAGGGGGGGGGTTGTCAGGAGAAGAGCGAGGCTGTTGGGAGGGGGTGGGGGGGAGGGGGGTGTTGGGGGAGAGTTGAGAGACCTGGGGAGAGAAGGGCTGTCAGGGAGAAAGCTGGAGGCAGAGCCTGGCGATGAGAGTGGGAAGTGGCTTTGAGGAGGATGGGGAAGGGAGCAAAGAGAGAGCAAGTCAGTCACGTCAGGAAAAGTGGGGGGGGTACGGGTTCGGAATAGCAAAGGGTTTTTTCCACCGGGGAGCCCCCCCAGTGGAGCTTTTCTTTTCTGGGAGCGGAGTTAACGACAGAGACAGGGCCTGCGGGAAAGGGTGGCTGAGGCCAGGACACCGGGACTTTCACTTAAAATAACCGTCCGTGTTGTAGGGAGGGCGTCCTGGAAGATTTGCCCACAAAATATACAGTCCCCACACTTTACAGCACATTCGGTGAAGCGCTTTTGAGACGTCTCAACGGCGCGATGAGGGGCGATATCAAACGCAAGGATTATTATTCGCTGTTAGAGATTGTCCTACGATTATAGAAGGGCCTCCATCATCTGAACTCGTCCTGCGGTATTATTATTAGTGTTATTATTAGCTGGTAAAAATGGGTCAGGGGGAGGGGAAGGGGGAATGGGAAAAAGGAGCGAGAGAGAGAGCTATGAAAGGGGGTAAAGAGAATCGGGACGAGGCAACGGGTGAGAGAGATGAAACGGAATCGAGAGATCAGCTGGTAAACCGGATGGAGAGAAGGGGTTGAGATAAAGGGTGGAGAGCGAGAGAACGTGAGGAGTTTGGAGAGGGGAAGATCCAAGTAACTGGAGTTGTGACTTGGGGGAGGGATGAAGGGGAGAGGGGAGGAGAAGATGGGGCGGGAGGGGGGGGGTACATTTCAGAGGGTGGATTGTAGTAACCCTTAGCGAGGAAAGCTTGAGAGGGAGTTGGAGATTCTCGCTCTGTTTGTGGCACATTGCTGTGCGCAATTGGTTGCTAAAATGCACAGTCAGTTTACTTTACAGTATATTTTGTGAAGCGCTTTGAGACGTCTCGCAGACATAGTCAGGAGCTGTAATCAAATGCAAGGATTGTTATATAAGGGGGAGGAACTGTCCAACTGCAGCATTTTGGCCGCTTTATTTATTTTTTTTTTAAAAATAGTTTTGAACTTTGCTGGTTAGCTGAAGTGAATTGCGTACGCACGTATTGAGGTGACCGTCCATCTGTTCACAGTGTGCGTGGCGTGGTGCCCAAAGGCACCAGTGAGATCCACTGCCTTCCCCGTGGTTGATGAAGCGCTATATTAATTAGTGATGCAAAGGATATTTTTGGAGGGGAGTGGAGGTGGGGGGATGGAGAGGAGTGGGAGTGGGGGGGGGGGGGAGAGAGTTCTTTTAAACAGTTGCTCTTTTCTCACAGTTCCTCTACTCGTGAGGTTCAACGGAGTGAGCAGCAGTCGGAGCTCATTCAGGCAACAAACTGTTAAACCAGAATCAGCTTAAGCCCAGGAATGACCGATCACGTCCTCACTGGCTTAGCGTTTCTCCCGTCAGGAGTGGGGTCCCGGAGAGCAGTGGTTGGAGAGCTCGCCTCGCAAGCGAGAGGACCCGGGTTCGATTCCCGGGCTGGTCAGGGTGGAACCTCAGCAAAGTCTCCTTACTCCTCGCACGCGCCAGGTGGCTTTACTGGACTAATAATCCCATCAAACAAATGTCATAATAATTTGGTCACTTCAATCCACAACTGTTTGTGGCGGACGCTGCTGTGCGTCATTGGCTGCCGTGTTTCGCCCCCAAAATATACAGTCAATTCACCTCACAGTGCATCCTGTGAAGCGCTTTGAGACGTCTCGACGACGTGATGAGGCGCCGTACCGATTGCAAGGATTGTGATTCTAATCGTCACGGGTCACGTTTAGCCTCGGCCTGGCCGAGTTGTGGCTGTCGAGGACTGCTTGCTCACTCGGGGGCCGAGGAGCGATGCTGTTCAGGCTCTGTGGGAAGGACAGAGTGTTATCTGTCAGAGTCCTGCGGGATCTGGGATGCTACCCTGCGTGAGGGGCGCATTATAAATGCTTGTTGTTGTTGTTGTTGTTGCTGTTCTTCCCGACGTCCTCCACTCCGCCAGTAAGCCGCAAGCCAATTTTGGATAATCTTCCTGATGCATTAATCTTTTGTGGCTGGAATAATTTGTGACTGCATTTGGAGAGGGAGGGGGGGGAAGGAAAGAGAGGGGGGAGGGGGAGACAGAGGGATGGGAGAGAGAGGAGGAGGAGGAGGAGGAGGGAGAAAGAGAAGGCTTTTTATCCTGCTGAGAGACCGCGGTGCTCGGAACAGAGGGAAAAGGATGCTGCGTTTTGCAGTTGACCAGAATATCTTTCAAACTGTGATGTGAAGAGCAGCCTGTTCAGTGGACGTTAGGTGGAGAAACATGATTGATTTTCAACCGAATGCAATTGGTATTGAATTTTCCAAGCAAATTAACTCCCATTCAAAGGGTGCCCCACCATGCTGAAATGTTTCCCAAGTGCTTCGCAGTAATTTACTGTCGAGCGCAGTGACTGCTTAATTGTGGAGTCCTGTAACGTAGTACTGAGCGCACAAGTGGGGGGACCTGGGTTCGATTCCCAGGCAGGGCGAAACTTTACTTGGTTCCTTATTCCACGTGCCTCTGTTTACCTGGCAGTAAGTAGGACGATTGTTAGTCGATTGGTGGATTATTTTTCGGGGGTAATAATCCCTCCAAAAAAAAAACAATAACTTGGTCACTGAATCCATGACTGTATGCGGGACACTGCTGCATTTCGTCCACAAAATATTAATTCAATTCACTTTACAGTATATTCTGTGAAGGGCTTTGAGACGTCTCAACCACGTGATAAGGCGCGCTATCATATGCAAGGATTATTATTATTATCACTACAGCTGTTTCGTGCAGCACAAAGTCCCACATGACCATTTCATTCCAGAGGATTGTCAGCCAGGACGCCAGGAAAAAACCCTCCGTTATCTCTCCCATTGGTGCATGAAATCCTTAACGTCCGTCCACATTGGCAGACGGGGACTTCGATTTAACATCTCATCCGAGGAATGTTTAAATGGAGAGTGTCTGTCTGCCCTTTCCATGGGCCGGGCAGGTGTTACGGGCATTAATCTAATGTACAGCTTCACTCCTTGCCAAATGCATCTTAATCCTGTCGCATAGTGGCTGGAGCGCTCGCCTTGCAGGTGAGAGGATCCGGGTTCGATTCAGTTTTTAAAATCACAAGCGCAAGCACGAATCAAGGGAGGAATGGGTCGTGCTTTACCTGGCGGGCAGGGCAGGGCAGGGCAGATGAGGGCAGGACACCAGCTGAGAGCTCGGTGTGTGCCCCTGAGCCAGTCCGAGGAGGCGAGAGTTTGCCGGCCTCGCACGCACAGCTTCCGGCCGCAGCAACTAACGACGCTTACGCGGCGCCTTTCGCGTCGGGAGGACGTGCCAAGGTGCTGGACAGTCCGGGGGGTTTGGACCCGAGCTGGGGTTTTGCGAGGGCTGAGGTGGGGGAAGGCTACCCACCAAAATCAAATGTGGTGTTTTTGCAATGATTTAGAAAGAGCGTACAATGCCACTCACCCCGACTGGTCCGCGCCCGGTGTTTATACTCCACCCCAGTCTCCCTCCATTCCTTACTCCCTCCGCTACGCCCTTCTATGTGAAGAAAAATGCGGTCACTCAATCCACGACTGTTTGTGGGGGACACTGGTGTGCGCAATTGGCTGCCGCGTTTCGCCCACAAATATACAGTCACTCCACTGTACGGTGTCTTCTGTGAAGCGCTTTGAGACGTCTCAACGACGTGATAAGGCGCTGCATCAAATGCAAGGGTATTTATTAGTATTCTTTTAGGTGTGCCCCCCCCCCTTAAATGACTGTATTGAGCCCCGGGCCCTGATGGGAATAGGTGTGAGGCGCTCAGCAGGTGACTGGGGGCCTCATTCCATTCCCTAACCTGCAAGCGGTTGTGGTCTTGCTTACCCCAGGCCGCTCTGCTATCCCTGGGGTGTGGTGTTGATATCATCTTAAAAACAAGTTGTTCAGTTAACTGCCTTAACCTCGACACAGACGTGAGTCACTTATTTTTCAGCAGTAAAAGTGGAGTTTCAGTGAGGAAACCGACTTCGGTAAAACTGATGATGGAGTTTTATTCACAGTCGCTGTTATCATACGTCTTGGGTTCACTGTCGAGTTGCCGCTGCTTTTCCTGGCCTGAGCCCCGTCACCATCTGCAAGTCTTCTCTCCTCACCCTCCAATTTAACTGTGTATGAGTGTACTATAGCCTTTAATAATAATCCTGGCATTTGATATCGCGCCTTATGCCGTCGTTGAGATGTCTCAAAAGCGCTTCACAGAACAGACTGTAAAGTGAACTGACTGTGTATTGTGTGGGCGAAACGTGGCGGCCAATTGCACACAGCAGCGTCCCCGCAAACCGGCGTGGATTGAGTGACTAAATTGCTATTTATTTTGAAGGGGTTATTACCCCCCCCGGAGAAGCAATCTGGGGGTAATCCCTTCAAATTAACTGACAGCCAAGTTCCTACTTGCTGCCGGGTAAACAGAGGCGTGCGCGTGGAGTAACGAAACTTGCCTCGGGGTTCGCCCCCGTCCGGCCCGAGCATCGAACCCGGGTCCTTCTCGCTTGTGAGGCGAGCGCTCTCGCCACTGCGCTACAGGATTCCACGTACAGTTGTACCTCGTATTACGTGTACCCACAGGAGTCATTTGGACGTGGTAACATAGTTCGATAGGGTTTTACATTGGCTAAGCCATGGGGGCCGCACAGTTGACCGTCTTGCTCGTGTCAGTTATTAATATCTTAATGAGCTTAGGGACCGGCGGTGATACCTTCCAAGCGCTTGATAAGCTTTTCGGGGCGAGCTGAGCGCTCAGCAGCAAGCGATTCTGGAGGCGAGTTGGGTGTTGGTGTTGGTTGCGAAATCTGTCTCGTCAGCAAGGTACAGTTCCTGTTTTTAAGCCGGGGTGTGAAGGGTTAAGACGGAAATCTGGTGGTGTTTTTTTTTCTCTCTCACCAGAAGAAGTCACCGTTGGGTGGAGGGTGTCGGGTCGGGAGGAGTCGGGCTGTTTGATTCAGATTACAGAGGTTGGGGAGGGTGGTGGGGGGGGGCGGGGGAGAGAGTAGGGACTTCCTATTGATTCAGGAGAGACTGACAGGGAAGGGGGGGGCAGGGAGGCACACGACACACACCACAGCCTTCACAGAACCATTTCAACTTGGTGTCTGCGTCAGGGTGACATCCCCTTAAAATGTGCTTCCTTGTGTGTTGTAACCGTCATCATTTCAATTGGCTGTAGAGTGTCTTCGAGACGTCTCAAAACGCTTCACAGGATATACTGTATAAAGTGTAGTGACTGTATTTTGTGGGCGAAATGCCGCAGCCAATTGCGCACAGCAGTGCCCCACAGACAGTCGTGGGTTGAGTGATCAAATAACTATTTTTTTTGAAAGGATTACTTACCCCCAGAAAAGCAATCCGCCAATCCACTAACAACCGGGCTCTGACTTACTGCTTGGTAAACAGGCGTGTGGGACAAGGAAACTTACCTAAGGTTTCGCCCTGCCCAGGAATCGAACCCGGGTCCTCTCGCTTGCGAGGCAAGTGCTCTAACCACTACACTTTTAAAAAAATATATAATGAATTGGTCACTTCAGTCCACGACTGTTCGTGGGACACTGCTTTGCGCAATTGGCTGCCGCGTTTCTCCCACAAATATACAGTAAATTCACTTTACCATATATTCTGCGAAGCACTTTGAGACGTCCAGAAGACGTTAAAAAGCGCTGTATCAAATACAAGGATTATTATTATTATTTGCACTACAGTAATACACTGGATGCTGATTTATAGAGGATTCTTGCTACCCTCCAACATGAAGCATTGCTTCAAAAAACACTTTAAAGCACACTGGCAATGCAGAAAATATTACTGCGTGGGACAGGCACTGGGAAAATTAATATTCCACACTTGAATTCTTCCTGTCAAAGATGGATCTAAAATAAACGCAGGTGGAAGAATTGTGTAGGAGTCAGGTTGTTGCCATAGTCACCGCAGAGCAAGTCTTGCTACTGATGCAGAAACGTACAGCACAGAAGGAGGCCATTCGGCCCATCGTGCCTATGTCGGCTCTCTATATCCCCGAAGCGCTTTAAGACGTCTCTTCGAGCCGACACAGCTCCCCAACTAGTCCCACTCGCCCGCACTTTCTTACCCCCGAGCCCCGCACATTTCTGCGGGTAAGGATTCCTTCAAAAGATAATAATTTGGGTCCCTCCATCCTTGACGGTTTGTGGGACGGTGCTGCGCTCAATTCGCTGCCGCGTTTTCACCCACGAAATATGCGGTCGCGATCTCATTCACAGTGCGTTCTGTGAAGCGCTTTGAGGCGTCTTGACGACGCGATAAGCCGCTGTATCAAATGCAAGGATTCTTCTTGTTAGGAATCCCACGAAGCATCACCGTTGGTGATGAAAGATGCCGTAGCAGACACCAGAGCTACTAAGCTGTTGTTTTAGCACATTTGTTGGGGTCGGGGGAGGGAGGGGTCACTGTTGGCAAAGCTGGAGAAACACCCGCTAGCACCTTGGATCAGTGCGTGTGTGTGTACGAGCGGGTGTGAGGTGAGTCTTAACAGGCGTTGAAGTGTATCAGGATGAGTATCCTCCCGAACACTGGCCACTGCTCTCCTCCGAGCTCATTTGCATGGCGTGTGGGAGGGCGTTGAGGGAAGGAGCTGTATTTATTCCACTTTCCTTTTTTTCATAGAAGAGATTGGAGGAGGAGGAGGAGGAGGTTATTAAATTATTAAGGTTGCTCAGGAGCTCCCGGCGAAAAAAAAAATCTCTTGCATCCGTGCCGTCCTGTAGTTCAGTGGTTTAGCGCACTCGCCTCGCAAGCGAGAGGACCCGGGTTTGATTCCCCGGCAAGTTCCCTTACTCCACACACGTGCCTCTGTTTACCGAGCAGTGAGTCGGAACCCGGTTGTTAATTGATTGGCTGATCGCTTTTCTGCCGGTAATAATCCTTCCAATATATATATATACTTTGGTCACTCAATCCACGACTGTTTGTGAGACACTGCATTTCCCACCACAAAATACGCAGTCAGTTCTTGATATACAGTACATCCTATATCCCCTGAAGCGCTTTTAAGACGTCTCGAATACACGATAAGGATTACCATTATTACAGCCATGATCTTAAATGACCGGTTTATCTTCTGGAGATACCTGGAGTTGGTTGGGATACTGGGAGTCCCTGGGGGGGGGGGGGTGGGGTGGGGGGTGGGGTAGTGTGTGCAGAATAATTTTTTTTGCGTAGAGACCTGCCGGCTGCAGTCTGCTGTACCAGAGAATCAGATTGGATCAAGGATATTGTGGTTTAACAGAATGACTTACTGAGCCTTTGCCACTAAGAGCTGCTGTAGGCCAGTAGACACCTTGGCATGTTTCTTTTAACTTCTCCTTTTGAGAGGCGCTGAGGGGACACATCTTGAATGTCCGCCCTGAACAGGTTGCAGTTGGGAGGTCTGGGGTCAATGTCTTGGGTGCGATTCCCGGCCAGGGCGAAACCTCTGGCAGGTTTCCCAGGACTGCACGCACGCACCGCTGTTTACCCGGCAGCAAGTTGTAACCTGGTTTTAGTCGATTGGCGGATCGCCTTCTTGGTGTAATATTCGCCCCAGAAGAAAAAAATATATACAATTTGGTCACTCAGTCCACGGCTGTTTGTGGGGACGCTGCTGTGAGCAATCGGCTGCCGCCTTTCACCCACAAAATATACAGTCAATTCACTTTACAGCGTATCCTGTGAAGCGCTTTGAGACGCCTCAACAACGTGATGAGGCCCTGTATCAAATGCAAGGATTATTATATTGCACGTGTTATAACAACCTCAGCTACTGGTATGAGAGAGTGCTATTAGTGGCTCAGTGGCACATTGCTGCCCTCCCAAACACCCGGTTTAGTGTGTGAGCGCAGAGGGCACAGCTCTGATATTAGCTCTGACCTGGTTATCAGTTGTCAGCGAGTCAGGAAATGCAGTGAACACTGACGTGCTTGTGGTTTCCTGCCTCTCTCACTAGCCTCGTACTGTTAGTACAGAAGCCACTCTGGGCAGTCTGTGCTGATATAAAGGCAATCCCAACCCGCGTCCTCTCGCTTGTGATCCCAGGGCTTAAAGGGTTAAATTACGAGGACAGGTTGCTTAAACTTGGTCTGTATTCCCTTGGGTTTAGAAGGTTAAGCAGGTGATCTGATTGAGGTGTTTAAAACGATAAAGGGATTCGACAGAGTTCCTATGGAGACACTATTTCATCTCTGGTGGTGGGAGAATACGGAACAAGCGGATTTCGTCATAAAAGTAGAGCAATGCCATTTAGGAGTGAAGTCAGACGGCGGTTTTTCACGTAAAGTGTAATGGAAATCGGTAACTCTCTCCCTCCCCCCAAAGGCTTTGGATGCTGGATTCATCTATTTCGCGACTGCGGTGGATAGGTGTTCATTAGGAAGGGAATATGGGGTAATTGGAGTTGAGGTACACGTCAGCCATGATCTAATAAAATGGCGGAACAGGCTCGGGGGGGCCTGAATGACCTCCTCCTGTTCCTATGTAGCATCAGGTGGCCTCCCTTTATCCTGTCCTGCAGCTTTACTCTCTTTCTCCACTCTGTATCCCCTGCCTCCTCCAGCCCACCCCCAAAAAAGGTCTGTTCGAATTGCCCTTCTGAGCCCTGGAGACCGACTGTTCTCAATGCCTTTGCCTCGTCCGGTAACTTAGTGGTTAGAACGCTCGCCTCCCAAGCGAGAGCGCGGGGGTTCGATTCCAGGGGAGGGTGAAACCTCAGGCAAGTTTCCTCGCTCCACACGTCTCTGTTTACCTGGCGGTCAGTAGGAACTTGGTTGTTAGTTCAATTGGCGGATTACTTTCAGGGGGGGTAATAACCCCTTAAAAAAATAGCTTGGTCACTCAATCCGCGACTGTTCGTGGGACACTGCTGTGCGCAATTGGCTGCCTCGTTTCGCCTGCAATATACAGTTAATTCACCTTACAATATGTTCTTTGAAGTGCTTTGAGTTGTCTCAATGTCGTGCTGAGATGCAATATCAAATGCAAGGATTATTATTATCAACATTATTATTAATTAGTTGTGTTATACAGTCGAGAATGCTGCTGGACCCTGCGTTGGATGTGAAGTGCTCACTGTGTTATTTCTCTCCCCCCCCACCCCCCGCTCTTAGCTGTTCCTTTCCCACCAGCCCATCGTTTGAGGATGAAGGAGGTTTACCAGGAGGGGAAGCCAAAGTTGGAAACGTTGAAGAGCCATTTTGTGAAGGAGGGGAGGTTGGAAGAGGAGGTTGCTATTCAAATAATCGACGACGGTGCCATGTTCTTTCGCAGAGAGAAAACACTCGTGGAATTGGACGCTCCAGTCACAGGTCTGACACTCCCTCCTGCCCCCTTTCCTGAACCCTTCAGCTTCTTGGGATCAGGAGGGTTAGGGAGGGTGGACCGAAGGTACGGTCGGTCGAAGAGGAGGGTTCTTGAAGGAGGTGAGGGAGGGGGCGAGGCAGAGGGACTTGTGGGTTCACAGAGCCTGGCGGGGAGAGGAACGAGCTGCAGAGTTCAGAATCATCTTCAACACGAGGGCTTGCACCAGAGCTGTTGTTTGGATTCGGGGTGGCGGGGGAGAAAGATGACCATAGCGGTGGTCAAAGAGGAGGACCTTGAGAAGGGCTCTGGGATGGAGTTCCAGAGGTTGGGGGCAGAAAGGCTGAAGGCTTGACCACCGAAGGTGTGGCGGGCAGGGCGGGGGGAGACGTGAAGCAGGCCGGTGCCCGCAGAGCGGAGGGAGCAGGAGGGTTGGTCCGGTTCATAAGGTCACAGAAGTAAGATGGGGCGAGACCGGAGAGAGAGAGAGAAAGATGTGCTTTGTGATGATCTTGTTATTATGCTGCTGAATTCTGTGCATCTTTCTCCAGCCCCCATGTTGTGCGAACATTATGTAAGTGCTTGTATCAGATTAATAATTACATGCGACTCAAAAGACTACAAAGGAAGCATTGTGCAGCACCGTGTGCTTTTATTTTCCTGTTGCAACACAACATGCAGTGGAATGCTGTAGCGTGTTGGTTAGAGCACTCACCTCGCAAGTGAGATGACCTGGGTTTGATTCCTGGGCAGGGCGAAACCTTAGGCAAGTTGACTTACCCCACACGCCTCTGTTTCCCCAGCAGTGAGTAGGAACCCGCTTGTTAGTCGATTGGCGGATCGCTTTTCTGGGTGTAATAATCCCTTAAAAAAATTGATCACTCAATCCACGGCTGTTTGTGGGACACTGCTGCGCGCAATTGTCTGCCGCGTTTCACCCACAAAATAGTCAACTCACTTTGCAATATGTTCTGTGAAGCGCTTTGAGGCGTCTTGAAGACGTGATAAGGCGCTGTATCAAACGTAAGGATTATCATTATGACTATTATTATTGTAGCTCTTGCATCCCTAAATAAAATGATTGAGTCGATCAGCAGAGGCTCACTCACTGTCCACGTCTAGAAGACTTTACGACGGGGAAAGAGCAGGGAATGGGATTAGAGTGGAATTAGCTCCAGTGTGGGCAGTTAGCATCAGAAAAGGGAAAGGAGGGGTCAAGGACGGAGGGATTGAGGGAGAGTGTAGCAGAGTCTCGGGGCGCAGTGGCTGAAAGTGTGGCTGTTGATGGTGGAGCGGAGGGCACGTGGGACAAGCAGGAGGCCGGAGCCAGTCGAGCGGAGGCTGTGGGTCGAGGAGGTACACTGAGACAGGTGGCCTTTCTCCACTGTGAGCCTTCTACGATTTTCACCGTGTGACCTGTCCCTCACGAGTGACGGCTACACGAATCTTTGGGAACGATTGACTGGAAGCGCTCGGCATTCAGTTCAAAGCGTTGCGAAGTGGGTATTTTTAGCGGAACCAAAGCAGAGCTTCTCCTTTGATTTCCTGTTGCTCGCTCTGGAGGCGGGGGGGGGGGGGGGGGGGGGGTTGTGCTTGTGATCTCCGCAGGGGAACGGAGGCGCTGAACGGACACCCGAGGGTTTCCTGCTCAAGTCACTCGCCTCGCCTTGCAAGCGAGAGGAGCCGGGTCCGATTCCCGGGCGGGTTGGGGGAGAAATCTTTGGCAGGTTTCCTTACTCCACACGCACGCTTCGGTTTATCTAGCAGTCATTTGGAACCCATTGTTAAGTTGATTGGCGGTTCGCTTTCTGGGGGTAATAATCCCTCCAAAACAATGCACCCAATCCTTACATTTGATAAAGCACCTTATCGTGTCGTAGAGACGTCTCAAAGCTCTTCACAGAATATACTGTAAAGTGAATTGACCGTGTATTCTGTGGGCAAATCGTGGCAGCCAATTGCGCACAGTAGTGTCTCACAAACAGTCGTGGGTTGAGTGACCCTTTTTTTGGGGGGGGATTATTACCCTTGGGGAAGTGATCCACCAATCAGCCAACAACCTACTTACTAAATATATTGTAAAGTGGAGTGACTGTGCCTAACGTTTCACTCGACCCGCCCGGGGAATCGAAACCGGGTCCTCTCGCTTGCGAGGCGAGCGCTCTGACCACTACACTCCAGGACTCCGCTATTCACCAGCGTGTGTTCGACCAGAGAGTTTGTCCAGCTGTGCGTGACTCCGACACCCAACGGCTCCAATCCTGGCTGCTCTGTGTTACAGTGTGTGGTGACATTCACGGTCAGTTCTTCGACCTGATGAAGCTGTTTGAAGTGGGGGGTACGCCCGAACACACCCAGTATCTCTTCCTGGGAGACTACGTGGATAGAGGCTATTTCAGCATAGAGGTGAGTGGCTGTCCTGTGTTGTGTCATCGCCAGGCTTTGTTGCCCGCTGTGAGGAGCGAGAGGGAGGGAATTGCATACAGCGGGACACCGGTCTCACACGTGGACGTCAAGCTTTGATTTCAATCATTCGAGGGCTCTGGAGGACAAGAGGGGTCGGTGGGCTTAAATGTCACGCTTAGAACTAAATGCTTTAAGGATATTCCTCTCTGTTGTCAAGCGCCTTGTTCAAGAGCTTCTTTGTCAACCAACAACAACTTGCATTTACATAGTGCTGTCCCCACACACAATCTGAGGCTGCAAACCCTGTTTGTAGTTTCCTAACATGTAGGAGTATATCATCTTGTATTCCCTCCCTCGCCTCCTTCAAGGCCCTTCTCAAGACTTCTTTTTTCGACCGGGCCTCCGATCACCCTCCAATTCCCACCCTCCCTGCCCTCCACTCCTCCTGATCTCAACCCCCAGCTCTGTTGTCCCAAATCCCTGACTGTCCAGCGCCTTGGGACGTTCTCCTGACGTGAGAGGTGCTGTATCATAGAACTTTACAGCACAGAAGGAGGCCATTCGACCCATTGTGCCTGTGCCATCTCTTTGAAAGAGCTACCCAACTCGTCCCACTCTTAACCCCATAGCCCTGCACATTTTTCCTTTTCAAGTACCTATCCAATTACCTTTGGGAAGTGAGATAAATGCAAGTTGTTGCTGCTGCTGTTGTATCCTCAGCCTCTCCACACTTCCTGATATCTAGAGTCCAACCAGAATCGTTGGGTCTTGTCTATTGTTAGGCTTAACCCTGGAGTTCAGATCATTAATAATGGCAAACTGGATGTTGGGACAGAATTGTAGGATTATATTAATCCTCTGGTGTGGTAGATCCAGCTGGGCATAGAACAGTTTTCTCTGCCTGGTGAAGCAGTGACTGGAGGACAGCGATTTAAGATAGTTGCTGAATGAGCTAAACGGGAAGAGATTTTCAGGAGAGCCGGCGTGCGTGGCTGACTAACCTGGTTCTTGCTGTTTGTCACCCCCCAACAGTGCGTCCTCTATCTGTGGACCATGAAGATTCATTTCCCAAATTCACTTTACCTGCTGCGGGGAAACCACGAGTGCAGACACCTGACGGAATATTTCACCTTTAAACAGGAATGTGAGTATGCGTCAGCCCCACATACACTCCGTCCACTCTACGGTCGGCTCATCGGGGTGTGGGCTCGGTATCCTGTTCATTGGTGTATTTTGTGTCTGTGAGTGTGTGTTACCTGTGTGTGTGAGTGTGTTACACGGATGTGTGTGAGTGTGTTACACGGGGGTGTGTGTGTGTGTGTTGCACACCTCAGTACAGGCTGTTCACAAAGGAGTGTAGTGGTTACAGCGCTCGCCTCGCAAGCAATAGGACCCGGGGTTTCGATTCCCGGGCAGGTCAGGGCGAAACCTTAGGCAAGTTTCCTTACTCCACACACCTCTGTTTACTTAGCAGCAGGTAGGAACCCACTTATTAGTCGATTGGCGGATCGCTTTCTGGGGATAATAATCCCTTCAAAAAAAATTAAAATAACAACAGGCTGGTCACTCAATCCAGGACTGCTAACGGGACGCTGCTGTGCACAGTTGGCTGCCGCGTTTTGCCAGCAAAGCACACAGTCACTCCACTTTACACTATATTGTGTGAAGCGCTCTGAGACGTCTCAAAGACCCGATAGGCTGCTATATCCAATGCAGCAATTATTATTATTATTATTATTATCACTGCTCCTAAATTGCTGCTGCTCTCTAATGCCACCCTGTGGTGCCTCAATGCTTTTAACGTTATTGCAATTTACTCGAGTGTTTGGGATATCTCATGTTAATCTGCTTTGTTAAATGTCAGATGCGGGGATTGGGATCATTGCCCTGCATTTACCACAGACCTCGGACTCCCGTTTATCATCTTGTGTGTGCGTGCGTTAATCTATATTAATGATAATATTCCCTTGTCTGATTCACCGTCAGTGCAGTTTCACATTGAACTCCGATTTCCACCTCCGGCTCCCGTACTTTATCTCCCCTCGTGGAGCTGGTTTCTACGTGTGCATCCAACCTCTCGTCCACTCCCTCGTCACCTCCCGCCTCGACTCCTCCGACGCCCTCCTCGCCGCTCTCCCCAGCTCCACTGTCCACAAACCGCAACAAAATCCAGTTAGCCCAAAACTCCGCCGCCCGTATTCTCGCCCACAATAAACTCCGCCCCTCCCATCACGCCAGCCCTCGAAGGAGAAGGGGAAGGAGGCGAAAGGCTGAGGGCCCGATCACTGGAGGTGGGGCGGGCGGGGCAGGGACTTGGAGCTGGCGAGCGGAAGGAGCGGGCGGGTCGGTAGGGTCAGCGGGGGACAGTGGGGGCTTTTAGGAGTGAGGACGAGGAATGTGAACAGACCACGGGGGGAGATGGGGAGCCAGGTGAGGGCAGCAGTGACAGGCTCGCAGAGTCTGGTGTGGGAGCCTCTCTGAATGCCTTAATTTACGAGTCCTCTCTCTCTCTCTCCCTCCCCTCTCTCCCCCTCCCCCCACCCCCCAGGTAGAATCAAATATTCGGACAGATTATACGAGGCGTGTATGAATGCGTTCGACTGTCTTCCTCTGGCTGCGCTCGTAAACCTCCAGTTCCTCTGCCTTCACGGGGGGCTCTCGCCAGACGTTAACGACTTAGACGATATTAGGAGAGTAAGTATACACCTGACTGCCAGCAACTGATCTCTCTTAACCGTGAACCTCAGGCAAGTTTCCTTACTCCACCCGCACGCCTCTGTTTACCGAGCCGTGAGCAGGAACCCGCTTGTTAAGTCGATTGGCGGATTGCTATCCGGTGGATAATAATCCCTTTGTTAAAAAAAATAAATCTTTTTGTCGCTCAATCCACGGCTGTTTGTGGGGACGCTGCTGTGCGGAGTTGGCTGTTGCGTTTCGCCCACAAAACACAATCACTGAACTTTACAGTGTATTCTGTGAAGCGCTTTGAGACGTCTTGACAACGTGACGAGCTGTATCAAATGCAAGGGTTATCATGATTATTATTATTATAGCCGTATCGTGAAGTACAAAGTCCCGCACGACCATTTCAAGGATTATTATGATTACAAGGGTGAGCTTTGCACTCGCAGAGCTGATAGCGAGATGTTATGTTCTTCACATCATTCTCTCTTGTTCTGCAGTTAGACCGATTTAAAGAGCCCCCACCCTTTGGACCCATGTGTGACTTGCTCTGGTCGGACCCCAATGAAGACTACGGCACTGAAAAGACCTCCGAACACTTCACTCAAAACACCGTCCGAGGCTGCTCCTACTTTTTTAGGTGTGTGTCCAGTTTGGCCTGGTTCCCGTATCATCCTGTCCGTTCAGCGGGCTCCGGCCTGCTTCACGTCCCCCACCCGGCCCAATCCGCCAACAATGGTCGGGCCTTCAACCTCTCTGCCCCCACCCTTTGGATCTCAACCTCACAGTCCCTCCACCTCGCCCCATCCTTTGCCTCCTTCAAGGCCTGTCTCAATACCCTCCTCTTCGACCGGGCTGCTGTGTGGAGCTTCCTCTTTGTTCTAATGTTTGTCATTTCCTTTTACAGTTATTCTGCAGTTTGTGAATTTTTACAAAACAATAACTTATTATCAGTCATCCGAGCGCATGAAGCCCAGGATGCTGGGTAAGTGGCCAAGTCTCTGCTTATCAAACTGTCCCTGTAAACACCCAGCCCTCTGTCTATCACACTGTCCTGGTAATAACTCCAACTCCAATAATGCCCACAAAACATGCAGTCACTACACTTGATAGTATATCCTGTGAAGAACATTGAGACGTTATAAGGTCCGATATCAAATGCAAGGATTATTATTATTCTAACTTCTGCCATCACACTGTCGCCATAAACACAAACACACAGACCCCCAACTCCTTCCTTATCATCACACTGTCAGATTCAGCCAGTACACCCTGGAACTCCCTGGCTCAATCCCTCCTCCTCGCCCCCTCTTTGCCCATCATCAGATCGCACCCGAAGACCTTGCTCTTCGACCGTGTCTATGGTCACCTTCTCACACTCTTCCCCTGGCTCGGTGTCAGGCTCCGCCACTGTTGAGCGCTGTGTAAATGCAAACCGCTGCTGTTGTTTTCACAGGTACAGAATGTACAGGAAAAGTCAAACGACCGGGTTCCCGTCACTAATAACCATATTCTCAGCACCAAATTATCTAGATGTTTATAATAATAAAGGTGAGTTAGTTCTGAAATATTTCCTTTATCAATGAACCGGCTACGTTCTGTAAAGTGGAGTCCTGTAGCGTAGTGGTTAGAGTGCTACGGTGTATTCCGTGAAGCGCTTTGAGGCGTCCCAACGACGTGATAAGGATTATTATTGTTGTTATTGATAATAATTTTTACTCCTCTTCGCAGCTGCTGTATTGAAGTATGAAAATAACGTAATGAATATTAGGCAGTTCAACTGTTCCCCACATCCCTACTGGCTACCCAACTTCATGGATGTCTTCACATGGTCGTTGCCCTTTGTTGGTGAGAAAGGTAAGTGTCCTCGACAGCTTGCATTTTATATTTGCAGTGGAGTCCTGTAGCTCAGTGGTTAGAGTATTCGCCTCGCAAGTGAGAGGACACCGGTTCGATTCCTGGGCGGGGCGAAACCTTAGGCAAGTTTCCTTACTCCATGCACACGCCTTCTCGTTTACCAGCAGTAAGCAGGAACCCGGTGGTGAGTCGATTGGCGGATCGCTTTTCTGGGGTTAGTAAAAAAAAATATGGCCACTCAATCCACGACTGTTTGTTGGACGCTACTGTGCGCAATTGGCTGCCGTGTTTCGCCCACAAAATGTACAGTCGATTCACTTTACAGTGTATCCTGTAGCTCAGTGGTTAGAGCACTCGCTTTGCAAGCGAGAGACCTGAGTTCAATTCCAGGCACAGGGCGAAACCTTGGGCAAGTTTCCTTACTCCACACAGAGCCTAATAATAATCCCTCCAAAACCAAAAACAATAATAAATTGGTCATTTTCAATCTACGACTGTTTGTGGGACATTGCTGTGCGCAATTGGCTGCCGCGTTCGCCCACAAATATACAGTCAACTCACTTTACAGTGTGTTCTGTGAAGCGCTTTGGGACGTCCTCCTGACGTGAAAAGCGCTATATCAAATGCAAGGATTATTATTATCCTGTGAAGCGCTTTGAGATGTCTCGAAGACATGATAAGGCGCTGTATCAAATGCCAGGATTATTATTATAAGGCGCTGATTGAATGCCAGGATTATTATTGTATAAGGCCTTACGCGCTTCTAAGCGCTTAAGGTTTTCCGTGAAGTGCGGTGATTATTTGCAGGCAGACACAATCTTTGCAGAGCTAACAGTGCAGTGCCATGGGAGGAAGCTGTACACAGTATATAATTGTACACAATAATAATCTTGCATTTAACTCCCGTCTCTTGCAGTTACGGAGATGCTCGTCAACGTCCTAAACATCTGCTCAGATGATGAGCTGGAAGATGAGGTCCTGGATGGTGAGTTTGTGGAGACCCAACTAATCACCCGCACTAAACTCCGTACCCGTGCCATCACCGAACGGATCGATTTCAAGATCCTCACAGTCGTCTTCAAATCCCTTCATGCCCTGGCACCTCCCTACCTCTCCGACCTGCTCACTCCCCAACCCACGACCCTGGCTCCGGCCTCGTGCCCTCCGCTCCACCATCCGTGGCCGCGCTTTCAGCCGCTACGCCCCGAAACACTGGAACAGTCGTCCCCTATCCCTCCGCAAGTTGTTGTTGGTGGAGGTGGAAGACGAACTGGATGGACCTTGGTCTTCTTTCGCCTAAGAAAATTCTTATACTTTCCGAAGCGAAGCTGCCAAAGCATCCTCAAAGCCGTGTTGGGTTGATGGCAGAAAGAGATGGTTCTCTTCCCGCTGTTCGGATTCCCCTCTCTCGATAATCTCGCTGACGAGGACAACTGTTGGAATTACTACTCGAGAGGGTTTGTCTCCAAAGCTTCGGGAATTACAGGCAGGCGGGAACCTGTCTGATCTGAGGATTACTGACCTGACCCACGTAGTTAGCGTCCCTCCATCTGCACAGTGACGTGACCAATGTCTGTCACCGTCAGCGATGGGGCTGTGCCGAGTAAAGCCACCTGTGCCTGGCCCTACCCTGTGCTGATGGGCTTTAAGCGCTCCGCAGGTTTTGGTTGCTTAACCCTGCGCTGGTGGAAGCTGAGGTGTTGTGTGTTGTGGGTTCCAGGTGCCCAGAATGCTCGCAAGGAGGTGATCAAGAACAAAATCCGTGCGATTGGCAAGATGGCGCGAGCTTTCTCAGTTCTGCGGTAAGAACACGGCGCAAAACTGCATTCTGTTCATCGCCTTGCGCGTCTCCTGTGATCGGAAGATTGTAGAGCGAGGGTTTTCCTGTGGGAAAGATGAGATCAAAGGGGGCGAAGGGCCTTCTTCAGCCGCGACCGGTCTTGCGGCGTCTGTGTAAACCTTTCCCTGTTTCTGGCCTCTCCCAACAGAGAGGAGAGCGAGAGCGTCCTGGCGCTGAAGGGGCTAACTCCGTCCGGTCAGCTGCCCTTCGGCGTGCTGCAAGGGGGCCGCCAGACCCTGGAGACGGGTGAGTACGAGCCTTTGGGATCTGAGATTCTCTGCTGCACTCTCCCTGGCACGACACGCTTCAGGTCCCAGGGCCTATACGTGTCTCCTCTCGTCGGGACAGACACCAGGCCCCAGAGGAGGCATTTAATATTAATAATAGCAATAATAATACGACTGTTTGCGGGGCACTGCCGTGCACCATTGGCCGCCGCGTTCCCCCCCCCCCCCCCGCAGAATACCCAGTCGTTCCACTTCACGGCGTATCCTGTGAAGGATTATTATTATTATTAGTGGGAGTAGCAGTAGCAGCAGTCGATGCGGACAGTTAGTTGAGGTGCAGGGGTTTCCTGAGGCTGGGGGGGCGGGGGTCTCGTTGCAAGCGGATATTTGCACAGTCGTCTAGCGTTTTAACGGGTGGGGCCGGGGTGGTGGGGGGGGGGGGGGGGGGGGGGGGGGCAGGTGGGACGTGCGTGGAGAAAAAATAACTGACGCTGAGAAAACGGAGAGGGGGTCGGAGGAAAGGTTTGGGGGCTGTGCCGCACTGTGCTGTGCGCTTGGTGGCCAGCAGGCGGCGATGTGGCCTCGCCCACCTGCACTCGGTGAATCATTGACCGCAGAGCTCTGGAGTTCGACTCCCCCGGTCAACTCCCCCCCCCACCCCCACCCCTCCCGGTTATCGGTCACTTTAAGCCGTCGGCAGCCTGTGTTGGCACGTGCTGTTGCACTCTGCGCCCGTGAGGTTGGGTCTTGCGCGAAGGCCCCTTTGACCCGTCCTCTCTCTCTCTCTCTCTCTCTCTCTCTCGGCTCTTTCCGAGCCCGTCCGGCGCGGCTTCCTCCCAATTCCCCCTCGGGGCTTGTCGAGCGCATTCTCTCGCCCGAGCGTGTAAACTGGACCCGGCGCAGTGTGTGAGCCCAGTGGCGGTGGGGGTGTCGTCACATTGCTCTGTTCTGTCCTGAAAGGATTTGGCCCCGCAAAACACATGGTCAAATCCACGCGACGGTGTATCCTGTGAAGCGCTTTGAGACGTCTCGAAGACGCGACGGGGAGGGGTTGGGGTTTGGGGGCTATATCAAATGCGAGGAATATTACTATTATGAGTACAAGCGCAGACAGTCTGGCTGGCTGACAGCAGATTGAAGCGTGGCGGAGGACGAGGGGAGAGTTTGTGAGCACACTGGTCTCTCCCCGGGAGTCGCTGTGTCGGGGGTTGGTGTCAGACTCGGGGCGTCTATGTCAAGGAACTAAACAACAATCCTTTCTTCTCTTTCTTTTGCATGCTGCTGCTGCTGCTGATCTCTATCCAGCTGCGATTGAGGCAAAAGAGTCCTCGGAAGGTATGCATGTGCGAGTCTGAGTGTTGGGTCCGCGTTGGCTGTCCTCAGGCTTTAGCGAGGGAGGGGGGGGGGGGGGGGGAGAGTCCTTAGGAAAAAGAAAAGAGCAACATCCCGGCCAACGTCCACAACGTGGAGTCCTGTAGAGTAGCGCCGAGAGCCCTCGCCTCGCAACTGAGAGGACACGGTTGTCAGTCGATTGGCGGATCGCATTCCGGGGACAATAAAAATACAACAATAATAATAGTCTGGACACTGAAATCACGGCCGTTGCGGGGACGCTGCTGCGCGCAATTGGCTGCCGGGTTCCGCCCACAAAATGCACAGTCACTACACTTTACAGTATATCTTGGGAAGCGCTTTTTGTTCTGTTGCCGGGAAAACGCTTTGCTTGTTGGTTCTTAATTTCTCTTCCCGCCCCCCCCCCACCCCAACTCTCTCTCTAGTCACTTTAACTAACTAACTAACTACACTAACTCACTAAACTAAACCGCGAGGATGTTTTGGCTCGGCGCTGCTTGACCTCTTGCCCCTCTTGTCTCGCAGCCATCAAGGGATACACGGCTCAGTACAAAATCAAAAGCTTCGCAGAGGCCAAGGGCTTGGACAGAATCAACGAACGGATGCCTCCGCGTCGGACCACGGCGCCAACGGGCGACCTGCTGAACTCACAGACTACCGTGCAAGTCAAGATCACGAAAAGCTCAGATGATTCTGGAAAGTAGTCGCCCTCCCACCCGCCCATCCGTCCCATTCCGTTTCCCAACCCAACAGCCGTCCGTCCGTCCCCCTTAACTCCGTCCCGCCAGGTTCTATTTATTTATTAATGTAACTGCTTACGAGATGGGAGCGATTTTTTTTTTTTTTGAATCCAGTTTTCTTTTCCGCCCCCACCCAACACCCCGTCCCTTTTTTTTTTCTTCCCTTCTTCTCCCCCCCCGCCCCGTTTCCCCCATCCCCTCGCGCGCGCGCCCGCACGCGCGCGTTCTGTCAGCCGGGCTCGCCTCCAACCCCACCCCCCCCCCGCCCCCACATTGCGGAGCAAGTGAGCGGTTTGGAGATATCAGAGGAATGTTCCTCGGCCGAGCCGACTTGACCAACACACGACTGAATAGCAAGGATTGATTTGCAGGTGATTATGATCCCGGTAGAGTTCTGTCTCACACTCCTGGCTCGTCAGCCAGGGTCCCGTCCGTCTGTACAGCTCGTGAGACTAGCACTGCACACTTTTAATGTAGGCTGGGGGAGCTGTGCGGTGTCAACCTCTTAATCTTCCCTTCAGGCACGAACGCACGTCTTTTTTAAGTGTTGTAAAAGCCGCTTTGACGTGAGGGAGCGGGGAGGGGGTGGGTGTGTGTGTGTGTGGAACGAGGTGCTCACACAGCTTAAACATGGTGGGTGTTGGGGGGGGGGGTTTAAGTCACGTAATGTTCATTCCACAGCAGCGCTGTTGCGTTTTTCCTGCTGCCTGGTGACCTTCCCGAGGAACTCTTGATCGCGAGAAGGCTCCATCCCAGGGGTTTCCAATTGCCGTTCTCTGTTCGTCAACTCTCACTAACTGACCTGGGATCCTCTCTGACTCACTGACCGGCCGATTGACTTGTTTTCTGCTGAACGAGCGCGAAGGAATAACGGACGCGAGTGTTCCCGGAGGAAGAGAGGAAATGCAGAGAGCAGTCACCTGTTTGTCGGATCTTTGACTCAATTTGTGTTTTAACGGAGAGAGAGAATCTTGCAGAGGCTTGTGTGTGTGTGTGTGTGTGTGTATATATATATACACACGCGTATATATATATACACACACACACACATACTTGCATCAAAACTATTTTTGTCCAAAATGAACACCTGCAAAAAAAAAAACATTGGTTTCCGCCGTCAGTGAGAGCTTGAACATCGCGTACCGAAGCCTTTGCTCCGCTCCGGTGAGGAAAGGGTGCGGATGTGTCTTTCCCAGCGACTCGGCAAGCAGTCAACAGATCAGGGTCTGTAAGGAGTTAACGTTCAAGAGCTCCCAACTGTGTCTGCGCGCACTTCAAAGATACAAAGGATGCGTACAGCCGCACTTAACACGTTGATGTCTGCCTGCAATGCATGTACAACTCTGTACCCTTTAGTGCATGTTCCCTGTTCTGCTACACAGCCCCAGGTATACCAAACTATCATCTGTATCTTACCAACTCTGACGTTTCTTACTCTTTCCACCCCCCACCCACCAACCCACCACCACCCCCCCCCTAAAAAAAACTAGTGTCTTTCTTTCTCTTTCCCTCTTTCTCTCGCTATTTGCTTTTTGGCCCCTTTATGTTTGAGTTAGGTGGTTAGTGGAATGGTAAAAGCATGTTTCGCCCGCACCAGAAAGAGCGATGGCTCTTCCAACCAAGACGTGGACCAACGTGTTGGGGTTCCTTGCAAAAGCCTTGCTCAAAACTCAGATGCCAGTATTACATTCCTTTAGCCCTCTCGTCAGTCAGGGTTCTGTGCTCTCCAACCTGCCCCATTCGGATGCTCTCTAAGATGGAGTAAAACTTGGTGTTGGAAATCCAGCTATTGTTTTTTTTTTCTCTCTCTCGGAAGCGAAATTGTTTTCTTTCAAATACAAGACCCTCGAATTTGCCGGGACGTCGAAACTCGAACCAGTGTCCGCGTCAGTGGACTTGAGGTACAGACCAGCCACAATCTTATAGAATGGCGGAACAGACTCGAGGGGCTGAATGGGCTCCTCCTGTTCCTATGTTCCGACAGCAGTAGAGTTGGCCTGTGACTGACTGAATCGATTGGGAACACAGGGGGAGGGAAGGAAAGTGACCGCAGTTATTAATGTCATGTCTCCCGAGTCGCGTGTACTCGGGCCTTGTAACTGGGTGCTTGCTGCCTGTAGGAATCGGGGACCCTTTCATTTCGCACCCCAACTCTCTCTCGCTAAAACACACAGGCTTCCCCCCCCGGCTGCCCAGCCTCGCCTGGGTTGGCTTAGAATTTCTCTAGCGTTCCCTCCGGAAGCCTAACCTATTGGTAGCAAGTGACGCTGACGTCCTAACCCTCGCTGCTGGTTGACTGTCAGTGGCCCTGCGCTGTGCTCTCGTGACATGAAAGACCTCCCCAACAGCCAGCCCAGGGTGCGACTGGGGGAGTCAACAACAACAGCTTGCATTTATACAGCCTGCCCCTCACACACGGGTAATATCGGTCACAAAATGCTTCTGCTGCTGCTGCTGTTCTTGTCTGCTCCCTTCCCTCTCCATTGAAAGGTGGTGTTGAGTACGTGTTTGCCGCAGGGTTCAATGTGCCCCCCCCCCCCCCCCCTCTCTCCAATTCAGATTCCTGACCATTCAGAGGGCTCTGGCCATGGATGGAGCTCCTTTTGTGAGTCTCTTGAGCACAGTGTCGTCTCAAGGCGCAGTCCAATGGTCCAAGCCTGCTGCGGAGTTCATGACAAACCTGTGGATCATAGTTATAGGAACATAGGAACAGGAGGAGGCCTGTTCGAGCCTGTTCCGCCATCCTATTAGATCATGGCTGATCTGCACCTCAACTCCAATTACCCGCCTTTGCCCCATATCCCTTGACCCCCTGAGCTGACGAACATCTGGCCCCCCCCTCAGTCTTGAGACCGTGAATGGATGCAGCATATTTGCTTGTGGGCTTGGTGCAGCGTCGCTTGTGAATTGACTTGTACAGATAATCTAACCCACTTTGAGCAAAGGACGGGACCCAATCCCTTTGAGGTCACGGTGAGTTCTTTGTTCCTCTGGTACTGTTTGCCCACCTCACCCTCTTCCCCTCCCTCCCTCTCTCTCTCTCTCTCTCATCCCCCACCTCCCCTCACAGTGCGTCTAAAAGCATATCGAGCCCCCCCCCACCCCCCAACGAAACGGTGAGAGCGAGCGCAATGAAAGACGCCGCTCTCACGCGACCTGTTTCCGTCCTCTTGGCTTCCGGTCTCGGTAGGAGTTTGAAGATTCTTTCTTTTGTGTTTTTTTTTAAAAAAAAAAGACGAAAAAATTCTAGTGTTTCCGCAGAATCTCTTTAAGCGTGTGCTTTCGACAGTTGCGTTTTTTTTAACGCTAAACCCGCATCTGCCCCCCCCCCCTCACCCCGCCCACCCTCCGCCTCCCCCTCTCCCCCCCTCTCTCTCTCTCTCTCTCTCTCTCTCCCCCCCTCCGCCCCCCCCCCCCTCTTTCTCTCAGGAGGACAATTCTGCCATTTCAATATGTTTGGTTCTACGTTTTGTTAACTCGTGTTTTTTTTTGTAAGTGCATCAATTTTAAAAAAAAAAAAAACGTCTGTTTCTAATTTAGAGCAGTTCCGAGGCAGATAGATAGCAGACTTTTTTTTTTCTCTCTTGTAACAGAAATTTACAGATTAAAACTTATGAGTTTGGTTTCATTAGAACGGGCTCTGGGTTACGTTTTCGTGTCATACTTTCGAGTCTTGACGAGGCGGTTCGATGGTGTGTGTGCGCGCGCGCGTGTGTGTGTGTGTGCACGCGTGTGTGCGCGTGCGTCAGTGTGTCAACGTTGAAGGCCAAATGAGGTGTCACCTTCAAGTTTCCAGCAAAGTGTGGAGTCATCCCACTCGCCTCCTGTTAACCCTACAAACCAAAGCCCTAATGGGGTCGGGTGGATGAGCAGTGGGAAAGCTCGCCAGACTGCGCTCTCAATGACAAGCTAAGACTCCAGCAGTTACCCCAACGCACGCTCTCTGGGCTTCCCCCCCCCCCTCCTCCCCCCGAACCTCGCCAACCTGCGCCTAATACTCTCCGGAATTAGGTGAGCAGAGGGCGTCCCTCCAGGGGGAGAGAGAGAAGGAGAGCGCATTCCATTCCAACAGTCTATCTCTGGGATTCCCGCGCGTAGGTGGGATGCGTGGAATTCTCAGTCGGGTTTGCAGACTCTTAAGCAACGACGGTGATGGGTTTCCGTGTGCGTGAGTGTGTGTCAGACACCCGGCTGGGCAAAAAAAAAAAAGAAGATAAAAATTGCTGTGCGGAAAGCTTTTGTTCCCAGGTGGCAACTCTGCGCCGAATGAGCCGGGACAAGCAGCGTTCCGGACTGGAATCCTGGAAAGCCGATGACTCCGCTTCACTCCAGCCGTCGCAATACGGATGTCCTGCAGGTTGGAGGAAAGCTCGAGCTCCCTCTGTGCGAGGAGACGTGTCGGGCGATATCAGGCAGGACTCGTTTTAGCGTAGTGGCTTAGCGCTCTCACCTCGCAAGCGAGAGGACTAGGTTGCGATTCCCGGTCGGGGCAGAACATGAGGCAAGTTTCCTTACTCCACACTCTTGTTTGCCTTAGCCAGTAAGTAGGAAGCCGGATGTTAGTCGATTGGCGTGGGTTATTCTCCGTGGGCGATAATCCACTCTGTGAGGGAAAAATATGGTTCACCGCTGTGCGCAGTTGGCTGCAGCCCCACAAAATATTCTGTGAAGCGCTCCGAGGCGTCTCGAAGACCCTGACAAGGCGCCGGGTCAGACGCGAGGGTTACGATTGTGTTTTTGTGTCTCTTTTTTTTTTAAAAAAAAAGAAGAAAAAAAGAAAAAGAGGCTCTGGCTTGTTAGTACACCTCAGTCTGTGTGCGACGTTCGATGGGTTTGGCTCGAGTGAGTGTCTGGCTCTGTTTGAGCTCAGTGGAGCTTGGTTTAATATGCAGGTGCACATGCTGAGCCGCACATCTCAACACTCTCCCATTCTTTCCATCATGTGATTCTCTTTCACCGAAGCCGTACTTCCTTCCACCGTGTCAGTTGCCTGTTAAGCGTTGCCCCAAACACAAGCCAAGAACACAGTTTCTCCCAGCGTCCAAGCCAATAATCTCCCCCCCCCCCACGCGCGCGCACACACGCACACGCACACGCGCGCGCACACTGGGGGCAGAGAATCATCCCACTCTGTTAACCCTGCAAGCCAAGGCCAGCGGTCTGAGCTGGTCAGGTTCCAGCCGTTACCCCACCGACGTACACTCCGAGCCTTGGCTCTCGCCAACCTGCGCCGAAATGCTCTCCAGCATAGAAGGGGGAGGGAGGCCATTCAGCCCCCTCGAGCCCGTTCCGCCATTCTGTAAGATCGCGGCTGATCGAGTCCATTCGCTCGAGGTGCATTCGTCAACGGACTTCATTTTTGCGGGGTCGTTGCTCTGGGACGCTGTCCGGGGTGGAGGGCGCTGTAGAAATCCAAGTGGTGGTGGTGGTGGTGGTGGTGTGCAAGTCGGCTGCTGTGTTGGCAATAAGTTCCTGGGCAGCGTCGTGACTTTTACAGTCTAATCCAAGCGAACGATTGGCAAGTTATTAACCCAATAGCAACGGTGTTCGTGGAGATAAAAAAAAAAGAAGTCGTGTAAATGTTTTACCAGACCAGAGGGCTTTGCCTGGCGTCGCAAGGCGAGGTAACCCTGAACACCCCGCCGCCACTTCCGTAAACGGTGATGACAGCTTTTCTCCGCGGCTGCCGAGCGAATCGCCGGAGGGTTTCGCCGAAGCTCCCGGTCGGAGGCTTTTGAACGGCAGCCGAGCAGAGGGAGCGCGGGAGGAGAGAGAGCGTGGGCTTGTGTAAGTAACACTCGCGCGAGTGTCACTGGGCGTGAGAGTTTGCTCCGGCTTAACCCTGGCGGCCTCCACATTTCTGTTTGACCAACCCCCCCTCCCCGCCGCCCCACCACCACCCGGCTACTCTCTCTCTCTCTCTCTCTCTCGCTTTCTTTTCACCCACAAAGTGCAGTCACTTCCGCTTTACGGTGTATCCTGCGAAGCGCTTTGAGGCGTCTCGACGACGCGATCCGGCGCTGTCCGGAATGCGAGGGTTACTATTATTTTTTCTCTCACTCTCTCTCTCTCTCTCTCTCTCTCTCTCCCTTCCCCGCATACGAGTGTCTGGCTGCCTCTCTCCGCCAGCGCCTGTGCCCGCAAACACCCCTCACGCATTAACTGTTACGGCCGAGTTCACTGGCGTGTGAGGTGAACTCTGTCCCCGAAGCGATGAAGCGGAACTCCTTCAGGTCGCGAGCTCTGTGCCTTGTACGCTCTCTCTCCGCTGAACCTGTTAACTCCGTGCAGCTATGTACACAGAATCCATTTCCTCTGGTGGCTGGCGGGCGGGCGGGGGGCGGGTGGGGGAGTCCAGAACTAGGGGTGGCATCCCCTTAAAATCAGAGCTCGACCATTTAGGAGTGAAATCCGGAGGCAGTTTTGCACAGTGGTGGGAATCTTCCCTCACCCCAAACGGCTGTGGGTTAACAGCTGGATCCATTCACCGTGTCCAGGCATTGAGGTGGAGCGATGTTTGTGAGGGTCGGGGTACCAAGGGCTACGGGAGGGGGCAAAGGCAAAGGACGGTCATTGGAGCTGAGGTACGAGATCAGCCATGACCTTATCGAATAGCGGCACGGGCCCGAGGGGCCGAATGGCCTCCTCCTGCGCCTGTGAGCAAACAGAAACTGTCGTGTAATGATACTAATCTCGAAGCAACTTGAAAGTCTTGTGCGTGCCAATAAAAGGACAAAGGGCGAGTAAACAGGGCGCGGGGACTTTCCTTATTGTCCTTTTCCTTTCTGAACTGAGCGCGGGATGATGATGATGATGATGATGATGATGATAGTAATGATTATAATCCTTGCATTTGACAGAGCGCCTTTATTGGAATATACCGCAAAGTGCAGCGACTGTATTTCATGGGCGAAACGCGGCATCCAATTGCACACGGCTGTGTCTCGCAAACAGTTACGCAGTGAGTGACCGATTTTATTTGGGGGATTGTTGGCCAGGACACGGGGTGGGTGTGGTGGGGGGGGGGGGGGGCGCGTGTCGGTCGGTCGGGTCGTGGGAGAGAGAGAGAGAGAGAGAGAGAAAAGCTCCCTTCTCTTTTCGAACAGCGGGAGATATTTAACGTCCAAGTGAATAGGGCTCAGACGGGGAGCGAGTGAGGTTTAACATCTCAGCCGAATGACAGCGTCTCCGACAATGCAACACCCTCCCGCCCCCCCCACCCACCCCACCCCACCCCAGCGCTGAGTTAGAGCGTCAGCTTGGACTGTGAGATTCCAAGTTCCCGACGTGCGAGGGCACGAACCCACAATCTTCTGACTCAAAGCGGTGTGTTTGAAGCGGGATTAAAAAGCGGAGTTTCTTTGTATTTGGACCTTGTTGACAACGGTCTTTTTTTTTTCTCTCTCTCTCTCCTCTAATTCTCCCCCCGCCGCCCAGTCTCACAGCTGCCGGTCGGTCCCGGGTCCTTGATGTGTTGAATCATTCCTTCAAATTAGATCATTCCCGTTGGCTGCCAGTTCTCAGAAGGGAGGGCGGGCTGGTGGAACAGAGTGGGGGGGAGTTAGGCTGTATCCTGTTGGTGGCGCCTTAATCACTGCTCCCGTCAAAACTCCAGGAATAATCCCGTCAGTGGTCAGAGCACTCGCCTCGCAAGCGAGAGGACCCCGGGTTCGATTCCCGGGCGGGGAGAAACTAAAGCAAGTCCCCTTACTCCACCCACCCACACACACACACACACCACACACACACACACACACACCACACACACCCACACACACACACCCACACACACCCACACACACACACCCACACCACACACACACACACGCCTCTGTTTACTGCGCGGTAAATAGGAACCCGATTGTTAGTCGATTAGCGGATCGCTTTTCCAGGGGTGATAATCCCTTAATGAAAAAAAATTTGCTCACTCCGTCCAGGGCTGTTTGTGAGGGGGGGAACGCTGCTGTGGGCGCAATTGGCTGCCGTGTTTCGCCCACAAGCATACACAGTCACTACGCTTTACAGTGTATCCTGTGAAGCGCTTTTGAGACGTCTCGACGAAGCGATAAAGCGCTGCATCGAATGCGAGGATGATTATTCCAGTGAGGAGCCGGGTTTAACTTGACCCACACTGCTCTCTTGGCTCTGTTTGCTTTTTTTATCCACAGTGTGATCAGGACTCTGTGGGTGGGTGGGTGTGTGTGTGGGTGGGTGGGTGTGATGGGGGGGGGTGTGTGAGGGCGTGTGCGAGGGTGCATGTGGAGGCGAGATAAGTGGGTCGGAGGAGGTGAGAGGCACCGAGGGCTGTCACAGCTCTCAGTGCTGATGGCTGGAGCCCTGTTTGGGTTGTGCGGCAGGAAAAGGAAGGGCAGCCTTTCACTTTAGCGAGCTGGCCTCCAGCCTAACCAACACACACTGCGAGGATGGAGATTGCCCCTCTCTCTCTCTCTCTCTGGCTGCAGATAAGAAATCAGCTCACAAGGCAATACTCGCTGCACTGTTCGTCCTGTAGCTCAGCGGTTAGCACGATGACCTCGCGAGCGAAGAGGACCCGGGTTCGATTCCCGGCCGGGCAGGGCGAAACCTTACCCCCCGCGATCGCACACACACACACACGTCTGTTTACCAGCAGTAAGTAGGAACCCGGTTGTTAGTCAAGCGGATCGCTTTTCCGGGCGTAATAATCCCTTAAAAAAACATTGGATCACTCAACCCACGGCTGTTGGCGGGGACGCTGCTGTGCGCAATTGGCTGCCGCGTTTCGCCCACAAAACACGCAGTCGATGCACTTTACAGTATATTCCGCGAAGCCCTTTGAGACGTCTCGAAGACGCGATAAGACTCTACATCGAATGCAAGGATTATTAATCTCCCGACGCGAGGCTGCCTGCTCTGGCCTCCTCTGAATTCGGGTCCCGCCCTCTACTGTAAATATGGATCTAATTGAAACCCAGCTTTAACACATCACAGAGTCAGAGAGTGAGAGAGCGAGAGAGAGAGAGAGAGAGAGAACAGGGTGAGGGTTAAGGCTGACCCACCCACAGCAAACGGGCAGGTTTTGTCCCAGGGATTTATTTTTGTGGCTGGATGGCATTCAAACATCTCTGAGCTCCTGTTTGCCTCGTTTCTTTTTTAGCCCAACACTGCGCTGTGGAAACTATTACACACACACACACACACACACACACACATGCTCTCTCTCTCTGACTAACTGACTGACCTTCCCCTCTTAGCCTCCTGCGAGCAAGCATAAACTGCAGCGAGAAACAGAAGTGACATTCAACGCAACGCAACTCCCAAGAAGGCAGAGACTTTACTGGAGTTCACTGCAGATCAGAGAGAGAAGGAACCGTAAGTGACTCTTTCAAAACTCCAGGGGGCCGTGAAAAAAAGTTGCTTTTAATCCACACTTCTCCTTTTAAGGAATAACTTGTTTTGTTTCTCTCTTGAAGTTAGTCAGCTTCCAGGCTCTGTTTTGCCTGGCATTTGTTTAATTTAAAGGCGCTGTCTGTGACTCTGTGTGTGTGTGTGTCTGTGTGTGTGTGTGTGTGTGTGTCGCGTGTCTGCATGTGTGTTCCTCTATCTTGTTAAGCATCATTTCAATTTGTCGCAAATTGTGTCTCGATAATGCCGGACTTGCACAGATTCCCCGTGAAATAAATGTGTGAATGAATAAGTGTGCGCGGGTGTGTGTGTGTGAATACGCGTGAGTGTCAGTGAGCAAGTGTGGCAGCGTTTGTGAGAGCACGTGTCGTATTGCGCCTCTGTGTGTGTGTGTGTAAGCGGGTGTGTGCGCACGAATGTGCGTGCATGAGGGTGTGTGTGCATGTGTGTGCGCGAGCTTTTCCAATAGTGCTGCGGGGCGATCGTTCACGTCCACCTGAACTGTGAGACCGGTTTAACATCCCATCCGAAGGGCAGCGTCTCCGACAATGCAACACACGCCAGCGGTGCATTGGAGCATCAGCTTAGACTGTGTGACTTCAAGTCCTGACGTAGGGGCTTGACCCCACAACCTCCTGACTGAGCCAGGTTGGGATTTGAGTAGATCATTAATCTACTCCAGTGAGCATCTAATACCGAGACTGACACAACGGGGCTCTTATTGCGTTGTAAGTTTATCTGAGGCCGACACACACACACACAGAGTACTGACTCTCTTTAACGGGCACTTTTTGGGGGGTCAGCCGGGTGTCTGACGCACGCGGGAACCCATCACCGTTACCTAAGAGTCTCCAAACCCAACTGAGGATTCCAGACCTCCCACCGACACATGGGAATCCCTGAGATAGATTTTTGGAATGGAACACTCTCTCTCTCTCTCTCTCTCTCTCTCTCTCTCTCTCCCTGAGGGACGCCTCCTGCTTACCTAATTCCGGAGAGTATTAGGCACAGGTTGGCGAGAGCCAAGGCTTGGGGGGGTGGGGAGGGAAGCCCAGAGTGTGCGTTGGGGGTAATTGGTGGAGTCTGACCAGCTAAAACCACGCATAGCTTGGCCATTGAGAGAGAGAGAGAGAGAGAGAGCGCGCGCTGTCTGGCCAAGCTTTCCCGTGGCTTGTCCAGTGAGGACCACTCTACCTGTTATGGCTTTGGCTTGTGGGGTTAACAGGAGCTGAGTGGGTGGATTCCCGTGGGGCGTTGGTGCGGGAGTGGAGATTGCATATCAGATCCGCACATTGTTTTACATAATGGTGTGAGCTGTTGAGTGTGGGGTGCGAGAGAGCGCTGGGGGACGGTGCAGGCACACAGACGGCTTTCAGTGTTAAGTCTTCCGAAATACAAGGGGGTCAAATTCCAACCGTGAGGTGGGAGGGAGGAATATTTCGCAACTCGGTCACTTATAACTGAACTGTGACTGTGGAGTCCGTGGCGAAGTGGTCAGAGCCCTCGCCCGCAAGCAAGAGGACCCGGGTTTGATTCCCAGGCAGGTGGAGGATGAAATCTTAGGCAAGTTTCCTTACTCCGCGCGCGCACACACACACACACACACGCGCACACGCGCGCCTCTGTTTACCAGCAGTGAGTAGGAACCCGGTCGTTAGTCGATTGGCGAATCGCTTTTCCAGAGGGTAATAATCCCTTCAACAACAAAAAGTGCGGTCACTCAATTAACGACTGTTTGTGGGGACGCCGCTGTGCGTAATCAGCTGCCGCATTTCGCCCACAAAATGCAGTCACTGCACTTTACAGTGTATCCCGTGAAGCGCTTTGAGACGTCTCAACGCCGTGATAAGACGGTATATCAAATACAAGGGTTATTATTAATTCCATATGCATATATACACATATAATAACACTCTCTCCCCTCAACCCTCTGCTCGTCCAGCGAGGACCACCCTCCCCTTTAGGGCTGTGGCTTGCAGGGGTTAAAAGGAGCCGAGGGGGAGGATTCCCTACCCCCGGGGACTGGTCGGCCCTTCCAGATCCTGCGGATGAGCCAGGACCTGTGAGGACCTGCCTCATCGACATCAGCAGTGCCCTGAAGTGACAAGGCCTATAATCTTGCTCAAATACAACCCTTTCTATGGCAGCTGTGTTTTACTGAACTCCCAGTGTAATCCTTCCGTCGTGACATCAGTGAGAATGAGATATTCTTGTCCCTGACTCCAACCTTGGCCCCGGCCAACGCCCGCTCAACCGAGATGACTCATTTCAATCCCAAGCCCGCTGCCGAAAATAGCAACAGTGATCTGATAATCATCGGAACGATCAATAATACTAACAATTGCTGTGTTTGGTAACAGGGCTTTTTTTGTGAAACGTCTCAAAGCGCTTTGCAGGGCTTTACCGTGTGCTTTGTGTGCCAATTTGCGCCCAGCGAACAGCCGTTAGGCGAGCGAGTGAACAATTTTTATCGAGGGGGAAAGGTGGGGAGGGATTCTCGGTCAGGATGCGGGGTGGGGGGAGGGGAGGAGAGAGAGAGAAAAACTCCCTTAAAAAATAATAATCATAATTTGGTCACTCACTCCACGACTGTTTGTGGATCACTGCGGTGTACCACTGGCATTTCACCCACCAAATACACAGTCGCTGCACTTCAGCGTACTCCGGGGAAGGTGTTCTCGACCACGGGCCAAGGCGCAATATTAAACGCCAGGATTATTATTATTAATTGTCTGAGCCTCTGGCTGGGCTCGGGCCTGTGTGGCACGTCCTCTGATGACTAACACTGTCCCATTAAGTCAGATTTCTCTCACCCACGACTTCCCATTGCAACCAGATGCTGGGCCGGGCGGCTCTCCGCAAAGCCATTTGTGCTTTGTATTTTTAGGCAACGCGCAGCAGCCAATGTGCACATAGCAACGCAGCCCCACCAACAGCCACGGAGCGAGCAACCAATTTTATCCGGGGGATTGTCGGACAGGACACCGGGAGGGAAGGAGGGAGAGAGAGAGAGAGAGAGAGAGAGAAACTCCCTTCTCTTTTCCCCGATCTTACAGGAGACCTTTAACGCCTGCCTGACCGGAGCGCGGGGTTAGTCTGCGCGCGGCGTGAGCGTGTGTCAGCCCTCGCATTCAACGCAGCGCCTCTATCGCGCCTTCGAGACGTCTCCCACTGCGGATTTGCGCGGCGGCGGCGACCACGACAACGACGACGACGGGAAGTTGCCTTCGTGCGGCGCCTTTCGGGTCAGGAGGACCCCCCCCCCCCCAAGGCGCTGGGGATCCGCAGCGCCGTGTACCCGAAGGCGGAAAGGTGCTGCGTTAACCGCGAAGGCTGAGGATCCTCGCGGAGCTGCGCTGGCGGACGGCTGTGGTCCCTGACGTGGGCGAAGCGGCGCCGCACTGCGTGACCGCAGGAGGGCGATGTTCACCTTCCGTCCGAATGGCTGGGAAGAGAGCCGGAGGCGGCCGAGTTTCTGGGAAAGCCGTGGCTGTGTTCCCTCGGGTTATCCCGGCTCGGCCTCTCGTCTCCCAGAGTCGGAACTCCGTCAGGATTGAGCTCAGGGTCCAGGCTGACGCTCCAGCCCAGCGTCGGGGTGGGGGGGGGGTGGGGGAGAGAGAGAGAGAGAGCCCCACATTGTCGGAGACACCGTCCTTTGGAATAGACGTTAAACCTCACTCGCCCACTCCCTGTTCTGACCGAGGTTCTGTCTCAATTCAACGTCGGTTCTGGGTTGAGACAGAATAAGAACAACGATAGCAATAGTAATAATAATAATCCTCGCATTTGATACCGGCCCCCGATCACGTCTTCCCGACGCCCCAAAGCGCTTCACAGGTTTCGCCGCAAAGCAACGTATCCGTGGGCGGGCGATACGTGGCAGGATTGGCTGTAAAAGCCATTTGTCTGTGCTTTGTGGGCGAAACGCGGCAGCCAATTATTGCTCCCGTAAACAGTCGTGGATTGCGTGACCCAAGTTTTTTTTTCGTTTGTGGAGGGGTTTTTTTCCCCTGGAAAGCGATCGGCCAATCGACTAACAACCGGGTTCCTACTTACTGCTGGTAAACAGAGGCGCGTGCGTGTGCGTGTGCGTGGAGTAAGGAAACGTGCCTCCCTAACGGTTCACCCTGACCCGCCAGGGGATCGAACCCGGGTCCTCTCCCACTACACTACAGGACTCCTCGAGAAGCGCCGAGGGCTGAAGCCCAGAGCTTTGTATCCTGACGTTCCCCCTCCAGCACAGAGTTCGTGTGGTGTGTGGTGTTGTCGGATGGCTGAAGGCCCACTGTTAGTCTCGGGACTCTCCCTTTCACACTGTAACTAACAATAAGACTCCACTTTGATTGGGAGCTGCTAGTTTTATAGCGTGGGTGTGATCCCAAATTATTCCCACAGCTCACAATGGCTTCTGTGTCTTTGCTAACAGGAAGTTGTTGGCAATATTTTGTGTGTGTCTGTGTGTATGTGTGTGTTTCTGTTTGTGTGTGTTTTTGTGTGTGCGTTTGTTTGTGTATGTGTACCCCTCTCTCTCTCATTCTATGTATATTTGTGCGCGTCTCTCACGTTCTCGCTCCGTGTGCGTGTGTGTATGTGTGTCTCTCTCTCTCTCTCTCTCGTCTTTTGTCTCTCTCCCTTGTTCCCCTCTTTCTCTCTCTCTCTCTCTCTCTCTCTGCTTCTCCCCCCGACCCCGCGCAGAGAAAATTTCCCAGGAGACAGAAGTGTCTGAGCGTGAACAGAGTGACTGAAGAGCTGAATGGGACTGTGACTGTGGCAGAGGCTTTTGTGCTGACAGTGAATGTAAGAGCCACAGCTCGGCGCAGGGTTGTCTGTCTGTGTCTCTGTGTCTCCGTGTCTCACTGCACATCGTTTCTCTCAGCTAAAGCTTCCCCCGACCCACCCACCCACCCACCTCCCTCCCAGAGAGACACACAGCCCAGCCATCCAGCCCAAACCATTGCAGGTACTTTATTTTTTTTGCCCGGCCGGGTGTCTTGAACCCGCGCAGGAACCCGTCACCGTTGCTTAAGAGTCTCCAAACCCAACTGAGAATTCCATGCGTCCCACCCACACATGGGAATCCCCGAGGAAGTTGGTCGGAATGGAACGTGCTCTCTCTCTATCTCCCTGGAGGGACGCCCCACCCCCCCCCCACTGCTTACCTAATTCCGGAGAGTATTAGGCGCAGGTTGGCGAGAGCCAAGGCTTCGGTGAGGAGGAGCCCAGAGTGTGCGTTGGGGATAACTGCCGGAGTCTAACCAACTAAACCCACACATAGCTCAGCCATTGATATCGCTGTCCGGCCGAGCTTTCCCGCTGCTTGTCCAGCGAGGACCCCCCTCCCCGTTAGTTAGGGCTTTGGCTGTAGGGTTAACACACAGGAGCTGAGAACTGTTCTGAGAAGTTCTCCACAGGATTTCATTGTAAAGTGTAGTCACTGTGTGTTTTGTGGGCTCTCTCTCTCTCTCTCTCCCACCCTCCCACCCTCACTAGGATGGAGCATCAGCCTGGACTGTGAGCTCAGGTGTGTGTGATCAGTCTCCACGCTCCCCTCTATCCCGCTGGGAATGTTAGCCTTCGGGAATGAAAGCGCTTTCGTTGGGTTGGGCAGCGAGTTCGCTGTCAGCCGGGATATCTCATGTTGGTGCTGCAACGCCTGAGAGTGACTCACGGCTGAGCTCAGACTCGGAAAAGTGGACATAACATTGTGGTGTTAGGGCCTCCGCAGCCTCCGCAGCCTCATGGGGCATCACACACAGACGGGAGCAGCGAACTGAGCACAACACAACAGAGCCCTGTAGCTCCGGGGTTAGAGCGAGCGCTCGCCTCGCAAGCCAGAGGACCCGGGTTTGATTCCCAGACGGGTCAAGGCCAAACCTTAGGCAAGTCTCCTTACTCCACACACACCCACCCACCCGCATACACACACGCCTCTGTTTACCAGCAGCAAGTAGGAACTCGGTCGATTGGCAGATCGCTTTTTCAGGGGTAATAATCCCTTCAAATGTTTTTTAAAAATCCACGGCTGTTTGTGGCGGACGCTGCTGTGCGCAACTGTCTGCCGCGTTTCACCCCCAAAATATACAGTCAATTCACTTTGCAGTGTATCGTGTGAAGCGCTTTGAGACGTCTCAAAGACGTGATGAGGCGCTGTATCAAATGCCAGGATTATTATTATGTTATTATTCTTGTCTTAACAGTCGGACGGAGACGTGAGAGGAGGTGAAGCGGGGGTTTGTGTGCATGTGTGCGTGTGTACATGATAACGAAACCGGGACCGACTCTGCAGTTCTCAAACATGCAGCCTGAGGTAAGCGATACTCTCTCTGTGTCGCTCTTTTCCTTCTGCCCACCCTCCCCCTCACACTCTCCTCACTCTCCTCTTCCCTCTCTCCCTGGGGATACTCTGTAAACCCCATTTCCTTCTCCTGCCAGTAGTGTGCGTTCTCCCTCTCCCCCCCTCTCTCTCGCGCTCTCTCTCCCTCTCTCTCTGGCCTCTCGAGTCAGTGGGGTGTTGTGTCGATAAACCTCGCTCCCCCGCCCGCCTGTGCCCTGTTCAGGTGGACGCTAAAGATTTCCCACGGCACTGTCCAATAAAGAGAAGGGAATTTCTCTCCCCCCACCTCTCTCTCTCCCTCTCTTCCGGTGCTCTAAGTAAAACTGTTCGTTCATCCCACGGCTGTTTGTGGGGACGCTGTTGCGCGGAATTGGCTGCCGCGTTTCGCCCCCGAAATACACAGTCACTTCACTTTACAGCGCGTCCTGTGAAGCGCTCTTGAGAGCGCTGCCGACTGACACCCAGACCCTTGTCTTCCCGCAGGACCTCCCTGGATCCCGTCCCAAAATATTTCACGTTTCCCGACATCGGAGTTTTCACCTCCCGGAACAGGAAGCCATCGTGATGAAGGAGACCTCTATCCCTCCTCCTCCTTCTGTTCCTGCTCCGCTCATCCCATCCCTCTGTCCCCTCTCCTGCCAGGACTCCTCCCACCTGGAATTCCCGTCCCTGGACGACTTCATCCCGCCCGGCCTGCAGAAAGGCGGATTCCGTGTGCCCCCGGCCGCCCCTCGGAACGCTGTATCCCTGGGGCAATTTCCACCGCCTCCACCCGCGTCCGGCTGTGTAAGAAAATGTCCGCTCACTGGGGCTTGATGGACCGACATGGTATCGATCAGTCTGCTCGGCACCCGCACCATCGCCGGTCAGGCCTTCAGCCTCTCTGCCCCCACCGTTTGGAACTCCTTCCCACAGTCCCTCCTCCGTCTTGCCCCCTCCCTCGCCTCCTTCTAGGCCCGTCTCGTAGACCCTTCTCTTCGACCAACCGCGCCTTCGGTCACCCTCCGACCCCTCCCGATCCCAACCCCCAGCCCAGGTCCAAATCCGACTGTCCAGCGCCTCGGGACGTCCTCCCGACGTGTAAATGACGTGTTGTTGTTGTCTCTCTCTCCCTCGGCTCAGCCTCCAGTTGTTCAAGGAGCACGAAGGGCCAGTGAGAGTTACCTCGGCCTCCCTCGCTCACCCGGGCTGGACGCCGGTAAGTGACCCTTTATCCCTGTAGCTCCGGGGTCAGAGCCCCTCGCCTCGCAAGCCAGAGAGACCCGGGTTCGATTCCCGGGCGGGTCAGGTCTGGGCGAAACGTCGGGCAAGTTTCCTCACTCCACAAACTGTTTACCGGCAGTCAGTAGGAACCTGGTTGTTAGTCGATTGGGGGATCGCTTTCCCAGGGGGTAATAATCCCTCCACAATATGATAATAATAATGTAATCAGTGCTGTGTGCCATTGTGCTGCCATTTCGCCCACAAAAATACAGTCGCTACACTACACAGTGTGAAGCGCTTTGGGACGTCTCAAAGACGTGATGAGGCGCTACATCAAACGCAAGGATTATTATTATTATTGTAGTGTCCTCGGTTGCTGGGGGTCCACAGGCAGGGAGTTTGCGTAGTGGAGCCTGGAATGCAACGAAGGCGAGAGTGTGAGGGTCTCGGGGGGTGAGGCCGTGTCGGAGCCGGGCGACATTGCGGAGGTGGTGGTGGGGGGGGGAGGCAGAGCTTCGCCTCGGGCGGGATTCACACGCCCACACACACACACTAACACGTTGCCTGCCTTTCCCCGTTGCCAGGCGCCGGGTTGAATGGACGCTCCCTGCCCCCGCCTCGCCCGGCACTGTGGGCGGAGAACCGCAAAGACTCGCGGGAGAAGAAGTGGATCAAGTACGAGGGAATCGGGCCGGTCGATGAGGTCGGGATGCCCATTGCCTCCAGACCAGTAAGTCCCCCCCCCCTCCCTCGCCTGAACGCAAGTTGTTGTGGTGTTGGTGGTGGTGTGTCCCGCGGGTGGGGAGGGGGTGGGGAGCCGCGCGGTGTTTTAATCGGTGGCTGAGATTGTCTTCTTCCGAAACAGAGTGTAAACAGACCCAAGGACTGGTACAAGAGCATGTTCCGACAAATCCACAGGAGGCGTTCAGGTAAATACTTTGCAGCAAACGCACAAACACCACCACCACAACAACAAAAACAACAACACACAACATTTTACACGGCCCCTCTCAGGTGGTCCCAAGGCGCTGGACGGTCAGGGGCTTGGACCCGAGCTGAGCTGGGGGTTGGGATCAGGAGTGTTTGGGGAGGGTGGTGGTGGGGGGCGTGAGGAGGGTGACCGAAGGCGCGGTGGGTCGAAGTGGAGGGTCTTGATGGAGACGAGGGCGGGGGGCCAGGCGGAGGGAGTGTGGGATGGAGTTCCCAAATGGCGGGGGGGGGGACGGACAGAGACTGAAGGCCCACCCGCCCGATGGTGGGGCGGGCCGGGTGAGGGGTAGTGGGGGGGGGGTGTGTGCGCGGGTGGGGGGACGTGGAACAGACCGAAGCCCCCTGAGCGGAGGGAGGGGACCGGTTGATGTGGGGTTAGCGGGTCACAGAGGCAGGGAGTTGCTTTGAAGGCGACGAACCGCAAGGAGCCGATGGGCTCATTTTTACACCGAAATCTTCCACCGCCCACACGGTGCAGAATGTGCTGCCAAGTTCCTCTGCGTTGCCCCATTGTATCAGACGCTCTCCTCTCCCAACGTGAGCGCAGATTACAATCTTTGTCAGTCTTTGTTTTTTTGTGGATGGAGGGAGGGAGTGATTGATTGATTGATTGATTGATTGATTTGTGCACTTATTTGCGTATTTATTTGTGCATTTGTGTATTTATTTGTGTATTTGTGCATTTATTTACTTGTGTGTTCGTGTACTTATTTGCTCGTCCTTCACGGACAATGTCACCTCCTCTTGCAGACGATGAGTTCGAGAGCGGAGGAGGGTGGAACGTGCCCGACAGTAAGTTCTCCGGGTTCTTTAAAGGAATCGTTTAATTCTGTCGCTCCAGACACGACAACACACGAACACTCAAACCTAAACCTTGGCTTCCTCCTCCTTTCTTATTGAGTGGCAGCCTGGCTCGGTGGCAGCGCTCTCTCTCTCTCTCTCTCTCTCTTTCTCTCTCTGTCTCTGTCGCGTCTGAGTCAGAAGGTTGCGGGTTCCAGACAACCCCCCCCCCCCCCCACACGCACACACACACACGTCAGGATTTGGAATCACGCAGTCTAAGCTGATGCTCCAGTGCAGTGCTGGGGGCGGTGCGGGGGGGGGGGGGGGCGTTCCATTGCCAGAGACACCGTCTTTCGGATGAGACGTTAAACCTCACTCGCTTCCCGTCTGTGCCCTGTTCAGGTGGACGGTAGCGGTGCTGTGGGAAAAGAGAAGGGAGTTTTTCTCTCTCTCTCTCTCACCCTGTGTCTTGGCCAACAATTCCCCCCCACCCCCCACCCCACCACCACTTGATGGCTGTTTGCGGGACATTGCCGTGCGCAATTGGCTGCCGCGCTCCGCCCGCATAACACACAGTCACTACACTGTACAGTATATCCTGTGGAACTCTTTGAGATGACATATCACATGCGAGGATTTTTCTTAAATGGCTTTTTTAATTTTAATTTTTTTTGAAATGGTTATCAATGTTGTGATTGTTATTAATGTTATTGTTAATGTTGTTGTTGTTAATGTGGTTGTTATTATCTTACAGCGGTCGATTCCTCCAACAATGTGACACAACAGTTCAGAAACGGACTTCCAGACAAGCGGGGATTAGACACCATCTTATTGCCGAAGGCTGACTTGCCAAAACACGCCTCCCCCTCCCACGGGTGAGACGTTTTCCTGATTGTTCTGCTGACTGCGAAACTGCTCTCCCCCCCCCCCACTCGCTCCTGTGGCGTTCCCTGCAGCTCAGGGGTTCAGAGGCCCTCGCCTCGCACGCCGGAGGAACCCGGGTTCGATTCCCGGACGGGTCAGGGCGAATCCTTAGGCAAGTTTCCTTACCGCCCCCCCCCCACACACACACACACACGCGCGCGCCCTGGTTTGCTCAGCAGTAAGTAGGACCCAGTTGTTAGTCGATGGGCGGGTTTGAGACCTCCTCCCAACTTGACACGGTTAATGTTAATTCCGAGTAGTTAATTAACAGCCGCTTTGTGGTCAGAGTATGTGTCTGTGTGTGTGTGTGTGTGTGAGAAAGAGAGAGAGAGAGAGAGAGGGTTGGGGGGGGGGGAGAGGGTCTATCAATCGATGCACTTTGAACCCTTTTCAAACCTTGGAACAATGCGGTTGGGAAATTCCTCCGGACAAGACAGACACTCGCACACAATAGAGAAAACAGAATGTTCCAGAAGTGGGGGCTGGCCCGGAGCCAGAGGGAAACGGCTAAAGTCTGCACATAACTGGGATATTTACTCGCTGACGAAACCCAAAACCTACTGTGGAGGTGAGGCCGTTAAAACCCTGCGTGGCCAGGACTTTGAGCTCCCAGCCCTTGGCCGGCTGTTTGTCCCTCGCCCCCCCCACTCCCCTCCGCCGGACACTCTGTTCGCCTCGGTGTTCCTGGGCTGCGGAGAGGGTGAGTGAGTCGGGACACCAGAGCGCTAAGTGCTTTTGAGACGTCTCAAAGACGTGGGTTAATATGGTTGTTACTGCTGTGCGGCTCTGGCGGGAGTGAGAGGGAAATGCTTCAGGTGCGATTACCCCAGAGTCGCAAATACCCCAACTGCGATCACTGGGTCCAACAGAGGTGGCATCGATGTCTCTGCCCACCCCCACCCCCCCCCCCCATTTCTTACCCCCACACCTCTTCCCCTCCTCGTCCCCAGCAAGTTAACAGAATAATAACAATAATAATAATAATCCTTGCATTTGGTATCGCCCCCTTATCACGTCGTCGAGGCGTCTCAAAGCGCTTCGCAGGAGATACGCTGTAAAGTGTAGTGACTGTGTGTTTTGGGGGCGAAACCCGGCAGCCAATTGCACCCAGCGACGCCCCCACAAACAGTCGTGGGTTGAGTGACCAAATGATCACTTCTTGGGGGTGTTGGAGAGAGTGAGGGCGGAGAGGGAGGGAGAGAAAAAAGAGAGAGATGGGGAGCGAGTAGGGAGACTTGAGAGATAGAGGCGGCGAGAGAGGGAGGGAAGGAGAGAGAGACCAGAGGAGGAGAGGGAGGTAGACAGAGATAGAGAGGGGGAGAAAGTGAGTGGGAGGAAGAGAGAGAAAGAGAGAGATAGGGGGAGAGAAAGAGAGGTAGAAAGAAAAAGAAGTGGGGAAGGAATTGAGCTGTGAGTTTGTGTGTGTGTGTGTGTGTGCAGGAGAGTGTGTGTGGTGTGTGTGTGGTGAGTGTATAGGAGTGTGTGTGAGTGTGTGCAGGAGAGTGTGTGTGGTGTGAGTGTGCGGGAGTGTGTGTGTGTGTGAGTGTGCGGGAGTGTGTGGTGTGTGTGCGGGAGTGTGTGGTGTGTGTGGTGTGTGGTGTGTGTGTGAGTGTATAGGAGTGTGTGTGAGTGTGTGCAGGAGAGTGTGTGTGGTGTGAGTGTGCGGGAGTGTGTGTGGTGTGTGTGTGAGTGTGCGGGAGTGTGTGTGGCGTGTGGTGTGTGTGTGAGTGTGCGGGAGTGTGTGTAGTGTGTGTGGTGGGTGTGTGTGTGGTGTGTGTGTGTGTGAGTGTGTGTAGTGTGTGTGGTGTGTGTGAGTGTGCGGGAGTGTGTGAGTGTGTGTGTGTGAGTGTGTGAGTGTGCAGTGAGGTGAGGAATGCCAGCGATGTGATCTGAGCTTCCACATTCCTCCCCCGTCCGTCAGCGAGTCCGAGCCTTGACATCCCAACATGTTGAGATCCGCTCACACAGCTCAGCCGCCCGCGTCCACAACACAGCCCCCTCCGTCTCCCTGGCAACGCTGACACATTACTTGGTATTTCCTCTCTCTCTCTCTCTCTCACTCACTCACTCACACGCTCTCTCTCTCTCTCTCTCTCTCTCTCGCTCTGAAGGAACGATCGCCGGAGCGAGTTGGGAGCTGACACCCACACGATCCACACTCAGCCCAGGAGGAGCTTCCAGTACGGTCCCAGGCGCTCGTCCGTGCCCGAGACGAAGACGGAGAGAGGGCGGGAGACGGAGAGGCAGTGGAAGGTGAGGTGCTTCGCGCACGTTCTTTGGCCCCGGGGCTGATTCGAGAGAGAGGGACACACACACACACACTCACACAGACACTCTTTCCCTCCTCCTTTCACTCTCTCTAACTTTTCCGCCCTCTTTCTCTCTCTCTCTCTCTCTCTCTCTCTCTCTCTCGCCATACCTTCCCCTCTCTCTCCCTCTCTCTCTCTCTGCCTCTCGTTCCCTTTCGCTCTCTCTCTCTCTCTCTCTCTCTGCTTCCCACTCTCCCCTCCTCCCTCTTTCTCGCATTCTCTCTCTCTCTCTCTACCTCCCCCTCTCCTCTCTCTCTCTCTCTCTCTCACAATCTTTGTTCCCGTCTCAGAAAGTTAACTAAGTGTGACAGCTTTAAACACTTACTCACTGAAAGGCTGGGCATTCTCTCTCTCTCTCCCCACCCCCCTCTCTCTTTCTTTCTCTCGCTCCTTCTTTTCTTTTTTCGATTCTTTTCTGTTTCTTTTTTCTGCTCTCCCCCCGCCCATCCCTTTCTCCCTCACCCCCCCCCTTTCGCTCTGTCCAGCTCTCCTCACTCACTCTCTCTCTCTCTCTCTCTCCTCTCCCTCCTCTCTCTTTCCCCTCCCTTCCTCTCTCCTTCCCTCTCTCTGACGTTGAGGAGCTCTCAGATCCCCCCCCACCCCCCCTCAGGTGACGAACGCAATGTAAATGCACGTTGTTGTCGTTGGGTGTAAAGAAATGCCAAGACACTGACATAAGCCCCAGTAACCTCTCCTTTAATGGTCAAAACGCTCATCATCTTTAATCGTATCCTTGTGCAATATCAGTCGAACTGAAGCCATAACAGCTGACGTCTCAGGGCTGTGGATGAGGATTAACTCTTAGAGGAACATAGGAACAGGAGGAGGCCATTCAGCCCCTCGAGCCTGTTCTGCCATTCTATTAGATCATGGCTGATCTGTACCTCAATTCCAATTCCCCGCTTTTGCCCCCGTATCCCCTGATCCCCTGAGCTGACAAACACCTCTCCACCTCAGTCTGGACAACGTGAATGGATCCAACCGTAACCGTGTGTGTGCGCGTGTGGTTCACACCCCTCACTGTCCAGCACTTTGACACGTCCTTCAGACGTGAAAGACACCGTGTAAATGTAAATGTGTTGTTGTTGTAAAGGTAATTTTTGTTGTTTGCGGTGGGATGGGGGGGGGAGAGAGTGAGTGTGCGAGGGGAGAGTGTGAGGGTGTGAGGGGGCAGTGTGGCCTCACTGTCTCTCTGCTTGTTTGTAGCCTGGAACACCAGCTGTGAACTCTAACAGAACCCACTCTGCTTCCTTCGAGGTAAATGACTTCGGGCTTTGTCTTGTCACTTTCTCACTTATACACACTCACACTTACACACACACAGACTGTGCCATAGATCACACACACACACATACACATACACACACCCCTAACACACTGACAAATACACACACGCATTTACACAGACTAACAAACACACACATCCAGCGCTCTGGGACACTACCCTGCATGAGGGGCACTGTAAATGCAAGTTGTTATTGACATGCGCGCACACACACACATGATGCCCACCCTACATACAAACACACATGCAGACACACATTCATATGGAAACACACACATATATATATATATACACACATATAGCCACACGCGCACAGACACGCGCACGGTCAGACGCGCGCGCACGGACAGACACACACGTGATGCTGTGGTGTGGTACTAACCTGCCCTGTGTGTTGGGTTCAGACAACCCTGGAACAAGAGCTGAGGCATCTGGAGGCTCAGTTAGAGACAGACCTGAGGGAAATGGAGCAGTGGCAATCTCAGAGAGCACAGCAGGTACAACCTCTAACCTTACAGCCCTCGCCTCGCAAGCGAGAGGACCAGGGTTCGATTCCCGGGCAGGGAGAAATGTTGGGCAAGTTTCCTTACTCCAACCCGCTTGTTAGTCGATGGGCGGGTGGCTTTCCCAGGGGTAATAATTCCTTCACAATAATAAATAATAATAATTTGGTCACTCGATCCACGGCTGTTTGTGGGGGCACTGCTGTGCGCAATTGGCTGCCACGTTTCGCCCACAAAACCTACAGTCAAATCACTTCACGGTGTATTCTGTGAAGCGCTTTGAGACTTTTTTTGTGTGTGTGTGTGTGTGTGTGAGCGTCTGTGTATGTGCGCATGTCTGTGTATGCGTTTCTGCTTGTGTGTGTATGTGCGCGTGTGTGTGTGTGCGTGTCTGTGCACGTCTGAGTACATGTCTGATTGTTTGTGTTTGTGCACATCTCAGGGTGTGGTAAATGTGCATTGAAGTGTGCGAGAGAGAGAGAGAGAGAACCTGGGTGTGTTTGTGCTATGTTCACTGTGCTGAGGTTGTGTCCTGATCTCAATGAGGCGAGCGCTAGCTAATAGCAAGGCCGATCGCGTTTACACTGTGAGTATTAAATTACAACCTGTCTTCAAATGGAACATTCCTTCCCCACCCCTCCCCTCCGATCCTGACTTCCCAGGCCAGGTAGAGGGTGAGATCCACAGTCAAACTCTCTCTACGCCACAGTGGATTGTCAGACTCTGCCACGGTCGAGCTTCGTGTGACACAAACCCGGGTGGAGGGTTCTAGACAAGTGCAAGTTGTTGTTGTTGTTGTTGTTTTGGGGTTAAAGCTCCTGCGTTGCCTTGGAAGAGAGAGAGAGATTTCCGCCTCCTCGCACCTCCCTTTGATTGGAGTCCCCGTCGCTCAGGGGTTGGAGCCCTCGCCTCGCAAGCGAGAGGACCCGGGTTCGATTCCCGGGCGGGTTGGGTCGGGGCGAAACCTTAGGCAGGGTTCCCTCACTCCTCGCTTGGAGGATGTCCGTGCTCCTGGGTGGGGGGAGGGGTGCAGGGTCCCCTCGGAGCTGAACTGGCTCCACAGTGACGTGTTTGGCAGTGGATTGTCGGAATCGAGTCAGCCCTCTGCGACGGGCTCGGCAGTCTGGGTTTTGTGAGTGAGCGACTGAGTGAGTGAGTGCGTGGGTGAGTGAGCTTGTGAGTGAGTGAGTTGGAGGGAGGGAGGGTGGGTGTGAGAGTGAGTGAGTGAGGGTGTGAGTGAGCGGGAACAGGTTGGAGTGTAGGACTCAGCTGACTGCTGGTTGTGTGGCACTGGACGAATGTGTCTCAACAGCTTTCTCACTGTCTGATTTTTTTTCACCAGGAATCGCGAGAGTCAAAACCCCTCAACGCACCCTCCACATCCGCCAGGTGAGAGACACAGCGAGAGAGAGAGGGAGAGAGACAGAGCACACAGTGACCCAGCCAAAAAGGGTGTGATTCCCTGTTCGTGAGAGAGTGTATGTGTGTGTCAGCCCGGCTCAGTCACTTGTGCTCTCGCCTCCGAGTCAGAAAGTTGTGGGTTCAAGCCTTGGAATCACACAGTCTCAGCTGATGCTCCGCTGGAGCCCTGGGGGCTGTTGGATTGTCGGAGACTACGTCCTTCAGACGAGACGTTAAACCTCACTCCCCGTCTGTCTGCTCAGGTGGACGTTAAAGATCTCCTGGGGGGCTATTGAAAAGAGAAGGGAGTTTCTCTCTCTCTCTCTCTCTCTCCCATGGTGTCCTGGCCGACAAGATAATATCGGTCACTCAATCCATGACTGTTTGTGGGAGTCCTGTAGCTCAGTGGTTAGAGCGCTCGCCTCGCAAGCGGGAGGACCTGGGTTCGATTCCCCGCAGGAACTAACCTTGGGCAAGTTTCCTTACTCCACACACGCACACACACACACACACACACGCGCGCCTGATAATAATCCCTCAAGAAAAAAATAATAAATTGGTCACTCCAACCCACGGCTGTTTGTGGGGACGCTGCTGTGCGCAATTGGCTGCCGCGTTTTGCCCACAAAATGTACAGTCAATTCACTTTACAGTGTATCCTGCGAAGCGCTTTGAGGCGTCTCGAAGACGTGATGAGGCGCTGTGTCAAATGCGAGGATTATTATTATTATTATTCTCTCTCTCTCTCTGATAGTCGGATGGCTTCATCTCCAAGTTGGGATCGTTCCGCTGGTGCCCATCATCCCAATGGCCAACGCACTGAGCCATGGGAATCCCTCGGAGGCACAAGAGGCCGGGATAAATCTCCGTCCCCCAGAGGTGAGCCGGGCAAAGCGCAGTTAGCCTATCGTGCAGTCCCTGTAGCTCAGTGGTTAGAGCAATCCCCTCGCAAGCGAGAGCACCCGGGTTCGATTCCCGATCGAGGCAAAACCTTAGGCAACTTCCCTTACTCCACACACACACACACACACACACCACACGCCCCTGTTTACCAGCAGTAAGTAGGAACCCGGTTGTTAGTCGATTGGCGGATCACTTTCCGGGGGTGATAATCCCTCAAAAAAATAATAATAATTTGGTCACTTAATCCGCGCAATTGGCTCTCACAAAACTTTACAGTGTATTGTGTGAAGCGCTTTAAGACGTCTCAACGACATGATAAGGCGCTGTATCAAATGTAAGGATTACTGTTGTTGTTATGAGGTTCTTATAACATCTTATGTGACGGCTGAGATGTGAGAGGACTCTGGGCAATGCCGTCTCTGTTCTCCTCTCACTGAACACTGATGGAAAACGTCTGCTGTCTGTTTCCTGGTTTGCAGATCCGCTAAATCCCAGGAATGGCTTCCACGGCGAGAGGTTCGGGAGCCAGGAAATCGGGTCCGACTGGCCTTCCAAGCGGGAAGAGAAGAAGGTAAGAGCGGAGAGAGAGAGAGAGAGAGAGTCACTTGGAAAAGGCAAAGTTTGTAGATGGTAAAGACAGTGAGGTACATAGGAACAGGAGGAGGCCATTCAGCCCCTCGAGCCTGTTCCACCATTCTGTTAGATCATAGCTGATCTGCACCTCAACTCCAATTACCCACCTTCACCCCATGAGGAACCCTACAATACAGATCTATGTTTATATCTGGAGTCCTGTAGCGCAGTGGTTAGAGCACTCGCCTCGCAAGCGAGAGGACCCGGGTTCGATTCCCGGGCGGGGAGAAACCTTTGGCAAGTTTCCTTACCCCACACACACGCCTCTGTTTACCAGTGGTAACTAGTTGTTAGTCGATTGGCAGATCGCTTTCTGGGTGTAATAGACTGTTTGTGGGGACGCTGCCGCGCGCGCAATTGGCTGCTGCGTTTCGCCCACAAAACACACGGTCACTATGCTTTACAGTATATTCTGTGAAGCGTTTTGAGACGTCTCGACGACGACGAATGCGAGGATTGTTATTATTATTATTATTCTCCAGTTCCTTATTTTTCACCTTGTCATCGCTCGGGATCGGCACGTCGGTGTGATACGACGTGTACAGTCCCAATCGTCCTAAGCTTCTGTTTTTGTACACTTTATTCTCTTTCCCGTTCAGATGAAGGCAGCCAGAGCCAAGTTCGATTTCCAGGCCCAGTCTCCCAAGTAAGTGTGACCCGATCCGGCTCAGGCTCACACCCGCGATCTCCCCAGTCCGACTGATGGTCAGATTAATAATTCAGTGTGTTGATCGCTCTGTGCGGCTGCGTTCTCAGCTTTCACCTCAACCGGGTGGGTTATTGAATCACATTAACCCGATGGGAGTCGCGTTGAGTCCGCCCTCAACTCTCACAGCTCACCCCCCCCCCCCGTTCAATCCCGCCAGCCTGTCCTATCCCCGCGCCCGCCCTTCAAGCCTCTTACCTCTCATGTACTTCTTTCTGTGGGGTAGTGGTTAGAGCACTCGCCTCGCAAGCGAGAGAACCTGGATTCGATTCCCGAGCGAGTCTGGACGAAACCTTAGGCAAACTTCCTCGCTCCACACACACGCGCCTCTGTTTACCTCGCAGTGTGTAGGTTGTCAGTCGATTGGCCGATCGCTTTCCGGGGAGTAATAATTCCCCCCCCAAATAAAAAAAATGTAGTCGCTCGGTCCACGACTGTTTGTGGGGACGCTGCTGTGCGCAATTGGCTGCCGCGTTTCGCCCACAAACATACACAAGTCACTGCACTTTACGGTATATTCAGTGAGGCCCTTTGAGATGTTTCGAGGACGTGTCAAGGCGCTACATCAAGCGCAGGGATTATTATTATCGTTGTTATAAATCTTGTTGTTGTTGTTGCAGGGAGCTCGCTCTACAGAAAGGAGATGTGGTTTACATCCACAGAGTGGTCGACCAGAATTGGTTGGAAGGTGAACATCATGGGAGACACGGCATCTTTCCAGTAGCCTATGTAGAGGTGAGCTCCATTTTGTGTGTGGCCTTCACGCCCTCCACCGCCTCGCTCCTCCCTCCCTACCTCCCTTACCTCCTCAAGGCTCGTCTCAAGACACTCCTCTTCGACTGTGCCTTCGATCACCCTCCTACCCCCAACCTCCCTGTCTGTGCCTGTCCAGGTGGATGTTAAAGATCTCCCGCGGGGCTGTTCGAAAAGAGAAGGGAGTTTCTCTCTCTCACTCCTGGCGTCCCAGAGAATAATAATCCTTACATTTGACACAGCGCCTCATCACATCATTGAGACGTCTCAAAGCGCTTCACAGGATGTATTGTAAAGTGAATCGACTGCATATTTTGGGGAAGAAATGCAGCGGCCAATTGTGCACAGTAATGTCCCACAAACAGCTGTGGATTAAGTGACCAAATGATTATTTTTTATTTAATTAGCCTTGGAAAGCGATCCGCCAATTGACTAACCACCGGGTTCCTACTTAGTGTTAGGGAAACACAGGCGTGTGTGTGGAATAAGGAAACTTGCCCTAATGTTTCGCCCTGAGCCACCCGGGAACTTAACCCAGGTCCTCTCGCTTGTGAGGCGAGTGCTCTAACCGCAACACTACAGGATGTTATTAATATTTCAGATCATCCCAGACACGGAGAGACCGACCCCCATAAAGCCCCCTCCCATCCAAGTGCTGGAGTACGGAGAAGCAGTAGCAACCTTCAACTTCAAAGCCGACTTACCTGTCGAACTCTCCTTCCGCAAGGTACGTCGTCTATAATCATTAACACGGACATTATTTTTTTCTGGCCAGCCGGGTGTCTGACACACACACACACACACACACACACACGCAGAGAACCATCACCGCTGCTTAGGATTCTCCAAACCCAACTGAGAATTCCCCCCATCCCACCTACACACGGAAATACCAGAGATAGATGGTTGGAATGGAATGCGCTCTCTCTCTCTCTCTCTCTCTCTCTCTCACTGGAGGGACACCCCCCCCCCACCCCCCGCTTACCTAATTCCGGAGAGTATTAGGTACATGTTGGGAAGAGCCAAGGCTTGGGGGTGGAGGGGGTGGGAGCCCAGAGCGTGTTTTAGGGAGAAACTGCTGGAGTCTGACCAGCTAAAACCACACATAGGTTGGCTATTGATATCGCTGTCTGGCCGAGCTTTCCCACTGCTTGTCCAGCTAGGACCCCCCTCCTCCCCGTTAGTGGGGGCTTTGGCTGCGGGGTTAACAGGATTCCCTGCCCCCTCGTGACTGGCCGGCCCTTCCAGGTCCTGCCGATGGGCTGGAATACTGCGGCCCCTCCTGGCTCAGGAACCGGGACTAGAGGCCGTCATGGAGGGTGGGGGGGGGCTCGATTCTGACATTCCATTCCCTGGCAGGTCACCTTGGAGCCAGTTCAGCTCTGACCAGACCCCGCTTACCACCCACCCCCACGCCAAGGGAGGATGGACCTCTTGATCTGCCCTGGGCTTTGATGCCCCACCAATTGGCTTCCAACCCCAACCTCCACCTCAGCGGCTCCGGTTGCTGTGAGAGCAAAGCTTTGCTGCCCTCTCGTGGAGAGTTGGAGATTGCAGCAGATTCGCAGGTCCCCCACCAGCCCCCAATAGGGTATAGGGTGGTCCTGGATGGACAAGCAGCGGGAAAGCTTGGCCAGACAGCGATATCAGTGGCCAGGCTGTGTGGTTTGGACTGGTCAAACTCCAGCAGTTACCCCCCCCACCCAATACATGCTCTGGGCTCCACCCCACCCACCCCCCACCCCCCCCACCACCCCAAGCCGTTGGCTCTCGCCAACCTGCGCCTAATAATATTTAGGATCCATCCCTCCAGGGAGAGAGAGCGTGTGTGCGTTCCATTCTCTCCCTCTGGTGACCTTGTTTTTTTTATATTGTGTTACGATTATTGTCCTCTCTCTCTCTCTCTCTCTTTCTCTCTCTCTTTCTGTCTCTCTCGACGCTGAACATTAGCTGGAAAGATCAAGTCCTCGGGGAGGGCTTGTTGTTTGATACGTTACAATGCAATCTACTTTTACACCGCGCCTTTCACGTCGGGAGGACGTCTCAGATTGCCCGACAATGCTGCGTTGGAAACCGAGCCGGGTGTGGGAACCAAGGTGGGAGGGGGGTGGGGGTGAGGGGGTAGGAAGACGACCGAAAGCGCGGTCGAAGAGATATGCCCTTTTTTTTTTAGACGAGGGGAGCAAGCGAGTGAGTCGGAGGGACTCCGGGGTTTTCCAGAACAAGGGGCGTCATCTTAAAGATTAGAGACAGGTCACTTATGAGTGTAATCAGCGGCAATTTTTCACAACACACAAAGGCCACACAGAAACCTGGAACTCTCTCTCTCTCATTCCCTCCCCCAAAAGCCTGTGGGTTATGTCTGGATCCATTCACATTCTGAAGACTGAGGTGGAGAGAGGTGGAGGGGGGCAGAATGGCCTCGTCTGTTCCTATGGTTTCACATCTCCCTGCGTGTCCTTTTTTCTCTCTTCCCTCTCCTTCCCCCTCTCACCCTCACATCTCTTTTATCTCATATTAACTGTGCTTTGTTTCAAAATACTCTTCCAATTTTACTGTAACTTTTTTCTCTCTCTCTCTCTCTCTCTCTCAATAAAAAAAATCTCCACTTAAGCTTTCCTGATGGCTCAGTGGATACAGAATGGAGCTACCAGGTATAAATTAACATCAACGAGTGACATTTTACACGGAGTCTCTCACGTCGGGAGGACGTCCCAAGGCGCTGGACAGTCGGGGATTTGGACCCGAGCTGGGGGTTGGGATCAGGAAAGGGGTGGAGGGCGGGGAGGGTGGGGGGGGCAGGAGGGTGTCCAAAGGCGCGGGCGAAGAAGAGAGTCTAGAGTTGGGCCTTGAAGGAGGTGAGGGAGGGAGGTGGCGAGGCGAAGGGACTGTGGGGTGCAGCTCCAAAGGGGAGTGGGCAGAGAGGCAGATACGCATTGTGTGAAGCGCTTTGAGACGTCTGGAAGCCGTGATGGGGCCTCTCATCAAACGATTATAATGATCGCTCGCGCTGTTGGCCCTCAGGGAGAGACCATCTGCCTGATCCGGAGGGTCGACGACAACTGGTTCGAAGGAAGGATCTCGGGAACGAACCGTCAAGGGATCTTCCCGACCAACTACGTGCAGGTGGTGAAGGGCCCCAGGATGAAGAACTCTGCGGACAGCTCGGTGCCCCCCGCCTCGCCCACTCCCGTGCCCCCCGCCTCGCCCACTCCCGTGCCCCCCGCCTCGCCCGCTCCCGTGCCCCCCGCCTCGCCCGCTCCCGTGCCCCCCGCCTCGCTCGCTCCCCCGGAACCCCAGAGCCCCCTCACCTCCCCAACCTCCCCCAAAAAGGAATGCTCGGACTCGTTGGCCCGATTGCTCTCCAACCAGAACTTGCTGCACTCATCCAATCAGCACTCGGTGTCGTCCGCACCATCGTCCAATCAGCACTTGATGTCGGCGCCCTCGACCAATCAGCGCTCAGTGGCTGCGGCGTCGTCCAGTCAGTACGTGGTGCGAGTGGCATCGTCCAATCAGCATTCGTTTCCGTTGTCCAATCATCACTCGGCGCCCATGCCTTCGTCCAATCAGCACCCGGCCCCGGCCTCCTCGTCCAATCAGCACTCGATGCCGGCCGCCTACACCAATCAGCGGCTGCCGAGCCCCTCGGCCAATCACCTCCTGGCACCGAGAGGGGCAGCGAATCAACATGGCCGGAGCCCGAGCCCCACCCCCACGGGTTGGGCCTCGGCCAATCACATCGCCTCAGGCCAGCGGACGGAGCCTAGCCCCGCCCCTCCAGCACAGGTCAGACATCGACAACAACGACGACCACTTGCCTTTGCCCAGCGCCCCCTCGTGCAGGACAGCGCCCCAGAGCGCCCCACAGTGGCCGAGCCCCACACGCGGGGGGGGGGAAGGGGGGAGGTGACCGTAGGTCAAACTGGTCAAAGAGGACGGCCCTCAGGCTCGACCTGAAGCCGATGATGATGATGATGATGATGATGACGGCGCTATATTGATGCGAGTTGTTGTATTACACCGTTTACACTTCACTCCTCTTATTCGATAGCAATAATAATAATAATATTTCTTGCAGTTGATACAGCGCCGTCTCACGTCATCGAGACGTCTCAAAGCGCTTCACACTGATTATTATTCGCAGTTGATGTATATCACAACCCAAAGCGCCTCACGGGAGTTTACTGTACGGCGTAGTGACTGTTTTTGCGGGGGGTGGGGGGCGTGTTGGGGGGTGGGTGAAGATGTGGGGGTTCTTTTTGGTGGAGTTCTTGGTGTTGTATTAACTTTTTCTCTTCCCCTCTCCCACTTCGCTCTCTCTGTCTCTCTCTTCCCCCACCTCCCCTCCCCTCCTCGCTCTGTCCACCTCCTCTGTCTCTCTCTCTCTTTCTCTCCCCCTCTCCCCCCCCCCACCCCCGCACAGAGCTGGGTGCCCGCTGACGCCAGCCCACAACCCCATATCGTATTCAATAAGTCCGAGCGAACCCAAGTCACGTCAGCGGGAGGTCCGAACTCTCCGGCCTTGCAGTGGACTCTGTGAGTATAACCTAAAATAATAATAAAATAATAATAATCCTTGTGTCGGACATCGCGGCTTATCGCGTCGTCGAGGTACGGCTGCTGTGTTTAACCCACAAAACACACAGTCGAGTCACTTTACAGTTATTCTGTGAAGCGCTTTGAACGTCCTAAAGGCCTTATACAATATTCCTGTGTAGACGTCCCAAGACGTCCCAAGACGCTGGACAGCCAGGGATTTGGACCCGAGCTGGTGCTGTATCAAACGCAAGGATTATTATTATTATTCACTGTTATTATTAGTCTCTGTGTCGTGACTGTGTGTTTCGTAGGCGAATCGTTGCTGATGATTATCTGTTGCTCCTGTTTGTGTTCTCAGTTACCGAGTGCTGTACAACTATCAACCGTTGAATGGTGATGAGCTGGAGCTGAGAGAGGGAGACTTGGTGGATGTGATGGAGAGGTGTGACGATGGCTGGTTTGTCGGTAGGTTGCGATGCTGTTAATAAGACCCTCAGCTCCTCGCTGTGTGTTTTTTTGCCCGGCCGGGCGTCTGACACACTCTGAAACCCGTCACCGTTGCTTAAGAGTCTCCGGACCCAACTGACAATTCCCCACATCCCACCTACACGTGGAAATCCCAGAGATAGGTCGTTGGAATGGAATGCGCTCTCTCTCTCTCTCTCTGGAGGGATGCGTACCTAATTCCGGAGAGTATTAGGCACAGGTTGGCGAGAGCCAAGGCTTTGGGGGGAGCCCAGAGTGTGCGTTGGGAGTAACTGCTGGAGTCTAACCAGCTGAACAGCAATAGCTTGGCCGTTGATATCGCTGTCTGTTCACCAGCAGTCAGTAGGAACCCCGTTGTTTGCCTTTTTTTAAAAAAATTAAAAATAATAATAATCCTCGCATTTGATGCAGCGCCTCATCGCGTCTTCTCGACGTCTCAAAGCGCTTCGCAGAATAGACTGTAAAGTGAATTGGCTGTACTTTTTGCGGGCGAAACACGGCGGCCAATCGCGCACAGCAGCGTCCCCACAAGCAGCCGCGGTTTGAAGTCACCAAATTATTGTTGGTTTTCATGTCTTGAGGGATTATTGTCAGGCGCACGTCTGTGTGTGTGTGTGTGTGTGTGTGTGTGGAGTGAGGAAACTTGCCTAAGGTTTCACCCTACTGGGAATCGAACCCAGGTCTCTCGCATGCAAAGCGAGTGCTCTAACCACTGAGCTACAGGACTCCGCAAACAATTTGGTTATTCAATCGACGGCGGTTTGTGGGATGCTGCTGTGCGTCAATTCACTCTTCCGTGTATTGTGCGACGTGAATTGAGACGTCTCGGAGGTGTGATAAGGCGCCATGTCAAATGCACGGACTATTATTATTATTCTCAGTCTCACCTCATTCCCCCCCTATCACACAGGCACCTCCAGACGAACACACTTGTTTGGCACTTTCCCTGGGAACTATGTTCAACCCGTGTAACATAGGCGCACGGAAGATGCTTCACCGACCAGCAGAACATCTCAAGAACATTCTCTGCAAATGGGTCCTCACTCCATTTCCCCCCTCTCCCCCCACCACCTCTGAGATATCTCTGCTCACCCCTGCCTCTCTCTCTCTCTCTCTCTCTCTCTGTTGCAATTGACCGTAGCTCGGAACGGAACAGAACAAGTCTCAGCAGAAATGGTCCAAATCTGTTTTGTCTAACGATTTGCGTTAAGATTTCAGCGACTGAAGCCGGTGGGAGGGGGAGGTGACCGTCGGCCACGGTCGAAGGGAAAGGTCTTCAGGCGCTCCCTGAAGACGGGGAAGGAGGGGGCAAGGGGGAGGGATTGAGGCAGAGGAGAGCCTTCCAGAGTTTCGGGGCGTAGTGGCTGAAATCTGTAAATCTTAGATCACGGACTGACACACACACACATACACAAACACACGCACTCAATGGATTGAAGGTCCCAAGCGAGACAAGCCAGCGATTAAACCCACTTCCATTTCCAATAACGTCTTAATTCTCTCTCTAGATTACAGACCCCACACGGCGTACAGGCTCCCTCCCCCCTTTAATGGTTCCAAACCCTTTGAAAAGCAGCTGTAGATGGTGTTCGGAGCCAGAGAGAAAGCGAGAGAGAGAGAGAGAGAGAGACTGGCTGGAGCTTTGTAGCTGAGTTCGGTTTCACGCTGGTGGAAGCTGGTCCACCAGAGTGAAATCTAAATATCTCTCTTGAATATACCTGCACTACTGCTTAGGCCTGTAAATAAAATGAATGTGGTTCACGACGCCTTTCATCCGCCGCGATTTTCTTGTTTTTGGTTTTGTCAGACTCGCGCGGAAACCCATCAGCGTTCCTTAAACGTCTCCGAACCCAACGTGAGGATTCCAGCCATCCCACCTACACCTGGAAATCCCAGAGAGAGATTGTTGGAATTGAATGGCCTGCGCTCTCTCTCTCCCTTTCTCTCTCCCTCGCTCTCTCTCTCCCCGGAGGGAGGCATCTTGTTTACCTAATCCCGGAGAGTATTAGGATTTCCACCATTTTTCAGTGGAGTCTGGTTGGACCTTCAGGTTCTGTGTTTGGAACGAGGTGTTTAAAATAATAAAGGGTTTTGATGGGGCAGCTACAGAGACACTATATCCTCTGGTGGGTGGAGGGAATCCAGAACATTGGGGGGGGCATCATCTCAAAGTTAGAGTCAGGCCATTTAGGAGTGAAATCGGGGGCAGTTTTTCACACAAAAAGTAGTGGGAATCTGGAACTCTCTCCTTCCCCCAAAAGGCTGTGGATTATGGTTGGATCCATTCACATTTTCCAGACTGAGGTGGTGGTGTTTGTCAGCTCAGGGGATACGGGGCAAAGGCGGGTAATTGGAGTTGAGGTACAGATCAGCCATGGTCTGATAGAATGGCGGAACAGGCTCGAGGGGCTGAATGGCCTCCACCTGTTCCTACCTTCCAGTCTCGGCGATGTCAGTGACGAGGAGAAAGGTCACACCAGCTCGAAACCGCCCCACAAATGGAGAAAGTCATTAATTTCCTTGGGTTGACATATTCCCCTGCCCCGGGAGTGGGTTGGGCTGGGTGGGCCGGGGTGGCTTAACGGTGTAATGGGAGGATTTCCAGCTGGGTTTATCGTGCCAGTGAGCAGTGCAGAATGGCAGCAATGCGGTTGAACTTTTGCCAGGGATAACTTTACAGTGGCACACCCTAAACTCAAAGTACACAACAAGAGTGTTTCATTACGCTTTGACCCATCTTAACCTCATGTAGGAATGTGGTTGAGAGTATCTGTTGATATAGTGATCTGCAGAGTCCACCCATCAAACCAAAGCTTGACTCAGAGGATAGCGCTCTATCTCTCTCTCTCACGTTGTCAGAGATGCCATCTTTCGCACAAGTGACGTTAAACCTCACTCGCTGTCTGTGTCCATTCAGGTGGACGTTAAGGATCTTTCCTGTGAGAAAGGAGAAAGGTTTTTTTTTGCTCTTTCTCCCCCGGTGTCCTGGCTGATAATTCCCCGGAAAAAAATAGTTGGCTCCGGGGGGGTAATAATCCCTCGAAAAACAAATATATAAATAAATAATTTGATCACTCAGTCCACGACTGTTTGTAGGACGCTGCTGTGAGTAAATGGCTGCCGCGTTTCGCCCACAAAACACACAGTCACTCCACTTTACAGTGTGTCCTGCGAAGCGCTTTGAGACGTCTCAACGACGTGATAAGGCGCTGTATCCAATGTGAGGATTATTATTATCTACTCCGACTGTGTGTTGTCAGGAGTCTCAGTTCTGCTTCTATTTCAGATACGGATCTCACAAGCCCATGAGGAAGAGAACGAGAAAGAGAGAGACAGAGAGAGAGAGATTTCCTAATCGTTTTACCCGCACAATCGCAACTGGAATCACCGGGCACCAGTCAGCCGTAGGAAGGACAGGGAACTAGAGGTAGGACTGAGGCAGGGACTGAGAGATACATCAGCAACTGGTGATGTAGAGAGAACGAGTGGCCAAGGTTACAGGAGACAGATGGCTTTGCTGGCAGGGAGTGTCTCTCCATCATCCCATCCATTACTCCCAGATCAAACACAGCACGGGTTAGATACAGAGTAAAGCTCCCTCCACACTGTCCTATCATAGAGTCCTGTAGCTCAGTGGTTAGAGCACTGGCCTCGCAAGCGAGAGGACCCAGGTTCGATTCCTGTGCGGGTCGGGGCGAAACCTTGGTAAGTTTCCTTACTCCACACGCACACACACGATTCTGTTTACCTAAGTAGGAACCCTCTTGTTAGTCGATTGATGGATTGCTTTCCGGGAGTAATAATCCCTCCAAAAAGTAGACAGATAAGTAAATAATAATAATTTGATCACTTAATCCACGGCTGTTTGTGGGGACGCTGCTGTGCGCAATTGCCTGCCGTGTTTGGCCCACAAAATACACAGTCAATTCACTTTACAGTGTATTCTTGACATGATATGGCGCTGGTATCAACTGCAAAGATTATTATTATCAGCAGTGTTAGATACAGAGTAAAGCTCCTTGTCTTCTGCCACGTGTTCTGTCCGATCTACTGCCAACAGTGCATTTGCCTTATCAACTGAGGAGACATCTTGATGTTTCAGTGGCTGCGCGTGTAGTAACTGGTGTTTGTGAACTTCCCCTCGGGGCAAAGAGACACTTGCAATTGGCAGAGAAAGGAACTCTCAACCCATCGGTTGAGTGAGACGCTTTGGAGCACGGAGGTCAAATGTGAGAGTACAAAACCCAAAGCTTTCCAGAAAGTGCTTTGCTTCATGCCCGTGGGGAGGGGAGGGGAGGGGGAACTTGCCAGCCAACCCCCTCCCGCGACTGTGGATTGACCTGACGCAACACACAGTCACTGCACCTCGCAGCAATAGCCCTCCCAGATGTCCTCCCGCCCCGAAACACTTTGCACGTTGAACAAAACTGGTTATTTTATTATTAATCAGAGTCGTACCAGCCTCGCGATCGTGTGGCTTGGGGTCTGTGCACAGGAAACGCACACGAGCAGCAAGTCAGCTCGCTCAATGGCAAGATTTATCCTCCACTGATGTGTCTTCTTGCCCTCCCCCCTCCCTGCCCCGTCCCCTCGACTTACTGAGAGAAAGAGGGAGAGAGAATGCCACGCACATTCAATACTGGCTGCACATTGACTCTGTAGTTCCCTTGTTAGCAGATTGCCAACCGCTATTTTTAAAATCTCTTCCGCTGGAAGCGCGACTTTCTTTTCTTCTCCCCCTTCAACCCACACGCCAGCAGAAATGGCATTGATGAGAGACAAACTCCCCCCCCCCCCCCCCCCCTCTCTCTCAGCAAAATAATAAACCGGTGATAATAATAACGCTAAGTCTTGCGTTTGTTATAGAGCCTTATCATGTCCTTGAGACGTCCTAAAGCGCTTCACAGTTTGTGGGTGAAGGGCAGAGGCCAATTGTGCACAGCAGTGTCCTACAAACAGTCGTGGATTGAGTGTCCAAATTATTTATTTATCGATTTTTTAAGGGATTATTACACCCGGTAAAGCGATCCGCCATTTGACTAACAACCGGGTTCTAACCTACTTACTGGCAGATCGCTTTCTGGGGTAATAATCCCTCCCGAATAACAACAACAACAATAATTTGGTCGCTCAATCCACGGCTGTTTGTGGGACACTGTTGGGCGCAATTGGCTGCCATCTTTCGCCCACAAAATCAACTTTACAGTCTATCCGCTTTACAGTATACCCTGTGAAGTGTTATGAGACTTCGCGACGATGTTATAAGGCTCTGTTTCGAATGCAAGGATGATTATTATTATTAGGATTATTATTTTTATTGAACAAGCTGTGTTGGAGTCTTATAGTTTTAAGCGTTTAGGGCAAAATTAATGAAGTGTTGGACACGTTGGTGAAAGGATGTGGGTTGAGACGTAATGGAGAAGGAAGTTAGTTTGAGGTTAGCCAAATTAAATGTGATCTTTAGTTGGATTTTGTCAAAGAATGATCTCAAGAGAGAGAAAGGCAGACAGAGACCTTATAGAGGTGGATCACATGTTAAATGATATCGAAAAACTACACTCACATTAAAAACATTATCATTTAATCATTTAAAATATTATTTTTATTACTGTTTCGTCCAAAATAGCTTATTTCAGAAACATAATAATAATAACCCCTTCAAAACAATCAATCAATAAATGAGAATGATTTGGTCGCTCAATCCACGACTGTTTGTGGGGACGTCGCTGTACACAATTGGCTGCTGTGTTTCACCCACAAAATACACAGTCACTACACTTTACAGCATATTCTGTGAAGCGCTTTGAGATGTCTCAACGACGTGATCAGGCGCTGTATTAAAAGCCAGGATTACAACCGCAACTTGCACTCACATAGCGCTCTCCGCGCAGGATAGCGTCTCAGAGCACTTAACGGTGGCGGAGCCAACTGACTGCTGGTAAACAGTGTGCGGAGTAAGGAAACTTGCCTGAGGTTTCGTCCTGACCCACCCAGGAATCGAACCCGGGTCCTCTTATTCAAGAGTGACCTTGAGTGTCTGCTCATTCAACATGTTCAAGACTGAGGTCGACGGATTTCTGAAGAATAGAGGGATTAAGGGATATGCGGATAGGGCGGGTAAATGGAATTAGGTTAGAAGGTCAGCCGTGAGCTTATTAAATGGCGGGGCACAGGCCCGAGGGGCTGAATGGCCTCCTCCTGCTCCTACGTCTTATGGTTTTATGGACTCATGGGACTCGTGTTTCCAAGGCGAGTTCTCTCACCAGGAGGCTGCAGGACTGTTGTTCTGTTATTCTCTGGGCTTTCACACACACACAACACACACACACACAAAACACAAGAGCGCTAATTAAAATGACATTTTATACTTTGACTTTGTCTGCGGAAGCAAAGGGTTGGCTTCCCTTATGGTTTTCGCTTTGTTCCGGGCCAACCAAAACCTCACTAACAACAATACGCCTGATTGACGAAGCCTCTCCTACCCGTCTCCTCTGTCACGTTCATCGCTTCAGGGACGTCAACGCTCGACCTGCCGCGAAATTCGCACAAATCTACGTCGGAACCTTTTCTTTCTCCCTCCCTCCACCATCAACAACGACACGCGACATTTTCACACGGCGCCTGTCTCGTCGGGGAGGACCGACGAGTGCCGAGGCGCTGGACAGTCAGGGGTTTCGGGCCCGAGCTGGGGGTTGGGGTCGGGAGGGTGGGGGGTAGGAGGGTGACCGAAGGCGCGGGAGAGGGAGCGAGGCAGTGGGACTCTTTCCACCTCACCCCCCTTCATTATTATGTGTCAGCCTGGCTCAGGGGTACCTCTCTCGCCTCTGAGTCAGGAAAGACGTGGGTTCAAGCCCCACATCGGGACTTGGAATCCATGAGGTTCGGAATCGAACTGTCCTCTCGCTTGCGAGGCGAGGGCACTAACCCCGACACCACGGGACTCCACAAACAAGTCCGCATAAAAGTCTTAGATATTATATAAAGAACGTCCTCACCGACCTGAGCTGACGGGGAAACTTAATTCCCTGGATGGGCCTCTCTGTCTCTGGTCAGTTTTAATTTTTAAAACTGATTTCATGAAAGATTAAAGACTTGAATGAAAACCTGCGGGAACTCTGCCACGAAACGCACACCGTCCTTACTGTGTAACTGGCCGACCCGGCGAAACAGACAGCCATTCAGAGGTTTATTTCCCAGCCCCGGGTCAAGGCACTTTTGACGTCCCAAATGGCGCAGTGGTTCGAGCGCTCGCCTGGCAAGCGAGAGGACCCGGGTTCGACTCCCGGGTCAGGGCGAAACCTTAGGCAAATTTCCTCGCTCCACACACACACACGCACGCACCTCTGTTTACCTGACAGTAAGTAGGAACGCGGCTGTTATTGGATCGGTGGATCGCTTTCCGAGGGCAAGAAACCCTCAATAAGAAAAAAATGCGGTCACTCAAACCACGACTACGTGTGGAACGTCGCTGTGTGCAATCGGCTGCCGCGTTTCGCCCACAGAAACACGCAGTCACTTCACTTTGCAGCGCCTGGACTGCGAAGCGCTTTTGAGATTGCGGGCGAGATCGAGGATGCAGGGATTGCTGTCGTGATCGTTACCTGTCGGTTTGACTGAAGGGAGCAGATCGAGGGTGGAGGCAGAAACTAAAATAATTCCCCCCCCACCCCCCCACACCCCCACACCCCGCAACCCAACACAAAATAAGATTTTTTACATTTTTTTAAGAAAAATTTAATTGAAATGCAGTGACATAAGGCGGCGTTATCGCATTTTTCCCTGATGTGTGTGTGGAGTGTTTGGTCTGTGTTGCTATGTTCACTGTCAAAGGGCAGAGAGAGAGACACACAACACACACACAACACTCACAGTGTTGACATGCGGAAGGGGAGAGTGTGTGAGACGTGTTTAAGAAGGTGGGGCCCGTTTTTATTGAGGGAGGAAAGAGAAAGAGAGAGGTGGAGGAGGGACGTGTTTAAGAGACGCTGCAGTTTCAGTGTTGATGATATGTTGGTTTGATGTGTTTCAGTGAGAACAGGGACTGGAGCCACAGAGAGAGAGAGGGACACAGACACAGCAGAGATGTCCCTGAGTCTGACTTTAAAGGGACCCAGTCCTTGGGGATTCAGGATAACAGGAGGAAGAGACTTCCTACAGCCCATCAGTGTGTCTAAGGTGAGTCTTAAGGTGTAAAGTCAGGTTCCCCTCTCCCTCTCCCTCTCTCCCCCTCTCTCTGTCTCACTTGTCTCTGAGCTCAGTTGATCTGAGACCAGAGGAGAGAGAGAGAGAGTAAGGGGGGGGGGGGAGTGTGAGAGGATGGGGTTGGGGCTATTGCAAAGGGGGTAGTGGTTTTGGCTGGGGTGGGGGTCTGGCTCCCAAGGGGATGAGGGTCTCTCTAGGGGTGAGTGGTCTTTGCAAATGTTGGGTGTGCCTCTCTCTCTCTCTCTCTCTCCCTGTAGAGGTTGGAGTCTCTCTCTCTCACTCTCTCTCTCTCTCCAGGGGTTGGGTGTTGTGACTAGAGAGGGGCGTGAGGCCAACACAAACAGCGAAACACACAGTCACTACACTTCGCAGTGTATCCTGCGCGGCGCTTTGAGAAGTCTGGCCGACGCGATGCGGCGCCGGGTCAAGCGCCAGGATTATTATTTTCTTGGCGACGGCGTTATCGCCGTTTAAATGACAGCGGTCATTTCAGCGGTGGTCAGCGAGACCAGTCACACTGCCGCGCGACATGTGAATGGGTGTTACTTTTCTGAGTGTATTTGAGCTTCCAAAAATAGCTCCTTTTTTTTTCTGCTGGGGTGTTGATATTCTGTTCACCAGCTGGTTTGTGGAGCCGTTTCCGAATAGTTTTATTAACCGCCCCGGTTGCACTGGTGAACCAAGGACCCACGTCCACTTTACGTCACCACCACCGTCCACATTCGATCTGTAGATCCGTATGTTCCCTGATTTTCTGCAGTTCTTTATTTTTCACGTTGTGATCACTTGGGGCGGTCCCCCCGGCAATAATACCACATGTAATCATAGAATCTTACAGCACAGAGGGAGGCCATTCGGCCCATCGTGCCTGTGCTATCCGACTAGTCCCACTCCCCCGCTTTCACCCCACAGCCCCGCACATTTTTCCTTTTCGAGTCCCTATCCAATTCCCTTTTGAAACCCATTATCGAATCTGCTCCCACCCCCCCTTTCAGGCAGTGAGTGCATTGCACAATAATAATAATAATAATAACCCTTGCATTTGACACAGCGCCTCATCACATCGTTGAGACGTCTCAAAGCGCTTCGGAATGGATTGAGTGTGTATCCGCGGGGTTGGGATCAGACAGGTGACTGATAGCCGTTGGGCGGTGAATGCACAGAAACATAGCGAGTTAGACCCTCAGTCAATCTTGCGGGCGTATCCGTGTCTGTCTCGGTGTGGGTGTGGGTGTGCGTGTGTCCCAACTATTTGCTTATGGGAGACACAAGTACATAGTTTTGCCGTCTCTTCTGTAATAACATAATAATAATCCTTGCATTCGATATCACGCCCTTGAGACGAAAAGGGTAGTGATGGTGTATTTTGTGGGCAAAACGCAGCAGCCAATCGCGCAAAGCAGTGGCCCACAAACAGTCGTGGATTGAACAACCAAATTATTATTGTTTTTCTGAAGGGATTATTACCCCAGGCAAGCGATCCACCAATCGACCACTTAACGCTGGGTAAACAGAGGTGGTGTGGAGTGAGCAAACTTGCCCAAGGGTTTTGCCTCGACCCAGGAATCAAACTCGGGTCCTCTCGCCTGTGAGGCCAGCGCTCTAACCACTACGCTACAGGCTTCCACACCATACACTCAGGGTGTTTAAGCCTTTGAATTAGGGTTTTGAAGCACTAATCCCCATCGTTACTGTTGTCAATCAGTGGTGAGTCACTGCAACAGTGAGACAGATGAGCTGATGAGTTGCAAATTGCAGTCAATTTGGCAAAAAAAATGTTTTGCTGTCTTTCTGAAGGGCGTAGTGTAGTGAGGTGCAGGGGAGAAGCTTGGGAGCTGATCAGGTGTTATTTTAGAGGAGAGAGTACACACCTGTCTTAGCTGGTGACTGTTTTTTATGGAGCTCTGTAGTTTAGTGGTTAGCGCCCTCGCCTCACAAGCCAGAGGACCCGGGTTCGATTCCCGGGCAGGACAGGACAGGGCGAAACCTGAGGCCAGTTTCCTTACTCCGCACACGCGCACACGCGCGCCCAGCAGGTGTACCCGGCAGTAAGTGGGAACCCGAGTGTTAGTCGATGGGCGGATCGCTTTCCGGGGCTAATAATCCCTCCAACAAGATCCACGGCTGTTTGTGGTGGACGCTGCTGTGCGCGCTCGGCTGCCGCGTTTCGCCCACAGAATGCACACAGTCACTACACTTTACGGCGTGTCCCGGGAAGCGCTTCGAGACGTCTCGAAGACGTGATGGGGCGCTGTATCAAACGCAAGGATTATTATCAGTATTATTATATCCACCTCAACTCCCCCCCCCCCCACCTGTTGCTTGTTGAACCCGCACATTTGCGCCTTGTTTTAGTTTTCCTCCCACTGCCAAAGCTCCCAACCCAACCCCAGAACAGGCTCAGCAGTGTGTGTGTGTACATGTGGTTGACTGCCAAAGGTCCTTAATGGCCAAGAGATGCCAACATGCAAACAAAACACAATCAGCTGTGATCGGGAGGTATTTTAATGGGGAGGATTTGGTGCCAGATCCCATCCTCTCGGTGGTAACTCGCTGGTGACAAAATCCTCGCGCGGCAGCCCGGCTCAGTTGGCAGCTCTCTCGCCTCCCGAGTCAGAAGCCTGTGAACCAAAATAGCCGGTGAACACTCGAAGCTAAACCTTGGCTTGCTCCTCTCTTCTTATTGTGTCACAGCCTGGCTCAGTGGGTGACATTCTCTCGCTCTCTCCCTCTCTCTCTCTCTCTCTCCCTCTCTCTCTCTCTCTCTCTCGCGCCTCTCGAGTCAGTAGTTTGCGGCCCCACATGTCAGGACTTGGAATCACAGTCTAAGCTGACGCTCCAATACGGTGCTGGGGGGAGTGTGGCATTGCCGGAGATGCTTTGGATGAGACGTTAAACCCCACTCCCCGTCCCTGATCTGTTCAGGTGGAGGTTAATAGATGTTGGAAAAGAGAAGGGCATTTCTGTCTTTCTCTCTCTCTCTCTCTCTTCCTCCCCCAGATAAAATCAAATCAAATCGATCGCTCACCTCATTCCTGTTTGTGGGACGTTACCAATTGTGCAATTGGCTGCCGCGTTTCGACCACAAAACACACACAGTCATCCACGCGTCCCAGCAAACCTTTTGAGACGTCTCGGTGACGTGATAAGGCGCCTTAAATCAAACGCGAGGATTCTTGTTAAGCGTCCGCTCATTCAGTGTAAGGTATGGACTGACCGTGAGATTAACGCAGACTCGGACTGTTCCCCAGACATTAAGAAAGTCAGACGAGGATATGGGGAGATATTAAATGTTATGGGCTTTGGGTTTCAGGTCGGCCTTCGGTCTGACACACGTGCTTGAGAGTCTCCAAAACCAACTGAGAGTTCCACCTATGTCTGCCGCCTACGCAAGTACATTTCCATGTCTGGAATGGAATGCACTCTCCCTCTCTTTCTCTCTCTGTCTCTCTCTCTCTCTCTCTCTCTCTCTCCCCCCCCTAGAGGGACACAGTTTCGTTACCTAATTCCGGTGAATATTTGGCGCGAGAGCCAAGGCTTGTTGGGGGGGAGCCCAGAGTGCGTGCCTGTTGGGGGGGTGACTGCTGGAGTCTAAGCAGCTAAACCTGGATAGCTTGCCATTGAGAGCCCTGTGCGGCAAACTCTCCCACAGCTCGTCCAGCTCGGACCACAGTCCCCCCATTAGGGCTTTGGCTGTCGGAGTTGAGTGGGAAGAACGCCAGGCTGGTTGGATGTTAACTGAGTGTTTGTGCTGTTAGTTTCTTCCTTCCTCATCGACTTGGCTCAGTGGTAGTCCTCTCTCTCTCTCTCTCTCTCTCTCTCTCTCTCCCGGTATCCTGGCCAACAATCCCAACCAAGTAAAATCGGGCACTCACTCCATGACTGTTTGCGGGGGAAGCTGCTGTGCGCAATTGGCTGCCGTGTTTCGCCCACAGAACACACAGTCACTGCGCTTTACAGTGTATCCTGTGAAGCGCTTTGAGACGTCTCGACGAGGTGGTAAACGCTATATCGAATGCGATATAGGATTATTACTGTTTCGATTATTATTCGGGGTTAGGACCAGGAAATATAACAACAACAGCAAAATTACATTTATGGAGCGCCTTTCGTGTCGGGCGGACGTCCCAAATAACTGATCAGAGAACAGGGAGATCAGGGAGAGAGGGAGAGAGAGAGAGAGAGAGTATTCCATTCCAACCAGCTATCTCTGGGATGCCCATGTGTCGGTGGGAGGCCTGGAATTCTCAGTTGGGTTTGGAGACTGTTAAGCAACGGTGACGGGTTCCCGTGAGGGTCAGACACCCGACTGGACACAAGAAAAAAAGAAACGACCAAATGCAAAAAAAGCAATCCACAGATAACCATCCAAGTGACCTTGTGGTAAACGCTGTTTATAGCAATGTTGCTCCCACTGGGGGGCAGGGAATCCTCCCACTCAAATCCTGTTAGTCAAGGCTTTTGGGGGGTGGGGGGAGCCCAGAGTGTGCGTTGGGGGTAACTGCTGGAGTCTAACCAGACACAACTTGGCCATTGGTATCACTGCCTGTCCCCCGCCCGGCCTGCCCCACCATTGGCGCCTTCAGCCACTCTTTGGAACTCCATCCCGCACCTCGCCCCCTCCCTCGCCTCCTTCAAGGTCCGTCTCAAGACCCTCCTCTTCGACCGGGCCTTCGGGCACCCTCCTAACCCCCCCGCCCATCCCGCCCCGCCCTCCACCCCCTCCTGATCCCAACCCCCAGCTCGAGTCCAAGTCCCTGACTGACTGTCTAGCGCCTTTTGGGGAACGTCTTTACCGACGTGAGAGGCGCCGTGCAAAAATGCTGTGTGTTGTTGTTGTCGTCGGTCAGTGCCTGGCCCGGCTGCGCTGCGCTGCGCTGCGCTGCGCTGCGCTGTCTGCCTGGTGCCTGGCTCTCCTCCTTAGTGTTTTAATTGCCGGGAAACAGGCCCGGCCACTGCTGCTTGTTCACTTCTCTTCACACGAGAACAGTTGCCAGCAATTCGTGCCGTAAATCTCGTCTGACATGAGTGAGCGGGCAACTGAGTGAAGCCCGAGAGCGAGCGAGCGAGCGAGCATTCAGCCCAACCCCCAGGTGCTGAGCACATGTTACACTCAAACTCGGGTTTGGGAGAGAGAATTGCTCAACTTCTCTTTTTTTTCTCTCTCTCTCTCATTCTCTCGCTGTCACACTCATTTTCTCTCTCTCTCTCTCTCTCTCTCGCGTATTCTTTCTCCTCGTGTGCGCTCGCACCCTTTCTCATTTTCTCTCTCTCTCTCTCGCTCATTCGCTCTCCCACTCATCCTCCTCTCTCCGTCGCTCTCGCTGATTGTGTTTTTCTGTCTTATTCGCGCTCTCGCGTACACTCATACACTTACTCATAATGTCCCTCCCTCTCTCTCGCTCTCTCTCACATTCTCTCTCTCCCTCTCTCTCACACACACGTACCCTTTCTCTCTCTCACACACATTCATAACCTCTGAGACTCTCTCTCTCATGCACATTCTCGCATTCTCTCTCTCTCTCTCTCTCTCTCTCTGTCGATGCGTCACTCTGTCTTGGATGCCAGGAGAGGTCCCCCACCCTCTCAATTTGCTGCTGAATGCAGGGCGGAGGCACATTTACCTTTGTCAATTATTCTCTGTATGACATTTCTGCTGCCCATTCGCTTCTCTGATCCCCCCGAGGGCCTGACATGTTTCAGGAGCAAATGGGAGGCATTTGTAGCATCGCAGGTAGATGCATCTCTCCCCCTCTCTCTCTGTCTGTGTTCTCATCTGACTCGATCTATCTTTTTGGTCAGCCGGGTGTCTGACACACGCAGAAACCCGTCACCATGCTTAAGAGTCTCCAAACCCAACTGAGGTTTCCGTGCCGCCCACCTACACGTGGAGCTCTGACAGCTCAGTGGTTAGCGGCCTCGCCTCACAGGCGAGAGGACCCGGGTTCGATCCCCAGGCAGGTTTAAGCAGGTTTCCTTACTCCACACACACACACACACGCGCACACCTCTGTTTACCAGCAGTGAGGAGGAACCCGGTTGTCAGTCGATTGGCGGATTGCCTTTCAGGGGGTGATAATCCCTTCCCCCCGATCTATGACTGTTTGTGGGACGCTGCTCTGCGCAATGGGTTGGGGCGGTGGGGGGNAGCCCAGAGTGTGCGTTGGGGGTAACTGCTGGAGTCTAACCAGCTAAACCCCCGCAGCTTGACATCGCTATCTGGCAAACTTTCCCACCGCTCGTCCAGTTAGGACCAGCCTTTTTTTTTAATAAATAAAAATTGGTATCACTCCATCTTTGGGACGTCTCGAAGACGTGATGAGGCACCATCTCGAATGTGAGGATTATTCTCATTATTATTAATTGTTAAGTGTTACACCCCCCACTCCCTCCCCACTCCCTTCCCTTCCCCTCCCTCTCCCTCCCCCGCTCACCGCCTGCTCTGATGACCGTCTCTATCGCAGGTGGTCACTGATGGGAGGGCCGATCTGGCCGGGCTCCAAAATGGCGACATCATCGTAGCCATCAACGGGGAGAGAACCAGCGAGATGATCAACATGGAGGCGCAGAGCAAGATCAGGCAGTGTCGGGGGAGTCTGCTGCTCGCTGTGGACAGGTGGGTGGGGTGGGGAGAGGGTCTGGGGGTGGGGAGGGGGAGGAAGGGGGGAGACGAGGGAAGGGTGGTTATCCCATCGCTTTCCCCCCACTTGGAGATGCTCGTGTCTTGTTATTTTTTGTGTGGGGGGTGGGGGGGTGAGTTAGCCGGGCGTCTGACACACTTGGAGACCCATCACCGTTGCTTAAGACTCTCCAAACCCAACTGAGAACTCCAGACCTCCCACCAACACATGGGAATCCCTGAGATAGATTGCTGGAATGTAACGCGCCCTCTCTCTCTCTCTCTCTCTCTGCTGGAGGGACACCCCCCCCCCGCTTACTCAATTCCGGAGAGTATTAGGCGCAGGTTGGCTGGCGAGAGCCAAGGCTTTGGGGGGGCGGGGGGGGGGTGGGGAGCCCAGAGTGTACGTTAGGGGGGGAAACTGCTGGAGTCTAACCGGCTAAACCCGGACACAGCTCAGCCATTGATATCGCGGTCCGGCCGAGCTTTCCCGCTGCTTGTCCAGCGAGGACCCCCCTCCCCGTTAGCGAGGGCTTTGGCTGCGGGGTTAACAGACGGGAGCTGAGCGGGAGCTCCTGTTAACTTGCTCTCCCCCCCCCCCCCGCCACCACCACCCCCCCCCGAATGCCTCTCCCTTTTTCTCGTCTGTTCCCCGAGTCCGGCTGCTTTTGTGCGTTGTTTAAGCGGTTCCCTCGCTGGTATGAAAGGAGAAGCACTCGTGACCCGGGAGCAGTTGTGACCAGAGCTATTGTAACCGCTCGAAACAGCCGAGTCGGCAAATAAACACAGTGCTGAGCTGGGCTCGATAACCAGCCCTTGTGTCTGTGAGGTTCGAGGTCCCAACGATAATAATAATAGTAATAATAATCCTTGCATCTGATACAGCGCCTTATCACATGGTTGAGTTGTCTCAGAGCGCTTCGCAGAATAGACTGAAAAGTGTAGTAACTGTGTTTTTGTCCCACAAATAGTTGTGGATCGAAGCAACCAAATTATTAATCTATTTATTTATTGGAGTGATTATTATCCCCGGAAAAGCGGATCAGCCAATCGACCTCTAACAGCCGGGTTCGCCCACAAAAATACGCGGTCACTACACTTGTGCCTCCTTGTGTGAAGCACTTTGAGAAGGGAGGTCGGTGTCTGTCAGTGACGGTGGAGCTGTGCGATGTGATCACGTGTCTGGGGATCGGGACAGAATAACTATAGCATTGACACACAAACACAATCTGCACTGTGTCTGCCTCACCCTCTCACCGAATGCCCGGCTCCACTGATCACTTCCAACAGTGATCCTTGTTCTTTGACGCAGCGCCTTATCGCGTCCCGAAAGCGCTTCACGGGATACACTGCGCAGTGTAGTGCCCGTATATTTTGTGGGCGAAACGCGGCAGCCGCCTTTGCGCCCAGCGATGTCCCACCAACGGCCGAGGATTGAGCGAGCAATTTTATTTGGGGGGAATTGTCCTCCTGAGCAGGCAGACGGGGGCAGGAGCTTTAACGTATCCCAGAAAGCGATCTGCCTAATCGACTTAACAACCAGGTTCCTACTTACTGCTGGTAAACAGAGGCGCGCGTGTGCGCGTGTGGGGTGGTGGGGGAGGGTGGGGGCGCGGGAGGAAGGAAACTTGCCTAAAGGATTGGCCCCAAACCTGCCCGGGAATCGAACCCGGGTCCTCCCGCTCGCCGGGCGAGTTGCTCTAACCACTGAGCTGCAGGTACAGAGAACCACACAGGCGGCACCTGCCTGGCATCGCCCCGCGGGCTATGGCGCGGGTCAAGGGGAAGAAGATATCGGTGGTCGATGTCCATCTGTATCACCTTCTGCTTCTCTCTCTCTCCCCCCCCCACCCCCCCCCACCCCCAGGCCTGAACCAGGTTCCCCAAGATGGATGAACGGAAGCCCATCAGCTGAGAGGTTCCAGGTCAGTCTCACCTCGTGACCCCATCACCCCCCCCCACCCTCGCCCGGCTCCGGGGGGGGGGGGGGCGATGGTTGAATTGGAAGGCCGGGCGGAGTCAGTCGAGTGGAGGCAGCGGGGACTGGGTTGGGGAGAGAGCAGGAACCGGTTGGGAAAGGGAGGGAGGGAGGCGCGGGAGGGATTGAGGGAGGGAGGGAGCGCGGGAGGGATTGAGGGATTGAGGGAGGGAGGTGGGTGGGTAGGTAGGTCCCAGGGCCTGAAGGGCACAGTTTAGGTGATGGTGGGCTGGTGCCGCTTGTTGCCTTGCAGAGCACGGTGCTCAGCAGGAGAGACGAGAACCAGAACCTGATGGACATTTCCTCCTCCACGTATTCGCTGGGGACGAGCAGCAGCACCGGCTCCCTCAGCCCTCGTCCCAGCAGCCCGGCGTCCCCTGTGGCTCAGCTCCGCAGTGTGTCTCCAGGCTACAGTACCATGTAAGTCTCTCCCTCTCCCCCCGCCCCCCCCCCGCCCTCCACCCCCCCGCCCTCCAACCTCCCCCCTCCCCACCCCGATCCCAACCCCCAGCTCGGGTCCAAATCCCTGACCGTCCAGCGCCTGGGGACGTCCGTCCTTCCCCCACCCACGTGAGAGGGGCCGTGTAAATGTCGTGTGTTGGTGTTTAGTGTTGTTGTTGTTGTTGTTGTATTTCAGGTACAGCGCCCCCTCCTGGGGGCAGAGGGTGATGAGCGATGAGCAGCTGTACGTGCAACACCAGGGGGTAAAAGTGATGGTGAGGAGGGGGGGTCATCCCGGGCTGGTGTTAACTGTGTTCACTCTCTCTCTCTCTCTGTCACTGTCCCACACTCACTCTCTCTCTGCCCCACACTCACTCTCTCTCTGCCCCACACTCACTCTCTCTCTGCCCCACACTCACTCTCTCTCTGCCCCACACTCACTCTCTCTCTGCCCCACACTCACTCTCTCTCTGCCCCACACTCACTCTCTCTCTGCCCCACACTCACTCTCTCTCTGCCTCACACTCACTCTCTCTCTGCCCCACACTCACTCTCTCTGCCCCACACTCACTCTCTCTCTGCCCCACACTCACTCTCTCTCTGCCCCACACTCACTCTCTCTCTGCCCCACACTCACTCTCTCTCTGCCCCACACTCACTCTCTCTCTGCCCCACACTCACTCTCTCTCTGCCCCACACTCACTCTCTCTCTGCCCCACACTCACTCTCTCTCTGCCCCACACTCACTCTCTCGCTGCCCCACACTCACTCTCTCGCTGCCCCACACTCACTCTCTCAGTCTCGCTTATTCTCTCTCCTCTCTCTCTCTCTCTGTCCCTCGCTCACTCTCTGTCTGTCACTGCCCCTCGCTCACTTTCTCACTCTGTCACTCCCTCTCTCTCGTTCACTACTCTCTTCTCTGTCCCACACACACTCTCTGACTCTCTCTCTCACACTCTCTCACACATTCTCTCTCTCATACTCTCACACTCTCTCTCTCTCTCTCTCTCTGTCACAGCCAGACCCTCCCTCGTGCCGCAGTCAGTCTCCTGTGTACAGCTCAGTCGCTGGAGGAAGAACCTGCCGCTCGGAAACCTATAGCCCCGGCTCCCCACCTTCCTCCCCCGGGAGCAACCTGTCTGCCTCCTCCCTCAGCACTGCCAGGAGGTAAGTGAGTGTGTCTCTGTGCCTGTGTTTCTGTGCCCATGTGTGTCTCTGTGTGTGTGAGACTGCACCTGATAAGGCTCTATATCAAATGCAATCCTCATTATTATGATTATTATATTATTATGTCGTTGCCGCCTTGTCACAGACTCTCTGACTCTCAGTCCCTGAGGCGGGTGGATAAGGAGTCGGAAGTTTACAAAATGATTCAAGAAAACAGGGAACTGAGATCGAACCCGAGACAATCTAATCGCTTCCGAGCTCTGCAGAAAGCTCTGGAGAGAGATGAGAGAGGTGAGACACACATATGTATACACACTCACCCGCTCACTCACCCGCTCACTCACCCGCTCACTCACACACTCACTCACACATTAACTCACACACTCACACGCTCACTCACGCGCTCACTCGCTCGCTCACACGCTCGCTCATACGCTCACTCACACGCTCACTCACACACTCACACGTTAACTCACTCACTCACACGTTCACACACTCGCTCACTCGCTCGCTCACATGCTCACTCACACGCTCACTCACACGCTCACTCGCTCACACACTCGCTCACTCACTCACTCACTCACTCACAATCCCGACACTGGGGGACATGAACGGGCTGGAGCCGTTGAGCTGAGGGGAGAGAGGATTTAATATAAAGGTGAGGCCGAGGATCTTGAACTTGATGCGTTGGGGGGAATGGACGGAGCTGAGAGAGGACGGAGCAATGATAACACCGTGTGTTCGTGGGTCTGCTCCTCCCTCTGCTGGGGACTCATGAGTACTGCAGCTCCACCTGTCCGTCTGTGTGTGTGAGACAGTGTGTGTGACTGTGTGAGCGAACGCGAGTGTGAGAGTGCGCGTGTGAGAGTGTGTGTGACTGTGTGTGTAACTGTGTGTGTGTGTGACTGTGTGTGTGACTGTGTGTGGGTGTGTGTGACTGTTGTGTGTGTGTGAGTGTGACTGTGTGTGTGACTGTGTGAGTGTGACTGTGTGTGACTGTGTGTGTGTGACTGTGTGAGTGTGACGGTGTGTGTGTGATGGTGTGTGTGTGGGAAAGGGCAGGAATGGGATGTGAGTTTATAGCTATTTAGAGCTCAGGGGCAAAGGGAATGAATTTGGCTCTCGTTGTCCCCCAGACCCTCCGCCCCACCATTGGCGGCTATGCTTTCAGCTACAACACCCCGAAGCTCTGGACCTTTCCCCCTCCTCAAGACCCTCCTCTTTGACCACACCTTCGGGCACCCTCCTACCCCCACCCTCCCCGCCCCCACCCCCCCACCCCCTCCCGATTGCAACCCCCAGCTCGGGTCCAAATCCCTGACTGACCAGCGCCTTGGGACGTCCTTCCCGACGTGTGAATTTGTTGTTCCATCAAATGTAAGGATTACTGATTAATTATTGATTTTTGATTGATTTCCTTTCCCAGCGGCTGCCGCCGAGTTTCCCGGCTGTTTCTCGCCCCCGCCAGTGCCCGGTGTTCCCAGATACCGTGTGTGTGAGCAGTGCGACACAGCCATCGTGTAAGTGACGGCATTAGTGTCTGGAGTCCGTGAACAGCTGGGGGAGTGTGTGTGTTTGTCTGTCTGTCTGTGTGTGTGTACGTGTGAGTGTGTGTATGTCCGTGTCTGTACGTGTGAGTGTCTGTGTGCTTGGGTGTGTCTGTGCGCGTGTGTGTCCGTCTGTGTGTGTGTGTGTGTGCGTGTGCGTGCCTGCACATGTGAGTGTGTTTGAGATAGAGCGTGGATAGTGTACGCGGAGGGACGCGTGATGTCATTGCGTGTTGGAGTGAGTGAGCTCTGCGTGGAGCAGGGGAGAGTGTGTGTGTGTATATGTACGTCGGTGGGTGGGTGAAGCGGGGAGGGTGACCATATGTGAACATGCGTGACAGCCCGTTAACCCTGTGTGCTGGGGGTGCTCTCGCAGGACGGAGGCGGTGAGGATCACTGAGGGACGGTACCGACACCCCGGCTGTTATGTTTGCCAGGACTGTGGGCTGAACCTCAAGATGAGAGGCCATTTCTGGGTTGGAGACGAGCTGTTCTGTGAGAAACACGCCCAGGAGAGAAGCCGAAGATCAGCGGCAATCTCGTAACGTCCTCTTCCCCAAAAAAAACCCAACCCTCGCTCTTCCCACACCCCCCAAAGCCACCCTCTTTCACCCCCCCCCCCCACAACCCTCCCAAAACCCTCGCTCTTTTTCCCCATTGTGTGGACTCACAGTGTAGAGGAGCTTTACTGTGTCTCTAACCCTGACCTGGGAGTGTGGACACACAGTGCAGAGGGAGGTTTACACTGTCTCTAACCCTGACCTGGGAGTGTGGATGGACGCACAGTGTAGAGGGAGCTTTACTCTGTCTCTAACCCTCACCCCCTGTCCGTCCATCTGCAGAGTGAACTGAGGTGCAACGTATCTAGTTATATTTTTCTTCAGATTTAAATATTCAAGCGGGAAACCTGGAAACCTGGAGAGAGAGAAAATATCGCCTGTAAAATAGAGATGATTTATTAAAACGAATATATGGTCTGGAAATCGTTTACTGAACCTCTCTTCCGCTTTCCGCCTGTGTCTCCCTCTCTGATCACTGAGCCAATTTCAACCCCAGAGAAAACAATCATGATTATAACAATAATAATGAACAATAATAATCCTGGCATTGGACACAGCGCCTCATCACGTCTTTGAGACGTCTCAATGGCTTCACGGGATACGCTGTAAAGTGAATTGACTGTGTATTTTGTGGGCGAATTATAATTATTAATTCGGTTTGTTTCACGTCAGGAGGACCACACAAAGCACTTTACCGTACTTACTGTTAGGCAGTGTAGCGACTGTGTGTTTTGGGAGCGAAACTTGGCAGCCAGAGTGTGCACAGCGATGTCCCCTCAACCAGCCGTGGAGGATTGTTGGCCAGGACACCAAGAGAGATAGAGAGATAGAGAAACTCCCTTCTCTTTCCGAACAGCACCGCAGGAGATCTTTGACGTCCATCTGAGCAGACAGACGGGGAGTGAGGTTTAACGTCTCATCCGAAGGACAGCGTCTCCGACAATCCAACAGCCCCCCCACCCCCCCCAGCGCTGCATTGGAGCGTCAGCTTAGACTGTGATTCCAAATCCTGGCGTGTTCGGGAGGGCTCAAACCCACCATCTTCTGACTCGGAGGCAAGAGCGAGAGAGAGAGAGAGCGCTACCACTGAGCCAGGCTGACACACAGAGTGAGGAGAAGCTTTCCGTGAGTTTAAGGGTTAAGTGATTCACAGAACCACAACTGTTAACATGTCTGACTTTGGTCCTGTGGTGCCCAGGGTACAGCGAGCAGTGTAGAGGGAGCGTTACTGTGTCTCTAACCCTGACCTGGGAGTGTGGACACACAGTGTAGAGAGAGCTTTACTGTGTCTCTAACCCTGACCTGGGAGTGTGGACACACAGTGTAGAGGAGCTTTACTGTGTCTCTAACCCTGACCTGGAGTGTGGACACAGTGTAGAGAGAGCTTTACTGTGTCTCTAACCCTGACCTGGGAGTGTGGACACACAGTGTAGAGAGAGCTTTACTGTGTCTCTAACCCTGACCTGGGAGTGTGGACACACAGTGTAGAGGAGCTTTACTGTGTCTCTAACCCTGACCTGGGAGTGTGGACACACAGTGTAGAGGGAGCGTTACTGTGTCTCTAACCCTGACCTGGGAGTGTGGACACACAGTGTAGAGGAGTTACTCTGTCTCTAACCCTGACCTGGGAGTGTGGACACACAGTGCAGAAGGAGCTTTACTGTGTCTCTAACCCTGACCTGGGAGTGTGGACACACAGTGTAGAGAGAGCTTTACTGTGTCTCTAACCCTGACCTGGGAGTGTGGACACACAGTGTAGAGAGAGCTTTACTGTGTCTCTAACCCTGACCTGGGAGTGTGGACACACAGTGCAGAGGAGCTTTACTCTGTCTCTAACCCTGACCTGGGAGTGTGGACACACAGTGCAGAGGGAGGTTTACTCTGTCTCTAACCCTGACCTGGGAGTGTGGACGGACGCACAGTGTAGAAGGAGCTTTGAGACATCCTCCCTACGTGAGATATAAGGAATGAAAGGATAATTGTTTTCTGTGGTGGCCAAATAATAATAATAATCCTTGCATTTGATATATCTCCCTGTTACGACTTTGAGACGTCTCAAAGCGCTTCACACAACATACTGCAAAGTGAATTGACTCCGGAACATCGCCAGACTACGGCATTACCTCACCCCTCACGCTGCTGAAACCCTGGTTCACGCCTTTGTCACCTCAAGGCTGGACTATGGGAACTCTCTCCTCGCCGGCCTTCCCGCCACCTCCCTCCACAAGCTGCAGGTCATTCAGAACTCTGCAGCTCGTGTACTGTCCCGCACCAGGCTTCGGGACCACATCACTCCTACCCTCGCTCGCCTCCACTGGCTCCCCATCCCTCAGAGGATTGATTTCAAGATCCTCATCCTCACCTACAAGGCCATTCATGGCCTCGCTCCCTCCTACCTCTCCAACCTACTATCCCCCTACCTACCTGCCCGTACCCTCCGTTCCTCTGGCTCCGGTCTGCTCCACGTCCCCCGCCCAACCGCCCACCATCGGTGGTCGGGCCTTCAGCCTCTCAGCCCGAGGCTCTGGAACTCCATCCCCAGTGCCTTCGCCGCTTCCTCCCTTTCCTCCTTCAAGGCCGGTCTCAAACCTTTCTCTTTGACCGAGCCTTCAGCTCCCCTCTCGACTCTCTTCCTCCTCCTCGCTCCCTCCCTTCCCTCCCCTCACCCTGACCATTTCCCCCCAATGCTCGGGTCATGACCCAACTGTGCAGCGCCTTGGGACGTCCTCCTGACGTGAAAGGCGCTCTATAAATGGAATCTTGTTGTTGTTGTTGTTGTTGTATATTTTGTGGGCGAAACGCGGCGGCCAATTGCGCACAGCAGCGTCCCCCCCACAAACAGCCGTGGATTCAAGTGACCAAATCACTGTGTGTGTGTGTGGAGTAAGGAAACTTGCCTAAGGTTTCGCCCGGGAATCGAACCCGGATCCTCTCGCCTGCGAGGCGGGGGCTCGCACCACTGCAGCGCGAGACTCCACAGTCCGTGTGTGAGCGTTGAAGGCACTTGTGAAGGAGAATGACTGGCCTTTTCCTGGTCAGTCATCTTACCTACGTTGCGAGGAACCGGACTGACTGATGACCTGTTCTGCCCCCCCCCCCCACCCCCCCCCATACAGCGCACACCTGACAAAGCCAGACTGACCTCTTGGGTTCTGCATTCCTCTACACGCACCCGCTGCCCTCCAGCTAATTCCACCTGCCGTCCTAAACATATTACCTACTCGCTCCGCAGGCTCCTGGGAGTGGTTAGAGCGAGCTAGAGGAACCTGGGTCCGATTCCCGGGCGGGACAGGACGGGACGGGGGAAATGCTGGGCAAGAGACGCCTCAAAGCGCTGCGCGGGATGCACTGTAACGTGAATTGACTGTGTATTTTGTGTTTAACGTCTCATTTGAAGGACAGCGTCGCAGAGCAGAGCAGAGCAGAGCAGAACTGGATTGGAGCGTTAGCTTAGACCGTGCGGGTGGGGGGTTGGGGGGGCTTGAAAAACCACAACCTTCTGACTCGGAGGCGAGAGAAAGAGAGAGAGAGAGAGAGAGAGAAAGAGAGCGCTGCCAACTGAGAGTCAGACTGTGGCACAGGATTGCCAAAACCCCCGACTGACGGCAGTAACTGGATGGACCAGTTTAGTGAGCAGGTCGTGCCTTGCGGTCAGGTTGGAAATGGTGGACAGACAGTGAGATGCAATCAGCCCCCACCCCCCCCCCCCCACACACACACACATTCCCCCCCACACACACACACACACATTCCCCCCCACACACACACACATTCCCCCCCCACCCCATGTTTGCACTATCTTCTCCTGTGGGACGGGTCGTTAACTGCTCCTCGGAGAGATCTTTGTCTGTTGGGTGTGGCCCTCCCGGGGGTCGATGGCTCAAAGCTGTTAATTGCCCTCCGTCCCTCCCTCCTCCCTTAACGCTGCCATTGTCCTTTGGGCTCCGGCCTCCGCTCTGCCATCGCTTTCAGCCACTACGCCCCAAAACTCAATTCCCTCCCTCTCTCCCTCCCTCCGCCCTCGCCCCCTCCTTCCCCACCTTCGGCTCGTGCCTGAAGACCTTGCTCCTCGACCGTGTCTATGGTCACCTCCTCCCCTCCCCCCTCCCCCCCCAGTTAATCTCACTCTGTTACTCTCTATAATTAATAAATAATAATAGCAACGATAATAATAATCCTGGCGTTTGACCCGGCGCCTCATCACCTCTTCGAGACGCCTCAAAGCGCTACGCAGGATACGCCGTAAAGTGTAGTGACTGTGTAGTTTGTGGGCGAAACGCGGCAGCCGATTGCGCACACAGCAGCGTCCCCCCCCCCCCCACAAACAGCCGTGGATTGAGTGATTAGATGACGCTGTTTCTCTCTCTCTCTCACCCTGTAAATCTCCTTTCAATCCTGTTTTGCTGTGAGATGCTTTGATGACACAGCCTGGAGTCCGCCTCCTCCCTCTCTCGCTCTCTCTCCCTCTCTATCTATCTATCTCTCCTCTCTCTCGCTCTCTCTCTCTGACCAGCTGGAGTGTTACCACGTTCGCTGCGACTGTGAGGGAGAGAGGGAACGTGGATTTAAACTCTGTGATAATCTGCGATGCTCCTTTTCAAGCACAGACGTTTCACCATCCACAGAGCCGGTAGGATAAACTCTCGAGAGGTTGCAAACTTTGTCAGGAATGCTACCAGGGATGAGGGACTTGTGGGATTGTTCTTAGAGCAGAGAAGGTTTGAGGGGAGATTTAATAGAGGCGTTCAAAATTGTGATGGTTTTTTGATGGAGTAAGATGAGGGAGAAACCTCGGGTGGGCGAGTGGGTCAGTCACCAGAGGACAAACGGTCATTCAAGATAATTGGGGGGAAAAAAAACAGAGGAGAGACCAGACGAGGAGTAAAAATGCTTTGCCCAGAGAGTTGTTGCGGTCTGGAATGCATTGCCTGAAAGGCTGGTGGAAACGGATCCGATGGCAGCTTTCAAAAGGGGATTGGGTCGGGGACTTGAAAAGGAAAAATGTGCGGAGCTGTGGGGTAGAAGCGGGGCTGTGGGGTAGAAGCGGGGCTGTGGGGTAGAAGCGGGGCTGTGGGGTAGAAGCGGGGCTGTGGGGTAGAAGCGGGGCTGTGGGGTAGAAGCGGAGCTGTGGGGTAGAAGCGGGGCTGTGGGGTAGAAGCGGAGCTGTGGGGTAGAAGCGGGGCTGTGGGGTAGAAGCGGGGCTGTGGGGTAGAAGCGGGGCTGTGGGGTAGAAGCGGGGGGAGTGGGGCTAGTTGGTAGCTCTTTCACTCAAAGTGCTGGCACAATAATAATAATAATAATAATAATAATTCTGGCGTTTGATACAGTGCCTTATCCCAGTATAGTGACGTCTCAAAGCGCTTCCAAGTGACTTGACTTGTGTGTTTTTGTGGACGAAACGTGGCGACCAATTACACACACAGCAGCGTCCCACACACAGCCGTGGATTGAGTGACCGCACTATTATTATTATTATTATTATTAAGTTTTCTCTCTCTCCCTCTCCCCCGGTGAGTTAGTGTTTTCTGGCTGAAATGCATAGCTTTAAACTGTGTGTGTGCGCGTGTGAGATATACTGATGTATTTTGGGATGGCGGAGAGAGAGAGAGAGAGAGAGAGGTGGGGAGTTGCGGGGACGTGAAGGAATTTGAAAGCGAGCGCGTGGATCGCGATAGCGCGTGAGAAGCAAAGCCGGGGTTGAGCTATCGGGACCTTTTTACCGCGTACACAGAGCCGGGAAGCCTCCGGCGAGCAACAGGCAGTGCAGAGCGAGGGTCCAGCGCACGGTGAGCAACCGACAGGACTTCCTCTCGTCCTGAACCGCGCACAGCAACTCCCCACCAGCAATTGGCGTTTCACCCGCAAGATACACAGTCGCTGCACTTCAATAATAATAATAATAATAATAATAATAACCACAAAGCCCTTCACAGAAGCTACTGTGAAGTGAATTGACTATATTTTTGTGGGTAAAATGCAGCATATACTTTGCAGTAACTATATATATATATATATATATGTGTGTGTGTGTGTGTGTATTTTCTGTGAAGCGCTTTGTAGACGTCTCGACGACGTGATAAGGCGCTGCATCAAATGCGAGGATTAATATCAATAATATTGGTTGGCTGTTAAGTCCCGGGGCTGTTTTGGAGGGGGAGGGAAGGGGGGGGGATGTCGAAGCTGCTGATGGAATGCGCGATAGCGGCCGAGGGAGGGAGTCGGTATTCCGATCTCGAGTGGAATACTTTGCATTCCATTGCGCAAAGCTCCTGAACGCTGCTTAACCCTGAGTCAGCCTCAGCGCCGCGTCACTCGGTGTGTGAGTCTGTGTAACTCACCGTGTGGGTGTGTGTGGGTGGGTGGGGGGGGGGGGGGGGAGGGAGGGGGTGGGGGGGAATCTTAATAGCTATGTTCTGTTTTATCCTCCTCCCCCGACACACACCCCCCCCCACTCCCTCTCTCCCTCTCTCCCTCTCTCTCTCCACGTCTCACATTCTTTACTTCTGTACTCTCTCTCCATTTGCCTCCCCCTCTCGCACTCACTATCACCCCCCCCCCCTCCCCACCACCACCACCACCCCCTCCTTTCGCACCCACCCCCACCCTCACCCCCCCCGCCGCCTTATTGGAGAAGCGCTTCACGGAATAGGCTGTAAAGTGTAGTGACTGTGTGGTGTTTTGTGGGCGAAACACGGCAGCCAATTGCGCACAGAGGGAGGGGGGGGGGGGGGTGGGGTGTGACTACGGACAGACAGACGGATGGACAGACAGACAGACGCTGCAGTGGGTGAGTTGCCAGTCAGTCTGGGGTGAGACGGAAGTGACTGTGGGATGATTCCTGACAGGTTACAAACCCGGCATCGCTGAGAGCGGCGACGTGTGGCTGACAAAGATGAACCCGTTGAGGAGCTCCATCAAGCTGGGACTGTCGGCCAGCGTCGGGAACTTCGGGACGGGGGGGGACGGCAACTTGGGGGATCGCTCCCCCCGCCCTCACCCCCAGGGCTTCGGGGAGGGGGAGGGAGCCCGGCGGATGGTGAAGTCGGAGTCCGAGGACTCCGGGGTGGAGCTGACCAGCTGCGATACCGTCTGCCCCTCGCCCGGCTCCTCCGAACGCAGCTTCTCCCTGGATTCTCCCGCTTCCCGGCACAAGCTGGAGAGCGCACTGCGGAGGACCTTGTCGTGGCAACCGCCCGGGACGGAGGCGGAGGCGGAGGCGGAGACGGAGACGAGGGGAAGTGCGGAGACCGAGCCGGAGAGGATTCCCAAATTCCGGTCAGGCGACGCGGAGAAGGGGAAGGAGGCAGAGGGAGAGGCGGAGGAGGGAGACGAGGAGGTGGATTGGCTGAGGCTCAGAAGATGCTGGACTGCAGACAGCACCAGGGCTTGTTCACAGGTAAATAATAACAATATAATATAATAATAATATAATAATAATAATATAATAATATAAAATATAACTATAATAAAATTATAATATAATAATATAACAATAATAACATATAATAGTATAATAATGTAATTAGAATTATAATATTAACAATAACAATATAATAATATAATAATATAACAATAATATGATATAACAATGTGACAACAATAATATAATAATAACATGATAATCGTTCCATTTGATGTTGCACACGATCGCATCTTCGAGACGTCTCCAAGCGCTTCACAGGATACACCGTAATATGTAGTGACTGTTTTGTGGGCGAAACACGTTGGCAGCCAATTGCGCCCGGCGGCGTCCCCATAAACAGTCGTGGATTGAGTGACCAAATTATTATTTTTTCGGAGGGATCATTACCCCCCGGGAAAGCGATCCCCCGATCGACTAACAACCGGGTTCCTACTGACTGCTGGTAACCAGAGGCGCGCGTGTGCGTGTGTGAGTGTGTGTGTGTGTGTGTGTGTGAGTGAGTGTGTGTGCGTGTGTGTGTGTGAGTGAGTGTGTGCGTGTGTGTGTGTGTGTGTGTGAGTGAGTGTGTGTGTGTGTGTGTCTGTGTCTGTGGGGAGTAAGGAAACTTGCCCTAAGGTTTCGCCCTGACCTGACCCGCCCGGGAATCGAACCCGGATCCTCCGGCTTGCGAGGCGAGGGGTCTAACCCCTGAGCCACAGGACACAATATGGGTTGCATCTCTTAATAGTTCAGTGAATGTGTGAGAGAGGGAGAGAAGGATGGAGAGAGATGGAGATATCAACCGTGTGACGCGCTTGTCTGGGGGGGGGGGGGGGGGAGGGAACGAGGGCTTGTGTGTGCGTGTGTGTGTATGTGTGTGTGTGTGTCTTACCACACACTTACCACCCACACACACCCACACACACACACACCCACCCGCAAACACACACACGCGCCCGCATAAACCTGCCGGCATTTGCGGAATGTTATCTGCGTCCGTTCAATCTTCCTCCAAACACAAGAGTAGGAAGTTTTCCCAACGCTGAGTAATCAGCCTCCGTCCCGAGTGAGATTACCTCAACCTGAAGACATCCCTGGAATTGCTGTGTGTGTGTGTGTGTGTGTGTGTGTGTGCGCCTCAACTTCACCAACTTCACCAGTCAGATTTAACACCACCATCGGCCCTTAATAATTATTATTATTATTATTATTATCAAACCCTGTGAAGCTCTTTTGCCCGTCCCACTGACCCCAAAGGCACTTTATCAAACGTAGCCATAATAACAACAGGGATCCTGGCATTTGACCCGGCGCCTCATCACTTTGTTGAGACGTCTCGAAGCCCTTCAAGGGTTACAGTGTAAAGTGTAGTGACTGTGCGTTTTGTGGGCCAAACGCCTGGCAGGCAAGTGCGCACAGCGACGTCCAATTTTATTTTATTGGAAGGGATTATTACACCCCGGGAAAGCGATCCCCCAATCGACTAACAACCGGGTTCCTGCTTCCGGCTCGAGTGAGGAAACTTGCCTAAGATTTCGGGAATCGAACCCGACCCTCTCTCTCTCTCTCTCTCTCTCTCTCTCGCTCGCTCGCGATGCGAGGGCTCGAACCCCTGAGCTCCGGGACCGTCTGCGGAGAGGGAGGGATGAGAACGAGAAAGGCGACTGCTGAACCCCCGTGATTTCCTCTCGGTGACTTTTAAGGAAAGGCGGAGGAAGGACTCGCGGAGGGACACGGGCCAGGGGCTGGGTTACCTGCGACAGGTGTGTCGTCTGCTGGAGATGATCGGTCAACTCCAGGAAAACAACCTTCTCCTGAGGAGACAGAAAGAGGAGGCAGAGGAACAACTGAGACAGAACCAGGTAGAGACCGGGGGTTGTACACGAGAGCTACAGCGCGTCTCAATTTATTATTACTGCTGATTATTATACGACGCGATGAGACGCCGCGTCAAATATTATTATTGTTGTTGTTGTTATTTACTGTAAAGTCCTTTTTGCTGTTGGTTTAATAGGATTTGCTGTTGACGATTTCTTGCTGTGGTCAGTTCCCGCCGACATTAACCCAGGCCCGACATCCCGTCATCTCTTCCCAACCTCCATCCCACCACCCCGTCCGGCTTTCCCCTCGTCAGTTCCGTCGGCAAAGGTCCTCGTCCGTCCCCAACATCTTGCTGGAAGTTTCCGGAAGCCGTCCCGAAGAACCGAGAGAGAACGGTGAGCCAATGTGTCAATAATATAATAATAATAATAATAATAATAATCCTGGCGTTTGACCCGGCGCCTCATCATGTCGTCGAGACATCTCACAGCGCTTCACAGGATACGCTGCAAAGTGTAGTGACTGTGTATTTTGTGGGCGAAACAGCAGTGTCCCCACAAACAGCCGTGGATTGAAGTGACCAAATTATTATTATTTTTTTTGGAGGGATTATTACCCCCTGGGAAAGCGATCCCCCAATCGACTAACACCCGGGTTCCTACTGACTGCCGGTAAACAGGGGTGTGTGTGTGTGGAGGAAGGAAACTTGCCCTACATTTCGCCCAGACCTGACCCGCCCGGGAATCAAACCCGGGTCCTCTCCCTTGCGAGACGAGGGCTCTAAACCACTGAGCTACCGGCCTCCACAATGCAGCGCTTAGTAAACTCCGTGATGGCTTTTCCAGGGGATGGTGAGCTTCTGCCTTCTGAGCAAATCGACGGGTCACCTGCAGACGAGGAAATGGACTGCCCACCAGATGAGACTGACCGGCCGGCTCCGAGCTCCCGCTCACCAAAGTCAGCAAAGGTAACGCGGGCTTTCCCTCTGTCTACGAGTGCGTCCGGTGTGTCAGCCTGGCTCAAGAGTAGCGCGCGCGCTCTCTCGCTCTCGCCTCTGAGTCAGAAGGTTGCGGGTTTGAGCCCCCACTAGTTAGTACTTGGAATCACAGTCTAAGCTGATGCTTCAATACAGCGCTGGTGGGGTGGGGGTGCGGTTGTGGCAACGCCGTCCTTCGAATGGGAGACTAAATCTCACTCCCCGCCGGTGCCGTGTTCAGGCGGACGTTAATGATCTCCCTCAGCGCTTGTGGGAAAAGAGAAGAGAGGAGTCTCTCTCTGTCTCTCCCGGAGTCCTGGCCAACAGTCCCTCAGACAAATTTAGTCCCTCGTAAGAATATAAGAACTTTGCTGGCGAAATGAGACCGAGGCCCACGTTTGCGGGGTGTCGCTGCCGCGTTTCGTCCACAGAGTACACAAGTCTATTGTGCGTCTCCGATCGAGTACGTGACTTGTGACTGAGAGCTATTGTGACGACGGTCTGCGGTTGTTTCAGGCCACTCGGCCTGACTGGGGCAGAGTGAAGGAGCTCGTCAACAGACTGAAGCCACGGCAAGGACGAGCACGCAGCCTGGTGGCCAGATTGAGAGGCAACTCACAGCACAACAACAGGTGAGATCATAATAATCATAATAACATCACAAATAATACTACTACTGGCACTCGCGCTACTCCCGGCATTTGATGCAGCGCCTTAACACGCCATTGAGACGTCCCAAAGCGCTTCACAGGATACACTGTCGTGTGTGGCGACTGTGTACTTTGTGAGCAGTTTCCCACAAACAGCCGTGGATTAAGTGACCGTATTATTATTATTATTGTTATTATTATCTGAAATCCTTTACATTCACAACCACAGCGTGAAAAAAAAAATTAAACCTCATCTCCCGTCTCGTTCTGCAGCTGAAATGCCTGGACTTTGAGGCTGAGGTGCGAAGCTTCGAAGGGGGGAGTCAGAGAGATAGAGAGAAGGACGGATTTTCCCCACCGGACGAACTGTGGTCGGAGGAGACGACGAGGAGGGAATTTTTTTCCCCCTGAAATTCCCGAGAGGAGAGAAGAGACTGCGAAGGGGGTCGGGGACCGGGGAAGAGGGAGCGGGAAGTGTTTTGGAGAGAGAGCTGTGTTTACGAAGTTCGCTGTGTAAATGTCGTCGTCGTCGTCGTCGTTGTCGTCGATTTCTCCTGTGGAGGTTGAGGGCGCGAGGCGTGTGGAGGCGGCGCTGGGACACGTCGCTGCCAGCGCACACGCAAATGCACACGCCGTGCACACGCCAGCCTTTGTTATTCAAAGCTCGAATCCCAAGTGCTCTCCTGGTGCGCACAGGAATTGTGATGTGGGCGAGAGCAAGCGCGGCACAGGGACTGTGTGTTGAGTGCGCGCGTGTGCCCGCGTGTGCATGTGAGTGCGTGTGCGTGTGAGTGCGTGTGCCCGCGTGTGCATGTGAGTGCGTGTGTGTGCGTGTGCGTGTGAGTCGTGCCCGCGTGTGCGTGTGTGTGTGTTAAAAGAAATCATTGCGACAATCCCTCCGAAAGGAAACAATAATAAATTGGTCATTTTCACTCCACGGCTGTTTGCGGGACAGGCGCTGCCATTAAAACCCACCAATAAACAGCTGATCCCAAACCGGTCCCCGGCACTGCCTCCTCACTGCCCTCACACCACCGCCACCACAACAACAACAACAACACAACAACAACAACAACAACACCACCACCACAACAACAACAACACCACCAACAACAACAACACCACAACACCACCACCACAACAACAACAACAACAACACCACCACCACAACAACAACACCACAACAACACCACAACAACACCACAACAACAACAACACCACAACAACAACACCACAACAACAACAACACAACAACAACAACAACACAACAACAACAACAAAACAACAACACAACAACAACAACAACACAACAACAACAACAACAACACCGCCACAACACCAACAACACACACAACAACAACAACAACACAACAACAACAACAACACAACAACAACAACAACAACACCGCCACAACACCAACAACAACACCACAACACCACAACACCACAACAACAACAACAACACCACCGTCACAACAACAACAACAACAACACAACAACAACAACACCACAACAACAACAACAACAACACCGCCACAACACCAACAACAACACCACCACACAACAACACCACCACAACACAACAACACAACAACACCACAACAACACCACCACCACAACAACAACAACAACACCGCCACAACAACAACAACAACAACACCACCACAACAACAACAACACCACAACAACAACACCACCACCACAACAACAACACCACAACACCACCACAACAACAACAACAACACCACAACAACAACAACACCACCACAACACCACCACAACAACAACAACAACAACACCACAACAACAACACCACCACCGCCACAACAACAACAACACAACAACAACAACACCACCACAACAACAACAACAACACCACCGCCACAACAACAACAACAACACCACAACAACAACAACACCACAACACCACCACCACAACAACAACAACAACACCACAACAACACCACCACCACAACAACAACAACAACAACACCACAACAACACCACCACACAAACCGTGGTATCCCCCCCCGCGCCCCCCCACCAAAAAAAACACTTGGGTCACAGTTTTGTGTGGACGCTGTGCGCGGGAGACGTGATGAGGCTCAGCATCAACCGCAAGGAGTGTTATTATTATTATTATTATTATTAATGTTTGGTTGTTATTATGGCCATCGATCAGTGGGGGGGGGGAGGGGCTGCAGTGCGCGTCTGTCCACGCGAGGGGGCGCTGCGGACACACCCACACACACACCCACACCCCCCGCGCATCCGCCATCAGCGGTGAGGTCAGAGCGCCCTCTGGCGGCCGCCGTCGGGCAACTGCAACCGACCGCAGCGGGTGGAGGAGGAGGAGGAGGAGGAGGCGGTCCGCCGCCGCGAGGTGGCGCTGCAGAAAGGCGTCAGACACAGAGAGAGGGAGAGAGTGAGCGCGCGCGCGCGAAGCCCATCTTGCCCCCTCTCTCTCTCCGCGGCGTTCAGCTCGTTGGCGTTGGCGGAGTCCCTCCGAACGCAGCGCAGCGGAACCCGCGGGAGAGAGACACAGCGAACACTGAGGCCGAGAGCGCCGCACAACACCACACAGGTCAGCGCTGCCCCGCGGGTCAGGGGGGGGGGGGGGGAGGGGGGGAGTGTGGGGGGGAGGAGGGGGAGTGTGGGGGGGAGGAGGGGGAGTGTGGGAGAGTGTGGGGGGAGGGGGAGTGTGGGAGAGTGTGGGGGGAGGGGGAGTGTGGGGGGGAGTGTGGGGGGAGGAGGGGAGTGTGGGGGAGTGTGGGGGTGGGGGGGGTCTCATTGTCCCCACCCCCCCCTGTGTGTGTCTCTGTCCCTCACTGCTGCAGCTGCTCCCCCCCCCCCCTTCCTCCTTTTCCTCCTTCCCCCCTCCTCCCTCTCTCCCTCTCTCCCTCTCACTCACTCGTTTCTTCCCTTCCTCCCATTCCCTCCTCTCCTCTCCTTTTTTTCCCCCTCTCTCCCTCCTCGTCCCCTTTTCCTCCTCTTCTCCTTCCCATCCCTTCTCCCTTCGTGTTCCCCCTCCGGCCCTTTCTTCCACCTCTTCCCTCCTCCCTCCTCCTCCTCCTCCTCCTCTCCATCCCTCCTTTTCCCCACCTGCTCCATCTTTCCTTTTCCTCTCCCCTCTCCTTTCCTCCCATCTCCTCCCCCCTACTCTTTCTCCTTCCCTTCTCCTCTTCTCCTCTCTTCCTCCTTACCTCCCTCCTTCTCTTCATCCCTTCCTCTCTCCATCCTCCTTCTCTCTCTTCTCTCTCCCCCCCTGCCTCTCTCCCTCTCTCTCTCTCTCTCCCCCCCTTCCTCTCTCCATCCCTCCCTCCCTTTCTCTCTCCCCCCCCTCCCTCTCTCCCCCTCTCTCTCTCTCCCCCCCTTCCTCTCTCCATCCCTCCCTCCCTCTCTCTCTCTCCCCCCCCTTCCTCTCTCCATCCCTCTCTCTCTCTCTCCCCCCCTTCCTCTCTCCATCCCTCCCTCCCTCTTTCTCTCCCCCCCTCCCTCTCCCTCTCTCTCTCTCTCCCCCCCCTTCCTCTCTCCATCCCTCCCTCCCTCTCTCTCTCTCCCCCCCTCCCTCCATCAGGATGTAACCTGATTCCCAGGGCTGGCACCTGCCTCTCACTGCTCCACCTCGATGGCCGCTGTGTTTACCTTTCCTTTACCTCTCCCCCATCCTCTCTCTCCCTCTCTCCCCCACTCCTCTCCCTCCCTCCCTCCCTCCCTCCCTCCCTCTCTCTCTCTCTCTCTCCACCAGGATGCAATCTACTTCCTCGAGATGCGTCCAACAACACCCTCTGGTGCCAACTGGCTTCTCCTTCGCTTCTCCTTCGCTTCTCCTTCGCTTCTCCTTCGCTTCTCCTTCGTCCCCGAGAGCCAATTTTAAAAAAAATATATACTAACAATATTCCTTACATTTCGGCAAAAGCGCCTCTCACCCCCCGAGGACGTCCCCGAACCTTCCTGACCGGACGGCGCTCAGCGCTCTCGGTGGCCGAGCTATGTGGTTTCAGCAGTTCTCCCAACAACGCATACTCTCTGCTCCACATCCCCCGCCCCACCCGCCCCCCACCATCGGTGGCCTTCAGCCTCTCGGCCCCGAGGCTCTGGAACTCCATCCCCAGTGCCTTCGCCGCTTCCTCCCTTTCCTCCTTCAAGGCCGGTCTCAAGACCTTTCTCTTTGACCGTACCTTCAGCTCCACTCTCGACTCTCTACCCCCTCCTCGTTCCCTCCCCTCACCCTGACCATTTCCCCCCCTCCTCGCTCCCTTCCCTCCCCTCACCCTGACCATTTCCCCCCTCCTCCCCCCCCCCCCCCCCACCATTCCCCCCCTCCTCGCTCCCTCCCCTCCCCTCACCCTGACCATCTCCCCCCAATGCTCGGGTCCCGACCCACCTGTCCGGCGCCTCGGGACGTCCTCCCGACGTGAAAGGCGCTCTCTAAATGGGATCTTGTTGTTGTTGCTTACGGTCACCTCCTCCCCCCCGGCTTGGTGTCCTGCTCCGCCACTGTTAAGCGCTCTGGGACGCTACCCTGTGCGAGGTGGGTGGGTGGGGGTGGGGGGCGGGGGGGGCGCTGTGTAAGTGCAAGTTGTTGTAACGCAACATAGCGCCTGACCTGAAGCTCCCCCCAGCGCGGGACTGGAGGGTAATTGGAGTCGAAATGAAAGGTTATTATTAACTTTTCTGCTCTTTCGTTTCCTGTGTCAGTTCGACTCCGAAAGGTAGTGAGAGTTGCACATCTTGAATTGAGTTTCACTGTGTCCAGCCTTGAGCGCTTATCACGGTGAGTCTGAAACTATTTAATCGCCTGATACTGTTGTGGTGGATTGAGTTCCCTTTTCTGTCTCTGTTTGCGGTCTCGCAAACACACCCACACACACACACTCACAGAGCCACACACACACACAAAAACACACACACTCACAGAGACACACTCACAGAGCCACACACACAACCACACACACTCACAGAGCCACACACACAACCACACACACTCACAGAGACACACTCACAACCACACACACTCACAGAGCCACACACACAACCACACACACTCACAGAGCCACACACACAACCACACACACTCACAGAGCCACACACACAACCACACACACTCACAGAGCCACACACACAACCACACATACTCACACACACAACCACACATACTCACAGAGACAACCACACACACTCACAGAGGCACACACACAACCACACACACACACACAACCACACATACTCACAGAGACAACCACACACACTCACAGAGGCACAAACACTCACAGAGACAACCACACACACTCACAGAGACACACACACACAACCACACACACTCACAGAACCACACATACACACACACACACACACAGGCGCACACTCACAGAGACACACACACACAACCACACACACTCACAGAGCCACACATACACACACACACAGGCGCACACTCACAGAGACACACACACACAACCACACACACTCACAGAGCCACACATACACACACACACAGAGGCGCACACACACACACATTCACAGAGACACACACACACAACCACACACACACACAGAGGCGCACACACACACTCACAGAGGCACACGCCCACAGCCACACACACACACACACGCGCAGCGCATTCCACACTGAAGACTCGGTGAACAGTTATATATAGAACAAAGTTCAAATAGTGTTTGTTAAAATAATAATAATAATCTGACATTTGATTCAGCGCCTTTCATGTCTGGAGGACGTCTCAAAAGCGTCAAACGGGTGGCCCTTTTTGTGGATCGAGTGGCCAAATTATTATTGTCATTATTATTTTGGGGGGGAGATTATTGCCCCCCCGGAAGGCAATCAATCCGCCAGTGACTTAACCACCGGGTTCCTACTTACTGCTCGGTAAACAGAGGCGTGTGTGTGTGTGTGGAGTAAGGAAACTTACCCAACATTTCGCTCTGCCCGGGCCGGGAATCGGACCGGGGTCCTCTCGCTCGCGAGGCGAGTGCTCTAACCACTGAGCTACAGGAAGGACACCATGGTCTGACTCTCACTGAGAGCCTAATGATTCCAAGGACATGAGGAAGGGAGGGGCTGTTTAATTGGGCAGGTTATAATCTCTAACCTACCGATTATAATCTGTAACCTGTCCTCTTCTCTCTTCAGGTTGTTTGGAGCTACATCGCAGGGCTGTTTGGCACGACCACCATTTTGTACGAGCTCAGGCAGGAAGGAAGGCAGAACGTTCAATGTGGGGCAGTCAGTTCCAATCCTCTGGGACCAAAGCAGGTGGGTACCAAGGAATTAGCCTCCGCACAGCGAAGCGAGGTGATGCGGGAGCCATTGACTCCCTGTCTCCCCGCGGTTCACCTTCAAGGACCTCGCTGTTGGGTGACCTTTACGCTACGGGATTGACAATGATGTGTCGTGACTGTGCGATGACTGATGGCTTTGCTTTCCTTTGCTAGTTGGTCATGGAGGTCAGTCACAGTCGCTGCTGGGACCGAGGCCACAAACGGTTCAGGTAATTAACAGCAACGACAACTGGCATTTTACACGGCGCCGCTCACGTCGGGAGGACGTCCCAAGGCGCTGGACGGTCACAGAGCTGGGGGTTTGGGATCAGGAGGGGGGGCAGGGCGGGGCAGGGAGGGTGGGGGTAGGAGGGTGACCGAAGGCGCGGTCGAAGAGGAGGGTCTTGAAGGAGGCGAGGGAGGGACTGTAATTTTAAGATGATGCCCCCCTTGTTCTGGATTCCCCCACCCACCAGAGGAAATAGTTTCTCTGTAGCTGCCCCTATCGAATCCCTTTATCATTTAAAAAACCTCAATCAAATCACCCCCCCACACCCCCCCCCCACCCCCACCCTTTAAACTCGAGGAAACGGGAGGGAGATGAGTAAATGCAGTGTGTGGTGACCCGGTGCTTAGGAGCGACAGGAACTGGAGGAGGCCATTCAGCCCCTCGAGCCTGTCCCGCCATTCTGCTGGATCGAAGCTGTGCTGATGCCCTTCTGTGTTTGGTGTGATGTTGTGGTCAGGAATTGAACGAGTTCTGTAACTACCGGCAAGGACACGGGCAAACGGGGCAGCAGCAGCAGCAGCAGCAGCCTGGACAGTCACAGAAACAGCGGGTTTTCACTGGAGTGGTCACCAGCCTCCACGACTATTATGGCTTCGTGGACGAAGAGGTGTTCTTCCATCAGAAGTAAGTGACGCCCCACGACAGCAGCTGACTTGCGTCGGTAGGAACCCAGGGAGGAGGCCATTCAGCCCCTGGAGCCCGTTCCGCCATTCTGTTAGGTCGCGGCTGATCTGTACCTCGACTCCAGTTACCCGCCTTCGACCCCCGTCTCCCTCGATCCCCTGACCTAACATACACCTGTCCGCCTCAGTCTGGAAAATTTGTATAGATATATGCGTATCTACAGCGCCCCTCACACAGGGTAGCGCCTCAGAGCGCCTGACAGCCGAGCCAGGGGGAGGGGGGAGGTGACCGTAGGCACTGGTCAAAGAGGAAGGCCGTCGGGCGCCACCTGAAGTTGGGGAAGGAGGGGCGGGCGGGGGGGGGGGGGGGCGAGGCGGAGGGAGAGAGGGAGAGAGCTCCAGAATTTCGGAGCACTAACCAGTGAATTGACTGTGCATTTTGCGGCGAAATTGCTGTGAAGCGAAGGGACTGTGCGTTTTGTGGGCAAAACGTGGCAGTCAATTTGGGCGCAGCAGTGTCCCGCGAGCAGCCACGAGGTGAAACGACCACGGTTTATTTTCAGGGGGTGGGGGTGGGTGGGTGTTTTGTCGGCCAGGATACAGACCAGGAGAGGTCTTTCCTTTTTGAATTGCGCTGCGGGAGATCTTTTACTTCCGCCTGATCAGGGCACAGACGGGGGAGGTGGGGGTGGTGGGGGGGGGGAGGTTTAACGTCTCGTCCCAGGGATGACATACTTGGCTTCCGGGCGCCTGAGACCTATAATCCTTGTCTTGCAGTGTGGTGAAGGGTCGAGTGCCACAGGTCGGGGAGCGTGTGCTGGTGAAAGCCGTGTACAATCCCAGTCACTCCGTGCAGTGGAACGCGCTCAAAGTCCAAGTCCAGCCTAGTCAGGTGCAGGTGTGTGTGTGGGGTGGGGGGGGGTTGGTTATGTGTGGGGTGCGCGCGGGTGTGGGTTGCGTGTGCGTGTGGGGTTGTGCGTGCGTGTGGGGGTTGCGCGTGCGTGTGGGGGGGGGGTTTGGGTGTGTTTGTGTGTCACTGTGTGTGTGTGGGTTGGGTGTGTGTGTGGGTTGGGTGTGTGTGGGTGTGTGTGTGTCCTGATACAGATTGCGATTCATTTGAAAGTCCCTCCTGACTGAATCTGTCGCGGGTTTTGTCTCCCGCTCAGAAACACGGCATCCTCGGGACGAAACCTCCTCCGCAGCCCCTCCTACACGCCCCTCGCCTGCCGTCACTGATGTCCTCACAGCCACAACCACTGCTCCCTCGCAAAGGTAAGTTGGAACACAGCACAGAGCCCCCCCCCCCGTAGGCCTCGGGACATTCCCCCCCGACGTGAAAGGCGCTGTGTGAATGTGCGGTGTTGTTGTGCTGAATCGGGGAGTTCACCGGTGTCTCTGTATGTCCTCTCCTCAGGTGGTTTGCTCCAGCCATTAGTCCACATGGGAGCTCACGGTCAGATGGGCAGGAGGATGGACGTGGGACATCGAATGGGAGGGAGGAACGGACGCATGGAAATGGGACAGAACAGGAGAGGGGACAGGAGGTAGGAACCCGTCTTGGTTTTCGAACTCGTGCGAGAGGGGTCTTGTCGTAACCTGGGAGTCCCTCGCCTCGCAAGCGAGAGGACCCGGGATCGGTTCCCGGGCGGCTCAGGTCAGGGCGAAACCTTAGGCACGTTTCCTTACTCCACCCTCCCCCCCCCCCCCCCCCCCCCCCCCCACTATGCACACACACGCGCGCGCGTACACATGCACTTGTTTGCCTGCAGTAAATAGGTTGTTATCGATCGGTTGATCGCTTAATCCATTCCAAAACTAATAATAATGTGGTCGCCTCAAACCACGCCTGTCTGCGGGGACGCTGCTGTGCGCAATCGGCTGCCGCGCTTCGCCCGCAAAAACGCACGGTCACTACGCTTTGTAGTCCGTTCTGGGAAGCGCTTTCAGACGTCGCGGAGACTCGATGAGGCGCTACTATCGAATGCGAGGAATGTTATTGTTGGATAGACCTCCTGGAAATGGGGTAATAAGTGTTCTGACTCTGGGTTGCGGGGGAAAATGTGATTGAACTCGCCAATGATCTTCAGCTGCTCAATCACCCCCCCCTCCCCCCCTCTCCCCCTTTCTTCCCCTCCACCCCCCCTCGCTTTTTCTCTCTCCCCCCTCGCTTTCTTTCTCCACCTATTACTTTTTCTTTTCCTCCGCCCCCCTCTCTTTCCCCTCTCTCCCTCTCTTTCTTAACAGGAACAGTTATAAACGTGGAGGTGTTCAGGGGCTTTCTCAGAAGCGGTACCAGGACATGGGGTCCGGGGAGGGACCAGCCAAGAAAGTCCGGCACTATGTACCCCCTTACAGTGTGCAGTATTCCCGCTTCTCCTTGGGCAGGTAACCCTTTCTCTCTCTCTTTCTCTCTCGCTCTCTCTCCAGCCGGGGAGGGGGGTGAGGTGACCGTAAGCCACGGGTCGAAGGGGGCGGGGGGTGGAGTTTCGGGGCGTAGCGGCTGAAAGAGCGACCACCGATAGCGGAGGGCACAAGGGACGAGCAGGAGGCCGGAGCCAGTCGAGCGGAGGCAGCGCCAATCATACAGGGTAGAGTCTCGGAAGGCTATCACTGCTCTCTCTCTCTCTCTCCCTCCCTCCCTCCCTCTGTAGCCAAGCCTGTGATGCTATGGATGTGCAGCGTCGCTACCCAAACCTCCCCTTTGCCGAAGAATTCTTCAACGCCCAGCTCTGCTTCACCGACACCTTCCCCCTGGGGCAGCCCCTCCAGCTGGGACAGAAATGTGTCTTCCACATCATGGAGGAAGGGGATCAGCCGACGGAACCCCAGGGCTCAGCGACGGAGCCCGATGACGCTGACCCCACCTACAGCGCCAAGGTATAGCCCTCTCTCCAGCCAGTTACGCTCAGCTGCTGAGCATCGTGTTGGGGAGGTGGACAACGCTGTCGGTACCTGTGCCTCCTGATGCTCAGGAACCTTTCTTCATCTCCAAACCTCTTGTGACCTCAGGTGCTGTTGCTGTCCTGTCCAGACCTGGAGGAGCTTTACCGTCAGGGCTGCTGTTTGGCCGAGACATCCAAAGAGGAGATTCCACAGCATCCAGCCAGACTCCTCAAGGTGGGGCCTGGAGCACAGCAGCATCATCATCATAATAATAATAATAATCCTTGCAGTTGATATCGGGGTTCATCACATCGTCGAGACGTCTCAAAGCCCTTCGCAGGCTACACTGTCAAGTGAATTGACTGTGTATTTTGTTGGTTGAAACACGGCAGTCAATTGCGCACAGCAGCGTCCCCACAAACAGTCGTGGATTGAAGTGACTGATATGTTTTTTTCCACAGTTTGTGCCCCCGCGGGTGGGCGGACGGGCAGACAGGGCCAAACCTTAGGCAAGTTTCCTTTCTCCCCACACACGCCACTATCTAACTAGTTAGTAGGAACCCGGTTCTTGGTCGATTGGCAGATAATAATCCCCTTAAATAAATATAATAATAAAAAAGTGGGTCACTCAATCCACGGCTGTTTGTGGGATGTCGCTGTGCGCAATTGCCTGCCCTGTTTCTCCCACAAAAAAAAACAAGTCACTCCACTTTACAGTATATCCTGTGAAGCTCTTCGAGACATCTCAGCGGTGTGGTAAACCGCTGCATCAAATGCAAGGATTATTATTGTTACTTATTAGTAGTATTGAACCCCGTGAAGCGCTCAGAGACGTCTCTGCGACGTGACAAGGCGCTGTATCAAACGCGAGGATGATTAGGATTCGCCCACTCTGGGCTGCCGTGGTGTGTACAGACCCTTCACTGTGTCTATCTCTTGATTCCTTTCTGTTCAGTTCCTGGTGGGAACGAAGGGCCAGGAGGGCACTGTGGCAATCGGGGGTCCCTGGTCTCCCTCCTGCGATGGTCCAAACCCAGGCAAGGACCCCAAGGTGCTGATCAGAACGGCCATTCGTACCACAAAGGCCCTGACTGGGATTGACCTGAGCGCCTGTACTCAGTGGTGAGTGGCTGGGATCAGGGGCTCGGGAATCACCCTCGGGATTACAGGGAGCTGCTGTGGGAACGTTCAGTCATTGGACGAGGCTGACGGTGACACGAGCGCTAAAAGGAACGAGCAGGAATAATGGACGCGATCGATTGATTGTATGTTCTCGTCGACAGTCACTCCAGAGGCTGATGTGCTACATAGATGGTCACAGAGTGTGAGGGAGAGGAGAGAGAGGCAGAAGGGGACAGGGTGAGAGAGAGAGAGAGAGAGAGAGAGAGACAAACACACAAAGAGTGAGGGTTAGGACTGGAGTGAGGTATGTACTGAAGGTGAGAACACAGTGAGCGAGAGGAGAGACTGATACAGAGTGTGAGAGAGAGTGACTGACAGAGAGAGAGACTAACACAGGGTGAGAGTAAGGAGACTTGCCTAAGACTTTGCCGTGCAGTGAGTCAGGCAGAATTAATGACCTTTACTCACTGCCTCACAGCGTCCGGGCCTGAAAGCTGCTGTGAGAAGTACTGCCGCTCTGTGCTGGAGCTGGAGCTCGGTGGCACGTAACGCAGGGCAATGTTTGAGCTCTCTCTCTGCTCTGCCAAACCCAACCCAACCCACTCTGCGGCTCCGGAGGAGGACAAAGTGTAACTTGTCCTTTGATGAGGAACGAACACAAAAGAACAAAAGCACCCAGTGAATCGGGGTGGGGGTGGGGGGCGCTAAGTCCCGTAGAGTAGCGCTCGACTGGCTCCGGCCTCCTGCTCGTCCCTGCCACCCCCCCCCCCCAGGCTTGTTGTGTTGTGCCCCGCCACTGGAACGCTGTCCTCGGTGAGGAAGGGGGACGCTGTGTAAATACAAGTCGATGTCGTACGTTCTGAGGCGAAGACAGACACAAGTAGAGAGAGAGAGTGTGTGTGTGTGTGTGAGAGAGACTGACTCGAGAGAGGGAGACAGAGAGAGATTGACACAGAGAGAGAGCGAGACAGACACAGGGTGAGAGTGAGGAAACTTGCCTAACGTTTCATCGTGCGGTAAATCCTCTTCCCCCCTCTTGACAGGTTCCGCTTCGCTGAGATCTGTTACTATCAGCCCGAGGAGCATCACGATGGGCGCCCGCTCCCAGCCCACGTGGAGACCTCGGTGGTCTTCCTGCCCGATGTCTGGCATTGCCTTCCTACTCGCCTCGAGTGGGAGTCACTGACACTCGCCTACAAGCAGCAGCTGTCAGACACACAGCCACCACAGCCCAAGGACGCCACAGGAGACGAGGCACTGAATTCTCTTCTTTTTTTTTTTACCGCTCCCTCCTTCTCCTCCCGTCGACGCAAAATATCAGCGCGTTTCGCCCAGAAGATGCACAGTCGTTGCACTTTACGGCGTCTCCCTGCGAAAGCGCTTGGGAGGCCTCTCGGCTGCGCGATAGACAGCGCGCCGTACGTATCGAACGCGAGGATTGTTGTTGCTATGATCAGGAGATGAAGGCGTTTAAACGTGTGTCGCGGCCTGGCTCAGTTGGTAGCCTCCGAGTCAGAAGGGAAGGTTGGTGGGTTCAAGCCCCAACAGCACACGTTGGGATTTAGTCGAAGCTGACGCTCCAGTGCAGGGATGGGGGGGGGGTGTTGTATTGTCGGAGATACAATCCTTCAGATGAGGCTTTGGGTGTGTTTGTGTGTTGAAGGGAGGGAGGGAGGGAGGGGAAGGGAAGGAGGGAAGGTGTGGTCGCTCAGTTGACTAACTAAGGAGATTATGGAGCAAAGCAGGAGCTGGAAATGGGAAACTGAGATTCGTTTCTCAGGCAAACTTAACGGGAGCTAATTCCTTCTCGCAGGCCGAGGAGAATATGGAAGTTCAAGCAGATGATTCAAGGCCCACTCCCACCCTCTGGAGTCAACTGGAGCCTAAAACAATGAAGGTAAGAGACGTCCCACAGTTGTGCCTGATTCGCGATTGAGACCAAAGGCAAATGGGGGATATTCCCTGGGATTTTCTGGGGGGGATAATAATCCCTCCGAAAATGTGATCGCTCAATCCACGGCTGTTTGTGGGGACGCTGCTGTGCACAAGTGGCTGCAGCCTTTCACCCACGAAATGCACAGTCACTACACCACCGTATAGCCCGTGAAGCGCTTTGAGGCGTCTCGATGGAGTGATATGGCGCGGTATCAAGTACGAGGACTGTTATTATTCAGACACGTTTCGGGGCTGTTTAACTTTGCACATTATCGGCCGTTGACGAGTGCTGTTTTCGCTGAGAAAGGTCGATGATATCGCTAAGGAGCTGCAGACCCGAGGCCTCAGTTCGAAGGGGACAAAGTTACAATTGGTCACGCGGCTGGAGAGGCAGCTGAGGGAGGAAGAGGAGGATGCAGAGGCGGAGGAAGCGTTGAAAGAAGATCCCGCAGAGGAGGTGAAGACCGAAGACACTGAGGAAGAGAAAGAGGATGAACAGAAGGAGGTGAGGACGGACTCCTTAGGTTCTCAAAGGCCGACTTCCACCCCTGTGTCTGAGGGGCGGCGCTGGTGAACGTGGGCAGAGCAAGCGAGGGCTTAGAACCATAGAAATGCACAAGGCGCAAAGAGGCCATTCGGCCCAACCCTTTCAGTCCCATTTCCCTGCTCTCCCCCTCCCTCCCCAATACCCCTGGAGCTGACTCTTGTTTAAGGTATTTAACCTCAATCCGTCTTCTATCGTCCAGCCTTTCCTATGTTCTTATGAAACGCTTGTCACTGTAGATGGAACAGCAAGCCGAGGGGAAACAGATGGAGGATTCCGACGCCCCCCGGAAGCCGGAGACAGTCTGCCGCCTGCCCGCCGAGCCCGCTGTGATAGTGAACCCCAACCGTGCCGCCATGGACCACAAGTTCGGCTGCATTGTCATGTCACTGCAGAGACTGAGGAACTACAGGAACGATTCCATGACACACTCCTTCGAGGTAATTCGCATTCCCTTCGCCTCGCTCCCTCCCTCGCCTCCTGCAAGGCTCGTCTCAAAACCCTCCTCTTCGACCGAGGCTTCAGCCGTCCCCCCTCTTACCCTCATCCTCCCCGCCTTCCACCCCCTCCTGATCCCAACCCCCAGCTCGGGTCCAAATCCCTGACTGTCCAGCGCCTTGGGACGTCCTCCCGACGTGAAGAGCGCCGTGTAAATGTCACTTGGTATTGTGTTGTGTTGTAAAGCTCGTGTGAGGGCATCGACATGACCTGCAGAACACCGAGCCTGCCACTCGCGTTCCCATCAGTCACAGATAATCTCTACGTGTTTCTTGTGAGTCTTTCGCCACCAACGGAGCGGTTATTAAACAGGAGGGTTGTCATGGGATAACGCCTCAGAGCGCTTAACAGGGGCACACACGTAAATGTTTCCCCCACAAAATACACAAGTCAATTCAGAATGCTGTACGGGAGCCCTGTAGCTCAGTGGTTAGAGCCCTCGCCTCGCAAGCCAGAGGACCCGGGTTCGATTCCTGGGGTCAGGGCGAAATCTTAGGCAAGTTTCCTCACTCCACACACACACGCCTCTGTTTATCAGCAGTAAGTAGGAACCCAGCTGTCAGTCGATCGGTGGATCGCTTTTCCTGTGGTGGTAATCCCTTTTAAAACAAAATGGTCATTTAATCCATGGCTTTTTGTGGGGACGCTGCTGTGTGCAATTGGCTGCCGTGTTTCCCCCAAAAAACATACATATATACAGTATATTCTGTGAAGCGCTTTGAGACTTCTCGTTGATGTGACAAGGCGCTATATCAAATGCAAGGATTATTATCATTATTGTTATTTACCAGGTGCTGTTACTGGCCGAGCTGTTTGGTGAGATGCTCCAGAGAGACTTCGGCTACACCATCTACAAGGCTTTGCTGGCGTTCCCGGGAAGAAAGCTGAAGCCGGAGAAGCCGGAGGAAGAAGGGGAAGGGCAGCCGGCAGAGAAGGAAAAGAGCTCGAAGAAAGGAGGCCAAGAGGAGGTCAAGGAGCCGAAAGAGAGAACGAGCAAATCGCTAGAAATGAAAGAGAACGAGGAGCAGGAGGAAGATTGGGATTGGGAGGAAACCAAGGTATTGGCTGGTCTCAAAGTAGAGAGAGGGAATACCCACAGGGAGAGAAGAGGCAGCCCAAAGGGTAGGCAGGTTTGTTAACATCAATAAGATGGTTCCACTGGTTGGGGAATCACATGTAAGATAGCGATCGAAAAGAGAATTTGGGAGGAACTACATCCCGCAGAGGGTAGGGTGGTTTGGAGCTCGCTGCCTGAAGCGGTTAGCGTAGATGTATTCAGCGCAGCAGCCAATTGCGCACAGCAGTGTCCCACAAACAGTCATGGATTGAGTGGCTGCATTATTATTATTTTTTAAGGGAATATTATCTCCAGAAAGCGATTCGCCAATCGACTTACAACCGGGTTCCAACTTACTGCGAGGTAATCAGGAGCTTGTGCCTATGTGGAGTAAGCAAATTTGCCTAACTTTCCACCCTGACCCACCCGGGAATCGAACCCAGGTCCTCTCCGAGTGCGAGGCGAGTGCTCTAACCGCCACCCTACAGGACTCCCATGTTAACGGGATGGTATTTGCGTTTGTTTCAGCTGGAAGACGGTGAGAGTAAAGGCAAAGAAGTGAAGGGGAAGCGAGGAGCGGCAGACAGTGAGGCTGCTCTCCTAGAGATGGATGAAGCTCTCCTCTTGGAAGATAATGAAGAGGAATTTGGTAATGGAATCGCACCTCACTGTTACAAGGTCACAAGATGGGTTTGGATGAAGAAGGCCCTTCGGCCCATCCGATCTCATCCCTCCAGAACACCCACCCTACCATCCCCCCATCACAGCTTCGAGCTGCTTTTTGAACGAGCGACAGAAACAGGAGGAGGCCATTCAGGCCCGCGAGCCTATTCCACCATTCCAACTCCAGTGTCCTGGCCTCAACCATCCTTCCTGGGAACCCTGTTCCAGTTTAGTTCCTTGATCTAAATGTTAATAATAATCCTGGCATTGGATACAGCGCCTTATCACACCTTCGAGACGTCTCAAAGCGCTTCATAGGATATACTGTGAAGTGAATTAACTGTATATTTTGTGAGCGAAACACGGCAGCCAATTGCGCACAGCAGCGTCCGCCACAAACGGTCGAGGATTATTGTAATAACTATTAGCGTTCGAGCGTCGATGTAGTTGTGATGATGGCTCTTTGCAACGTTTCAGCAGGTGACGAAGAGAAAAAGCTGGAAGGAAAGAGAGCAACTCTAACAGAAACCGAATTGGTTAAGGAGATGGTAAGGAAGCAGATAATTGAACATATACTTACAAATAAATATTTGCACAGCTTTGGGGGGGAGTGGGACTCGTTGGTAGTTCTTTCAATGAGACGGCACTGACACGATGGGCTGAATGGCCTCCTTCTGTGCTGTAATGTTCTATGATAAGAGTTTTCCCAAGAGCCTCATATTCGTTTGGATGAAGCAAAACCTTCGGCCCATTTATGAATAATAAAAATAATAATCCTTGCATTTGGTACAGTGCCTTATCACATCGCCAAGACGTCTCAAAGCGCTTCGCAGCTGTGTCCCACAAACAGCCATGGAGCGAGCGACAAATTTTATTTGGGTGATTGTTGGTCAGGACGACCGGGAGAGAAAGGAACCCCCTTCTCTTTTCGAACAGCGCCCCGCAGGAGATCTTTAACGTCCACCAGAACAGGGCCCAGACGGGGAGTGAGTGAGGTTTAACATCTCAGGACTGCGTCTCCGACAGCAACACCCCACCCCACACCCACCCAGCGCTGCATTGGAGCATCAGCTTGGACTGTGTGATTCCAAGACTCGACGGGGGTGGGGGGGGGGCTTGAACCCACAACCTTCTGACTCGCGGCGAGAGAGAGAGAGAGAGCGCCAGTGATTGAGCCAGGCTGAGACTCGAGGGTTGTGTTGAGGTTGTGGGTGGAAGGTATAGGAATTGGGGAAATAACATGGGTGTGTGGGAATTGTACATGGATTGAGTGACTTCTCTTCTGGCCCTCAGGAGAAAGACGTGAGCCAGATGGTGACCCTGAAGAAGGACCTCCTGTTGGCCTTTGTGTACTTTGACCGGAATCTGTGCGGCTATGTTCTGGAGAAGGATCTGGAGATGATCATCTGCACAGTGGGACTGCATCTGTCCAGAGCTCAGGCACGTCATTCTCCCACGAGTCTCCCTGCGCTCCCACACCAGGCTCCGTGACCCTATCGCCCTGGCCCGGCTCCACTGGCTCTCCATCCCCCAGAGGATACCGTTCAAAATCCTCGCCCTCACCCTCAAAACCCTCCGCGGCCTCGCTCCTCCCAACTTCTGTGACCTGCTGACTTCATAGCGACCCGCTTGCTCCCCCCGCTCAGCGGGCTCTGGCCTGCTCCACAACGCCCGCCCGCTCCATCATCGGTGGTCAGGCCTTCAGCCTCTCTGCCCCCACCCTTTGGAACTCGATCCCACATTCCTTCTGCCTGGCTCCCTCCCTCGCCTCCTTCAAAGCACGTCTCAAGACCCTCCTCTTCGACCAACCGCGCTTTCGGTCACCCTCCTACCCCCTACCCTCCCCGTCCTCCACCCCCTCCTGATCCCAACCCCCAGCTCGGGTCCAAATCCCTGACTGTCCAGCGCCTGGGACGTTCCTTCCCGACGTGGAAGGCAATATACACATGTAATATTATACTGTGTTACAGATTAAACAACTGCTCAGTAAGGTGGCCTCACAGAACACGTGTCTGTATCGAACCCTGACAGACGGCTGGGAAGGAGACCTGGAGAAACTTGAAGACAAGAGTCTCATCTCTGAGGAACTTTTACTTGGTGAGTCTTTTTATTCTGCGTTGTGTGACCCGGAGACGAGCTCCGATCAGTTCGTTTGACTCCCGAGTGAGGCGCTCTCATCAAACACACTGGAGCAGGCGGGAAGCAAACACAGCCACGCTCCTTGGCTACCTGGAGTGTGGGTGTGCCTGACTGGGTAGCGCTCCCGTTTCAAGGCCCTCTTCTTCGACCGCGCCTTTGGTCAACCTCCTACCCCCACTCTCCCCGCCCTCCAGCCCTCCTGATCCCAACCCCCAGCTCAGGGGTGCGGATCCCTGACTGTCCAGCGCCTTGGGACTTCCTCCCGACTTGAACGTAATTTGTTGATGTTGTTTGAACTGACTTTGTTCCTTCAGGCAATAAGCACCTTATATCGCACTGCGCCGGTGTGGTGGTCAGTAAACCCGCTGCTGGCAGCAGTAAGACGCGAGCCAGGAGAGGAGACAGCGGTTTGGTGGAGCACAACGGCACTCTGGTCAACGTGGGCAACTTGGTTCAGAAGCTGGAGCGAGACGAGAGAAACCGAGCGGACATGGAGACCAGACTGCGTTCCATGGAGCTCCGGCTCGGTGAGATAGATACCCGGGCGTGTGGTGTGAACACAATAATAACAATCCTGGCATTTGACCCGGCGCCTCATCGCGTCTTCGAGACGGCGCAAAGCGCTTCGCAAGATACACCGTACAGTGAAGTGACTGTGTATTTTGTGAATGAAACGCAGCAGCCAATTGCGCACAGCAGCGTCCCCACAAACAGCCGTGGATTGAAGTGACTGATTTAATATAATAATAATAATTTATTATCATCGCTGTGAGAGGGAAGGTGTGTTCCACCATCGGCGGCCTCGCTTTCAGTCACTACGCCCCGAAACTCTTGTCACTCCCTTCCTCAATTAAGGCGCTGAATTAAGGGGTACGGGGCAAAGGCAGGTAATTGGACTTGAGGTACTGATCAGCCATGATGTAATAGAATGGCAGAACAGGCTCGAGGGGGCTGAATGGCCTCCTCCTGTTCCCGTGCCCAAATCCACGATGAAGCCATAGTGACTCGATCTGTCTTTCCCTCCAGATGAAGCCCTTGGGGAGGCCTCTTCGAAGGACAAGGCCAACAAATCCCTGACGGAGGACAAGCAGGAGAGACAGAAGAAGTTGGCGGAGCTCGAGGAGCGCGTGAAGGCAGCAGAGAAGCTCAAAGCTTATTATGAGAGCCAGCTACAGGACAACAGCAAGCACTTGACATCTCTCGTGGAGGACATTCAGCGCCTCATTAAAAAGGTACCGGCTCGCCTGGCAGCCTGACCACTGCCCTGTGCTTCCATCTCTTGTAACCTAGTGCGTGCAGGTATCGACTAATAGCTGCCTGTTTCTATCACGGCGAGATGCCAGGCACCACGAGACACTACCCACTGCCTCCGCTCGACTGGCTTGTCCCTCGTTCCCTCCGTTCCACCATCAACGGCCGCATTTTCAGCCACTACGCCCCCAAGAACTCTGGAGCTCTATCCCTCCGCCTTGCCCCCTCCCTCGTGTCCCATCTTCGACCGTGCCTACGGTCACCTCCCCCTCGGCTCGAGGAGTCGTGCTCCGCCACCGTCAGGCGCTCCAGGACGCTGCCCGGGCCTGTGGGGGGGGAGGGTGCGGGGGGGGGGGGAGTGGGGGTTAACACTGTGTAAATGCAAGTTGTTATTTTTAAACAGTTGCCTTGAACGAGAGGGAGGGAGGGAGTCAGGGGGAACTGGGGGTGCGGTTTCGGGAGCAGAAATGGTATGTTATTTCTGACGGTTAAAAGCCAAAGTCTCTTTCCTTTAGAACAATGCAGCCGCAGAGAAGAAGAAGTGACGAGGCACACGGGGACTGTGCTGTAATGTTCGCCCTCTGACAGAATAACACCAACCAGCACTGGATACGTACATCCCTGTGTTGCCCGCTCCGACCCTCCCTGACGTCTGTTCAAGAGCCTGAGTGAAACAAAATGGCTCAGGTTTTATAGTTGTGCCAGTTGTGTGATGTGCATCGGGAGCGTATCATTAAATATGTTCAGGATACGCTCTGAGGAACTAAGGATTTATTGTATATTTTGTACTACGGGCCGTAATTTTAGCAGGACCCACAGAAGGAGGGTAACGTTAGGTTAATCATCATTCATTCCTGCGTCTCCAGCTGGGAGTTCATTAATCCTCGCGTTTGATCGAGCGCCTTATCACGTCTTCGAGGCGACTCTCTAAGCGCTTCACAGGATACACTGTAGAGTGGATTGACTGTATTTTGTTTCCGTCGCTTCCTGTTTGTTCACATCTGGAGATCATTTGAAACGCAGAAAGGAGAAGAATCAAAGATCTCTGTGTCTCCGTCTCCTCTTATCTACGCCGCTCCCATGATAGGTGCATTTGGATGTAACAAGCCCTCAAATGCCACAACTGTTGACCTGACAGGGCCTAGTCCTTGAATTCATGCCTCAGGTCTGACCCAATGTTCATTGCCGTGAGAAACGTTAATCTTCCTCACGTGGTTTCAAATCTTTTTCATTTCTCTGAATGTCAACTTAAACCTTATGCTGAAAATCCTCTTGTTACGGTTAACAGGACGTCATAATAAACATTCTCAGTTTATAAAACCTGCAATTTTTGTAGTGTCTTTATTTTCTCCCAATAATAATAATAATAATAATAATACTTGCATTCGTTACAGTGCCTTATCCCGTCTCTGAGACATCTCAAAACGTTTTGTAGGTTACACTGTAAAGTGAATTGACTATTTTGTGGGCGAAACTTGACAGCCAATTGCCCACAAACAGCCGTAGATTGAGTGACCAAATTTTAATAACGCTTGAATCGAGGGAAGAACCGAGGAATGACGGTGAAGCTTCTTGAGAAGAGTTGCAGAGGCACGTGTGTGGAGTAAGTAAACTTACCTAAGTTTTCGCCCCACCCGGGAATCGAACCCGGGTCCTATCACTTGGTCAGTGGTCTAACCACTGAGCTACAGGACTCCGCGACTCTGTGACACAGGAAGTATTCACACCACCATGAGCTTCCTTTTTACGAGTCCACAAGCCATCATCGCTTTTAACTGAGGGAGCAGTCAGCACTTCAAACTGGCACAGCACACAGAATGCATTGCCAGAAATGGTACATTTACCTCAGTAACCTGGTGACACCCCAAACCCCACGCAGTCTTGGCCTTAAGATTATTGCCCTGCGACTCTTCTAAAGCAGTCTTAAATTCAGTCTCTGTTCGGACACCGTCATTCCTCAGTTCTTCCCTCGATTCAAGCGGGTTTTTCATTGGGTTGTTATATTAGCTTCTTTACTGCTACGTCAGTCAGCACATCATTGTGTGTTTGGAAACCACTCTTTTCCAGCACATCACTCAATACTCTCACTTTCCCCACTGTCTCCTGTTTACCAGCAGTTAGCTTTGTGTTAGTGAATCCTCACACAACGCTGTGAAGCTTCTTGAGAAGAGTTGCAGAGGATTTCAAAGAGCTGTTCATGTGGCGATGGATTGGTGAACGTTCCCTCTCCCCCAGGGAGCAGATCTCTTATGATAGACAAGAGTTCATTTCAATTCCTCTGGGCTGTGACTGTCCTCTTGCTGTCCTGCCTTGTGTTGTGTGGCCACAGCAGCTTGGTGAAGCGATGGCGGAAATCAGGAGATGTGGTGAGAACACAGCCAAACCGCTCCATCCCACCGTCAGCCACAACACATTCATTCAGCTCGACTGTGAGACTGAGCAGGACCGTCTCTGCTTCTTCTTCTGTTTCTAGGGAAAGGAATGGGAAGGAACACAATAGGGTAACATCAATAATCATACTAATATTAATAATAATGCTTGCGTTTGATATAGCGCCTCATCACGTCATCGAGATGTCTCAGATCTTTGACGTCCACCTGAATAGGGCACAGTCGAGACTTCGGTCTATCTCACAGTGGAAGTGGAAGACGAGGCTGAGGAACGTGAGGACAGGACAACTCACCAGCTTCCAACGAATCAACTTGATCCATTCATCTGTCTCCTGGGCAGACTTCCCCCCAAGGTAGTGTGTCTGTTCTGGGAAGACCAGGCTGTGAAGAAACAAAATGTCGTGACTATATTTTTGTGGTTGAAACGTAACAGCCGATGTGCACATTGGTTGATAAGGTCTTAGGAGGTCACAGAGATAGGGAGGAGCGAGGCCGTGGAGGGTTTTGAAGATGAGGACGAGGATTTTAAACTCTGGAGCTTTGGGAGGACACTTACCAGAAGGAGTTGACTTTGCCCTGTGAGTAGTCAAACTGAATATCTGTGCACTGCGACAGGTTGATAATGCCAAGCGGATCTCTGTCCTGATAGAGGGAGAAATTAGTTGTACCAAACAACATGCAAACAAATAATAATAATAATAATCCTCGCATTTGATATAGCGCTTTTCACGTCGGGAGGACGTCCCAAAGCGCTTCACAGAACACACTGTAAAGTGAATTGACTGTATATTTGTGGGCGAACGCGGCAGCCAATTGCGCACAGCAATGTCCCACAAACAGTCGTAGGTTGAAAATGACCAATTTATTATTGGTTTACAAACAACAATAAATCAAATAACTTGCATTTACACAGGGCCCTTCACAAGGGGCTGTGTCTCAGAGCGCTTGACAGTGACAAGGCAGAGGGATTGGGGAGAGAATTCCAAAGCTTCCGGGGGTAGAGGCAAACAGCCCCGGTAAGGCAAAGCTCTGCAGCTCCAGGACAAACCTACCTGCTTCTCTTTGTAATACTTCAGCTCATACCTCTGGATAGTCACCCAGCGCGTGTTCCAGGTCTAGAACAGAGAACAGCGAGAGCACAGTGCGTTCACACTCCTGAGACTGAAACTAGACGGTGGGATTTGGAGAAGACCTTGGATGAGTTACGGTGAGGTGAGAATTGAGGCCAGAAAGAGTCACCAGCAATAACAATAATAATCCTTGCATTTGATTTAGCGCCTTAACATGTCATTGAGGTGTCTCAAAGCGTTTCACAGAATGTACTCTAGTGTGAATTGACTGCTATTTTGTGGGCAAAACATGGCAGCCAATTGCGCACAGCAGTGTCCCACAAACTGTCGTGGATTAAGTGATCAATTATTTAATTTTCCCCGGAGAGCGATCAGCCAATCGACTAACAACCTGGTTCCTACTTACTGCTAAGTAAACAGAGGTGTGTGGGTGTGTGAAGTAAAGAAACTTGCCTAAGGTTTCGCCCCAAACTGCCCAGGAATCGAACCTGGGGAAAAGAAGGTATGTTCACAGGATCTTACCTTGAGTAGCTTACTCAGTATCAACAAGAAACCTTCCTTAGTGCCAAGCTGCAAGATAAGAGACATAAAGTTATCCTGTGCCAAATTTTCTATAGTTTCACTTTACTCTCAACGAAATACATCCTCCCACGTATGCCTTGTTTAGCCAACACAAAGTTTCGGAGAACAAAATCATCAGGTCACAACAAGTTAGCACAAGTAATTCTGCAATTTTCTTAAATTAACTGCAATGCAAGTTTACAGTTGCGCTGCACCATTCATGTTGGGAGGATGTCCCAAGGCGCTTGCCAATCATGACTTGGCACCTGAGCTTGGAGCTATGGGGTGGGGTGGGGAAAAATGACCAAACGCATGGTCAGAGAGGTAGGTTTTGAGACAGACTTTGAATGAGGTGAGGGAGGGAGGGATGGAGTTCCAGTGATAGGATGAAAGTCCGACCTGATATTTCTTGATTCTAAATTAATTGATACTTACAGCAGGAGCTTCAGCCACCAGCTCAGTGCCTGAGCAGCCAGACTTCAAGGTCAGGTGAACAGTGACTGGATCAAAGAACAGAGGTTCAGGCACTTCCCTGGGGTAAGGGGACTTCAGCAACACTGGGGAGCCTGAGAGGAGCAAACACGATAGCAGCTTAATAATACCACCTAGTATCCCAAACTCAGCCGAAACACTCCCACCTCCGCTACTCAAATGCCTTTCTTGCCAGTCTCCACAGCTCCTCTATCCACAAGACATCTCAATGACATGTTAAGGCGCAGATTTAATGCCTGATCTGTGCTGGATTAGGTGAGCTCAAAGCAGTTGAGGCAACAACTGGATTCAGCATTTGATTCACAAACTACAGGAACTTCCCCTCCCCTCTCCTCACCTGCAAGGTTTCCGATCAGGGGCTGATCGGCAAAGTGATTCCGAAACTCCTGAAGCGTCAGGAATGTGTATAAGCCAAAGATGTACCCCGTCTCCAACCGCTTCACCTGAAAGTGCTTGACGGAATCCTTTGATCTGAAAAATAAGTCAAACCAGGTTTGATGCTGGACTTCAGCCGCCATTCAGCTGCACGTTAAAGATCCAAGATTAACTGAAAAGAGTAAAGGGCTTTCTCCCAACCAACCCTCCAGATAAGTGTAATATTAATAATCCTTGCATTTCATATAGCGCCTTATCGCATCTTTGTGACGTTTCAAAGCGCTTCACCGAACATACAGGGAGGGAGCAAGGTGGAGGGATCGTGGGATGGAGTTCCGGAGGGTGGGGGCAGAGAGGCTGAAGGCTCGACCGCCAATGGCAGGGCGGGTCAGATGAGAGCGGTGGAGCAGGTCAGAGCCCGCTGAGTGGAGGGAGCGGACAGACGGGTCGATGTGGCAAACAAGGCTGACTAGAGAGGGAAAGTCTGTGGTTATTTATCAGGCCGCACTCACCTCACCTCCAGCACAAACTGCTTGGGCACATCTTGGTCTCGACGTAGCAGGTAACTGCCATCCTGTCCGTTCAGAATGAGCAGAGCCTCAGCAGCGTGGGCTGAGATATCGCCATGATACCAGCTGCAGAGAACAGGAGAGGGTGACCAGCGACTAGCAATAATACCCTTAAAATATCACCTCTTCCGCCCAGCAAATTCTGATGTTCTTAAAATGATCGTTTGATCGAGGTCTCTCAATGGCTAATACTTGTTGTACCGAATAGTGTTGAGTCAGTGCACAGCGAAACAACAACAAAATTAGCTTTATACGGCAACTTTCTCGTCATTAGGCTGGCCCAAGGCACTGGACAGTTGCACCCGAGCTGATTATGATTTAGAAATCCATCCCAGTCCCTTCGCCTTGCTCCCTCCCTCTCCTCCTTCAAGGCACATCTCAAGACCCTCCTCTTCGACCGCTCCTTTGTTAACCCCCTCCGCCCCATCCTAATCCCTACCCCCAGCTCGGGTCCAAATCCCTGACTGTCAAGTGCCTTGGGATGTCTTCCCGAGGTGAAAGTCGCTGTACACATGCAATTGTGTTTAACAAGGCACTTAACTGAATAACGCAGTGAGTAGGGCGGAACGCCAAGCACGTCTGGTATTGTACTGGAATCTCTAGATTCCAAGTGCTTAGAAACTAAACAAACCAAAGAACTTCACGGCACTTCAGAATCAGAAGGCATATCTAATGCAAGCACAGATCATGCGAGGAAACTCCACTTACTCGAACTGGTGCAACTCGTCCACACCGCCTCCCAGCACGTAGGAGCTGCTACCCTCTGGCTCACCCTCCATTTTGATGTATCATGTCTTCTACCTGGGAGGACGGACGGTGTCTTGCCAGGTGTCAAGTTTCAGGAACTATTCTTCCTTCGCTGACAGGTATGCCAATTTAATTTTGGAAAGCGAACCTACCCTTCAGCACTTGTCTGAAATCTGAACCGCTCTCAGTGACAAACATAAAAGCCACACGAGGAGCTATACACCTATTGATCCATTCTGCCTTTTTACGAAATCACTTGCTCTTTAATGCCGTTGCTCGCCTTTGCTCCACATCGCTCAATATGATAATCCACTCCACAAAAGAACAACTTCACGTGGGGCTGCATCTCGGAGTCCTGTAGCTCAGTGGTTAGAGCACTCGCTTTGCAAGTGAGAGACCTGAGTTCAATTCCAGGCAGAGGGCGAAACCTTGGGCAAGTTTCCTTACTCCACACAGAGCCTAATAATAATCCTCCAAAACCAAAAACAATAATAAATTGGTCATTTTCAATCTACGACTGTTTGTGGGACATTGCTGTGCGCAATTGGCTGCCGCGTTCGCCCATAAATATACAGTCAATTCACTTTACAGTGTGTTCTGTGAAGCGCTTTGGGACGTCCTCCCGACGTGAAAAGCGCTATATCAAATGCAAGGATTATTATTATTATTATTAGTGGTTGACAGCAGCGGAGCTTGGGTGAGGGAGGAGGTGACCCTAAGCATGGTCCACGAGGAAGATCTTCAGTCATGGTCTGAAAGAGGGGAAAGGAGCAACGCAGGGAGAATTCCAAAGCTTCAGGGCGTAGTGACTGAAAGCGCAGCCGCGGGATGGTGGAGCGGAGGGGCGAGGGGCAAGCAGGGGGCCAGAGATAGCTGAACAAAGGCAGCGGGTAGTGGAGTTGGGAGAAAGTGGGTTAGATAGGTTGGGGGAATCAAGGGCATGAAGGGATTTGAAGGGAGTGGATGATTCGGTCCTCATAAAAGAACCTCAACAGTAAATGTCGGTGAAGCGCTCTGAAATATTTCACTATGAAAAGGCGCTATCAAAAGTATTAGATAAAAGGGAGGGGATGAGCCAGACCATGTAACTGCATCCTATAGATAAAGAGCATTAGAAGTCCCACACCTCGGTACCACCATTTGGTTGGAGTGTGCAGAGGTGCACTCTCACTATAAGGGGACGAGTTACGTCCAACACTTTGGGTGTTTTGTGTGTTGCGTTGTAAGGGGGCAATGTTGTCCATGTGTATATCTTTATTATTTATATTGCTAAATATATATATTTTTTTATTTCACTCACACCTTGTCCACAAGTGATGGGACGCTTTCTGGAATATCGCTTTCAGTCTCCGCAGTTGGCTGCCGCGTTTCGCCCACAAGATATAGTCAATTCACTTTACAGTATATTCTGTGAAGCGCTTCGAGACGTCTCAAAGACGTGATAAGGCGCTTTGTTAAAGAATCCTTAGCACCTGATGGTTCGTACGAGAGTGTACCAATATGGAATTGAGCAAGTAGTAGACTTCTGTAACAACCAATCTCAGGTTTCATCTGTGCTCAGTTAGCTGATCTCAGGAACAATTTGCCCCAGAGCCCTTATGGATGGGAAATTCAGCCAGGGTTTCCCCCTCCTCACCAACCCACTTGGAAAGCGTGTCAATACCGGTTGGAGACAGAAACTCGTTGAAAGCTAGTGAGATAATTGGGGCAAAAACTTGAGCCAGGCACCTTCAAGGAGGAAAAAGTTGATAAGAGGAACAACAATCCAAAAAGTTGCTTTGAAATAGTTTTATTATCTTATGGTTGTACAGTTCGGTCATGCCGCAGGCACAGGTGCTCGCTTCTCCCTAACTGCACTTGTAGTTGAGGGAGAAAGATGGCAGATGCCACCTGTGTCCCTTTGCATCTTCTTACTGAACCTCGCTGCCACTTTGTGTTGAGGTTCCCAAAGCAAACAGCTCCTTGTATGGATCGACGCAAGATGGCTTCCTGAGGGGTGTTAACCTTTCGAGAATTCAGCATCTTCTCTGAGATTTTTGTGCTTGTAGATCTTCGGAATGTTAAACCGAGGTCCAGTCTGACTTTTCAGCTGCTCATTCGTTCAATGGGTGTTTGTGGCACAAATTAGCTGCCGCGTGTGCCTACAAAATACATACTACACTTTGCAGTAAAACTCCTGCGAAGCGCTTCGAGATGTTGTCCTGTTGTGAATAGGGGCCATATCAAATACAAGGATTATTATGTTGTAAATTTGCACTTCTGAATTTGGGAGTGTGTCTTTCACTATATTTTCCCGACCCCTCGCTTATCCTCTATGTGTGTAGCTATCAACTGGGCTGACATATGGTATCAAGACCACCTGTTGAGGTACCAGGTGTCTTCTATCACCAAAAAGATAATACAAATCCAACCACAATAAATCTATAATATGCACTGAAAGTTTATTAGGTTGCCGTTATGCAATTTAGAAAGCCCACAGAATACAATAAACCAACTTTGTTTCAAAAAGAGCGAGCAGACCCAGTGTTGGACTGGCTATGATGATAAAAGTGATAGCGACGAAGTACATCGGTTCAACGTGCATCAAAAGCAACTGAAAGTGGTGCAGAAAAAGGGACGGATATAAAGGTACACAAGGAAAATCCGGCTGCGCCTCTGTATTTTGAATAAGTGTTTTTATTGGTGTGAAATTTCTTGCTCCCTTTTACAAAACGACTGCTTGCGGGGACGCCGCCGTGCCGCGCTCGGCTGCCGCACTTCGCCCAGGAATACGCAGTCGGTCCACTTTACAGCACATCCTGCGAAGCGCCTGTGAGACGTACCGGAGACGTTTGATAAAAAGCGCCGCATCAAAATGCAAAGATCGTCGCGAAGCCATGATCCAGAGCGATGGAATTCCAACGCGGCGCCGAGCACTGCCGGTGAGAGGCGTTAAACCCGAGCTCCCCGCCCGTCCAGGTGGGCGTTAAAAAGATCCCGGGGTGGGTGGGTGGGTGGGGGGCTGTCGGAAAAAAGAGAAGGGAGTTTCGTCTCCCACCCCCTCCACGACTCGGATACTCTTAAGCACGACGACGTGCGTCAAGACACCCGGTTGACCCCCCACAGCCCACCGGAAAAACCACACGCACAAGCGCTTCGCCGTAATGACCCAAGCGCTGCGGTGCAGTACAGTACAGATAATAACAACAGTAATAATGATGACGATGATGATGATGGCATTCAACACAGCGCCTTATCGCGTTGTGGAGACGTCTCAAAGCGCTTCACAGGATCGACTGTGCGTTTAGAGATAGAGAGTGAGAGATAGAGATATAGAGTGAGAGATAGAGAGAGTGAGAGAAATAGAGTGAGAGATAGAGAGAGAGTGAGAGACAGAGAGAGAGAGTGTGAGATAGAGAGTGGGGATAGAGAGAGGGATAGAGAGTGAGAGATAGAGAGAGGGATAGAGAGTGAGAGATAGAGATAGTGAGAGATAGAGAGAGTGAGATAGAGATAGTGAGAGACAGAGAGAGAGAGCGTGTGAGATAGAGAGTGAGAGATAGAGTGAGAGAGAGAGGGATAGAGAGTGAGAGATAGAGATAGTGAGAGATAAAGAGAGAGATAGTGAGAGATAGAGAGAGAGAGGGATGAATGGATGGAGAGAGAATGAATTAATAAATCCGCCGCTGGTAAACAAACGCCGCCTTTCCCGGCGCTGCCGTTACCTGTCAAACCCCATCGCTCCCTCCGCCGCCATTGCTGTCAGTCAACGCGCGTCGTCGTCGTCTCCCCACTCCCCCCTCCTCAGGACCGGGGTCTGGGCGGCGGCGGCCGGAGCCACCGGGAGCGGCCCTGTCACCTCCTCCTCCCGGTTGGGGATGGGGTGGGGGTGGGGGGGGGATATATAAAAATAAAACACGAATTGAACGCGATCGTCGAGGGTTTAAGTCGCCGCGTTTTCAGCAGAAATTCAAACCTAACTGTCCCGAGAAGACGACGACGACGACTCCCTTTTTTTTTCGGGAGGGGCGGCGGCGGGAGGGGGTGGGGGGGGGGGGGGGGGGAGAGGGGCGGCTACGCCACAGCATTAAAACAACAGTCCTCCGGTTTGTTTACCGATTTTTCGTCTCTTTTTTTTAAAAAAAAATAAACCACTCACTCACTCACTCACTCGAGGGACAAGTTGTTGTTTTTTTTTACCTCAAGAGGTAAAAAATAACGCCGCGTCGCTTCAACGTCGCGCGGGGGGCGGGAGGGGAGAGGGGGAGGAGGAGAGGGGAGAGAGTGGGGAGAAGGGGGGGAGGGGGGAGAGGAGGGAGAGGGGGAGAGAGTGGGGAGAAGGGGGGGAGAGAGTGGGGAGAAGGGGGTGAGGAGGAGAGGGGGAGAGAGTGGGGAGAAGGGGGTGAGGAGGAGGGGGGAGAGAGTGGGGAGAAGGGGGTGAGGAGGGGGGGAGAGAGAGAGAGAAAAAAAAACCGTTAAAAAAAGGGGCGGGAAAAACCAACCCGGGCACAAAAGACCGTTGGCGAGAGCGGTTGGCGCCGGCGTCGGAAGAAGCCGCCGCCTGATTGGCCGCCGGCCCCGATTTGAATGAGCAACGCGCGCGCCGATTGGCCGGCGCGGGTTTTCGCGCCGCCCGCCCGCCGACGCCGCCGACGGCCCCGGATGTGGACGGGCGCCAGACGGACGGAGCAGCCCAGTTTGGCGGTTTATTGTCTGGAGGGGAGCGAGCGCGAGCGTGTGACAGCCGGACGGACGGACGGACGGAGACAGCGGGAGAGAGAGAGAGAGAGAGAGCGATCGAGAGAGAGAGAGACACCGTGACTGCCCGGGGGAGCGCGGCGCCCATTCGTGACGGGGAGAGAAACCATGGTGAGCGGAGCGGGAGGGAGGGGGCAGAGCGCGCGGGGGCCCGGGCCCGGGGCCTGCGCCGGAGGCTTCCCGCGGGGCTGCGTTCGTTTGCGCCTTCTCCGCGCTCTGGTGGTGACAGGCGCGGCGGGAGAAGGGAAGGGAAAGGGGGTATCCGCCGCCGCCGCCTCCACACACACACACCCACCACCACCGCGAGGAGAGGCGGAATATGTGTGTGGGGCGGCGGAGGAGAGAGGAAAGATGGCGGTTGAGCGGGAAACGCCAAAGCGCCGGTTGTCCGGTGCGGTCCGGTGGGTCGGTCGGTGCCGCTTTGTTTATTTGCGGCCGAGCAGAGACGCTCCGCTGAGGGAGAGGGAGGGCGGGAGGAGGTGGACAGACACTCCCGGGTGCGAGAGGTACCGGCTCCCGCGGCCTTTTTGCGGCCTGGAGTCGCCGCCGCCGTCGTCGTCGTCGTTGTTGTTTCCCTCCCGAGGGCTCCTCAGGACGTGGGCGAAAGGTGTCGTAGGGAGAGAGAGAGAGAGAGAGAGAGGGGGTAAAGGCTCACCACCGCCCGTGGCCATTTGCTTCTCTCTCTCCTTCACTCCCTCCTTCATCCCCCCCACCCCCTGTTGTCAGCAAAGTGGCGGGAAAACCCCATCCATCCTCCCGTCATTGAATCATCATCATCCTCCTCCTCATCATCCTCCTCCTCCTCTCCCCCCCATCACCATCATGGTGACCCGGCGCCTCGTCGAGTCGTCTCCGAGCGCTCCGCACGACACGCCGTTCGGTGTAGTGACTGTGTATTTTTGTGAACGGTCGATGCCCAGAGTTGCCTTTCCCTCCACAAAAGCATACAACACCCCCTCTCTCTCTCTCTCTCTCTTCCTTTCCCTCCCGACCCCCTCACCCCCATGTTGTGACCCGCAGACCCCTCACCGCTGGTTTGTACCCCCCCCCCACCCACCCACCCCCGGCGCAGGCGGAGTTTTTTTTTTGCAGCCGCCTGTGAAGGACCCCGACCGCCCTCGGGTTCTTGTAAGGTGTACGTTATGTACTTTTCTTTAATTAAAAAAAAACACACCGCACACTTCTCTGATGATGACCCGCGCGTTTGCTACAGCGCCTTATCGCCTCGTTGGGACGCCTCGGAGCGCTCCGCAGGATATACTGTAAAGTGACGTTTGTGGGCGCAGATACGGCCTTCTCTCGGCTCGTCGGCCAGGTTCGCCTTTCACGTCATTAGCATTTTGCAGCCTTTTTTTGGGGGGAATATAAAAACTCTCGCCCTCCCACCTCCCCAGAAAGTCAAACTGTCATGTCAGCAAAGTTTAAACGTCCTTATTTTTAACACATTGGGTGGGGGGGGAAGCATATGTAAAGCAGACGCCTTAATTCAAAATCCCGTCTAGGGAGGGTGTTGTTTTGTTTGGTTTAGTGTTTCATGCAAAGGCTGCTGGAAGTTTATAATAGGGAGCCATTGCTGCAACTTGGATGTAAAGTGGACTTGTTTATTGGGAGTGTCGAGAGATATTTTGGTGAGAAAGACAGAAATGGTTTGCGGTGTTCGCCAGTATTTGTAATAAAATATACAACTTAAGAGTTCGACTTGTGAGCATCGGGTTCCAGTAATGTTCTACTGAAAAGTCAGTAATGTTCTCCTGAATATCTTATTGAATTATATTGACATGCTCCTGACCTTGTGTGGAAGGGTAATTTTGATGGAATTATTTTAAGATTCAGGGAGTGGTGTGTAAACATATGTGGAGTCGCTACTTGTAATTAATACCATTGTTTATTTGGAATATGGTTTTGCCCTATTCATTTGTATTTTGTAGACTGTCCAGATTAGAGTTGTATGGGATAGACTTTATTTTAACCCAGTCACTGTCGGATTAAGAATGCATTAGGACTTTTGTATAAAAGGTGTCCTATGAGTTCCCAATTAATTATATTAGAAAAGCCAGGATTGAGGATACAGTCCAGGAAGTTCTCAAGTTTAGTCTAACTAGTTATGATATAAGGAAGAAATAAAGTAGAAAATAATGGAACGTGTTGAGTGCTTTGAAAAATTGGTTTCATAAACAACAACAACAACTTGCATTTATATAGCGCCCCTCACACAGGGTAGCGTCCCAGAGGAGATACAAGTGCAATATTTACCGGATAACAACTACAACAAGATTACGTTTGAATAGCGCCTTTCACATTGGGAGGACGTCCCAAGGCGCTGAAACCCTCTGACCACTGCATAAATATTCTCTGGTTTAAAATATCTCTTGGCAAGAACACTGTTGTGTGCAGATGAAAATTACATTGAGCTTGACCCGTTTGATAGTTTTGAAAAAGTATATTTTGAGGCTTATATCTTTGTCAAGATTTGGGCAAGAAGGCCTTACAGATGTACCTCTTCCCTATAGTACAGAACCTCCACATTGCGCCAATAAAAAGCTAAATGTCAGTGCTTTGGGCTCATAAATGTTTTTAAGTGTTAGCACATTGTGGCTGGCGTAGTATTCTAAATTAATCTTCCTTGTAATTTGTATCAATTATAGATGTACAGTTTATCAAGAAACCCAACTTTTTTGGATTTCTTTGCTCTGAAATATAAATGTTCCGTCTTTCTATTTTACTATAGACACATCACTGTTTGCAACGACAGCGATTATTCAATGAAATATCTTGCTCGCTATCAAAACAGATTGCTTGATAAAGGTTACCAATTTGAGATGAGTTAGAAATCTATGTCTCGCGACTGATAGTTTCCACTTGTCTAATGGAGTAGTTTATTTCACCTGCGGATGTTGGGCTTGCATTGGTTCTTTGTTATATGTGAAGAATGCATTCTTTATTTTCGTAAACAGGTTTTGATTTCTTTTTTTTAAGTTTATGGCAACAGCCACATCAATGCTGAAATTTGTGACTGGATTATGGTTGCTGTGTGCAATTTGGAGATTTGCACACAGCAACCATGGTTTAGAGAGAAAGTAAAGTTTAGCTGATAGCCTCGTTATAGAATGAAATATAAAGTCGTCAAAATTTTGACGTGCGCAACTTTTCCTTTTACAGTAAAAATTATAAATGGATGTTTGTGCAGGTGTGAGAAGGTTTTTTTTNGTAGCAGTTTAATTTATCTTAATGGTCTGTATATTTTCACTCGACAGGCTGGCGGGAAAGCAGGGAAGGACTCGGGGAAGGCCAAGGCCAAAGCAGTTTCTCGCTCGCAGAGAGCAGGGTTACAGGTAAGGATATTGCGCAGATCAGCTCTGCGGAGTTTAGGCACTGTATCAACCATATTGAATCTACTACTTGTTATAATAATCCCTCCAAAAAACAAAAACAATAATAAATTGGTCATTTTCAATCCACGACTGTTTGTGGGACATTGCTGTGCGCAATTGGCTGCCGCGTTCACCCACAAATACAGTCAATTCAATTCACTTTGCAGTATATTCTGTGAAGCGCTTTGGGAAGTCCTCCCGACGTGAAAAGCGCTATATCAAATGCAAGGATTATTATTATTATACTACAACAGAAAATACGGATCTGCTTTTGGGAGGCTCTTTTCATCTTGTTCTAGAGGTATTTTACACTCTTGAACTGCTATTCATTTCCATATCTGCTTTTGGCAAAAGAAAAACGAAGGCTGTATCGTTAATAAGAGTTGTTCAGTTTTCTTTCTCTTTGCGATTTTGGCTTTGCTTTAGTATCCCAGTGGAGTGGGGAATTGGCATCCATTGCCCTAATCTATAGAGTTATAATCTGTTTTTCTTTCAGAAGCACATTGTAGGATCTCTTGATTTGTTTTCGATTCAAAGGTGTATCAGAATCCATTTACAATGACTTATTGTTTTTATTTATTCCTGAATGTCTCAATGCTTAATTACAGGTGGTTGTGAGTTGGTAAATATTTTAAGTGCAAGGCAATACTTCTGCAGTGATCTATGTTAATGTATTATTACTGATCTTGGCAACTAACGGTTTGGGAGATGCACTTATGTTCTTCGTGGTTCAGGAGTGCATTTTTAGGACCAACATTAATGATGCTACTTTGGACTATCTTTTCAATTCAGTTCGTCAGAAAATGGGGTTTACCTAAATAGAGTTGAATAATTATACTGAACTAAATGATGACTTCTGTGTGCTGTATATGAAGGTAATAAACAAAACTAAACTTCAGCACGACTATTTATATGAATTACTATATCGGACTTATTACTATTAATTCCCATATTCTCGAATTTAGTAATTTTAAAAAAAATGCACAGTGATAGCTGATCACAGTAGTACTGAAGCACTTATGTATCCTACTCTATCCTAAATATGATGGATCATCAGAATGTTAATCTGGGTCTTGTTTTCATTTCTATTGGTCCCTCTGGATTATATTGTGTTTGTAACAAACTAATGAATAGGGTTCTCTAAGGATTGTGTTTTAATAGTTTATGTAATATAAATTCCAGACAAATAACATTGAATGTTATTCCCAGATTTACCTTTTGAATCGTTCCTCTCTGTTTCCACAATCGATTCTACACACATCTGTACCAAATATTTGTTCCTCAACAGCCCATCCATGTGGGTTTTGGAGCTGGGATTGATGTTGGTGACGTGCCTGTCAGACCGGGGTTCTAAAATCTGAACTCTATTCTGTATTCTTTCAATTATTGTCGGCTTTATAAACCGGTTCAGGAAACATTATTTAGTTAGTTTCATTTAGATGTATTTAAAGTATTGACTGCTTGGTACACTTGAGCCCGTGACTGACTGTCTAATGGGTGCACTGAAATCTAAATGACAGTGTATCTAGTCCATAGTATAGATGTGCAGTAGTGTGATTGCAAGTGGAGTGATAGAAGTTATAGCTTTTGTTGATGTGCTTTCTTTCTCAGTTTCCTGTGGGTCGTATTCACCGGCATCTGAAGACTCGCACCACCAGCCACGGCCGGGTGGGAGCTACAGCTGCAGTGTACAGTGCTGCTATCCTCGAGTATCTCACCGCTGAGGTGGGTGATGGGATTTGCCTTCAGATTCTAACCTATAACAGAGGACAAGCACTTCAATTAACCTTATCCTCATGTGGAAGGGCTGAGAACTCTGACCTGTTTGATGTTGTGCCTTCCAAAAGGAAAATTGAGAGTCGTACAGCATTTCAACAATGTTTACTCGCGCAGCAGTGTTTCCATTAGACTTTACGTCTTGACCGAAAAGGACCAGTTGCACTGAAGTAAGGTTAATCTTGGTGTTTCCTCAGGTCTTGGAGTTGGCAGGCAACGCGTCAAAGGATCTGAAAGTAAAGCGCATCACACCACGTCACTTGCAGTTGGCTATCCGAGGTGATGAAGAGTTGGATTCGCTGATCAAGGCAACCATTGCTGGTGGTGGTAAGTGTCCGCTCAACGCTGTGCTATTTACACAAGTTACTCTTGTGGATTAGGATGGACAGATCCTCTTATTTGTAGGATGTCAGGAGTTTATACGGCAATTTGAACGCGGGTCATTAATTTATTTAAATCCTGAGGTTTTTTTTTGTGAGCGGTGGGGGAGTGATGCGGTGCAGAAAGTTGACGGGTTTGTTGCTCAGCTGTAGCTTGAACGGCATTGTGAATTAGCCCGAGTAACAGTAAACATCAGGTTATAGAACAATTTAAGCACCAATGCAGTAATGGACAAAACACCTGAATCTTGTTGGCCGTCTTGTTTTGGGCTTTGTTACATCATTAGAATATCCACTGGGCTGCTCATTGGAACCAAGTCATGACATGCCATCAACTTGGGTTTTTAATGCTCGTTGGGAATGTAAGAGCTAGTGATGTGTTGACAGTGTTTGTTTGACAGTGCACAGATGGAATCTGATTCAGAATAACAATAAAAAAAATTGATGTGTGATCTTATTGAGGCTTTAAGATCTGTGACGCATTTGATCTCTTCCCTAATCCAGAATGACAATACAATGTACTTTTCGCCTTTCAGTACCTCAATTAAATTTGACTTTATTCTTTAATATCTTGGACTAGAATCTCATCTACTTGCGAGGCAACTATCGCTGGCCTTCAACTGCTCTACTTTTAGTCCCATCAATTGATGTTCTGAATCTCAAAAGTTCTCAAAACTTTGATCATATTATTATTAGCTTTCTTCCTCCGAGGCTTCAAGTGTTGTCTGCTAATCTTTTCTTATACCTGGCCATCACTATGTTCTAATCAGCTAATGGCACAGACGCAATCTCCTGTCCCACCATCATTAACTCCTTCTCGCAACTGAATGTGATCAGTTTTTATTTTGTTTGATATTTTGGGTGACTGCACTATTACCCTCAGTATTCCCAATCCCGGAGCTCAGCTTCAATGTTACAGCGGTGTACGTATAATAATGGCAATTAATCCTGCTTTAGTGCAGAATTTCAAATTAAAATCAATTTTGGTGTAAATTGCTATTGGAGTTATCTAATTTGGGGTAATAATGCTACGCTCTTTGCGGTGGATTCCCATTGATACAATAATGAGCTGCTGTTTATCTCCTGGGTCTATATACTGTTGCTCAGGAACATGCGCGACTAATGTCTCAGTCCTGTCGTTATTTTGCCTTGTTGTACAAATGGGTCTATTTGCAGATAATAAATTACTCTGGAGACTGATGTTCATATTCTACGTTCAACTCCTAGTGCTTCACCTGATTTAGCTGTAGTTGGGGGTTGTAGTGTCAGTTTCTTTGATTTTTTTAAAGTCTATTAGTTACAGTCCGTATTGCTTATTACATCAACTGATTTTTCTTAAGAGTAATATGGTTGTCTTAGCGCTGAAACAACAGGAAGTTATCACATTTGAGGCTTTCGTTATATTTATGTCTACAGCGAACACATTTTAGTCTGTGTGACTAATTGCCATTAAATGTTGCCACTAGATCTTACATTTCATAGGAAGTACTGCTCTCCGTCATATGGTTTATGATCTAATAATCACACTATTATATCTCTGAAAAACATACAACACAGTAAATGTTCGCTATGTCCATTGGCATTAAGGCTGATCTGTCCGATAGTTCATACCAGGGCACACTGCTGATCAGGAGTTTAAAAAAACATTAATAGCAGTGAAACATTCAGAGGTGAGACTTCAGAGGCTTAAGCACTGTCCAGAAGAGTCCCTCATGATTTATTTTCATCTTGAAGTTGTTGGTAGAAATGTGGTTAAATTTGGAACTCCATCCCACAGTCCCTCCGCTTCGCTTCCTCGCTTCCTCCATTGCCTCCTTCAAAAATCTTATCTTCGACCGGGCCTTCACCCCTCCGGATCCCAACCCCTGGCTCGGGTCCAAATCTCTTGACTGTCCAGCGCCTTGGGATGTCCTGACGTGGAAGGCGCTGTTTGTGTACTTCTTGTTGTTTTAACATAGCTGTGGCTGAAGAAAAAGGGATCATTTGCTATACAACAAATGCAAATTAAAATCCTAACCTAAATTGGTCGCTGAGTTCCCATAATAATAGCTGTTATTGTCCGGCTTTCTGTTGGTGTGGACGGATCTGAACCGAATGGCTGTTGACCTCCATGACCGTGGTGGGGGGTGGAATATTTTTGGAAGGAAGGAGTGAATGGCAAAGTTTGAGATCCTGGATTTGATTGCGATGTTTCTGTTTGTAGGTGTGATTCCCCACATCCACAAGTCGTTGATTGGGAAGAAAGGACACCAGAAAACAGCATAAAGCTCAGTTTTGAACCTACCCTCTTCCTCCCTCCTGTCGTACTGTAATTTGGACAGAAGAAACCTGGGGTTACTTGGCATATTTTTTTTAAAGAGTAGTTAAAGTAAACGGAAGAGTTTTAGGACATGACTTTTAGTGTTCAATTATAATCCAAAAGACATGTTTGTATGTCATGCAGTTTAGATTTGAAGCTGTATGCAAAATGTAACTAGAAAAATACAGCGATCTGTCAACAGCTAGGTTACACCAGTGTGTTTTATACAATAAAACAGTTCATAAAAAAAACATTTTTTAAAAATCTGGTTTGCTGTGTGTCGTAAGTTTATTTCACAATGTGTTTCGTAAATTCTGCAATAATAAAAAAAAAATTCTCTTAACTGAAATGAGTGACTAAAGGCTTAAATGGGTCTCTGCACTTGACGGAAATTAAATCTCTTTAATGTTTTGTACGATGACTTCAACTTGCACTTTGTTTTATTTCACCTGATCGTCAGAACCAACGCTTTGGGTATATAGGTCGTTGCGATCCTTTACATTTGCGTAACAAATTTGCATTGCGTGCGTTTTGCTTATGTGCCTCTGTGCTCCATTCCACCTCTGTGCTACTCTCAGCTCTCAGTAAGACCGTGGGGGGGTTCGAGCCATGGAGTGAGTGATTTTATTTGGGATCATCAGCCCCCCCCCAACATTAAAGGCGCTATACGAAATGTAAGGGTTATTATATCTTGTAGGGAATTGCTGCGTTTATTAATTTCACGCGGTGTAACGTGCTGACTGCTGCTTCCTGGACGATCCAGGAATTCTCGACCATTAACAAACATCCGCCGTGTGTGCGTGTGGGGTGTCAAACACCCAACTGATGAGGATCCTCCTCTGTGCGGTGAGGGGTGTAAGAGGGGTTCCCGTGGAGCAGGTCACATTGGCTGACAAAAATGGGTTCAACGATGATGGTGGGAGTGGGGTGATGATCCCAAACAAAATCACTCACTCCATGGCTGTTTGTGGGACACTGTTGTGAGTAACCGCTGTGTTTCCCCCACAAAATACAGTCACTATAGACATTACAGTAAAATCCTGTGAAGTGTCCCCAACGATGTGATAGGAGGTGATATCAAATGCACATATCATGCTCTATGCACCAGATACAGCCAACAATAGGACGTGGTCTTTGGAGAGGAATTCTGACCTCTGTATTGATTGATTCCCTGTAAGTCTGCAACAGTTCGGCGTTTGACACAGCGCCTCACCAACGCTGCGCCTCAAAGGCTTCCCGGGTTATACTGTGAAGTGGTGTAACTGCGAGTTAAGTTGAGGGGGAAGGAGATAAGACGGAGGCTTTGGCTGTACGGGGACTGTGTGTCACGGATTTCTCTCTCCCAGTGTCGTGGCCGACTGCCCTCCCCCTCCAAATAAAACTGATTATCAGTTTCATGGTAGTGCACAATTGAACGTCGCTGTTAAGCGCTCCGAGGCGCTGCCCTGCGCGTGCGCGGTTGTTATTTGGACGTCTGAGCGGAGTTTGAGTGATGTGCTGCAGTGTTCAGATCCAGCACTAGATGCCGACATCCACCGCGTTTCATCAGAGCCCTTCTCGCAGCTCGTGCAGAGAGAGAGAGAGAGCGTCTCATTTTGCTGAGGAACAGCCTCTGCGCCGGTGCGACTGGTTTGTGAGTATTGAGAATTCTCAGCAACTTTTTTTTTAAAAAAAAGATATCTCTTTTACTGTGGCAACGAGCGCTCTGGGGACGCCCCCTGTGCGATGGGCACTGTATGTATTAAATGCAATTTGTTTTATTCAGGAAACCCTCCCCAGGCCCGGTTTAAATACCCCGAAACGTTGGCGCAGAGGTGAAAAATGAAAGGAATCGGTGCGTTTTTTTTTTCTTTTTATTTGTTTTTTTTTCTAACCGGTTTTGGGGAAGGATTACCGTTCGGATTGACCTGCCCTTCCGCCGCAGGTCTTTGGCAAATCTTTTAACTTTGAACCATTTGAACACAGCCTGTGGATAACGGGGTGGGGAGGGGAGGGCGGGGGGGGTGGGGGGGGGTATGTTGCACACATTGACCACGAGGCGGGTTGTTGCACAAAGCGGCCACAAGGCGGCGCACGTTCAGAAGCCGCGTCGCTGTGGTCGTCGTCGTTGTTGTTGTTGTGCACAGTTCCCACAGGAAAATGCTGCGGAAAAACAAGACTCTGCCACACCAGGTTTTATTCTGTTGGGATGCTGCGCGGACAGAGGGGGCTTTCGGAACGCAACCCACCCTGTGACAAACAGCACGAGTGACCCGGACTGCTTTCGCGCTCCCCCCCCCTCCCTCTCTCTCTCCGCCCCCCCCGACCCACCCACCGCACGGCTCTCAATTCCGCTCCCCGGTTACATATCCAGCGCCTCGGGATGTTGTCCACGGATAAAAAATGTCAGACCGGCGCAGTCACTAGTGCTCTCTCTCTCTCTCTCTCTCTCTCTCTCGCCTCTTGAGTCAGAAAGTTGTGGGTTCAAACCCCCCCCCACATTGGAATCACACAGCCTAAGCTGACGCTCCAGTGGAGTGGGGGATTTGTTGTATCATCTCCGGGTGTCCTGGCCAACAATCCACCCCCCCCCCCACCCCCCCCACCCCCCAAATAAAATTGGCCACTCGTTTCATGGCTGTTTGTGGGACGTCTGCCTGCCCACAAAACACGCAGTCACTCCACTTTACAGGGTATCCTGTGAAGCGCTTTGAGTCGTCTCGACGATGTGACGAGGCGCTGTATCAAATGTGAGGACTATTACTACTATTGTCCGTGGGGCCAGGCCTGGCCGAGGGGGAAGGTGTCCGAGGACGTTATGTTTTGCTCGGGGGCCCCGTCTCCTCGACACCAGCTGAAGCTGCGTCCCACCATCTTGAAGAAGCTGTCGTTGTGGCCCTTGAAGTAGGCGCAGAGTTGGCTCAGGGCGCGTGCGCTGACCGAGGGGTGACGCCGGCCTTTAGAGTCGTCCAGACATCGCTCGTGCCCCTCCGCCCGGAGGCAGAAGAAGCCCTTGGTGTGGTTGAAGTAGAAGTTGGAGGCTTGGATGCGAGGAGGGAGGTGGAGGAAACGTTCTGCTCTGCGCAGCTCGGGCAGCGGGTCCCTGATCAGCAAATCCCCGTCCACGATGTGTATCTGCCCCAGAGGGAAGCGTTGGAGCCAGTTGGCCATGTGCAGGTGGTAGAGGCTGCGCTGAATGGCCTTGTAGTTGGTGTTGACCTCTCCGTCCCGGATGAGGATCTGCTCCACGGGCTGGAAGCTCTTGTTTTGCTGCCGCCTGTTGTGCAGGACCTGGGTGTAGTCGGAGATGACCCTCTCGGCCGGGTCCCTCACAATCAGCAGCAGCCGCAGGGAGCTGTTCATGGCCTGGATTCTCTCCGGAGCCCGAGCGGAGGTGAAATACCCCGGTGTCTTCTCCACGGTGATCTGGTCAGGCAGAGAGAGAGGCATCTGCTGCCGGTACCAGCCCAGGCCCTGCTGGTAATTCTCGTCCCAGTCGAAGAAATGCATCTCAGTCTTGGCCACCGTGATGTGTGGGTGGAGATTTAACATCTCCAGCAGAGCCCGTGTCCCGCCCTTCCTCACCCCCATGATGATGGTCTGTGGGAGCTGGAACAGGAAAGGAGCTTTATGTTACTGACCGACCGATCGACTGACTGACTGTCCTGCTCCCTATCCCCCGCCCCACCATCACCGGTCGGGCCTTCAGCCTCTCTGCCCCCACCCTTTGGAACTCCATCCCACAGTCCCTTTGCCTCACCCCCTCCATTGCCTCCTTCAAGGCTCGTCTCAAGAACATCTTCATCCACAGCGTCTTCAGTCACCCTCCTACCCCCACCCTCCCTGCCCTCCACCCTCCCTGATCCCAACCCCCAGCTCGCGTCCAAATCCCTGACTGTCCAACGCCTTGGGATGTCCTCCCGACATGAAAGGCCTTGTGTGAAGTCCCATCAACAGGACTCAAACTGGTTTAACAAGGAACGGAGTTGAACGAGTGAAGGAAAGTGAGTCACGTACCTTGCGACTGGCATTGGTGGCCGGGACAGACAGCAGCCCCTCGCCCTGTGTTGTCGGCTCCAGCTGAGGGGTTGTGTTGGGTGAGGCCGGGGTGTGTAGCTCGGAGAGGGAGAGGCGGGAGGACAGCAGTAACAGGAGGAGCGAGGACGCCATGGGGACCGACCGATCAGTGGAGACTCCAGCGAGACCTGCTTCACCCACAGACAGTGGCGGTGCCGAGCATAGTGCCTCTCTCTCTCACAATGTTCTCCTCACCCGCAGGAGCTCACGACTGCCTCCAAACACATCTGTTTAAACAAAGACACAGTGCGCAATTGGCTGACTGCGTTTCGCCCGCAAAATAGACAGTATGTTCTGTGAAGCGCCTTTGAGATGTCCTCCCAATGTGAAAGGCGCTAAATCAAATGCAAGATTATTATTATTATAACGTGCATTTAAAATACAGGTCCTTCTCACAGAGTTGTGAGAGGCGAGAGAGACCGAGAGAGACTGAGTAGGACTAGGAGAGAGATGGAGACAGACGGAGATGTAGTTTCACAGCAGTCCTTACCCGGAGCGTTAATTGCCGTCTAATTACACAGGAGCTGATTATGGAGAGTTTTATATTGTGTGAAATCCAAGCCACCGTCTGCTGATGAGGATGTAAGCTGCCACTTCACTGGCATCTCAATGTTCACATCTCACAACCGGGATGGGCTTAGCGACTGATCATAATCCAACAACAGAACTAAGCAAATAAACGGGAGAAGGTATTGGAGGGTAATAGCAGCGGGAGGTTGGAATCACTGGAAAAAACATAACGGAGAATGTTGTTTGTGGGACGTTGCTGTGTGTAAACTGAGTGTACCTGCAAATACACAGACACTGCACTTCACAGTAAAATCCTGTGAAGCGCTTTGAGACATCTTGATATTATTCCAATGATTATAGATAGAATGGGGGGGGGGCCTCTGTCAAGCTTGATGTGGCCCGAGTCTGACTTGCAGTGCCTCCTGGACATCAAGGAGTTAACGAGCGAGGAGCAGGATCCTGCCCCGACCCTTCCTCTCTCAGTGCTTGTGATTAGCTTTTGGTTGTCCCGGACAATCTCAGCAATTAACCACACAATGGAGCTCATTAAATTTAATGTGAGCGACATGTCGATGCACTGTGACTGACTGCCTGCAGTCGCACCAGGAATGGGGACAGCTCTGCCCTACACACTGGATAAGAAGCTGGGAAATGAGAGATAATAATAATCCTTGCATTTGATATAGCGCCTTATCACGTCGTTGAGGGATTATTAACCCCCCAAAGCGATCCGCCGATTGACTTAACAACCGGGTTCCTACCTACTGTTGGATGACAAGTGTGGGGAGTAAGGAAACTTGCCTGGGAATCGAACTGAACCCGGGTCCTCTCGCTTGGGAGGCGAATGCTCTAACCACTACCCTGTAGGACTCCTCACAGGTATATTGGCCCCAGAGAGGGAGTCCAGCGCAGAATCACCAGGGCTTGAAGGGTTAAATTACGAGGACAGGTTGCGTAAACTTGGTCTGTAGTCTGTGAGTTTAGAGGGCTGGGGGTCCAGACTGAGGTGGAGATGTTTGTTGGGGTCGGGATACGGGGTAAAGACGGGTAATTGGATTTGAGGTGCAGATCGGCCAGGATCTGATAGAATGGCGGAACAGGCTCGAGGGGCTGAATGGCCTCCTGTTCCTATTGCACAATGAAGATACAGTGAGCTCACTCCCAGAATTCACTGTGCACCAGCTTTCCTGACCCAGATATTTCGAGAGAAGCCGGTTTGTACATTTAAATATTTCATGTGAATAATAATGAGAAGCTGCTGATGGGGAAGACGTCATTGGGGTGTGGCTCAACCGAGACCTTCAACCCCACCCCTTCTCTTTCCATCCATCCACCTCCCCCCCCCCCCCCCCCCCCACGGAGATTGAGCAGAATTCCCGGCTCAACCCTCCAGTGAGTGCCGTAGTGTAAAGGTTAGAGCCCTCCCCTCGGGGGCCGGAGGACCCTGGGCTCGATTCCCGGGTGGGACGGGGCGAAACCTTAGACAAGTTTCCTTACTCCACACACGCGCCTCTGTTTACAGCAGTGAGTAGGAACTCGGTTGGCGGATCGCTTTCCCGGGGGTAATCATCCCTCCCCCCCCACCCCCTAAAAAAAATGTGTTCACTTAATCCGCAAGTGATTGTGGGACATTGCTGAGCGCAATTGGCTGCTGCTTTCCCCAGGAATTGAGACGTCTCAATGTCACAATAAAGCACTGTACCAAATGCAAGGATTATTATTATTTCTGCAGAGTGTAGTGACTGTGTATTGTACGTGTGAAACACGGCAGGTAATTGCCCGGGAATCAAACCCAGGTCCCCTCGCTTGCGAGGCGAGTGCCCTAACCACTAAGCTACGGAAATGTAATTCACGGCACAAACTGCCCTCGAAAATCGCACTCCAATCTCCATCTGCCAAGGCTGGTTCCTCGGGCAGAGCTGAGGTGAGAGGCCGTGTGTGTCCGTGGGTGTGTGTGGGGAGGAATCCAACACACTGAGCCGCACAATATACACAGCAAAACTGCCAACCATCTGTTCCCAGTGAGCGAAATACAGATGCCAGAGAGGAAGGCAGAAAGGGAGAGCGAGAGACAGAGAGAGCAGCGATATACAGTGTTGGTGGAGAGGGAGAAAGGGTGGAGGAAGGAGATGGGGATTTAATATAACACACAGTTTACATTTCTCTCTCACTCCCGTCATCGTAAAACACTGCGAGGTGTTATCGTATGTGACGGCCGCTGTATAACTGGAGGTTGTTGTTAATAATAATAATAATAATCCTTACATTTGATACAGTGCCTTATCGCGCTGTAGAGACCTTCTGCCTTTGAGGCAGTGGAACAGTCCCAGCCCGGGTGTGAGCGTCGTGAGTGTTTGATGTGTTGGAGGCTGAGATTGACTCAGTAAAAGTAAATGATTTTACACAGACGGGGAGGCTAATAAACTGACTGATGCTGAGAAAGCCTAACGTCCTCAGAGAGCTGGGAACGAGGAGCTGAAATTGCTCTCAGTGGGTGTCCCTCAGCCAATTTATTTAACGTTCTGTTAGCAAAGCTGTTCAGATGTGATAAATGTTGCTTTTAACACAGGCAAACGCAGGGCTCACTGCGATCTGTTTGCCAGAGCTGTTTACTCTCGTTTCTCCTGCACCCCCTACTCTAAACTCCGCTCCCCCCATCACCCCAGCCCTCCCCCCAACACCCCAGCCCTCCCCCCCATCACCCCAGCCCTCCCCCCCATCACCCCAGCCCTCCCCCATCACCCCAGCCCTCCCCCCCATCACCCCAGCCCTCCCCCCATCACCCCAGCCCTCCCCCCATCACCCCAGCCCTCCCCCCCATCACCCCAGCCCTCCCCCCCATCACCCCAGCCCTCCCCCAGGCTCCACTGGCTCCCTATCACCGAACGGATCGATTTCTAGAGCCTCTCGCTCGTCTTCAAATCCCTTCACAGCCTGTAAACTCCCTACCTCTCCAGCCCGTTTACCCCCCACCCCCCAACCCAAAAAATATAATAATGGGTCACTTCCATCCACGACTGTCTGTGGGGACGCTGCTGTGTGCAAACGGCTGCCGTGTTTCGCCCACAAAATATAGTCACTTTACAGAATGTTCTGAGAAGCGCTTTGAGACGCCTCGAAGACGTATCAAAGGCAAAGATTATTATATTATTAGCCCGTTACCCACTGCCTCTGCTCGACCGGCTCCAGGCCTCCCGCGTGCCCCTCGTGCCCTTGTTCTACCGTCGGTGGCCGCATGTGTGTGTGGGGGGGGTGGGGGGGGGGCGGTGAAACGTACATAATTACCGGCTGTGAGTAAACAGAGACAGATGGCTTGTTATTAGGGTTTGGTGTTGTGGGACAGGGAAGGAGATCAGATGGGAGGCAGCAGGGAAGCTGTCAGTATGTGGTCTCGCATTGTTCAGCAGTTTTTGCCCAGTGCTTTTGGCTGTCTCGGGCTCAGGCTCCGGCTCGGGCTCCGGCTCGGGCTCCGGCTCGGGCTCCGGCTCGGGCTCGGGCTCCGGCTCGGGCTCGGGCTCGGGCTCGGGGTCCGGCTCGGGCTCCGGCTCGGGCTCCGGCTCGGGCTCCGGCTCGGGCTCGGGCTCCGGCTCGGGCTCGGGCTCAGGTGAGCAGTCAGTGGAACCCGTTAAACCGAGCTCTCATCTGCCTGTTCAGATGGACGTTAAAGAGCCTGTGATATGACTCCAAAAGAGAAGGCTCTCTCTCTCTCGGAGTCCTATCCCTGGCCGACAATCCTCCAGATAAAACTGGTTGTTTACTTCACGGCTGTTTGTGGGCCTTTGCTCGGCGCAAACTTGCTGCACATTTGCCTCCACGACAACAACAACAACAATACAATCCTTGCATTTGCTACAGACGCCTCACAGCGCTTCACAAAATGCACTGCAAAATGCAGTGACTTTTTTTTTCGGGGGGGTGGGGGGGGATTGTTGGCCAGGAGACCGCGAGAGAGAAATTCTCTTCTCTTTTCAGGTAGCAGCGCAGGAGATCTTTAACATGCACCTGAACAGGCAGACGGGGCGCGAGGGTTAAAGTCTCATTCGAAAGGTGGAACCTCCAATAAAGCAACACCCTCATCCACCCACCGGTACCCCCACCCACCCCAGCGCTGCATTGGAGCGTCAGCTTAGACCATGTGACTCCAAATCCCGACCTGGGGGCTCGAACCCACAACCTTCCGACTCAGAGGTGAGACAGAAAGAGAGAGAGAGAGAGAGAGAGCGATACCCACTGAGCCACAGGTACAGTCACTGCGCTTTATAGTAAATCCTGTGAAGCGCTTTGAGATATTGAGACGAGGGGATGAAGTGTAAGGATTATTATTAATAAAAGAAGTCCTGGAGATAAGAACAGAGCCAACAGACGGGGGCAGAGAACTGGGACAAAGGCTTGGAGAGCATTCACTTTGTGTCTGACCCTCTTCGCAAGCTGATCAATACCTGTCTGTAATGTCCATGAAATGTTCAGTCAATTAAATGATATCGACCATTAAAATCCTGATCCGGGCTGGCATGGCAGCAAGTTGCGCTCGCCTTGGGTTAGAGAGTAAAATAAAATTAAAATAATAATAATTTGGTCACTCAATCCACGACTGTTTGTGGGGGACGTCGCTGTGCTCCATTGGCTGCCGTGTTTCGCCTAAAAAAGTAGTCACTACACTTTACAGCGTATCCCGTGAAGCGCTTGGAGATGCCTCGAAGACGTGATAAAGCCCGGT